CACGTATTCCGAATATACAAACTAGAAACATGTGGATAAATATTATAAATATGAATACCTATAACTGTTACTTTATTACAAAAAATAAAGATGTGGTTTTTGGTTCTACTACACCAATGGTCAAGAGATGGCGCTGTAGTCTCCTGAATCGCGCTTTGGTTCCGTTGTTCCAGATTAATAAATACTTTTGATAGGCCTACACAATGCAGTCGTTAGCACCCACTAAATAGAGATTCTATTTCTATTTTGTTGGTAGATTTTCTTAATGTGCGGTAAACACAAAAGTAACGCTGCATGCTGTTAAAATTTTGTGTTACAGTGATGCGCGCGCATCTTAAAATTTCACTCTCATCATTTTTTCATAACGCGCCTAAAGAAGTATAACTTCAAAAAATACAGAGCTTACGTATAAGGAAGTATGCAAAACAATTAATCACCATCGAAGCATAAACCGGTCAAGTGAACCAAGCTATACTTAATCTTTTACATTCCACCAATTAAAGTCATCGTTTACCCTTCATGGCTTTGTCTCAGCTCAACTTACGTGTCATGCAAATAATATAATAACCGATCTCTCCGTCCGCCCGTCCGTGAATGTCCTGTCATTTCCTTTGGGTGTACACGACACCGCACATGCCACCGTTAATGTCGAAGATATCATATCATTACTGTTACATAATTAAGATGTTATGTCATTAGGGATTGCAATCCGGTAATCCGGCGGATCCGGCATCATTTGACGTTAACCGGATCCGGTACCAATATACCGGATCCGAAGACCGGATCCGGTGCTACAATAAAGCCGACAAGTGCAGAAGCTGAAAGGGCCTTTTCGGCCGCAGGCTATTATATGCAGCTCTATTAGAAGTCGTTTAGCTGATGACGCAATTAACAATATTTGTTTTCTACAATCTTTTTTTCAAAATCAATATTGATTTTCTTTTAATACTTTTTTTTATTTTCTTACAATTATTAATTAAAAGAATTATTTATCGTAAGTTGATTAAGCTAAGATTCTAAACTCATTATTGTGATATTTTTTGCCATTCATTCGTTCGTCAGATTCATCAAATCATGGTGGTATCTGTCTTAAATACCTATAAGACTTGTTTTTTTGCATTCTTAAATACTTTAATAATGATTTAGATATCATTTCAGTTAATTACGTAAGGTTAATTGTATCTGTTAGATATTATAGTTACTTGATAATTAATATTGTTACTCATAAATTGATCTGTGAAGTGAAATCTAGAAAGACTGAGCTACTCGTTACGCCGTAAAATTATTACTAATTACTCTTACACTACCAAATTTTAATTGTTTTCTTCTTGTATATTTGTCTTGATATTATTTAGGAAAAAAGTCGTTTCTATATATTTGTACATATATATAAGTGCAGTGATATATACTACGTACATATAAGTGCAGTGACACTTGATTAACTTACTTATTTTGTACGAAAAACCGAAAATCATCCTGATTTGATCAATCCGGCCGGATCCGGTCGGATCCGGCCGGATTGAAAATAACGCCGGATTGCAATCCCTATATGTCATGTGGCACACAAGACTGATTCGTGGAGCAAGCGGCTCCTTGTACGGCGACCTTGGGGTCAAAAACGTTCTCTAGGAAGACCTCAGATGCGTTGGGACGATGACCTTAAAAGAACACAGGGGAAAATTGGCTTCAGTACCCTTAGTACGAGTTTGAGCTCACGAAAACTATCATAGTTATCGTGATAGGGTATTTGACAGTATTAAAAATAAAGTGTCAATTGTTAGCATGTGTTAAGAATGAACATTGGCAGGGGTTTTTACTATTTTTACAAAAAAAATATTCATAATTTTACTAAAAACCCATTCAAAAGATAATAGTTTTCTTATCTATTGTTACTTGACCCAAAGCGCTTGGGTGTGGCGGAGCCTAAAATGACGTCACACGCAAGTAAACTTCCGGTTAGAGTAACATTAGATTGTATCGTTTGACGTTTTAATAACAGTCGTGTGACGTCACACACTAGTAAGACGCCATATAGTCCAGAAAAACGTTTTCGCGGCAACTTGAAAATGGGGATTTTCATTTGGTTATTTTTACTGAAATACACAACAGAATGATGAATATCATATATTTTATCTTTTTACGGACTCCATAAACATTAGTCAATAACGTGAGATCGTTTTCTAAAACTTGTCAAATAGCCTTCTATGTCCATTTTGGTGAAAAGTAACCAAATATACTTAAAATTTAAGAAGACGCAAATGATTTAATGATAGAATTTCAATACTGTTTATTTGTATTGAAACGAAAACAATAAAATCAGTACCCTTAGTACGAGTGCGAGCTCACGAAAACTATCATAGTTATCGTAATTCTAAAACTCGTACTAACGGTACTGGACGCACAAAATCATGGTGGCCTAATTTGTAGGAGGCCTATACCCAAAGGGTTGAGACCAGTGTTGCCAGGTCCGATTTTTAAAAATCGGGGGGCGTTAAAGAAAAAAAACAGTAGATCTACAAGAAAAACAGTAGATGCTGACGTGTACTTTTTCCGGTTTGCCCCCCCCCCCCCCCTAGAATATTTTATAATTATTAAGGTTATCTACATTATTAATGACGAATAATGCAACTCAACATGCAATTTAAAAAAGAAAATCGTATTCTAAAAAAACAGGGGATTCATGTAGAAAAACAGTAGAACAGGAGAAATTTCAGAAAACAAGAAAATATCCTGTAAAATCTGGAGACCTGGCAACACTGGTTGAGACATGATGAAAGAGAGAGGACAGACATCATTAGGGGAAGCGAGTAATGTATTTTTATACAAATGTTCTCGACTGATTGCTCCTTGATTTTTATCACTAAAGAATTGATTTTAATACATAAATTATAATTTTACTCATTCTATGCTTCCATGTTTTCCTTTCTTTCGATAACTTGTGTTTGACAGAAACTAGAAGCCCACGAAAAAGGCCAAAAGTAAACAATTTTTTATCACCACTTAAGACGTCTTGTGATGAGATTTAATAAGCATTTACAAAAAAAAAGCAACGGGTTGCACTCCGGGAGTGCCGGCAGAAGTGAAAACTTGAATATTAACGTTGTGCATTTTTGATATTTAGGAATGGTTAGGGAATAATTTTGCACGAATTGCTTTAATTATCAGTATAAAAGTACTATTATTTATTTGGTAAAATACACTATTTATTTATTGCGCTATCGTACACAAAAATGACAATTTATATTACATTAAAAAGATTATCTCTCAGGAAAATCAACTTACATGAATCACATTGAAGCGCACCTAGCGACATCTATTGTAAAAAAATGCATTTCTTCGCAATAAATAATATTTTATTTTATCGTATTATTATAATACGATAAAATAAAACATTACTATGTTTCGTCCAATATATTGAAAGTCAACAACCTTTCCAATTTTATTGTTTTCGTCTTACGAATTTTCGATCAGGCCACGTGTCCTGACGAGAGTTTAACAAACTACTTATTATTCTTTGTGTAAAGTTTCTTTGACATATATCTAATTTTTGGGGAGGATACCGTCGAGATCCAAACCACAAATTTTGCAATTTTGATACGCAGTTTTCAGCGTTAACTATTGTCTGTTGTCCCTATCGCACGGTATTAGCCAATGCGTGCTAGCAATAGTTTTTTCAAAATACCTATTTCTCAAATGTCTCTCAGCTCGCGTCCGCTTTTAATTAGTTTTCTGTTCCATTAAGTAGGTATAGAATTTGCTGGACAACTTTGTAGTATACATAAGTTACAGGCTCTGTCAGAACATAAACGCAGATGCCACTATATTCGCACTGCATCAGCTTAGGCTAAGACAGGGTACTCCTGACTTACCCTCATTGTTACCTTTATCACTCTCTCCTCAATTTTGTTTTTGTTTCTTTAATTCGGTTTAATGAAGAGCTTTTTCTTTCTTCCTTACTATTGGATCATTGGTGAAGATATTTCTTCCAAAAGATTTGATACCTATACCTATATTAGTACAATGTTACATAAATTAGAATAAGACAACTTCACACTTCTCACAACTGACAAAAATCCACCATTTTACATCAGGAGTCATTTGCCTACTTGGCTATATATAAAAAAACCTACTTAAATCCATAACCACAAATATCAGGATGATACTTATCGTAATTTTGGACTTTGCTATTTGTATTGTAATGTAAGTATGTAAGCACAGCAATAACTCATAAATTAGTTATTTAAGTACAATGACGATGTAGTCATTATTTTTTTCAATGAGATTTGTTTTTTCTGCTTAGTTTGGCTTCCGAATGCCATTGCTATTAGAAGAATAATTTAATATAACCTACTACGGTTTTCGTTGCCGGCCAGGATTAGTAAGATTTTCAGGGCAAGGCAAAGAATTTTTTTTTTATTTATTCTAAGGGCTAGGGGATTGGGATATCTTTGCAAGACGTTTATGGATGCTGGCGTCTTGTCATCACTTGAATAGCCAGCTACTGATTGCCACAAGTCCTCATGGATCAAGTTGTTGCGCATTTTAAACTTTCACTTAAAATTACCATCTCTATTAAAAATGCTGAAGGTGGGAACTGACGAGGAAGTTGACTCCGTATGCAATAATATTTTTCATTAAAAACACTTCATCATCATCATCATCAGCCTATTAATTCCCCACAGCTGGGGCACAGGCCTTCCTTATGGATGGAATAGGGAGATTGGGCCATACCCACCACGCGAGCCCAGTGCGGATTGGTGGCTGCTAACGACTGCAGATGCAGCCGGGACCAACAGCTCAACGTGCCTTACGAAGCACGGAGGAGCTCGAGATAGTAAATTTTTGGTCACCTATCCAATGACCGACCACTGCGAAAGTTGCTTAACTTCAACGATCGCAGCCAATCGCGCTAACCACTTGCGCCATCGAGCTCCTCTAAAAACAAATAATGATAGTAAAATATCAGAACAATAATAACAATATTTTTTGTGTTATTTCAGTAATGTAGTGACGGATAGAGTGCCACAAGGCGCCGCAAGATGGCGGCGGCGGGCCGGCAGCTGCGGCTGCTACTCTGGAAGGACTACCTCGTCAGGAAACGGAACTTCGTGAGTCAACTTATGTATATTCATTCAGTAATGTAGTTACGGATGGAGTGTTACAAGGCGCCGCAAGATGGCGGCGGCGGGCCGGCGGCTGCAGCTGCTACTCTGGAAGGACTACCTCGTCAGGAAACGGAACTTCGTGAGTCAACTTATGTATATTCAATCAGTAATGTAGTGACGGACGGAGTGTTACAAGGCGCCGCAAGATGGCGGCGGCGGGCCGGCAGCTACGCTTGCTGCTCTGGAAGGACAACCTCGTCAGGAAACGGAACTTTGAAAGTCAACTTCTGTATATTCATTCAGAAATGTAGTGACGGACGGAGTGTCATAAAGCGCCCCAAGATGGCGCCGGTCTTCTGGCAGCTGCGGCTGCTACTCTGGAAGGGCTACCTCGTCAGGAAACGGAACTTCGTGAGTCAACTTATGTATATTCATTCAGAAATGTAGTGACGGACGGAGTGTCATAAAGCGCCCCAAGATGGCGCCGGTCTTCTGGCAGCTGCGGTTGCTGCTCTGGAAGGACAACCTCGTCAGGAAACGGAACTTTGAAAGTCAACTTATGTATATTCATTCCGAAATGTAGTGACGGACGGAGTGCCATAAGGCGCCGCAAGATGGCGGCGGCGGGCCAGCAGATGCAGCTGCTACTCTGGAATTACTACCTCGTCGGGAAACGAAACTTCGTGAGTCAACTTATGTATATTCATTCAGTAATGTAGTTACGGACGGAGTGCCATAAGGCGCCGCAAGATGGCGGCGGACGGCTCGCAGCTGCGGCTGCTACTCTGGAAGGACTACCTCGTCAGGAAACGGAACTTCGTGAGTCAACTCATGTATATTCATTCAGTAATGTAGTTACGGACGGAGTGCTATAAGGCGCCGCAAGATGGCGGCGGTCGGCTTGCAGCTGCGGCTGCTGCTCTGGAAGGACTACCTCGTCAGGAAACGGAACTTCGTGAGTCAACTCATGTATATATTCAGTAATGTAGTGACGGACGGAGTGCCATAAGGCGCTGCAAGATGGCGGCGGCGGGCCGGCGGCTGCAGCTGCTACTCTGGAAGGACTACCTCGTCAGGAAACGGAACTTCGTGAGTCAACTCATGTATATTCATTCAGTAATGTAGTTACGGACGGAGTGCTATAAGGCGCCGCAAGATGGCGGCGGTCGGCTTGCAGCTGCGGCTGCTGCTCTGGAAGGACTACCTCGTCAGGAAACGGAACTTCGTGAGTCAACTCATGTATATATTCAGTAATGTAGTGACGGACGGAGTGCCATAAGGCGCTGCAAGATGGCGGCGGCGGGCCGGCGGCTGCAGCTGCTACTCTGGAAGGACTACCTCGTCAGGAAACGGAACTTCGTGAGTCAACTCATGTATATTCATTCAGTAATGTAGTTATGGACGGAGTGCCATAAGGCGCCGCAAGATGGCGGCGGTCGGCTTACAGCTGCGGCTGCTACTCTGGAAGTACTACCTTGTCAGGAAACGGAACTTCGTGAGTCAACTCATGTATATTCATTCAGTAATGTAGTTATGGACGGAGTGCCATAAGGCGCCGCAAGATGGCGGCGGTCGGCTTGCAGCTGCGGCTGCTACTCTGGAAGGACTACCTCGTCAGGAAACGGAACTTCGTGAGTCAACTATATTCAGTCAGTAATATAGTGACGGACGGAGTGTTACAAGGCGCCGCAAGATGGCGGCGGCGGGCCGTCGGCTGCAGCTGCTACTCTGGAAGGACTACATCGTCAGGAAACGGAACTTTGAAAGTCAACTTATGTATATTCATTCAGAAATGTAGTGACGGACGGAGTGTCATAAAGCGCCCCAAGATGGCGCCGGTCTTCTGGCAGCTGCGGTTGCTGCTCTGGAAGGACTACCTCGTCAGGAAACGGAACTTTGAAAGTCAACTTATGTATATTCATTCAGAAATGTAGTGACGGATGCAGTGCCATAAGCCGCCGCAAGATGGCGCCGGTCTTCTGGCAGCTGCGGTTGCTGCTCTGGCAGGACTACCTGGTCAGGAAATGGAACTCCATGAGTGATCCTATGTATATTCAGTAATGTAGTGACCCATCTGTGGAGGGCTACGACTGTATTTTTTAATTATTATTAAAGAGAAAAGAAAATAGTGGTGGCAGTGACAAGATAAAACATTCTATTAAATGTCAAAGAATAACAAACTCAATTAAAAAAAGTATCAAAAACTCATAGACAAAACAAAGTGATATAAAAGGTGGTAATAGGGCTGATGAAAAACTTTTTTTAATCGTCTTCCTAACCTAACTCATTTAATTTTACATCGTCATCAACCCTATTTAAGGACTTGTGGATTATGAAAGGCCTTAAGCGCACTAGGGGGGGAAATCCCAACGCAATACATACAAAAAAGGTAAATTTAAAAAATCTAAAATCTCGAATGCTTATAAAAGCTTTAAAATTTAAAAATACTTTAAATCAAAACTGAAAAGAGAGAAACAAGTCTAGTAGTCTATTATTCTAAGTAAGGGACAAAGCTACTTTAACAGTCGGGACCCATTACTAGAAAAAATGGATCTATTCTAGAATATTTAATAGGTCCCGACTGCAAAAGTAGCTTTGTTTCTTACTTAATAGACTTATATACTACAGGACTTGTTTTCTTCTTTTCAGTTTTGATTGAAAGTATTTTTTAAGCAGCGGGCGTTATAGTTTTTTTTTTAATTTACCTTTTTTGTATGTGTTGCGAGGTAAAATTAAACGAGTTAGGTTAGGAAGACGATTAAAAAAGTTTGGCATCAGCCCTATTACTGTAAATGGGTGGCATAAAGATGTTGTTTTAGTGTTGTATATACCAAACATTACAAAATTAAATAGCTTGGTATATCGGTCAAGTATTCCTTGAGTAATTTGCTTAAATATAAACAGCATTAAATTTCTATTTACGTATGTAGATTACGAATTTCGCAACATCTATTTACAATGTCAGCATAACATGATTTTGGTCAAGGGTATTTACTGAAAAGTTTTTTTATTATAATAACGCAATATCTATACTTATAATAAATCTGTAGAGAGGTCAATTCTGTACATGAAATATATTTTCAAAATAACTATCAGGGGGTGATTAGTGATCGATACTGATGCCAAAAATGCAATCAGTAAATTTTTTGTCTGTCTATCTGTCTGTCTGTGTGTGTGTATGTTCCTTATAGAAACAAAAAATACTCGACGGGTTTTAACGAAACTTGATACAACTATTCTTCATACTCCTGGGCAGGTTATAGTATACTTTTCATCACGCTACAATCAATAGGAGCAGAGTAGTGAAGGGAAATATTGGGAGAACGGGAGAAGTTACTCCATTTTTTAAAGCTTCCGTCGCGTGTGCAGCCTGAATGGTTAAAGTTACATAGAAATCATGTATGACTGAAATATTCTACATAAAATTGTCTAAAATATATCCCCCCAACAGCATATGTCTATCTTTTATGGTTGTCTCACAATAACACGTGTAATTATATCAATAAAGTCATTGTTTGTAGCACAAGCCTGAGAACAAAAACTATTGTTAGCACTACAGCTCTACACCGAAGCGAAACGAGGGCGGGCCACTAGTTTGGAATAAATTAAAAAGAAACGAAGGTGTGGTGAATTTTCCTCTAGCAAAGGAGCGCCCGCCCTCAGTTTAGCAAGTTGCTTTAGGGTTCCGTGATAAGATCTAAATCTTCGTTTTCACCAAATATTTATTTCACTAACAGAAGCTGCAAAGGAACGAATTTCTATGCTTCATCATCATCATCATCAGCCTATTAATGTCCCCACTGCTGGGGCACAGGCCTTCCCTATGGATGGAATAGGGAGATTGGGCCATGACCCACCACGCGGGCCCAGTGCGGATTGGTGGGTGCTAACGACTGCAAATGCAGCCGGGACCAACGGCTTAACGTGCCTTCCGAAGCACGGAGGAGCTCGAGATAGGAAATTTTTGGTCACCCATCCAATGACCGACCACTGCGAAAGTTGCTGAACTTCAACAATCGCAGCCGAACGCGCTAGCCACCTGCGCCATCGAGCCCCTCAATCAAAAATGCACTAACTCAACTCTAAACTCATTTACTTTTATACCGCAACAAAAATAAAAAAAACTACATATTACACTTTTTAATAAGGTTACTTTGAACGCATTTTAAATGAGGCCAATGTTTATTTTTCGACGTAAATATAGTGAATGTTAATAAATGTAGGCGTACAAGAGTGAATTATTTGTACTTCATTCATTCAGGAGTACCTGAGGACCCGCTACAGAGACGGGAATTCCCCCAGCGTAATGGACGCGTTCAGCGAAGTAAAAAGAATATTAGTACCGCGTAAAAAGTCTAGATGGCTGTAGTGTTTTGATCATGATGAAATTATGTAGGAACTAAGCACATTTTTTTATATTAATAGTTGATAGCTGAATGATCACACTGTCGCCGGCGAGAACTCTCTCTACTCGTTTGTAGCTGAGTGACAATAGTTATTAAAGATAAGACTCGCTTAGCCAAACTCGCATAGCGATACTCGCTCAGTGATACTCGCTCAGCGATACTCGCTCAGCGATACTAGCTCAGCGATACTAGCTCAGCGATACTCGCTCAGCTATACTCGCTCGGTTAAGCTGGCTTGGCTGTCAAAAGCCGTGCGCGTGCATTTTAACTCAGGACTGCCAATTCGTTTCTAGTTTCTACTCGCTTATCGTTCATCGTCGGAGGTGGAACATGTGCCTTAGATTACTGAGCCGTGTAATCATAACAGTTTCATAGGCAGTAATTTGTATTCATGTCTATGATAATAAAATCCTTTTGTTTAAACTTTATCTAATTTAACTTTATTTAACCAATTTCTGTAAAGTTGCATGTAGATCATTTTTCGAAAAATAAGGCCATAAAGAAGTTTCACTTCTTACGTGTGTACACTAGTACACGCACACATTTTTTTAAAGTCTAGTATAGGATTTGAACAGGAGAACGCGGAGGCATTTGGCCCCCCCCCCCCCAAGATCGGAGGCCCGGGGCGGGCCGCCCCTTCCGCCCCCCTGTTAGTCCGCCACTGGGTCCTGGTTAGCCCTTTCTTTTTAATTTGTATCTATAAATGTGCAATATCTGTAATATGAGGGTTAATAAAATATATTCTACTAGCAAACCAGTGAACCAAATGTTCACCAAAACCTGATTTCTCGAAAACCGGAAGTGCTACGTTACTCAAATCCGGTTTGTAGTCTTATCAGACTATTCTTAACTTATAACTTAAATATTCTCTTTATCTATCTCTTACGGTTTGGCCGCTGAGACAGCACCACAGACAGACAGACGGACGGACTTGTCTAATAGATAAGAGATTCTATAAATCTAACGAAGCCGAACATTGCATATTTGCTGCTTTTGTTTGGAGTCATCGATGTGTGATGTATTTATTATGTCTGTTTTCCGACACCTATTTCTCAAATATCGCGGTATTGGCTCGTGCCTGTTTCTTAATAATATCGATGCGTTTCTTGTTATCAAACATCGTTTCGTTCATTGTGTAAGCTTAGGGCTGCCATCTCTAAAATGTGGCAACCAGGATAAGACGCGTGATAACCCCGGATTTTGAAGCCCAGAACCCGGACAGACCAATGAAAAAACAGTTAAAAATGTCACAAATCAACTTTTTTATGTTGATCTAGGCAAAAGAGCTAGCGGTCTACCTCATAATAAGTGGTCACTGCTGCCCATGGACACTTGCAGCACCAAGGGCCACTAATGCGTTGCCGTAAATTTTTAAACCCGGACTACAAATAAAACTCTGCCCGGACGCTCCCCGGACGCCGCGTAAACTAGGACAAATCCGGGGAAACCCGGACGGATGGCAGCCCTATGTAAGCGTAATTGGAGGAAATGGATAGCAGCATTGATGGCTATCATTTTTATCCGCCTGCAGAAGAATGAGGGTTATTAGCTTCATGTTTTCGCTATTCCTAAAGGGTCTGATTATCGAGAATATTAGGATCAGTTTTACCAGTTCCTGATCAGTGGCGGCGCTAGGCGTCGGCGACGTCGGCCACCGCCGACTGCCTCGCGCCTGAGGGGGCCTCGCAATTTTTTTTACAAGTTACCTAGGTATTTATTTTCGTTTCTGCTGGCCTGGCTTAGGTAGCCGACCCCGAACAATTCGGGGAAAAAGCTAAGCAGATGATAATGACTTTTATTATTTTCGAACACGTGCGTGATGGAAGCGAGTAGTACTTTACGGGTATTCAGAATCGTCTGTCTGGCAACACTATTTTTGTAATTAAATTTCTATGTTTGTAATTATTTTTTGTCATCATTTGATTATCAACAATAAAACTCGTTTACTCATACGTTATTTTATAATTTGGCTCACTTAATTTAACGGTTTTTTACTGCGAAGTAAAATAGGCCTCACGAACTTGATATCGCCGACGTCCACATGTGGTCTAGCGCCGCCACTGTTCCTGATAAAGTTTGAGATAGTTATATTTTTATTTTATGAATTTAACTGATAGATGTTTAAATGTGAAGAAAATTTTTACTAGAAATAATTCCACGCGGACCAGGCAGCAGACGGGACTCGAATCCGCACCCTTCGCTGTCCGGGCAAATGCATTGACCATTATGCTACCGCGGCCCATTTTTTTTATTTTTTTTTTTATGTTATAGGGGGCATAAGAGCAGACGGTTCACCTGATGGTAAGTGATCACCGTCGCCCATGGACACTTGCAACACCAGGAGTATCACAAATGCGATGCCGGCCTTTAAGGAAGGAGTACGCTCTTTTTATTTTTAAGGTTTTTGGGTCGTATTGGTCCGGAAACACTGCTGGCGACAACATATTCCACAGTTTTGTCGTACGTGGTAAAAAATTTCGACAAAAACGCACGGTTGTGGATAGCCACGCATCAAGATGATGGGGATGAAATTTTTGTCGCGATGTACAATGGCGAAATGCAGCCCTGGTGGCCGTGTCATATTTTCTCTAGCATTTGTACTACTATAATAGCTAATATAAAATAATTGCTATTTCTTCTTTCAAATGTTTCATTCTTGTAAAAGTATTTGAGAGTCCCGTCTGCTGCCTGGTCTGCGTAGTATTTTTTTGGATAAGTTTACTATCTGACAACAAAAAGGTGTATGTTTTTTAATTTTACATGAAAATCCCTTTTATCACTTTACTAGCATGGTTATTCCTATTTGCCTCATCTAAATGACCATTGGTCTTCCTTTTGGCTCGCGAATTACATACACTTGCGATAACAATTTCGATATAAGTATGTGTCCTGTACCATCGGTGGTACTTACCATAGGATATCTATATATATAAAACTCAAAGGTGACTGACTGTCATAGTGATCTATCAACGCACAGCCCAAACCACTGGACGGATCGGGCTGAAATTTGGCATGCAGGTAGATGTTATGACGTAGGCATCCGCTATGAAAGGATTGTGATCAATTCTACCCCCAAGGGGATAAAATAGGGAACGAAAGTTTGAATGGAACTTTGTCAATTTTAAACCGATCGGGCTGAGACTTTGTATGCAGATGCAATAAGAAGAATCATAGATGAATGTCATTGTGTGTAATACAAGCCTGAGAACAAAAACTGTAGTCTACACTTCAGCTCTACACCGAAGCGAAGCGAGGGCGGGCCGCTAGTATAAGTCGCGGCACGAAACTCTAGCGTCTCTAGAATGTGTTGGGGGGAAACGAGGTGCGCGGGTGGGCGTGCGTTGCGCCGATTGGCTTTCCAGTCGTACCCATGCGCAGTTATCCCCTCTACGTTTTGTTCAGAGCTAGAGTGCCGCATGTGCCGCGACCTGTATGAAACGTTTATCGAAATGGGTCAGAACTGAAAATCACCGATGAACTCTCTAAGTGCCGCCGCACACGGGCCACACGCCACAGCCACAAACGCCGCCACGAGAAGCTAGAAGCGGCTACTAAAGTGGCTGAAGCGCGCGACAGCGGCCGACTGGGGCCATCCATAAATTACGTCACACTTTAAGGGGTAGGGAGGGGGTCGACGAAATGTGACATCGTGTGACAAGGGGTGGGAGGGGTCCTAAATTTCGTAACGTCACATTTCAAAATATATTAAAATCTAAGTGTTGAAACTATTACTTTACGAAAGCATTAACAACCCAAACGAGAACAAAGTGGTGCTATGCCAGTTATAAATAATTTAAAGGAGTGGGATCAATGTCCATGGACTCAAGATTATTAAGTCTGTATCTTTAATTTAATTATAATGCTATTAATATTTTATGTTTTGTTAATTTCTTTAATTAACATAGTCAATCACTTTTTGTTCGGTATTTTTTTTGTTTTGTTAATTGTTTGATTTGATTATAATAATAATGAAAAAACAATTTAAATGGAAATAAAACTGATTACAGAACCGCTGTTTTCATTCAATTATTTCTAAATGTAAATTTGCAAAATATGTGACGTCACACTAGGGAGGGGGGGAGTCTTACAAATGTGACCAGCTGTGACAAGGACGGGGGGAGGGGCAAAAAAGACATGAAATTCGTGTGACGTAATTTATGGATGACCCCAGTAAGGTAAGGGAGAGAGGGGTGGGGAATCGAGCGAGTGACGTGTGGCGGCGTTCTGTATCGGCGCATTAAGTGGCCGGTGCGGGCCACAAGAAGCGAGCAACGACGATTTGTAGCGTGTGGCGGCCACCGGCGTACCGTGTGTAGGGAGTCCATATCAAATGTATGAAAACTACAAGAAATATGCCGGTGGCGGCGTTTTGTGGTTGTGGTCGGTGGCCCGTGTGCGGCGACAATATGTAAATGTTTCGCTGAGTTTTCGCCCATTCGCGTTACTGCACACGCACGTAATTTAGCTGTTTCTATGTTTATTGATTGTTTATTTAAGGGCTTATCAAATTTTATTATGTGTTACTTGTCAATTTTGCACGTATGAAGGTGCGAATAAAGTGTTATCTAACTAACTATATCTTTGCTGAGTTTCTTGCCGGTTCTTCTCAGTACAAGGTGTCCCGCCGTAGATTTGCGAACCGATGCATCGATGGCGTAGCTTCTCGACATTCACAACTGCTTGTAACAGCCTAGACTGAATAAACGATTTTGAATTTTGAATAGGGTATTTGACAGAATTCAAAATAAAGTGCCAATTGTTAGCATCTGTAAGTATTTAGAATGAATATTGGAAGGAGTTTTTACTATTTTTACGGAAAAAATATTCATAATTTTTTAATGATAAAGATAATAGTTTTCCCTTCTTTTGTCACGTGACCCAAAACGCTTGGGATTGGTGGCGCCTAAAATGACGTCACACGCAAGTAAACTTCCGGTTAAAGTGACATTAGATTGTATGGTTTGACGTTCCAATGACAGTCGTGTGACGTCACACACCAGTGAGACGCCATATTGTCCAGAGATACGTTTTTCGCGGCAACTTGAAAATAGAGCTTTTGATTTAGTTTTTTTTTACCGAAATACACAACATAATGATGAATATCCACTTATGTACTCTAATATCTTTATGGACTCTATAAACATTAGTAAATAACGTGAGATCGTTTTCTAAAACTTGTCAAATACCCTATTTTTATATGTGCAGGTGACGCTGGGCGGAGTGGTGTGGGCGACAATGATTATGCTGGCCCTCTACGTGGTCAGAATCAACATCGATAACCAGGACTTCCCCGACTGTGAGTACTTACAACAACTAGGTACTTATTCTATATTTTTATTATTTCAGCATTTAACAGCTAGATCACGAAGACTAAAGAAAAATTTTACTAAAAACAAACTCTTGAGATTTACTAGAAAAAATCCCGTCTGCTGCCTGGTCCGGTTGGAATTTTTTCTAGTAAAATCTTTAAATTTTATCATTGGTTTATACGTCACCTCCATAGTAAACTTACGAATTTGAATTTCATAAAACCTACTACGCCAAAATCATCATCATCAACAGCCCATCATAGTCCACTGCTGGACATAGGCCTCTCCAATTGCACGCCACTCAGATCGATCTTGGGCTACTCGTATCCAGCATCTGCCAGCCACCTTGCGCAAATCGTCACTCCATCGTGCCTGAGGAAGTCCTACACTACGTTTGCCTAGACGCGGTCTCCACTCCAGAACTCGTCTACCCCAACGGTTATCGGTTCTTCGGCAAATATGGCCAAAATATCGTATATTAATTAGATAAGTTTACTTTGGGTGCAGAAACATTAAATGCAGATTCAAACAATCAGACCTTTGGAACCGTCATTGATAAAATTGTGTGACTTTTCCCTGGTGTTAAGTACCCCATTGTGTGCAGTTTTTTATCATAGATTTTTATTAAAAAATCATTTTCGTAAGTTCGCCGACGATATACGAAAGACAGGTAGGTCATAGGATTCGATTTGGAGCGCAGGTTGGGGAATTAGACGCCACGTTTCAGAAGATCACATGAAAATAACACTAATTTTTGGTAGTGTTAATTTCTGTTGGCTCCACGGGGGACTGGGCAGGCGCATTGGCAGTCTGAAATTTTGAAGGAGGTCACTCACTACACAAATAAAAAGAAGAAAAAAATGGGTGCGTGTACTTATGTTGGCGCGTGAGAAGTTATCCTTCTTTGGCATCGTTTAAAATTAGTTTTTAATTGCATGCAAATAATTAATTACAATAAATTAATAAAAAGTCTGGAAAAGGACACAGGCAATAAAGTTCAGTTTTAATTTGAAAAAATAAATAAATAATCAAAATATTCAATTAAAATCGCTACTGAATATAATTTATTAGAACATATGTGATTTGCACTTGTATGAAACTCAAACACGTATTCCGAATATACAAACTAGAAACATGTGGATAAATATAATAAATATGAATACCTATAACTGTTACTTTATTACAAAAAATAAAGATGTGGTTTTTGGTTCTACTACACCAATGGTCAAGAGATGGCGCTGTAGTCTCCTGAATCGCGCTTTGGTTCCGTTGTCCCAGATTAATAAATACTTTTGATAGGCCTTCACAATGCAGTCGTTAGCACCCACTAAATAGAGATTCTATTTCTATTTTGTTGGTAGATTTTCTTAATGTGCAGTAAACACAAAAGTAGTAGTAGTAGTAGTACTAGTAGTAGTTTGTGTTACAGTGATGCGCGCGCATCTTAAAATTTCACTTTCATCATTTTTTCATAACGCGCCTAAAGAAGTATAACTTCAAAAAAAGGTACCTGAAATAAAATACACATTATTGCGACGAACGATGCATGTCGATTTTCCTACAATTACCAAAACTGCGTAGTTCGGTTCCTTGTTTCTAAACTAGTACTAGATGTCATTTCCAAGTTATTTTGGCCATCGTACGTAGTTCATAAAAACACCACTAGATGTCAGCAAACTATAAATTTATCGCTGTTAGGGGATAGCTAAAAAAATCCTTATATTATTTGGCAAATTTTTAAGATTTATCAATTTGATCTTAGATTTTGGGGGGGGTTCATGTCCCCCCCTTCGGACCGCGCTTGGGATTGGGTCAGGGTAGGCAGCGGAGCGAGGGATATTTTTTTTATCGCAAGCGTCTATAGGCTAAACGCGGACCACAGGCTTAATATTATGCGATTCAATTCAGAATAGGAAGCCAATGACCTCCATCTGTTAAATGTACCTTGAAAAGTACGGTTTGCAAAGTGTATCGGCGTTATGCGTACTCTTCAATAAAGCTCAGTTGTTTACAAAATAAATAAATAAAATGAAAATTGCGAAAGAAAGTTAAGCGTACAAAATTTGAATTTCGTAGAGAGTGAAGTGTAGAGGGGGGTTTTTTGATCACGTGGGTCTAAGCTGCTTCTACTGGTAGAAAATGGAGCGACGTTCCGGTGTAGGCAGAACTTCTTACTCATGCGTCAACACAAAGAAATATTGGAAAATTTATTTTAGCTTTGAGCTAATTAATCTTAGAATAAATACCAAATATTTGAAAACAAAAGAAGGGAATAAATCATACAAATGAAACGTATAGAAAATGAGAACTGGTAAATCTTTAGTTTTATTATAAATACAGATAAAAATATACCGTTTGCATTTTAAATAAAGTTGTCATTTTAGAACCTACAATAATGGATATTTTATTTTATAACCTAAAAAGTCAGTGATGATGATAACTACTCCGATAGTAGAACAGAGATGAGCGGAATTAAAGAGCTAGATTCTGTTTAATGTTGTTTCTCATTCAGTATTAAAAATCAGATATTTTTTTGTATCTTGGTATTACATTGGCGCCCAACGTGGTTATATTCGTGGTAAAATCGTAGTATACTTTTAGATACACGTATATGTGGTGACGACATCGACATGACGACCTCCGTGGCCGAGTGGTTTGTACGCCGGGTTTCATGGCTGTCGCCGACTCGAGAGGTCCCGGGTTCGAATCCCGTTGGGGGCAGATGTTTGTGTGATGAATACGAGCATTTTGTACTCCAGTCATGGATGTCTAATATGTATTTATATAAATATACTTATATACGTACAGTATATGTATTCTATCCGTTACCCTAGCATCCCATAACACAAGCCTTATAGTGCTTACTTTGGGGCTAGGCTAATTGGTGTGAGTGTCGGAAATATTTATATTTATTTATTTATATAAACAGTGGTGAACTCATAACTGAATATCTACCTATTTCGGAGTGAGAACTGTGGGAAACCATTCGTAGGTTGTGTTTCGGTAACCGTTCTCCGACTCGTAAAAACAGATTTTTATTAAAGAATAACTTTTTTGTTCACCCTACCTAACTAGTTTTAATTGACAGCTATGACGTCACAATATGGCGCCCAGTCGGTCCTATTCTTAGTTGAATCGCATTATAAGACTCCACCTGATATTCGGTGACTATGGAGTTTAGAGAGAAGAAAGCTGGTGTGGCACCTGCAACACTAGCCTTCCTCACCTTGCCGGCATCCAGGCGGCTTCTCCACGTCTTTTGTTGTGAAAAATGCTTTAAGCTAAGAAGTGTTTCCGCAAATTGGGTATGGTATAGTCATGTTTTTGTCAGCAAATACCTTAACTCCATCCTGGCAGGTGTTGAACATTGCTTGTATAGCAGAATGATGTGCCGCTCCAGGTGCAGGTTCTACTTCGTGGTAGAATCCCTAAACGGGGACCCCGCGGCTTCGCGCTAAGCAGCTTAGAGGTATTCGCAGGGTTTTTTTTGCGGATATTATGCCGTAAAGCGCCCGTAAGAGTTGCGGGGTCCTCGGTGGTCAGCCACTGGGGGGTGCGTAAGACTTGCGGGAGCCAGGTGTGAGGTCCGTTCGGCGGTGTGCCCCTTAAAGGCGCTGTCGTCTGTAATAAGATTTTTTACCTGCGTAATAAAAAAAAAGGTGCAGGTTCTACTAAGTTTAATACTAGGACCAAGTTTTTTTGTGGCAGTAAAAAAATCTTTAGATTTATAAATCTATCAGTGTAAGCCAAAAATAACAATACATCTTAGTACATCTTAATATATAAATTACGAGTCACTCTTTTTTATTCGGGATGGACTGGATTTAATCAAATTTGCACACCGTGTGCAGTTTGATCCAACTTGAAAGATAGGATAGCTTACATCTCAATTTATAGTCGCAATATATGAAATATATACAGGGTGTAAATTTTGGATGCCACCCCCAGGGGAAATAATCTAAATAATGGAGATAAATAATTTTACTCAAAGGAAACGTTCCTTTATTTTTAAAAAGAATCACAACTGCATTCACAGTTTTTCGAAAATTTGCTTGCCACACCACACACTTGCACAACACGCTATTAAAAGTTACTAGAAATGAATTCCTTAAAAGAATAAATTTGTGTATCCAACAAAATGGAGATCATTTCGAGCAACTAATAAGGTAGAATGATATTTTTTTTTGTTCAAATAAAATAAGTTAAGATTTCATGCTTTTCCTTTAACTTAATGTACTAAGTTTTTTAGTAAGATATGATCCCTATAATTGACCCTATCGATCGATGCCATAAAAAAACAGGGTGTCATTTTTTCGAATTTTTGCCAGTTCAATTCCCGGGTGTGGCAAGCAAATTTTCGAAAAACTGTGAATGCAGTTGTTTTTTTTTTTTTAAATAAAGGAATGTTTCCTTTGAGTAAAATTAGCTATCTCCAGTATTTAGAGTACTTCCCCTGGGGGTGGCATTCAAAATTTCCACCCGGTATATATATAGTGAGTGGTACGATGATCGCCACTAAAGCTAGCTTCTTTAATAAAATTGCCGTTTTGGACAGGGTTTTCACTTATACTCGTTCTCGTACTTACTCGTTCAAGAAATGTTTTATTAAATGTATTTTGCATAACAATTTATCCGTTCTCCACAGGCCAGTACCCTGCGCGCGCGCTGCCCAGCGCTGGGATGCTGCGGTTCGTGCAGTCGTTTATCTGCAGCGTGGACAACCAGTGCAAGCCCATGGACCAGTACCAAGAAATACCCGCCTACAAGAACTCTAAGTAGGTGCCAGTTTACATAACAATAGACGGTTTGTGATAGTGGAAGTTAAGAGCGGATGCGAGCGAACTGTTTTTATAAAAAGTTAAAACTTCTTGCAAATATTTTAAGAAAATTAAAGAAGCCTCCGTATAAGATGTACTTCAACGCCAAGCTTTATTTGTATTTTTGTAACAGCCTGTATATACCATATGACTCTAATAAATAAGCCCCTGATTTTATGTGATTGAAAGTAAATTAAATAATGGTATCGATTCTGGCATGGTTCTCTAAACTTAAAACTAAATTTAACATCAGTCTCGCCTTTTCATTGCGTATAGAGAATGACAAGGATACACTGTTGTCAAATTTGAATTTAGGTTTAGAGAATTATGTCAGACTAGCGGCCCGCCCTCGCTTCGCTTCGGTGCACAGCTGAAGTGTAGACTACAGTTTTTGTTCTCAGGCTTGTATTATACACAATGACATTCATCTATGATTCTTCTTATACTTGCATGCAAAGTCTCAGCCCGATCGGTTTAAAATTGACAAACTTCCATACAAACTTTCATTCCCTATTTTATCCCCTTGGGGGTAGAATTGATCAAAATCCTTTCTTAGCGGATGCCTACGTCATAACATCTACCTGCATGCCAAATTTCAGCCCGATCCGTCCAGTGGTTTGGGCTGTGCGTTGATAGATCACTATGTCAGTCAGTCACCTTTGAGTTTTATCTTTATATATATAATTCTTCTGTGAGTGTGTATGTCACTGAATTTCTCTTAAACGACTGGACCGATTTTGATGAAATTTTTTGTGTGTGTTCAAGGAGATCTGAGAATGGTTTAGATTCACAATTTTGTCCGCTGGACAATGTTTTTTTAATTAAATTTTTTTATGGCGGTACGAAGTTCGCTGGGTCAGCTAGTATACATATATAGATGTGTGTATATTTAAATGTATTTTGTTGCTCAGATTGAGCCAAGTACAGGATAAGCTGTGGCCCCTACTGTCGAATACCACAGTGGTGGAGGTGGCAGGAGCAGTACCCGGTGCTCTCAAACTGTCGGCTACCCTCGCTAGAGTGCTGGACGACCCGATACTATTGGACATCACCAGTGAGTATTTTTATTGAAGTTATACTTCTTTAGGCGCGTTATGAAAAAATGATGATAGTGAAATTTTAAGATGCGCGCGCATCACTGTAACACAAAATTTTAACAGCATGAAGTTGGTCGCTTTAGCCAACTTCATGCTGTTACTTTTGTGTTTACCGCACATTAAGAAAATCTACCAACAAAATAGAAATAGAATCTCTATATAGTGGGTGCTAACGACTGCATTGTGAAGGCCTATCAAAACTATTTATTAATCTGGAACAACGGAACCAAAGCGCGATTCAGGAGACTACAGCGCCATCTCTTGACCATTGGTGTAGTAGAACCAAAAACCACATCTTTATTTTTTGTAATAAAGTAACAGTTATAGGTATTCATATTTATAATATTCATCCACATGTTTCTAGTTTGTATATTCGGAATACGTATTTGAGTTTCATACAAGTGCAAATCAAAAATAAATTATATTCAGTAGCGATTTTAATTGAATATTTTGATTATTTATTTATTTTTTCAAATTAAAACTGAACTTTATTGACTGTGTCCTTTTCCAGACTTTTTATTAATTTATTGTAATTAATTATTTGCATGCAATTAAAAACTAATTTTAAACGATGCCAAAGAAGGATAACTTCTCACGCGCCTACATAAGTACACGCACCCATTTTTTTATATAGATAGGTCGGACAAATTTTCATTTCAATTAGCATTTGCAAAAAAAAGTCAACCCCATAACTTTAACACGAGATTTAAAAACAAGCTTGCCTTTCCATGTTTCAGACTCCAAAAATCAAGAGGTTCATTTCTGGGATGTAGTATTATTACATTGTTTAACAAAGTTCCCCAAGATTTGATTGAGCTTCCACTAACCAAATTTAAAATCTCAGATCAAGAATTCTTTTATGAATAAGGGCTATTATAAAGTAAATGATTATCTAAATGATCGTAATGCATGGTCATAGTGTTTCTTGTAATTTGTTATTTGATGGGTATGAGTCAGTTTTTGTAACAGTAATATGGTACCTATCTAATGCCGCTTCCTATATACTAAATATAAAATTTATTGTAACTGTATATCTATATCCTAAATAATGTAATGGAAGGTGACTTCAGAAGTATCTCTGAAGTCATTTTTCAACTTGACGACTCTGTATATATCAATACAGGGAGAAAAAAGCAGCCCTTGCTGAGTTTTTTGCCGGTTCTTCTCAGAACAAGGTCTCCCGCTGTAGTTTTGCGAACCGATGGCGTAGCTTCTTGACCTTCACAAGTGCTTGTAACAGCCTAGACTGAATAAATGATTTTTCATTTCATTTCCAATGACGCCACCCCATCTGATGGTACTCGTAAGTGACGGTAAAGTCAAGACGCGAAGATAGCTGGTACAGCAGTTCTACCTGCCACACCAGCCATCCTCACCTTACCGTCCTGCATGTTGCTTCTTCACAGCTCTTTTAGATGTTCTACAAAAGGTCCTTAACAACCATCTGACCCGCTACCTAGAGGATCACTCCCTGATTAATGATCGTCAATATGGTTTTAGACAGAAACGATCGCCGGGTGATCTTCTAGCGTACTTGACTCATATCTGGGGTAAGGCTATCGACAAGCAGGGCGAGTCGTTGGCTATCAACCTTGACATTGCCAAGGCGTTCGACAGGGTCTGGCACAATGGGTGACCAAAAATTAATATCTCGAGCTCCTCCGTGCTGCGGAAGGCACGTTAAGCCGTTGGTCCCGGCTGCATCTGCAGTCGTTAGCACCCACCAATCCGCACTGGGCCCGCGTGGTGGGTTATGGCCCAATCTCCCTATTCCATTCATAGGGAAGGCCTGTGCCCCAGCAATTGACTTAGAATAGAATAAATAAAATGAAATGAGTACATATAAATTTTAGATTTAAATTAAGTTTGACATTCACATGCCCTGCCGTTGGCCAAATGGAGGAACTAAATGAAAACCACCACCAAAATGTATCTACTCTGTTTAATGTGAATAAATCGATTTCATTTCATTTTTCATTTCATAGAAAAGTTATTAATTTATGTGTGACAAAATAATCGCTGCTAATATTCATATTAAATACAGATTCCAACAATTACTACAATCTTTTTCATACTGTCAAAGAGCCTATTGCTTAGCCATCATCCCAATGACAAATTCTATTTCCCATAACATCCAATCCTTATAACTTTACCTGCCATTTCATTTCAGAGAACGGTCTGAGGGTCGCCGACCTCTTCCAGAACCCTGGCATAGTGAAGCGGTACATCGCATCAGAGATGAATATGTCGCAGCCGGTAGCAGAGGCCGTTCTGAAGGCGGAACTGAGTGTCCAAGGTGTAAGTTTGTTACATATGACAGGTAGTGAAATAGACTAAGACACGAAAATCGGTCGACCCGTATCGGAGTAGCTCAATTACGCACACCGTGACACGAGAATTTTATATATTAGATATATATATACATAAATAATATCTTTATATATATAATTCTTCTGTGAGTGTGTATGTCACTGAACTTCTCTTAAACGACTGGACCGATTTTGATGAAATTTTTTGTGAGTGTTCAAGGGGATCTGAGAATGGTTTGGATTCACAATTTTGTCCGTTGGACAATGTTTTTTTAATTAAATTTTTTTATGGCGGTACGAAGTTCGCTGGGTCAGCTAGTACATATATATAATAGGTATATTTATTAAAAATAAAAAAATATATAAAACTAGCTGACCCAGCGAACTTCGTACCGCCCTAAAAAAATAGGGGTTGTCCAGCGGACAAAATTGTGAATCTAAACCATTCTCAGATCCCCTTGAACACACACAAAAAATTTGATCAAAATCGGTCCAGTCGTTTAAGAGAAGTTCAGTGACATACACACTCACAGAAGAATTATATATATAAAGATATTGAATTCTTTTTATTTAGAAGTAACCTAGTCGGCTACTACGTATTAAAGTCCGTATTGAGCCTTAGGAACGGCGGCCATCTTGTGAATATTTCCGTCGCCCGAAATGGCCGAAGCCGTGGTGGATGAGAAGTCGACAGGATGTTAGATTTTGCTTTACTGAAAAGGATACAGACTGAATTAAAAAACTTATTGATACCATTAGAAAGTTAGTTGAATTTCCTGCATTATGAGGACAACTAATTTTTACATTTTCGTAACTAACATTAGGAAATAGGCGTTTCATTTTAAAAGTTTATTAAAAAGTGACTTCTTGTTGGGTTCAACCCGCTCTATTTAATCGTTTTTCGAGTTACAGAGATCCAAGTGATCTGTAGTAGATTCTTTATTTAATCAGCTTTACGGTAGTATTTTTTGTTTGGCCCTATCTTCATTATTTAGCGAGAAAATGGCATTTCTAACTAAAAGTCCGGAATGGCCGACATTTTTCGCTTCGCTTCGCGCCGCTTGGACTGTTGAGAGGGGTGGGGCGCGCGGCAATGGACTGCCAAGAGGCTAAAGTTCATATTTTTAAATTAATTAGTTGATAATTAATTATATTCATTTATAAACAGTGCCGTCTTTGATCTATTGGAAGTCCTGGGCATATTAGGATAATGGGGCCCCTATGACTTCCGTTTGGTGATTTAACAGGAACTAGGGACTTTGTATTTGATCTGAGGGGGGCCCTATCGATCGCGGGGCCCTGGGCACTTGCCCATAGTGCCCAATTTGATACTCATATGATGACCTCCGTGGCCGAGTGGTTTGTACGCCGGGTTTCATGGTGTCGCCGACTCGAGAGGTCCCGGGTTCGAATCCCGGTGGGGCAGATGTTTGTGTGATGAATACGAGCATATTTATACTCCAATCATGGATAAAAACAGGTAGAAAAAAGAACAGCCCTTGCTGAGTTTCTTGCCGGTTCTTCTCAGTACAAGGTCTCCCGCCGTAGATTTACGAACCGATGGCGTAGCTTCTAGACATTCATATGTACTTATAACAGCCTTAACTGAATAAATGATTTTGATTATGATTATGATGTTTAATATGTATATTTCTATAAAAAGATACTTATATATATGTACTTATATGTATTCTTATCCGTTACCCTAGCATCCCATAACACAAGCCTTACAGTGTTTACTTTGGGGCTAGGCTAATTAGTGTGAGTGTTGGAAATATTTATTTATTTATATAGTAAGAAAACTTAAAATATTTAATTCGCCATCTGTAGCTTATCGGCGTTTTTTAATAAGGGGTTATTAATAAACATCGAAAAGGTTAGATAAGTTACTCTATGTTTTGTATTTGTTAATTGAATTACAATAAATGGCACTTGAGTGACATGAATACAACAAGGTGTATAACAATAATGTCCCTTTAACCGGAAGTTTACTTGCGTGTGACGTCATTTTAGGCTCCGCCAATCCCAAGCGTTTTGGGTCACGTGACAATAGATAAGAAAACTATTAACTTTTTCGTGGGTTTTTAGTAAAAGTATGAATATTTTTTTTTGTAATAATAGTAAAAACCCCTGCCAATATTCATTCTAAACACAGCTGATAACAATTGGCAATTTATTTTTAATACTGTCAAATACCCTATTAGCGAAATCACATTCACAGCATCTTTCTATTGCAGATTATGAAAAGTGACATGGATAGATGCGAAGTGAACTCCATGTCGAAATTCATAAGAATAGAGAACAAGGAATATATGGAGGCGTTTGTGAATCAGCTGTGTCGACTCGACGATAAAGATTTGCAGCGACTGGCTAGTAATCTACTGCTGGAGATCAACTTCGCCAAATATATTACTATGGTAAGGGCACTGTATTATGTTAAATACATCTTTGTATCAGGGCTTGTTTACCGGTTAATTTTCAAACCTAAATCAGTGTCAAGTACATCAGGAGCGTTTTTATATAGGTTTGGCTCTACCTTAACCTGAAAAAAACCGGTTTTTCTAAAAAGCGAAATCAAATAGGTTTTGAATCAATTTAGCGGTTTTTAAAGGGTTTTGTGGCGGCGACATCTATATGCCCCACATATAGACAACGGATGGAGGAAATCATTACTCACCATCCTCAAGAGATGGCGTTACCTGCACTGCGATCAATAATAGTGTGGAAGCCTACATTGCGCAAATGAAATTCGGAAGCTAACTCTTCATATATACGATGCCGGACCAACATCAGTCGGGCCGCGGCCCCCGAGCTACCATCACCCAGCTCGGAGGAAGATCTTTCCCTTTGGCCTTCCTACAGTTTTATTTCGCTCTTACTAACGGCATCGATAATAAATGAATAACTTGACTCACTAGACGCTAGCAAACGTGTCAATAAATGCATTAATATCTGAGCATTAACAAGCTATGACTTGATTAGTTCAAACAAAACAAACTTCAAGCGATGCCGACGCGTGCACGTGTCGCTCTGGATTAAACCGGTTTATTAAGGTTTTAGGTACCGCTTTCATTTCGAACGCTTTCCGAACGAAAGTTTTACTAAAAACCGGTATTAACCTTTATTTATCGGTATTTTCGAAACCGGTTTCAAGCCCTGCTTTGTATCCCCTGATAATTGGTGTTCGCTTTTTAATGATTCTTTCGAATTAATGTTTCGGTTCAATGTTAAGAAAGACATAATTTAATCTCTTATCTATTAGAGAAGTCCGTCCGTCCGTCCGTCCGTCTGTCTGTGGTGCTGTTTCAGCGGCCAAATCGTAAGAGATAGATAAAGAGAATGTTTAAGTTATAAGTTAAGAATAGTCTAATAAGACTAAAACCCGGATTTGAGTAACGTAGCACTTCCGGTTTTCGAGAAATCACGAATTTAAAACGAAACCACACAAAATCTCCGAAGTTCTCAATTAATTAAATACATTTTTTTTTAATCAGGTTTTGGTGAACATTTGGTTCACTGGTTTGCTAGTAGAACATTAATTAGATATTCTATGGGTTAAAGCTACTTTTAGTTGAATCGAGATTTAACTAATTTGCTGCAAGTGGGAATAAGCACTAAAACTTCGTCGCGCAGGTGCGGGAGAAGCATCATGCATGAAGCAGTGATCTATAGAATTTTGACATTTCGGTTTCATTTTGATCTAGACTGTTAGGCTCAAAATTCATAGGTAATTTTATGGCAATTTTAAAATTCAAGAAAAGAATGTGGGTCGTCGCTGGACGCCTGGCAGATGTGAAAAACTAGCCGGTTTACGTTAAATACACTCGGGATTGGGGTTGCGTGCGATAAAAAATGACATAGGGCCTGCCTTGAAGGGCGCTGGCACCGTACTGTACCCCTCGTACGAACCATTATCGACCTGCTGTGCTGACCACAGACAGACGGACGGACGGACTTGTCTAATAGATAAGAGATGCTTCCATATCATTTCTAATTCGTTGCTTGAATGGCGATAATTTGACACGCTATAAGAGATTGTGGCAAACGGAAAATTTCTATGTGCAGCTGAAGGAGCGTAGGTAGTAGACGCTAATTTTAGCACATTGCAGCCACCACTTGCAGCAATTTTGCTAAACCTCAATTTATCTTAAACTAGATTTAGGTGGTACAAGAAGATCAAATTGACATTGACATTTTTGTTGAGCTACGAGTAAACGTGTGCCTTTGTAACGAAGCCATCGGAAACTTCGTTGCGCGGGAGTGGGAGAAATATTACAGAAAAGCCTGCGGGGTGAAGATGGCTGGTGTGGCAGGTAGAACTGCTGTATCAGCTATCTTCGCGTCTGGACTTCACCTTCACTTAACATCAGGAGGGACAGAGTCATTTATCGGACCTATATATAAAAAAACGACGGGTTGCACTCCGGGAGTGCCGGCAAAAGTGAAAACTTGAATATTAACGTTGTGCATTTTTGATATTTTGGAATGGTTAGGGAATAATTTTGCACGAATTGCTTTAATTATCAGTATAAAAGTACTATCATGTATGTGGTAGAATACAATATTTATTTATTGCGCTATCGTACACAAACACAACAATTTATATTACATTAAAAAAATTAACTTTTAAAAAAAATCAGCTTACATGAATCACGTATAAGCGCACTTAGCGACATCTATTGTAAAGAAATCAACTTACATGAATCACATTTAAGCGCACCTAGCGACATCTATTGTAAAAAAATGCATTTTCTACGCAATAAAGCTGCCACGTGGACGTCCTAGATAGAAACATTATTATAATACGATAAAATAAAATATTACTATGTTTCGTCCAGTACATTGAAAGTCAACAACCTTTCCAATTTTCCTTTCCGATCAGCCCACTTGTTTAACCTGACGCGAGTTTAACATTTTTTACCCATACAAAAAAAAACCGCTAAAGAAGTTTTCACTTCAAAAATATAACAAAAGTTATATTGTTTTAAACTTTCATGGTCACTAACATTATAGAAACGGGATTGTTACCATGTACCTTGTTTTTTATGACTCTCCGATATTTCGGCACTGTTGCAAGCGCCATGATCACGGAGTAACTGAAGTAATTGCGGGTAGATGTTATTGGCAGACATATCGGTCTACCCTCTGACGTCGTCTTTTACTGCATTCGATACTACCACTACCACTGGTCACATTCTCACTATTCACTCGAATTTGTTCCCGGCACACAATACTCACAGTATCAGATCGCGGAACGACACTTTTTTGATTTTTGCGGTTTTTGACACATACGAACCACTGGAGACTCATAAAAAACAAAGTACATGGTAACAATCCCGTTAATATATTTAATATAACAAAAGTGTCTCCCCAGGCAGGCAACATGTACTACAAGTTGTCTGGAGACGAACGAGTGTTAAAGCTGGCCGCGTTAGTAAGGGCAGCGACACACGTAACGCGGCTGGATTCCTTTCTGCCGCCTGTGTTCACGGCCTTATTTGAACGACGCACTGTTGACTTTAGCTACTTCAATGTGTCTATGTAAGTAATACATCTGCATATATTTTTATATCTTCACAAAGTACCTTTAGAATCTAAAGAAAGTGCTGTTAGAAAAATTCCACGCGGTCCAGGCAGCAGACGGGACTCGAACCAGCACCCTGGTAATGAGGGCTATCGTGTATGAATCCGCCGCTAGAGGCGCTAGTGTAGCGTGAGGTCTCCGAAATGTCAAATGTTATTGCTTGTTGGTTGACTACGCGGGTTTATTTCTAATTAAAATAATGTTGTGAATAATTGGTAACAATTCGGCTTAATTATGGCAAATATGAGTTATGTGGCAATGAATGTCAGTTATTAAAAATTTGAGCTTAGAAAAATGATTATGTTCCCATTTTTTCCGAATAAAACTGCGCGTCACTGTGGCATGGCCTATTATGTTTAGGATATGGTTTTTTTGTGTTAAAATACGATCTAAATGTAACCTTTGATTTCATGTGCGTATTAATAAACTTTAAAAGTTACAATTTAGGACCTCACTCAACAGTGGCGCCATCTGGTGAGGCAGGAAACGGTAGCCCTCATTGATTAAACAATTTTAGAAATATGTTTATATAAGTACTCGTGTGGTAGTATTCCACTAAACTATACAAAGACAACGGTGCTTAAGATTGAGGCTTTACAAAGTTGATTTATTTAGTCTTAAGAAAATATAACTAGAAAAAAATCCACCCGGACCAGACAGCAAACGGGACTCGAACCCGCACCCTTCGCTATCCGGGCGAATACACTGACCAATTATGCTACCGCAGCCCTGATAGCCGCGTCGAAATTCTTCTAGTCATTCTTAAGCTACAAGGCAGCGCGATCTCTTCGCATTGTAAGTAACCCACAATGTCAAATGAATACATTTATAAGAATAAAAGATTTGAAAGAAGAAATAATAATTATAGTTTTATTTTTTATTTTTTAAGCATGTAACTGCTTGATGTTTAAATCTAAAGAAAATATAACTAGAAAAAAAATATTTAGTCTTGCTGCCACGGAGCCTGTAAACGGTCCGATCCGTCAAGATTACTATACTAAATCGCCCTTTACACCCGTTCAAAATGTACAAGAGTACGAATAGATGTACGAGTAGCACAAGATATTCCGAAAATTGGTTACCACGTGCACCTCCCACCCTAATACTTCGCTAGGTTAGCTACTACTAACTTTTACTTTTTCTTTTAGTATGACCAATCTCATGGATCAGTTTGAGCCAACATTCGGTAAGACACAAGCGTACAAGATACTAAGAGACATAACTGATACGGTTGCAACTGCGCTACAATATTTAGACAAAATATTCAAGGCCGACAACCCCGTGGAAAATGCTGCCAATCTTTTGCTGTCTGGAGTCGGTGACATTAACGATGCTAATGAATTGAAGGGTCAAGATATTTCAAATGTATTAACTAATGCAATTGATGTATTTGAGAAAGCAGCAGCAAAAGAACCTATCGATATTTTTAATATGTAAGTTTTGCTATTTGTTTTAAACAGAAATTTATCTCAAATTAATAAAAAGTACAAAAACAAATCTAATAAGAGAACATACATAAGTGATAAACAGATAGTCTGCTTAAAAGTCATTCATAGTATGTATTACTACTGTTGAATATATTCATCTACAGTTACTCTTACATATTTACAGTTTAACTCAATTGACGAATTTCATAAGCAAAATTCTATCTGATAAAATGAGACATGATGTACAATTCTATTCGACTCTTCTTGCTAAACTAATCGAGGGCGCGAATAAAGTAGTTTCCACCAATTGGAATATACAAGAGATGGCCTATGATGTCTCCTTGCGGAACCCCGAAGGAGTCAAAATCTTAGTAAAATTACCACTACATGTGGTAAGGAAAGGTTTAGAAGCTTTGGCCGACGCTGAAAGAGTTCAGGTATTGTTTATTATTAATTTTAATTGAAGATTTCTCAAATACAAATTATGTGAAACTTAATCAAACGCTTGCGACAGATTTTGATCATTCATCTAAATGTGTCTTATTTTTGCATGTAAAAATAATAGTAAAAAACGAGATAACGAGTCAGCTCAGTTAAAAATATTAGTATGTTTAAATACCTAAGAAATTAAATGAGATACTTATTGTGATATTACCAACTTAGGAATAATATATTTAATTACTAAAATTAGGTTAGTTTTAATTGATTCTTTTATTCTCACGCTAGATTTTAACATCGAAACTAAACGTTCGCGGCCAAATCTTTTGTGATGCCAACAAAATGGCTAACTTTTTCAAGATATCTAAGACAGAGGCCGATGCTTTGAAGAGTCACTTATGTACTGATGCCTGGAAAAATTATGTGGGAGATTTGATAAAATCATTTGGTATCTACGAAGTTCGAGATTTGGTAAGTTTGAATCTTCAGTATTTTCTTCAAAGCTGCAATTCATATTTGCAATGGTTTTTACAGCACCCCCAGTCAGTAATACAACTGAAATTGAAATTAAACTAAATTTTTTAACCATAGGGTTACAAATTTGTTTACATACTAAAAACATCTTTAGATATTTAACGAGATATTTTATTTATGATTGTTAACAATTACTGTAATTTCTTTATTTTTATTACTATGTTTATACAGTAGGATACTACAACCACTGTCGCATTTCAGATAAACAATATGGCATCACTAGTCATACAAGAAACCTTCGGCAAAGACACAAGCGATCAGCTCTACTCCATAGAGAAAGATTTTCAGATCCTCAAGAACTTCACAGACTCACTTGTTAGAGCAAAGTCGAGGGCCGGAACCGTCACGGACTGGAGTAAACTGTTCAACGTCACTAATGATTCTGAGTTCATGAAGATTTTCAATGAAAGAGCGCATTTGGGAAAACAAATACTGTGAGTTTAAATTATTTTTTATATATAGGTCCGAGCCAAGTAAACGGCGTTTATTATCTTCATGGGATATCAAACAGCTAGTAGCGTTCTTTGTTTTATATTTTTCCTGATTCCACAACAGCTTGGGAGGAAACCTTTTTGCTTTATCCTTTCGTTTAGCATCTTTTTTTATCCAAAGATAATTACTTAGGTACAACAAATGAATCAGCTCCTGCTTAAGAGGGGAGGCGGGCGATATTTTTTTGCATACAGTCGTTTTCAACTGGTTCCTTGCTGATTTTTAGCAATGATTTTCGTACATAAAATATAATTTTACTTATTCTATGCTCCTATGTCTTTCTTTTTTCGATAACTTGATTTTCAAAGCAACTAGAAGCCCTCAAAAATACTAAATAATTCAAATTTGTATCACTACTAAAGATGTTTAGTGAGGAAATTCAATAATCGTTACAAAAAATGTAGAGGCCTAGTACAACTACTTATTATTCTGAAGTAAAATTTCTTCTAAGATCTAATTTTCCAGGAGGAATTCGTCGAGAGCCAAACCTTAAATGTGTATTTTTTTTTCGCAATGTGAAATTGTCCCATATCCATATACCGCAAGCCCCAATGCATGAAAGCAATAATTGTTTTATAATTACCTAAATAGGTACATACATTTGAGATATGTCAAATGTCTCCTAGTTCGTGTCCGCTCTTAATGGTCTCTCGTTCGATTCCAACAAAGCGACGAATTTTTTTATAGAAAATTTTCTAGCGACATCTTCCAGTTTAATACGAAAATTAAATATATTAAAACTTATGTATTATTTATAAAACAACATTATATACTTCAGAATAACATCGCATGGCGCACTGGCTAAAGAAGTAGTGAAACAAAATACAATCCTTGAGTACAAAATAACACCGATCTTACTCGATCTGACGACCGTCGTGGAGGCCATCAACGCCCAGCTGCGACTAATATCGAAAGAGACGACAGAAAATATGAAGAAAATGTACCCTGACGTTATTAAAGTCATGCTGGATACAGTGATGGACGAAAATAAGGTAAGGTTGCTGTTCTTTGTCATCAGCTCGTAAGAAGAATACAGGTGTTAAATTAAAAGAAATATTTTGCTAGAAAAAAATCCACGCGGACCAGGCAGCGGACGGGACTCGAACCCGCACCCTTCGCAATCCGGGCGAATGCACTGACCAATTATGCTACCACGGCCCTGATGGCCGAGTCGAAATTTTTTTCTAGTAAAATTTTACTTTATATTTAAATATCTAGCAGTTAAATGCCTAGAAATAAATAAAAACGTATCTCTTATCTAATAGACCGTCCATGGTGCTGTTTCAGCGGCCAAACCGTAAGAGATAGATAAAGAGAATGTTTAAGTTACAAGTTAAGAATAGTCTCATAAGACTACAAACCGGATTTGAGTAACGTAGCACTTCCGGTTTTCGAGAAATCACGTGATTTCTATTTCAAACGAAACCACACAAAATCTCCGAAGTTCTCAATTAATTAAACACATTTTTTTTTGGTGAACATTTGGTTCACTGGTTTGCTAGTTAACTATAATTGCTATTACTTCTTTCAAATGTTTAATACTTGAAAAAGTATTCATTTGACATTGTGGGTTACCTACAATACGAAGAGATGGCGCTGCCTTGCAGTTTAAGGCTAGGAAAATTTCGACGCGGCCATCAGGGCCGTGGTAGCATAATTGGTTAGTGCATTTGCCCGGACTGTAAAGGGTGAGGGTTCGAGTCTTGGCTGCTGCCTGGTCCGCGTGGAATTTTTTCTAATTTTTTTTTTTAAAGAGATACTTAAAAGTGCAGTTATAACAACATTATAAGTCTTTTTCTCTCTACTACATTCTACTGCTTTATTTAGCCATGGAGGAGAGAAAAAGAATTACAAGAAGCTTCTTATTGTCGCCGCACACGGACCACCGACCACAACCACAAAACGCCGCCACCGGCACATTTCTTGTAGTTTTCATACATTTTATATGGACTCGCCACACACGGTACGCCGGTGGCCGCCACACGCTACAAATCGTCGTTGCTCGCTTCTTGTGGCCCGCACCGGCCACTTAATGCGCCGATACAAAACGTCGCCACACGTCACTCGCGCGATTCCCCACCCCTCTCTCCCTTACCTTAGTCGGCCGCTGTCGCAAGCTTCAGCCACTTTAGTAGCCGCTTCTAGCTTCTCGTGGCAGCGTTTGTGGCTGTGGCGTGTGGCCCGTGAGTGGCGACAAGTTTTGACATTTAAGAAAACGAAATTGAATTTTTGCAGATTACATTGTTAAGTAAACATTTCAATTGAATTCACTACCTTAAATCTTAATGTTACACATTCAATAAGCACATTGTTTGGAGGGATAAAGCGATACCCTTAGTACGAGTTTGAGCTCACGAAAACAATCATAGTTTTCGTAATGAGCGCTACCGTTTTCTGCCTCACCAGATGGCGCCACTGTTGAGTGAGGTCCTAAATTGTAACTTTTGAAGTTTATTAATACGCACATGAAATCAAAGGTTACATTTAGATCGTATTTTAACACAAAAGAACCATATCCTAAACATAATAGGCCATGCCACAGTGACGCGCAGTTCCGATTTATTCGGAAAAAATGGGAACATAATCATTTTTCTAAGCTCAAATTTTTAATAACTGACCTTCATTGCCACATACACTCATATTTGCCATAATTAAGCCGAATTATTACCAATTATTCACAGCATTATTTTAATTAGAAATAAACCCGCGTAGTCAACCAACAAGCAATAACATTTGACATTTCGGAGACCTCACGCTACACTAGCGCCTCTAGCGGCGGATTCATACGCGATAGCCCTCATTGTAAATTATCTTTCTATGTACATTTTGGTGAAAAGTAACCAAATATTCTTAAAATTTAAGAAGACGCAAACGTTTTAATGATAGAATTTAAACACTGTTTATTTGTATTGAAACGAAAACAATAAAATCAGTACCCTCAGTAGGAGTGCGAGCTCACGAAAACTATCATAGTTTTAGGGTATGTATTTCAATTAACTTACTCAAATGCGTGATTGTATATGTTTTTGTCATATAACAATACTAGCTGTGCCCCGCAGTGTTACCCGCAGTTTATTAGCGATCAGGGCCGGATTAAGGATTGTGGAGGCCCCGGGTCACTTAGGATTTGTATTCTTGTTAACCCTTCGAAATGTTGTTATTTCTTAAGCTGTTGTGGAGGCCCCTGGGCCACAGCCCCACCTGCCCTGCCTTAAATTCGGCCCTGCGGACAAGTACCACCCCACTCAGCCATTAAGCGATTGGGGTACTCCCTCAAGATGGGTAGTGAATTGGAAGTGCTTATCAGGGCCATTTGAGATTTTGATATTTCACTGATTGCCTGATTGGAGTGAACAAATATAGATCAATGATTTCTGTTATTTCAGATTAATATAATCAAATAATCATGTATGTTATGTACAAAGTACTGTAGGCTGTAGGTAAAGGTAAAAGAGCAAAAAAAATATCAAAGGAAAAGATGTTTACTAGTTGGAATTTGAAAGATTTTTTTCCGAAGTCTCTATTGTGGGGGCCCCCCGTTTGTGGAGGCCCAGGGGCTTTCGCCCCGGTTGCCCTCCCCTAAATCCGGCAGTGTTAGCGATATTTCCCGCAGTAAAAAGTAGCCTATGTGTTAATCTAGCGTGTAAGATAACTCCATACCAAAGTTTTTTGGAAATCGCTTCAGCCGTTTAGACGAGAAGAACTGACAAACATACACAGTCGCACACTCGCAAACTTTCGCCTTTATAATATTAATGTGATAATTACACACACAAACACACACACACACACACACAACATACACACACACACACACACACACACACACACACACACAATATGATCGTAGGAGTGCCACCTACTTTTGTTGGATTTCTTTTGCATTTCTCGCTTTCATCTAAGGAAAAGTGAGTGTGGCTGAATACCAGCGCTGCCCGAGACATTCTGTAACGAAGCAGTTTATGCTGAGCCACATCCATTTGCTCTTCACGCTGTCATATCGCATTGTACTATGTATTATTTTATTTATTTATTTATTTATCATCAACAAGTTTCAACAGCGTTTTACACAATATAATCTAATATAAAATTTTAAACGGTACTTTAACCAATTACAGAAACTCACTTTGTATTCAAATTTAAAAATTAAAATGATTACGTAGGGTACAAATTACAAATTAACAATAATATAAAAGAAATACCAACAAAGATTCAAATTTATTTTGCAATAAATATAAATACCTATATAAATCAAAATTATAAACGGAGCATGATAACTAACTTTGTGTAAATGAGTGTGTACGTGTGTGTTTGGTGTAGCGTGTGTGTGTGTGTGTGTGTGTGTGTGTATGCCATTTAACTGTGATGCCAATTAAACTGTGTATTACTGTGAGAGCTATAAAAACATTTCTATTCTATTCTATTCAATTACTTTATTCCAGACTTACTTGGCGCTATCAACCCCCAGTTCAGATATAGTATGCAACGGTAGTGAAGTGGCCGCTACATTCTTGAATATTACTTCTGTCGATGATAAAGACGAGTTGATAACTACCCTCTGTAACGCTTCTGAAGCCATCGACAGGGGGCTAACCAATAATTCGATCATTGCTAAAGCTGTAAGTATATTAAACGTATTATTGTCATCGTTTAAATCGGATGGCGCAGGTAGCGCGCGATCGTTGAAGTTAAGCAATTTTCTCAATGGTCGGTCATTGGATGGGTGACCAAAAATCTTCTATCTCGAGTTCCTCTTTGCTTCGGAAGGCACGTTAAGCTGCATCTGCAGTCGTTAGCACCCGCCAATCCGCACTGGACCTGCGTGGTGGATCATGGCCCAATCTCCCTATTCCATCCATAGGAAAGGCCTATGCCCCAGCAGTGGGGACATTAATAAGCTGATGATGATAATCCAGTCCAATCCTGACTGGAGTCATCATCAGCGGCCCATGAATGTCCCTAATGCTGAAGCACAGGTATTCCTAAAAAGAGCAATGCCCAAAATAGGCTCAGCGTGGACAAGGTGCTTGGCAAACAACAATTTTACAATAGGGTATTTGAGAACTTTTAGAAAGCGATCTCAGGTTATCTTAGAGCATTTACCACGTTATTGACTAATGTTAATGGATAATCATCATTCTGTTGTGTATTTCAGTAAAAATAAATAAATCAAAAATTCCATTTTCAAGTTGCTGCGAAAACGTTTTTCTGGACAATATGGCGTCATACTAGCGTGTGACGTCACACGGCTGTCATGAATTAAAACGTCAAACTATACAATGTAATGTCACTTTAACCGGAAGTTTACTTGCGTGTGACGTCATTTTAGGCTCCGCCAATCCCAAGCGTTTTGTGTCACGTGACAATAGATAAGAAAACTTACTATCTTAACTTATTATCTTTTTCGTGGGTTTTAGTACAATTATGAATATTTATTTGTAAAAATAGTTAAATCCCCTGCCAATATTCATTCTAAACAAAGATGCTAACAATTGGCACTTCATTTTTAATACTGTCAAATACCCTATTGAGGAGATCGATGGCGCAAGTGGTTAGCGCGTTCGGCTGCGATCGTTGAACTTAAGCAACTTTCGCAGTGGTCGGTCATTGGATGGGTGACCAAAAATTACTACCTCGAGCTCCTCCGTGCTTCGGAAGGCACGTTAAGCCGTTGGTCCCGGCTGCATCTGCAGTCGTTAGCACCCACCAATCCGCACTGGGCCCGCGTGGTGGGTCATGGCCCAATCTCCCTATTCCATCCATAGGGAAGGCCTGTGCCCCAGCAGTGGGGCTATTAATAGGCTGATGATGATGATGACCCTATTGTATAGTATTTACTTTTAACCAATTTCTGTAACTGTAATAGAGTAGAGAGTTTCATAAATAATACTTACAATAAAATAAATAAAAATAATTTTATTAGTTATCAAATATCACATGATCTAAAACAGCTAGAGATTGGTTGAATTTAAGTTAGCGTCATGTCAGCAGAAACGGCTATGATTGGCCGAATTTGAGTAAGCCACACGTCATTTCAGCCAAAACGGCTAGGATTGGTCGGGTCTAAGATGACATTTGCAGATAAGGGCTGCGTTCCAACCTACGCTCCGGTGTAACAAATGTCAAATCCGAAAGAAGTTATGTCAAGTATACATTTATGTCAAATTGAAACTGTCAAAAGAACACTGTTTTTTCGTTGAAACATTTGATATTATGCGTATATTGCGCAATATTAATTTCACGCGGCATATTTAAAGAATAGATGTTTATTTTCGACTTTATTTAATAGGGTATTTGACAAGTTTTAGAAAACGATCTCACGTTATTTACTAATGTTTATAGAGTCCATAAAAAGTCCATATTCATCATTATGTTGTGTATTTCGGTAAAAAAACTAAATCAAAAACTCTATTTTCAAGTTCCCGCGAAAAACGTATCTCTGGACTATATGGCGTCTCACTCAGTGTTGCCAACTCTACGTGTTTTTACGTAGATCTACGTATTTTAGGCCTTTTCTGGAAACCTACTAACTTCAGTCCCAGAATCTACGTATTTCCTTATTTTTTTTCAAATTTGTAAAATAACTTAATTCACTAGAATAAAGAAGAATATTTTCCGTTACTTTACTTAAAAACTATACAAATGTTTATTTCTTATAAAGATGTATCTAAACACTCTTGTATCTTGTAGAAAAGGTTCCCGTTACCTATTGGTTTTGTTGACTAAATTAATGCTGGACGCAGGATTTGTGAAAGCAGAAAGGACAAAACTCTTTGACTTAGTAGGTACATTCATAACCTTAAAAATTGTATTTTTAAACTTTTAATATTATCAATGAGTACCTACTCACATCGAATTGATCTTTGCAAAAAGAAAAGACTTTCAGTCGATAAAGTTACAGGATTTAGCAAGTTTTAAGCATATGTTCATGTGTAAGTATGTTTATTTCTCTTGGCAATTTAAACCACAACTTTTCTAGAGTCTTTTACCAAGTGTTTCATGATAACTATTATATTTTTCATGTGATCTATTAGAAATCATGGTTTTATAATATTAACTTAGAAAGTTTATTTCCTACGTTCTTGCGAGTGTTTGTTTACAAAAGTTTTGACGTCATAGCATAGATAAGTCTATAGACTAAATAGCGTTTTTGTATGTCTTCTAGGTAAAAAAAATACATTTTTTTTTCGTTGTGATAGAACAATTATTAACAATTTAAAACATAATAGGCTAGTTTACTCATGTCGAATTGTATTAAATAAATGTTTATTTCTTAAAGTATTTAGTCTAAGGAACCTTAATATATCGATTTCACTTTATAAAAGCAGAAGATTGCTGTAGAAATTTAATTTTAAAAAATATTTTTTAAACACTAAAAACGCTGTTCGCCACATCCGCCATGATTTTGACGTCTCTTGTGGTAAACAACTAAATGTCAACTGTAGGTGGATTCTTTCGTCTGACTAAATTTATCATAAAACACTTTTAACTTTTTTTTGACGTTTTTTTTGACAAAACTAATTATGGATGCCGGCTTTGTGAAAGCAGAAAGCACAAATCTGCCAAGAATTGACGCATTGATGGTTGGTGAATTTGTTGCACTAAACCCCGATTTCTGCTCTACGGAGCAGAGAAACGACAAGGCATCTATGTAAGTACAGTGCATTTAGTATTACAATATAGTAATAAACATAAAACTGATACAACATATGAATAAGTGTAATAAAGTTGCGTAGGTTAATTTCTTTCGGGACTTTAATCCACAACTTTCCTGGAGTCTTCAAGGATGTGTTTTTATATTCTCGTACAACACAATAATGATAATTACTTTATTTTTCGTGGTATTTATTAGAAATCATGTTTTTTTTATTATAAACTCAGTTAAAAGTAATTTTCTACGTGTTTACGAGTTTTTGTTTACCACACTTCACGTCATAGCATTGATAATCTATAGACTAAAATGGCCGACAGCGTTTTTGTATGTCCATGAAAAGTCTATTTTAAAATTAAAGATTTGTAGCTTTCTAGGTTTAAAAAAAATACAATACAATTTTTTTCAGACTAATAGAACATTAATTAACCATTTAAAACCTTTTTCCAAAAAGGGTCAACTAGCCTATTCCAAAAAGTGTCAACTAGCCCGTTTATCAACAGTTTATAAAAAAAATACAATACATTTTTTTTCGGTCTAATAGAACATTAATTAACCATTTAAAACCTTTTTCCAAAAAGGGTCAACTAGCCTATTCCAAAAAGTGTCAACTAGCCCGTTTATCAACAGTTTATCCTTGACATTCTCTATACAGAATGAAAAGGAGAGACTGATGTTAAATTAAGTTTTAAATTTAGAGAACCATCCAGAATCGGCACCCACCAGTGTCTGTGTCTGATGGTAAATGTTTACAACAGCATGGTAAATGCTTCCAATGCAGCGACTTCTCCAAGAACTCTTTGTTCTTTCTCCCGTTCTTAAACAAATTGTATAACAAAATACTCGTTTTATTCGGTTTCACCTAACTTCTTCATTTCACTCAGAAAAAATTACGTAGATCTACTTACTTTTCATATGCAAAATTTACCAATTCTACGTAATTTTCTCATCGGGCCTACACCTTTTTCAAAATCCGAGTTGGCAACACTGGTCTCACTGGTGTGTGACGTCACACGACTGTCATTAAAACGTCAAACCCTATAATCTAATGTCACTTTAACCGGAAGTTTACTTGTGTGTGACGTCATTTTAGGCTCCGCCAATCCCAAGCGTTTTGGGTCACGTGACAAAAGACAAGAAAACTATTATCTTTATCGTGGGTTTTTAGTAAAATTATGAATACTTTTTCCGTAAAAATAGTAAAAACTCCTTCCAATATTCATTCTAAATACAGATGCTAACAATTGGCACTTTATTTTCATACTATCAAATACCCTATTGTGTAAAATGTATCCGCCCAATGTATAGACATCGTATTGGTAATGGTATGACTTCGAATATTATAGATCGTTGCGAAAAATACCTATTTGTATAAAAAATGTTTTAAAGGATACCTACTGATACAAAATTATAATGATTCAAAGGTTCTAGGTAGTTTAAGCTTCTTGAATTGTAAAGTTTTATTTTTTTAAATGTCTGTCCATGTTAGGCCATATACCCATACATTGTGGGCCTTTAATAGGGCGATTGGGCCATAACATAATTCATCACGGGGACCCAGTGCGGATAGATGGGTGCTAACGACTGCAGATACAGTCAGGACTAGCGGCTTAACTTTATTTGAAACTAAAAGCCAGTTTCATCAAAATTGTGTAAGCTTTTATAAAAAAAGTCGCGTATGATGTGAAACATTTGAAACCTCACATAAAAGGAATAAGCCATTTGAACATTATAGCTATTAACGGGATTGTTTCCATGTACCTTGTTAAATAAAACTAGTTTTAACGGGTTAATGCACGAAACTTTATTTATTTATTGACGTGCCTTTTCAGGTCTGCTTCGTCAGAATGATTTTTTATTTAATTCATCATTCTGACAAAGCAGACCTGAAAAAGCTGCGAAACGTCAATAAATAAATAAAGTTTCGTGCATTAACCTGTTAAAACTAGTTTTATTTAATGAGTGATGTGCGTGAAAACCTAAGAAACAAAATTATGTACCTTGTTTTTTATGAGTCTCCGATATTTCGGCACTGTTGCAAGCGCCATGATCACGGAGTAACTGAAGTAATTGCGGGTAAATGTTATTGGCAGACATATCGGTCTACCCTCTGACGTCGTCTTTTACTGCGCTACCCCTACCACTGGTCACATTCTCACTATTCACTCGCACTTGTTCCCGACACACAATACTCACAGTATCAGATCGCGAAATATCGGAGACTCATACAAAACAAGGGACATGGTAACAATCCCTTTAATAGCTATGTTGTTAGTGACCATGAAAGTTTAACCCGGCGTCAGCACAGTCAAAATATGCATCAACGACAGTAGGGTTGGGTCGAGAGGACCCGTATAAGAAAACGCCATAATTACAAAAGTTAAAATAAATTTGGTTTGTGGTTGTACTATCTGTATAAAACGATTATCGTTATAGGTTTTGAGTAGAAAAAAACACAACATGATACGAAACTATCTTTTTAATGTTATTTTCATAAAAGTGTCACAAAATATTAACAAAATGGACAACCTCTGTCTTAAAGTAATAAAATTTTAACAAAACATACTTTTTTCTATAACATAAACTAATTTGTTACATGTTAATCAAATCTTTAGTAAACTAATAATATTATACTATTTGTATCAGTCTCATACGTCAGTCATCGCAATCTCGGCAGTACAACATTGCATGCTCACTGCAGATGTATTTGCATATACAGCTCCGAAAAGTATCACTTTTCTATCTTTTTTGGCATAACAGTCTTGGCATCTCTTTCTTACATAAAGTATCTTCACAGGTGGCTCCTCATCAGGTACTTACTCCTAAAAACTCTCTTATTCTTTTGCGCATAAGTCTTGGCAACTGAATGACATCTTTACGATTGCGCAAATGCTCACGAACCAGTATAAGGCTTAAGTTTCTTTAGAAATTGGCGTTATGTTATATGTACTCATTTATTTCAGACATATTTGCCAAAAATAACAAAATAAACAATATAAAACAACAATAAAACATTTTTTTAAACGGCGCAAAATTACGACACGAATAGTATGGTTGGGTCATATTTACCTTTTTCGTGTTTGGCCGTGTCTATCACTCGCTGCGGCCGCAACACGACTGATTGGCGAATCCCAAGTGGAGGGGGGACCATTAGCTCCAGCTACTGAGAAGTTTGGCAAAGTCGCACAAACATTTTAAGAAACACGCTCATTTGAAAACTGCTCGGGTCAAATAGACCCAACTGTGCGAACGCCGGGTTAAAACAATATATTTGAACGTTATGTTCTAAAATCGAGGAGCTCGATGGCGCAAGTGGTTAGCGCGTTCGGCTGCGATCGTTGAATTTAAGCAACTTTCGCAGTGGTCGGTCATTGGATGGGTGACCAAAAATCTTCTATCTCGAGTTCCTCCGTGCTTCGGAAGGCACGTTAAGCCGTTGGTCCCGGCTGCATCTGCAGTCGTTAGCATTGGGCCCGCGTGGTGGATCATGGCCATATCTCCCTATTCCATCCATAGGGAAGGCCTGTGCCCCAGCAGTGGGGACATTAATAGGCTGATGATGATGATGATCTTCTAAAATCAAATCAAATAGCGCGCGCGTCCCAAACTTCCTGTTACACAAAACAAAACTAATACATAATACAATAATTACATTTCACAGATAGCATCCATCAGAAAGTCTTCGCACGGTCCTCTAGAAGAAGTGAACTGGACAAAACTAATTAACTCCCTGAAGAATCTGTACCTAAAGTTAGACCGGGAGTATCCGTACTTGTTCGAGTACACTAGCTATGGAATGAATGAGGGTCAGAAGGTAGAATTGGACAATCAGTTAGTGGAAGCGAAGAAGTTTTGGTTCAGTACCAGGAGTATAGATAGACTGTTACGATTGAGGTGAGATTCATTCTTCTTAGAAACGTCAAATAAAATTAATGTCGGGACTCGAACCCTTCACTATCCTGGCGGAGGCACTGACAAATATGCTACCGCGGCCCTGGTGGCCGTGTATCTAGTATTTTTTATTTTTGGAAGGCAGCGCCTCAAATAAGAAATAACAAAAATACCTTTACAAGCAATTCCAGTTATATTTTCATTTTTGAAGTGAAACTTCTTTACGCACGCTTGACTTGGAGGGTGGGCTGTGAATGCGTTACGCGTTACGAAAAGTGTGTTCGGGCGAGGCGAACGGGAGTTGAGTGGAGGATATAAGCAAGAGAAGGCAGTGCGCGCGCACATTTTCTTTCTCTCTTTCTCTTATAGCTAGTGAATGAAATATGTATGTGTACATACATGTATATTATATTATACACATGTATGGAGCTAAAGAAGTTTCACTCCAGTCGTTTGGTCATAAGCACCCTCGTTTTTAAAAAAAAATGTGTGTGTCAGCTCCGACGCACGACTGGAGTTTACTCCTTAAGTTCGATAGTCTAACCAGACGCAAAAAGAGTTTATTTAACTTAAAAAAGATTGATACTGTATGAACGGGGTTTTGTTTTGCCTCTGTTTCTTTTAAACAAGATGGCTAATAAAGATTTTTCATTTCATTTCAATATATTTATTTATCTTTAACAAAGTTTCTACAGCGGTTTTTTGTGAAATTTAATACAATAAAATATAGATATTATCTTAAGACCAATTACAGAAACTCATTACGTACACATTAGATATTAACGGCGTTATTATATGTCAGTAATTATTACATTTAATTTAATTTAATTTTAAAAATTGCATAAGAATCATATAATTCATTAACATAAAAAAAAAATGGTTGCCTGTAAAGTCGGTTTTACGGGCGAAGATTTTACGTGACAACGTCTTTTTCTCGGTAGAATATTTATTGATATGAATATAATTAAATTGCACAATAGGAACAAGGAATTGAATGAAAATAAGAATTGCACAAATTTTAACTATAGAAATATATTTTGTTTACTAAAACATTGTACATGTAAACTTAAACTTAACACGAGAGACTCATCGTAACGTTACCGAGCGTTACACTTTTTCATAAGTGACTCCCAGCCGCAACCTAATTTAAGACGTTGTCACGTCAAAAATAAAATAAAATTAAGATTGGACAAAAAGACAAAAAAGATGAAAAACAAACACTGAATATCCATATAAAAGGGTTTTCAAGAGTTCGTCACATGATAACTTTATGAAGTGTGAGTGGGAGTGTGTGCGCGTATGTATGTGTGTTTGTGTGTGTGTGTGTGTGTGTGTGTGTGTGTGTGTCCATGCAGCTGCAATGCTATGCCTGGTACGAGATATAAGTATGTCGACACTGATATAAATAAACAAACCCAAAAACATATAGGTATAGTCGCTTTGCAGTATACCCTATGCACGTGTCCCTATACCCTACACTCACAACCAAATTAGAAAGTTGCGCGACATAGGATGCTCACCAAAAACGTAACGAGGTCATTCATCGATAGATTTCACTCCTCACATTTTTCTCATACCGGGCCCCTTATACAGGGCGTCCCACGGCGTCAAATTTCAGCCAATCGCATTGCAACTGTGAGTTCATAAAGGAAGCATACGTACTTCAGTTTGTATATCACTTTATTATTTTTATCACGTAATAAGACATTCCTTTCATTTAAAATGCTATGTAATAAACAAAAAATAATGCTTATTATTAACCCTTTCGATGGTTATAATAAAATACGTCGTGTTTTTTTTTCGAATTTTCACGAGTTTGATTCCCAGTTGTAGCAGGCGATTTTAAAAAAAACTGTGAGTGCAGTTCTAGATATTATCTATACTTATAATAAATCTGTAAAGATGTCAATTCTGTACATGAAATATATTTTTAAAATAACTATCAGGGGGTGATTAGTGATCGATACTGGTGCCAAAAATGCAATCAGTAAAATTTTTGTCTGTCTGTCTGTGTGTATGTTCCTTATAGAAACAAAAACTACTCAACGGATTTTCACGAAACTTGGTACAATTAGTATTCATACTCCTGGGCAGGTTATAGTATACTTTTCATCACGCTACAATCAATAGCAGCAGAGAAGTGAAGGGAAATGTTGGGAAAACGGGAGAAGTTACTCCATTTTTTAAGCTTCCGTCGCGGGTGCAGCCTTAATGGTTAAAGTTACATAGAAATCATGTATGACGAAAATATTCTACATAAAATTGTCTAAAAAATATCCCGCAACAGCATATGTCTATCTTTTATGGTTGACTCACAATAACACGTGTAATTATATAAATAAAGTCATTCTTTATAGCACAAGCCTGAGAACAAAAACTATAGTTTTCACTACTGCTCTACACCGAAGCGAAGCGAGGGCTGGCCACTAGTTAAAAATAAAATGATGTCTTCTTTCAGTAAAATATCCTATCTTCAATATTTAATATACTTTCCCTCCGTGTGAGGTTGCCGTGGGACGCCCTGTATATACAAATCGATTCTTAAGGAGTAAACTCCAAAAACTAAGTTATAATAAATGTTTCCGTTGTACCACCTGTAGCGTGAAGCTGGTATTCCGTCTCCTGGACCTGGTGGACAGTCCTGCCTTCAACCTGTCGATAGAGGGCTGGTTGAGGAGCAAGTTTTACCTCACAGCTGTCAGGGGGCATCTTAATGCTGTTCACTCCATCATATCTCTACTGTCAGGTATTTAAGCTTATTTATTATTATCACACTATGATTTTAAGACCAAGGTAAAAGAGAGAAGCTAAATGATCGTAATGCATGGACATAGTGTTTCTTATAATTTGATATTAAATGGGTATTACTCATTTTTCATAACAGTAATATTGTACCTATCTAATGCCGCTTCCTATATACTACTTAAAATGTTAACTATAAAATTAATTGTAACTACATATTTATATTCTAGATGATGTAATGGAAAGTGACACCAGACGTATTTCTGAAGTAATTTTTCAACTTGACGACACTGTTTCTAACAATACAGGGAGAAAAAAACAGCCCTTGCTGAGTTTCTTGCCGGTTCTTCTCAGTACAAGCTCTCCCGCCGTAGTTTTGCGAACCCATGGCGTAGCTTCTTGACCTTCACAAGTGCTTGTAACAGCCTAGACTGAATAAATGACATTTCATTTCATTTCATTTCAGAGAGAACATATACTACTTTAAAATATAGATGAAATTATTACAACACACACAATATTTCACATATACACACAAACACATACACACTCACACACACATACACACACACATTAATCATTAAGGTTTTTGTAATCATCCCGTGTCTCGAATCGAACCACTGCCTTTCATAATACAAGTCTTGCCTAGCATGAAAGTCACCCCTGACTTTATAAGACTACTAGCTGACCCAGCGAACTTCGTACCGCCCTAAAAAATAGGGGTTGTCCAGCGGACAAAATTGTGAATCTAAACCATTCTCAGATCCCCTTGAACACACACAAAAAATTTCATCAAAATCGGTGCAGTCGTTTAAGAGAAGTTCAGTGACATACACACTCACAGAAGAATTATATATATAAAGATAAGATAGCAAACGATTCCTAGTTTATTTTAAGATGATAGTGGTGTCAATTCTGGCGTGATTCTCTAAACTTAAAACTAAATTTAACATCAGTCTCACCTTGTCATTCTGCATAGAGAATGACAAGGATGCACTGTTGTCAAATTTAAGTTTAGCTTTAGAGAATCATGCCAGAATCGACATCATTGTAGTAGTACTTGTAAGGTTTGATGAATAAACATTATTATTATTATTACTATAAATGTCCCACAGCTGGGACACAGGCCTCCCCTATCAAAATCAAAAATCTTTGGCGGCCTGCGTGGCCGAGTGGTTTGTACCCTGGGTTTCAAGGTGTGGATACCCGAGAGGTCCCGGGTTCGAATTCCGGTGGAGGCAGTTGTTTGTGTGATGAATACGAGCATTCCTATTCCAATTAAGGATGTTTAGTATGTATTTCTATATAAATATACTCATATATGTATGTATCAGTGAGGAGCTCGATGGCGCAAGAGGTTAGCGCATTTGGCTGCGATCGTTGAACTTAAGCAACTTTCGCAGTGGTCGGTCATTGAATGGGTGACCAAAAATTACTATCTCAAGCTCTTCCGTGCTTCGGAAGGCACGTTAAGCCGTGGGTCCCGGCTGCATCTGCAGTCGTTAGCACCCACCAATCCGCACTGCACCCGCGTGGTGGGTCATGGCCCAATCTCCCTATTCCATCCATAAGGAAGGCCTGTGCCCCAGTAGTGCGGACATTAATGATAAAAAAAATTATACCCGGAAGCACATCAATCGGCCCATCTTTATATATATAATTCTTCTGTGAGTGTGTATGTCACTGAACTTCTCTTAAACGACTGGACCGATTTTGATGAAATTTTTTGTGTGTGTTCAAGGGGATCTGAGAATGGTTTAGATTCACAATTTTGTCCGCTGGACAACCCCTATTTTTTTAGGGCGGTACGTAGTTCGCTGGGTCAGCTAGTAGTGTTATAAGTTACAACGGTCTACAGCAAAAATATATGTTAACTAGCAAACCAGTGAACCAAATGTTCACCAAAACCTGATTAAAAAAAAAATGTATTTAATTAATTGAGAACTTCGGAGATTTTGTGTGGTTTCGTTTGAAATTCGTGATTTCTCGAAAACCGGAAGTGCTACGTTACTCAAATCCGGTTTGTAGTCTTATCAGACTATTCTTAACTTATAACTTAAACATTCTCTTTATCTATCTCTTACGGTTTGGCCGCTGAAACAGCACCACAGACGGACGGACGGACTTGTCTAATAGATAAGAGATGGTTGAACAATAGTTTAAAAAACACAAAAAAAAGTTGGTTTGTAAATCAGTTTTGAATTTATTCAATGTAACATTTACTTTTAGCTATAGAACTTAAAATGCTAAATGGGCCAGTAGATGTGTCCCGGAAGTGTATACTCATAATCAGGTACACACTGAAGGTGTACTCCGTAATATATACCAGTATACTGGACAGTGCTAATGACGTCGTGAATCGACGCTATACTGGTGAATTGTTCCGAAATATACAGGCCAGTACACTGACGTCATAAATCGACGAAATATTAAAAATAGTGCGAATAAAGAAGATTTTTTATTCACTACATCAATAGGGGTGATGACGGGGTACAGTAAACGAAATTCTATTTAGTCCGTCAGTTAGATGATCAAAAAATAATGGACACGTATTTTTTCTTTGGGCAATCAACCAGAAAATGACAAAGTTATAGCGCGTCAAAGTTTGGGAGTAGGGGCTCGTGACGTCACTTTTGAGTGAATTTTCACTTATAAGTGTACTCAAACGTGACGTCATGCGACTTTTCAAATGACGATATCTCTGCAATGTTTATATTATGTGAAAGAGAAAAAATACGTGTCCAATACTTTTTGATAATCTACCTGATAAACGAAGAAAAAAATATTAGTCATCATCCCTATTAAAAGGAATTGTCTTTGTTCGGATGCCATTATTATTCTTTAAATATAAAAGAAATAAAATTGGAATGCATCTCACGCACGCTCGGTCATACGTCATATTCGTTTTCCCGGTAAAAATATGGAAGCATACCACTACAATATGGCGTCAGATTCGTGACGTCATTACCACTGGCCAGTATCATCATCATCATCATCATCAGCCTATTAATGTCCCCACTGCTGGGGCACATGCCTTCCCTATGGATGGAGTAGGGAGATTGGGCCATGACCCACCACGCGGGCCCAGTGCGGATCGGTGGGTGCTAACGACTGCAGATGCAGCCGGGACCAACGGCTTAACGTGCCTTCCGAGATAGTAATTTTTGGTCACCCATCCAATGACCGACCACTGCGAAAGTTGCTTAAGTTCAACGATCGCAGCCGAACGCGCTAACCTCTTGCACCATCGAGCTTCTGGCCAGTATACTGATGTATATTTCGGAATACACCCTGAGTGTCTTTTTCAATGCGCTTTCCTACGGGCCTGCAGGAAGAAATTACAGATTGAAATAAGTTGTGACCTTATACCAGTATCTTACTTTATAATAACTATCTTTTTATAGTGTACAAAATATATAATCTATTTCTACATAAAATTATAAATAATAAAAGGACACCCGGCATTTTGTGCCAAAGTTGTATACTTTTTTAATTTTTTTATCTGTGTTTCATAATTGGGTAACGTAGTCTGGCAATATTTGTCATTAGCAGCTAGCTGTCAATGTCAAATACGTAGGTTTGTCATCAAAAGGGTTTCTATATGAGAAAATATTAATCATTAAATAACTTCTATCCACGATTCACTAAAAATAAGGCAAAAGTAGTTTTATGTAGCAAAAAAATTTGGCTTTATTTTGAGACCAAATTCAACCGTATACAAGTTTAGCATTTTTTCTATGAAAAGTGCCGGGTCTCCTTTGTGTCCTGATCTGCTTATCTCAATAAACGTCACTGTATCCCGTAGATGCCCAAGAAAGCCACTTACGAAGATTTTTACTTTGACTACACAGAACTAACCTTGGTCTTCATCACCCTCTGGCCAGAATCTGCAATACCTATAATGATATTAATACAAAATCACCCAACTTGGACATTTTTGACGTTTCGCAAAAAAAACTTTAAAGCAACATTGTTTGAGCTGCTCGATTCTCATTAAGTCCGCATTATTATTGTTATTATTATTATTTTTTGTATCAATTTGACATTACATTATTATTTTTTGCATCAATTTGACATACATTATTAATTTTAAATCAAAAATTGATTATTAATTGATTATTAATTCCATTTATTATTATTGATTATTAATTACATTGCACTCTTCTCAATTGAATGTTGTGTGTGCTTATAAAGGCTTGCATATATGTCTGAGATTAAGTATTATTTTAATTTTTTAATGTTTTTATATGTTTAGCTGTAAGTACACCTACTAAATTAAATAAATCATTAAATATAAATAAATTAATGAAATAAAAATAATTATTATTTTTTGCAGCGGCGTCCCGAAACGAGACATATGTTTCTGCGTTGCCTTCAGCGACATCCCGCGCTTTATATGCCCTCGCTCAGCACTCGCCGAATCTTCTAATAGACGCAGTCGACATCATACTGTCCAACCAATCTTACGTGAGTAAAGGACAATGGCGAACTCCCATACAATAGGGACGATGACTATTTTTTTTTTCTTCGTTTATCAGGTAGATTATCAAAAAGCATTGGACACGTATTTTTTCTTCTTTCACATAATATAAACATTGCAGAGATATATTGATTTGAAAAGTCGCATGACGTCACGTTTGAGTACACTTATAAGGGAAAATTCACTCAAGAGTGACGTCACGAGCCCCTACTCCCAAACTTTGACGCGCTATAACTTTAAATAAAACTAGTTTTTACGGGTTAATGCACGAAACTTTATTTATTTATTGACGTTTCGCAGCCTTTTCAGGTCTGCATCGTCAGAATAATGATTTTATTTAAAATTAAAAGGTAGCTCGACAATTTTAAATAAAATCATTATTCTGACGATGCAGACCTGAAAAGGCTGCGAAACGTCAATAAATAAATAAAGTTTCGTGCATTAACCCGTAAAAACTAGTTTTATTTAATGAGTGATGTGCGTGAAAACCTAAGAAGCGCTATAACTTTGTCATTTTTTGGTCGATTGCCCAAAGAAAAAATAAGTGTCCATTATTTTTTGATCATCTAACTGACGGACTAAATAGAATTTCGTTTACTGTAAACCCGTCATCATCCCTATTTTTTGTTGAAAAAATTTTTGCGTCTATAAATGAATTGCATGTTAAATTGTAGAGTTTAGATTCTCGATTTGATTCGTCTTATTTCTTGTATTATAGGAAGTCTGGATTTATAGATATTCTACTTTGAAGTTATGGAGGTTATGTCATACCAAGTAATACAAAAATGAATTATAAAAGTATAATAATAATCTGTTTTATAATTATTGCGAAATTCATTTGTAATATTAATTTTAAATAACAGAGTTTGTATGTTTGGCTGTTTGTTTGTTTGTTACTCAATCACACAAAAACTACTCGACGGATTTGGATGAAATTTTGTACATATGTATATAGTTTATGACCTGAATTGAGACTTAGGATATTTTATATCCCGAAAAAATGTTAGGCCACTAGTTATATATATCTTAAAGAATCCTTATTTCCAATGTGAAGACATGGCACTGCCTTACAGCCTAAGAAATACTTGAGAAAACTCGAAACGGCTATTAAAATTAAGTAAAATTTTCTTTAGATTTAGACATCTAGCAGTTAAATGCTTAAAAAAATATGCTTATTTCTATTAGTCAAGCCATAACTTGAGCAGAACTATGGGGATTTAATCTTTTCTAAAGTTTTTTAAGTAAATCGTAGTATCCTACCCGATAAAGATACAAAAGAATCCTAAATATATCAGATTAGAATGTAATTTCTCCAGTACACTTGGTCGTTAGCCCGAATTCGGGCACCCGAAGCAATATTTAAACTTTAACACGGGCTGGAAGACGGTGACAGGTAAATAAAACTTTTTCATAAATCTTGCATTAGAACTACCCGGTTTCGGTAGCGTTGTGAAGTATCTGAGTATTTATGTGTGCCTGTATATTAAAATTACTCTTATCGTATTGCATTTTCTGTTACCCCCCCCCCCCCCCTTTCGTCATCTTCTTGTTTAATTATCAGGAAAACTTTTGTCTTGTGTTTCGCACAACCTCTCTTGCTCGCATACCTTATTTTATTTCCAGCTCATTGGGTTGTCTGGAAGAAATCGCTCATTAGCGATAAGACCGGCCTTTGTGCAGTATTGTATATTTTTACTTGTTTTGTATCTGCTTGTTTTGTTACTGTGTTGTGCAATAAAGAGTTTTTAACTTATCTTTTATCTTAAAACAAAACTACCCGAATACATACATACTCGACTGCATTCATATGCACTAAGTCGTTTACTCGAATTCCATTGGCACTCATATTCGGGCTAACGACCGAATAGAATCGCGTCTAGTCAAATTTAATTATTATCTTCACTGTTTCACTACACTTGCATGAGAAAAAAAAATGGATCGGTAATCGTTTTCAAGTCCATGGCTCCCAGTTTTACAAGGTTTGCATGTATTTACCACCAGGTGGAGCCCATATTGTCCAGAATAAACTCCGACACCCCCTGGCCTTGTGGCAGCAGTTTAACAGACTTTCTACCACTTACTCCACACTCGGAGGAAGCAGTGAAGGCTTCGGAAACTATCCTGTGCATGGATGACGACTATCAAAGACAATGGACTGACTTTATCAAGGACAAGAACCTCAACTTCTATGTAAGTTCTTAATCATAAGTCTCTCAATGTACCCACTGCTGGGGCACATGCCTTCCGTATGGATGATGGGATAGAGATGTTAGGCCATGACCCACCACGCAGGTCAACTGCGAGATGGTGGGTATAGTTGCAAAAATTCAGTTGCGCCTAACGTGCCCTCCGAAGGTGTTGTACTTCCTGGCAAGACCATAGATCATCATCATCATCAGCATCAGCCTATTAATATCCCCACTGCTGGGGCACAGACTTTCCCTATGGATGGATTAGGGAGATTGGGCCATGACCCACCACGCGGGCCCAGTGCGGGTTGGTGGGTGCTAACGACTGCAGACGCAACCGGGACCAACGGCTTAACGTGCCTTCCGAAGCACGGAGGAGATCGAGATAGTAAATTTTTGGTCATCCATCCAATGACCGACCACTGCGAAAGTTGCTCAACTTCAACGACCGCAACCGAACGCGCTGACCACTGGCGCCATCGAGCTCCTCTAGACCATAGATGTTTTTCTAATATCTTTAGATGGTCAAAAATTTACAAGATTTTGTACTATTACTTACCACTGTTTTGAAAATTTCTACCAATTAGATCCAGGAGATACGATGGTCGTGCTGAGAAGAATACTTCCTAGCACGACCACACAGAAACCCATGTTATTAATAAATTTCAAAATGGTATGAAATAGCTTAGTAAAATTTATCTTTTTCTGGCACCTATTTTCGAATTTCCTCTAGAGCTTAGAAATATGACTGTCATGCTAGAAAGAATAATTTCCTAGCCCGACTCTAGAAATTTTGAAACGATTAACGACCTCCGTGGCCGAGTGGTTTGTACGCCGGGTTTCATGGTGTCGCCGACTCGAGAGGTCCCGGGTTCGAATCCCGGTGGGGGCAGATGTTTGTGTGATAAATACGAGCATTTGTACTCCAGTCATGGATGTTTAATATGTATTTCTATATAAATATACTTATATATGTATTCTATCCGTTACCCTAGCATCCCATAACACAAGCCTTACAGTGCTTACTTTGGGGCTAGGCTAATTGGTGTGAGTGTTGGAAATATATATTTATTATTATTTATTATATAAAATAATTGCGAATACATAATATTATTTACTCCATATGGATCTTAGAGCTACGAATGTCGTACTGGAAATAATGACTTCCTTAATAATGACTTCGACCTCGCCGAAACTTGTGTTATTTTGGAGCTTTTTAAAATGGTATAAAGTAGATTAGAATCTCTTATCTATTAGACAAGTCCGTCCGTCCGTCCGTCCGTCTGTCTGTAGTGCTGTTTCAGCGGCCAAACCGTAAGAGTTAGATAAAGATAATGTTTAAGTTATAAGTTAAGAATAGTCTGATAAGACTACAAACCGGATTTGAGTAACGTAGCACTTCCGGTTTTCGAGAAATCACGAATTTCAAACGAAACCACACAAAATCTCCGAAGTTCTCAATTAATTAAATACATTTTTTTTTAAATCAGGTTTTGGTGAACATTTGGTTCACTGGTTTGCTAGTACATACTATTTTCTACTTTTGAAACAAACGTAAATTCCAGAATACAAGCGGTTGGAACACCACAGCTTACGAACCCCATTTGTTCCTGAAATTCTCTGGAGCCTTCGATTCGTTGGTAGAAGACATAAGTTTAATCAGGAATATGGTGAGAGAATTGCTGGACACCAGGAAGGAAAAGACAGGTGTAACTCTAGCAGATGCTTGGAGTTACGCTGCCGATGTGTTCGAAGGAAAAGACAGGAATATGACGTTGAGGTGAGCCGTAAACAAACATTGTGCCTATGCTTTGTCTTATAGCTATTAACGGGATTGTTACCATGTACCTTGTTTTTTATGAGTCTCCGATGAAAAAGTGTCGTTCCGCGATCTGATACTGTGAGTATTGTGTGTCGGGAATAAGTTCGAGTGAATAGTGAGAATGTGAACAGTGGTAGGGGTATCGAGCGCAGTAAAGACACGGTAATAATATCATACAATATTCTGTCTTCATACAAACGGTCGGAAAGCGAGTCATACCTACGCCACTCGAGTTCGATGTGCTCTCGGCGGGCACCCAGTCGCGAATGCGCCGCCGCGCCGCAACAAGCGCCGTGCTTAAACGTGCGTTTTGTATTGTAAATATTTGATTTAATTAAGTAGATACCTACATAATTTAGTATGGAAAAGAACAAACGACGATCAATAACAATTGCTGTTTTTGGTTGCTTGAACTCTTCAATAACACACCCAGAGATATCATTTTTTAAATTACCTGAAATATTGGAAAGTTGTCTTACCTATAAAGAATATTTTTTATATACCTATCTACTAGTACGTTATTTGTTTCTAATATTTAGGTATTTCGGTTTTTCCATCGGGCAAAATATCTGGAATAATATATAAATAAGTGGTTAGGATGAAAAAAGAGACAAACGAGTAATTTACCTACACTCGCGTTAAAAACAAAACTACATAAAATACTGTAGGCTGGCGGCCCTACCGCGTGCCTACGCAGCGCTCGGTGTAGGCATTTATTTTCAAGGACAGGGCGGAGTCACAATACTGTATAGATAATATTACCGTGGTAAAGACGACGTCAGAGGGTAGACCGATATGTCTGCCAATAACATGTACCCGCACTAACTTCAGTTACTCCGTGATCATGGCGCTTGCAACAGTGCCGAAATATCGGAGACTCATAAAAAAACAAGGTACATGGTAACAATCTCGTTAATAGCTATAATGTTAGTGACCATGAAAGTTTAAAACAATACATGCTTTGTCTGTCTGTTATGCCGCAATTACATAAGATCGTTAGCCCTTATTCAGGTGCACGAAAGACATTACTCGAATTCGGGCACCCGAATCAATATTTACACTGGAATACCGGTTGGAACCTTAGATTAAAAGAAAAAGGGTAGATACGGTACGCTCATACTTGCATCAAACAAAAACTGATCCTACGGCAGCGCGAACGGGACGGCGAGATCCGCGTCACTGCACTACCGACCAATCACGCGACCAGTACTCGACGTCACTACCGAATAAGATTCAAAACAAACAGCATTTTCTATGAAAAATTATATTTTATAGTACTTACGAATGAAAAGTGATGCCGTGGGTTTTATTTTTAGTTCTTGAGCAATTTGAGCAGTTTTTAAAAACATACTTAGGCATTGTTTTATCATATAAACACAAAATAGCAGTATTTATTTTTGGCGTTCACATGTACGTCGTTTGCATGTCAAGTTGTGACTATAGCGATTAGGGTCGTGGACCACAATTTGTGCGGATCACTTTTGTGATGCTAGTGCCGTATCTACCCTTTTTGTTTTAATCTAAGGTTGGAACACGGTGTCGGATAAACAAAAGGAAATCTTCCCGAATACGGGCGTACTCGACTCCGTTCATTTACACGTAGTCGTTTACCCGAATTCCATTGGCACTCATATTTGGACTACCGACCAGGTGTAATCGCGCAATAAGCTTGCGATGATCTCAAAAATTGCTAAATATGTAACATATCTATACTAATATTATAAAGCTGCAGAGTTTGTTTGTTTGTTTATTTGAACGCGCTAACCTCTGGAACTCCATTTATCGAGGAAGGCTATAGGTTATATTTATTTATTTTCAAATTAGGGATCCGTAATAAAATTGCTATTTTGTAACACAAGGTGTAAAATCAAAAACCTATTTTTGCGTGCGCTGCAAAAACTATTGACGATAGAACAAAATGATGTACTACGGGTTTGTAGATCCCATTAAGACCTACAAAAAAATCCGCGAGAACATATATCTAGCTATCATGGTGTAATCACAATAACCGATTTTGTGTTCAAAATAATTATTAAATCGTCTGAAGAAAAAAAACTACGTTAAATATGTATCGTAATATTAATCTTTATCGAAATTAAGCATTATGTTATCAAGAGTATTTATGTAGAAGTAAAATACTTTTTGTTTCATCTCAATCGGATATTTCGTTTAAAAGTTATCACGTGTGTAAGATGTTAAGAGTTGGTACCTATTAATGAGTTATTGGCCATAGAGTTTTTTATCAACATAAAATCCTGTAATAATCTTTTTCGAAATATATTTGTTGATGATTGTAATTATAAGATCTTTGAAGAGTATAATAAATACATTTCTAAAATAACTCTGCTAAGGAAATCCACGCGCGCTTGATGCAGGCTATAAATATAGGCAATATTTTATCTCGGTTTTTCCACGGAAACGAGAAAAACGCGGGTGAAACCGCGGGGCACGGCTAGTAAGAATATAAGTCGGAGAATAAAAAAAAATTGAACTCTCTATTGTACATTGAAGAGTCTGCGGTATATATTTTATCGAAATTGTTTATTTATTTTTGGTTACATGGATGGCCAACAGTTTTATCGTAACAATAAAAAGGCACAAAGAGCCAATCACATGTCCTTAAATTCAAAAATAAGTTAAATCCTAAAAATTTACCTACATAGGTCTAAAGATTATTTTACTAGAATGAATATGAATTTATGCTAGTTGCTTAATATTTATAAATGTAGCAGTTTAATGTTTACCTAGAAAGAGGCCGTAGTTAAGCGAGGGAGGGGCATTTTGGGGCAATGGCAAGGTGACTTCAGACGTATCTCTGAAGTCATTTTTCAACTTGACGACTCTGTATATAACAATACAGGGGAAAAAACAGCCCTTGCTGAGTTTCTTGCCGGTTCTTCTCAGTACAAGGTCTCCCGCCGTAGTTTTGCGAACCGATGGCGTAGCTTCTTGACCTTCACAAGTGCTTGTAGCAGCCTAGACTGAATAAATGACTTTTCATTTCATTTCAATGGCCTACCTTAAAATACTATTGCCCTACATTGCCCCCTTGGGGCACGCCCCTGCGTATGCCCTACCTCTAATAACCTGCCCTATTTTACCTGAACTGGAATTATATTTTCGTCCAGATCTCTACTCGCGAACATTGACGCTATCCTGACCGGGGTATCTTCTACCACCATCAACGTGTCTTTAAGCGAAGTGTGGACTCGAGTGGGAAACTGTTCCACCATCACAGGGAATTCCTGCAGGAACTCCTGGCGAGACGCATGGAAGTATTCCCTGGAAGCAGCGTCTTCAGTCCTGGATGATATAGCTGGAGAGCTGCTGACATACTTCACTGAGGTCAATGGTGAGTGTCATCTATGCCTCTATCATAGGATCTTATTGGTAAAATATCTGGAAATATTCCTTGGAAGCTCTGCGTCTTCAATCCTGGATGATATGGCTGGAGAACTGCTTACATACTTCACTGGGATCAATGGTGGGTATTATCTTTTTCTCTATCATGGGATCCTGTTGGTATGATGTCTGGAAGTATTCCCTGAAAACTGGGTCTTCAGTCCTGGATGATATAGCTGGAGAAATGCTGACATAATTCACTGAGGTCAATGGTGAGTCTCATCTACTCCTTCATCATAGGATTCTGTTGGTATGATGTCTGGAAGTATTCCCTGAAGACTGCTTCTTCAGTCCTGGATGATATAGCTGGAGAAATGCTGACATAATTCACTAAGGTCAATGGTGAGTCTCATCTACTGCTACATCATAGGATCCTGTTGGTATGATGTCTGGAAGTATTCCCTGAAAACTGCATCTTCAATCCTTGATGATATAGCTAGAGAAATGCGGACATAATTCACTGAGGTCAATGATGAGTCTCATCTATTCCTTCATCATAGGATCCTGATGGTATAACGTCTGGAAATATTCCCTGAAGACTGCTTCTTCAGTCCTGGATGATATAGCTGGAGAAATGCTGACATAATTCACTAAGGTCAATGGTGAGTCTCATCTACTGCTACATCATAGGATCCTGTTGGTATGATGTCTGGAAGTATTCCCTGAAAACTGCATCTTCAATCCTTGATGATATAGCTAGAGAAATGCGGACATAATTCACTGAGGTCAATGATGAGTCTCATCTATTCCTTCATCATAGGATCCTGATGGTATAACGTCTGGAAATATTCCCTGGAAGCTGCGTCTTCAGTCATGGATGATATAGTTGGAGAACTGCTTACATACTTCACTGGGATCAATGGTGGGTATTATCTTTTCCTCTATTATAGGATCCTGTTGGTATGATGTCTGAAAGTATTCCCTGAAAACTGCATCTTCAATCCTTGATGATATAGCTAGAGAACTGCTTACATACTTCACTGGGATCAATGGTGGGTATTATCTTTTCCTCTATTTTAGGATCTTAATGGTATAATATCTGGAAATATTCTCTGGAAGCTGCGTCTTCAGTCATGGATGTTATAGTTTGAGAACTGCTGACATAATTCACTGAGAGCTATGGTAGGTGATATTTATCCCTCTATCTAGAATCCTGTTAGTTTAATGTCTAGCAGCTGCGTCTTTATTCCTGGATCATATGGTTGTAGAACTACTACTGCATTCCAAACCTTTAAAGGAAAATTCTCAAAAAAATTACACCGTTCATTTTACTATTTCTACATTTATTCATTTAATTCTAGACAGAAATCCACAACATTTTCTTAATATAATACAGGTTTTACAATATAGTTTATCTTAATGCCAATAACGGATTTTCATTTTTTAGTTATATCATGAAAGTTTAGGACACCCTCTATCAAACAAGGGCCAGGTGTGTGCAAGGCGCGCACGCCATTATACATGTGTGTGTGTATCTATGTGTGTATATATACATGCATATACAGGGTGTGACAAAAGTCCGAAATAAAACTTTAGGGTTTGGTTGTGTTCCTTGTATAGAATTACCTACGAAAGTTTGACGCCTTTCAGACCACTTTTATTTTCTAATTAAATTAATAAAAATATCGTTTTACACCTGCCTATGACAACCCTATAAATGCGTACGATTACTACTAACTAAACAGACCCCCCTCTCACCCCCAGGCGCCCCTGCACCCCGCTCAGATATCTAATTTCGGAATACATACCTACAAATATTATTTCGGAATTCTGTAATACCCTGTATATTACCCATGTACCAACAGCCCTAAAAGTTGATTATTAAAAAGATATTTTTACTTTTGCTAGCAATTATGTCAACAGCTGCGAAATTTTTATTTTAAGTACTTTGCGATTGAAAAACAACATATTTATACATATTAGATTTAAACATCAAGCAGTTACATGCTTTAAAAATAATAAAAATTATAACAACATATTTTCCAAATTGTATAAGTTTCATGCAAACTTATAATTCGGCTGCGATCTTTGAAGTTAAGCAACTTTCGCAGTGGTCGGTCATTGGCTAGTGACCAAATATCTTCCATCTCGAGCTCCTCCGTGCTTCGTAAGGCACCTCAAACCGCTGGTCCCGGCTGGGTCATGGCCCGATCTCCCTATTCCATCCATAAGGAATACCTGTGCCCCAGCAGTGGGGACATTAATAGGCTGGTGATGTGATGCTTACACTATATTTATCTACAGAGCCAAACGTCACCGTTCTACGATTGCTGGGCTTCACCACACACACGGGGCTATACAAGTTGTACGACCAGTTGCCTGAATTTCTAGGCACGCTGCTCAACTCCTTCTGGGACTACGGGTTCATGACTCAGGTGAGATATTTGGATTAATGTTGACAAATTTACATCATGAATATTGTTCGTTATATCAAACACATTTAGGTTAATTTGATAGATATATTTTCAGTTTTGGTTAACCAAATGTTGGCGTAATAAAGTTGATAATTATAGAGCACTTTTAATCTCGTCTTTTTTGACCCAAATATCCTTAACTACAAACATCTAGAAGTTAAATGCTTAAAAAATAAAATATAATGAAATGTAATGAAAAGTCATTTATTCAGTCTAGGCTGTTACAAGCACTTGTGAAGGTCAAGAAGCTACGCCATCAGTTCGCAAAACTACGGCGGGAGACCTTGTACTGAGAAGAACCGGCAAGAAACTCAGCAAGGGCTGCTTTTTTCTCACTGTATTGTTATATACAGAGTCGTCAAGTTGAAAAATGACTTCAGAGATACGTCTGAAGTCACCTTCCATTACATCATTTAGAATATAAATATATATAGTTACAATAAATTTTATAGTTAACATTATATTTAGTCTATAGGAAGAGGCATTAGATAGTACAATATTACTGTTATGAAAAATTACTAATGCCCATTTAATAACAAATTATAAGAAACACTATGTCCATGCATTACGATCATTTAGATAATCATCAACTTTATAATAGCCCTTATTCATAAGAGTATTTTTGATCTGAGATTTAAATTTAGTCAGTGGAAGCTCAATCAGATCTTGGGGAACTTTATTAAACAATGCAATACTACAACCCAGAAATGAACCTCTTGATTTTTGGAGTCTGAAACATGGAACGGCAAGCTTGTTCTTAAATCTCGTGTTAAAGTTATGGGTTTGACTTTTTTTTTGCAAATTCATAATTTTTTTTCTTACATATATTAAATTTTCATAAATGTAAATGATAAAAGGTTGCCTACCCTGACCCCCTTATCTAAAAACTTGAATCTTATTTCAAGTTGACGACCTCCGAGGCCGAGTGGTTGTACCCCGGATTTCATAGTGTCGCCGACTCGAGAGGTCCCGGGTTCGAATCCCGGTGAGGGCAGATGTTTGTGTGATGAATACGAGCATTTGTACTCCAGTCATGGATGTTTTAATATGTATTTCTATATAAATACTAGCTGACCCAGCGAACTTCGTACCGCCATTTATGGTTGTATGTCTTTTTTAATGCTACATTATAAAAAAAATAGTCCAAAAAATAAATAAGAAAAATGGGTGCGTGTACTTATGTAGGCGCGTGAGAAGTTATCCTTCTTTGGCATCGTTTAAAATTAGTTTTTAATTGCATGCAAATAATTAATTACAATAAATTAATAAAAAGTCTGGAAAAGGACACAGTCAATAAAGTTCAGTTTTAATTTGAAAAAATAAATAAATAATCAAAATATTCAATTAAAATCGCTACTGAATATAATTTATTAGAACATATACCAACATACATACCAACTTCATGCTGTTACTTTTGTGTTACAGTGATGCGCGCGCATCTTAAAATTTCACTCTCATCATTTTTTCATAACGCGCCTAAAGAAGTATAACTTCAAAATTGTTAGGGGTGGACAACCCTTATCACTTAGGGGTGTGAAAAATAGATAGTACCCGGTTCTCAAGACCTAATGAATATGTATATACAATTTCATAAAAATCGGTCAAGCCATTTCGGAGGAGTATGGTAACTAACATTGTGACACGAGAATTTTATATATAAGATACTTATATGTACAGTATATGTATTCTGTCCTTTAACCTAGTATGCTATAACACAATCTTACAGTGCTTACTTTGGGGCTAGGCTAATTGGTTTGAGAGTTGGAAAAAATATTTATTTATTTCACTCTAGCATTCTGCAAGGTGCACTTTACTTCCTCACACGATAACTCTGCAATATCCTCTCCCATTCGCCGGTCCAGATTCGTCGCGCGTCATCCACCCAGTTCTGGGAATGTGAGGCCGTAGTCCAGGCACTGGTGGTTCCTGTGGGCAGCAGTATATCAGCAGACACTATGGTGGCTGTGCAGCCGTTCCTATGCCCCTCGCTGCTGTACTGGATCTCGATGCCGAGGGACGCCAATACTTTCCTGAACATTATAGCTAAACCGGTGAGCTGACAGAACTTACAGAAAAATATACTTTATGGTATACGATTTAAAAAGTAAATGAGAGAATACTGCGCTTAAAAATAAGATAATTTCAATATCTCTTATCTATTAGACAAGTCCGTCCGTCCGTCTGTGGTGCTGTTTCAGCGGCCAAACCGTAAGAGACAGATAAAGAGAATATTTAAGTTATAAGTTAAGAATAGTCTGATAAGACTACAAACCAGATTTGAGTAACGTAGCACTTCCGGTTTTCGAGAAATCACGAATTTCAAACGAAACCACACAAAATCTCCGAAGTTCTCAATTAATTAAATACATTTTTTTTTTAAATTGTTACCATGTACCTTGTTTTTTATGAGTCTCCGATATTTCGGCACTGTTGCAAGCGCCATGATCACGGAGTAACTGAAGTGATTGAGGGTAGATGTTATTGGCAGACATATCGGTCTACCCTCTGACGTCGTCTTTTACTGCGCTCGATACCCCTACCACTGGTCACATTCTCACTATTCACTCTATAATGTTAGTGACCATGAAAGTTTGAAACAATTTAAAGATAATTTCAATTTTTAATAGAAATTGTATTGCTCAAATTAAATAGGTATTGAACAAGGGGATCGTTTGATTGTAAATAATTTCGAATTTACAACCGATTAATGAAACTTTTAGTCAAGGAAGGGTTGGAGTGTGAATTCATTCAAATATAAATTTCAAGTACACAAATATTTCAAAACAATCCTATTCTTAAAATTTTCCTCATAAATAGGTACCTATTGTATACAGGGTGTCCCACGGCTACCTAACACGGAGGGATAGTTTTATTAAATATTGAAGATAGGATATTGTACTGAAAGAAGACATTGTTTTATGTATGTATGATATTTAGCAAAAAATAATCCTTATGATTAACCCTTTCCATGGTTATCATAAAATATGTTGTGTTTATTTTTTGAAATTTCACGAGTTTGATTCCCAGTTGCAGCAGGCAATTTGGAAGTAAATCGTAAATGCAGTTCTAGTTTTTATTAAAAATCAAATGATGTTTCCTTTCAGTAAAATATCGCCTCTTCAATATTGAATATACTTTCCCTCCGTGTGAGGTAGCCGTGGGACGCCCTGTATATGAATACAGGGACGCCTTTTAACAGTTCAATAATATGTACCGTTGTTCCTACCGCTTACAACAAATTTCATGACATTACCGTTTAAATTCAGCATAATGTAAGCAAAATTTATAGTTAATTTCAAAATGTTTGTTTCAGCAATACACATTTTATAATATGGATGTACAAAATTTAACGAGTCGTTTCGAAAATGCATTTATTAAGGCTACTGAACTCAGTTTACTTCTAAAATATATTAGTAATAAGAACGACACCGTCAAGCAAGACGATACTAGTATTGACACATTGCAAAATAGACTTAAAGAAGCAGTAGATAGCGTACTTAATTATAAAATAAACGAAAGTGATCCATCTTATCGTTTGTTTAACGAAATCAATAAGAAACAATTCATAGCAGCTACATATTTGACTAGAATAACTGCAATTGTGAACAAACTAGCTGTAGCTATTGAAAGTCTAAGTCCTGAAGATATTAAGACTGATTTTAGTGAAGATGAGGTTAAGAAATTAACAAGTGAAATATCGACTATAAGTAGAATATTTAAGAGAAGGCCTCATGAAGCTATTGCCTTTCATTTCGATGTACTTACTGATGTATTATCAACGAACAGTGATAGTTTTAGTTTAGTGAAATCTTTAGAAGCAACATGTGATGATATAAAGAATAATGACACTAGCAAAGATATTCTTAATGAAAGCCAAAGAACTAAAAACCAAATATGTGGTAAGGAATACAAATTCATATACGGTGCCGTGGAAAATGTTATAACTGATGATTACGACAATGCGAGGAATACTTTACTGAATATGATTAATTTGCTACGAGACGCAGATGACAATTCGACGGATATTCTAACATTTTTCAAAGACAGGTATGTTGGTACCATGTTACACTATATAACCGAAAAATTCGCAGGAAAACAGATTGTTTGATCTAAGATTGTTAATAAAGGACCAGTTAAGAATTTTTACTTCTCTCGTGTTCCACAAATATTTTCCCTTGAAAACCATAAATACTTCGTCAAATAGGGTATTTGACAAGTTTTAGAAAACGATCTCACGTTATTGACTAATATTTATGGAGTACGTAAATGGATGGACATTCATCATTCTGTTGTGTATTTCAATAAAACTAACCAAATCAAAAACTCCATTTTCAAGTTGCCACGAAAACGTTTCTCTGGACAAAATGGCGTCTCACTAGTGTGTGACGTCACACGACTGTAATTAAAACGTCAAACGATACAATGCAATGTCACTTTAACCGGAAGTTTACTTGCGTGTGACGTCATTTTAGGCTCCGCCAATCCCAAGCGTTTTGGGTCACGTGACAATAGATAAGAAAACTATTATCTTTTTCGTGGATTTTTAGTAAAGTTATTAATATGTTTTCTGTAAAAATAATGAAAATGCCTGCCCATATTCACTCTTAACACAGATGCTAACAATTGGCACTTTATTTTTAATACTGTCAAATACCCTATTCTTGGAATTCGTGTTAAATGTTTCGATATTTTGTTTTTGTAACAGAACTGTAGAATTTTCATACTCAAAAAAAATACTTTTGTGAGCTACGCGAATACAAAATCAAACATTGATCTTGCAACGTCCTCATCGTACCTAAATTTTCCATGAGAATGAGAGTGCCTTTATTAACAACCATTTTTATAACTCAACATTTTAGAAAGAAACTCATAAATTCCCTGAGGAAATCGGTGAAGTACGCATACGATTTAGGCCTGCCTGTCTACCTAAAGTACCTACACAGTAATCTGCAGAGCTGCAGTGTAGTCCTAAGCTTCCTTTCTGGCGAAGACTGGTGGAGGGACCTAAGGACATTGTACAATGGACCTGGGATCAGTGAGTTCTTCGATGGTGTAGAGAGCAGTCTGGATATTGCCGTCGATGTATTAACGAGGTTGGATCAGATACAGGTTAGTAAAGATCAGTACCCTTAGCACGAACCAATATCGAATTCGAATAGTTTGCGAGTCCAAAATGTCGTTGTCAATTGTCAAATGTCAAAAAAAAAAAGTGAAGTATAAAGAAAAGTTTACTAGAAAAAAATCCACGAGGACCAGGCAACGGACGGGACTCGAACCCGCATCCTTCGCAATCCGAGCGAATGCACTGACCATTATGCTACCACGGCCCTATTAGCCGCGTCGAAATTTTCCTAGCGTTAAGCTGCAAGGCAGCGCCATCTCTTCGCATTGTAGGTAACCCACAATGTCAAACGAATACTTTTTCAAGTATTAAACATTTGAAAGAAGAAATAGCAATTATAGTTATGATTTTATTTATTTTTAAGCATTTAACTGCTAGATGTTTTAAATCTAGATTTAAAATTTAAAATTAAAAAAATTAGATTTAAAACATCTAGCAGTTAAATGCTTAAAAATAAATAACATCATAAGAAAGTATCTTACTTTGTGTGCGCGCGCGTGTATGTAAGTTATGTGTGTCTGTGTGTATGTGCATGTGTTTTGTTTTTTATTTTTTTGTTGAACTAGATAGGTTTTTATACATATAAAATATTATGACGAGAGCTGCTGCCGACAAACTGTTACACAGTTTGGCAGGTGTGTACATAGTGTTAACATGTGTAATATTGTGGAAAAAAAAATAAAAAAATGTATGGTAACATAGGTACTCTGTGTGTAGTAGAAATATACATTATGATTATTATTTATAATTGTACACATATTTAATTACGTACTCTTTCCTCTACAACTATTGTCTTAATAATAATCTTAAAAAATGTGTGCGTGTACTAGTGTACACACGTAAGAAGTGAAACTTCTTTATGGCCTTATTTTTTTCGAAAAACGATCTACATGCAACTTTCCAGAAATATATATATAGGCGTGCGCTAAGATTTTTCAAAAACTCACCCACTAAAGGGGTATAACTACACCTTACCTTACCTTACCTTACCTATTTATTATTATCGATATTTGCTGTCGATACTTTTTTTTTTAAATTTGACAGAAGAAGCAATTGTTCGGATGAGGTAAATAGTGCTCTTTTAAAAAAAAGATGGCGCGTAACCAAAAAACGTGACGCGTAACCGAAAAAAATGTGACGGTAAATTTTTTTCCAACGCAAAGAAGTTTCACTTCAAAAAATGTATGGAAACTTGAACAGCAGCGCCACAACAGACGTAACGAGAACTTAAAATCTGTGACAATGACATTTCTCACCCTGAAACTATTCAAATTCGATATTGGTTCGTACTAAGGGTACAGATTTGTTATTTTTTTTTTTTAAATAAAATAAAAAATAATAATTCCCAGATAATTAAACTCAGACATTTGTTTCTTAGGTTTTCACGCACATCACTCATTAAATAAAACTAGTATTTTTTTTCACGGGTTAATGCACGAAACTTTATTTATTTATTGACGTTTCGCAGCCTTTACAGGCTGCGTCATCGGAATCAATTTTTTATTTGAATTTTTTATCGAGGTACCTTTAATCTTCAATAAATAAAAAAAGTTTCATGCATTAATTAACCCGTGAAAAACTAGTTTTATTTATTAAACTCAGATTTTTCTTAATTATTGCTTGTTAATAATTCTCATATAAATAGCAAAGTTTTTCTGTGCAGTCTTTTTTATGTAAGTATGCGCATTTTGTTAGAAGAGTATTTATCGACAAAAACGAATTATGTTTCTCGATAAGCTTCTTTTAAATAGTCAGTACTGCAGTTTCTTTTTTCATTTCCACTTCTTATTTAAAAGATTCCACAATTAAATTTGGCGCACCAGACTCCAAATTCGACGTTCCCTGCATACATCTCTTTACTCAGTACAAACGATGCTCTCAAAAATAAGAACCTCAATAGGGATGATGACTAATTTTTTTTTCTTCGTTTATCAGGTACATTACCAAAAAGTATTGGACACGTATTTTTTTCTTTTCACACATAATATAAACATTGCAGAGATATATTGATTTGAAAAGTCGCATGACGTCACGTTTGAGTACACTTATAAGTGAAAATTCACTCAAAAGTGACGCCACGAGCCCCTACTCCCAAACTTTGACGCGCTATAACTTTGTCATTTTTTGGTTGATTGCCCAAAGAAAAAATACGTGTCCATTATTTTTTGATCGTCTAACTGACGGACTAAATAGAATTTCGTTTACTGTACCCCGTCATCACCCTTGTTGAGCTATTATATGTGTGTCATTAAAACATATTTTTATGCCCATTTCTCCGTATACAGATAGTCCGTCTACTACGCGATATTGGCTTGAACGACACGGCGTCGTTCTGTCAGCCTAACGTGTCGTTGTCCGACTACATTCCGGATGGCACCGGAGTGTTGTCCCGTCTGAAATTAGCCGCGTGTTCCACAGACAAAGAGGTGTTCAGGGAAATACCACCGCTGCTGTTCGCTTCACAGGTCAGAGATGTTTTCATACCATAGACAAGACATAGGGAATGAATTGACGGTTCCGATTTTAATAAGTAAGAAATAATATTTGTTTCTTTGGTTTCCACGCACATCACTCATTAAGTAAAACTAGTTTTACGGGTTAATGCACGAAGTTTATTTATTTATTGACGTTTCGTAGCCTTTTCAAGTATGCATCGACAAATTTTTTTTATTTACTTTGTGGAGCTACCTTCTATGTTAATAACATAAGAAGGAGATAGAAAGCCTCTCTTGAGTTTGTTTCGCCGGTTCTTCTCAGAAAGGTCTCCCAATTTTGGAACCGGTGGTAGTTTACGGTAGTTACAAATAAATAAACTCAAAATTACAAAAAAGAATTTTAAATAAAGTACTTTATTAACTAAATTAACTAATAAATTCATACATAGACAATAAAATTTTAAAAATCTTCCAATGAAATAACCGAACGCTCAATAAAAGTCTTTCGAAGGTAGCTCGACAAAGTAAATAAAAAAAAACATTATTCTGACGATGCAGACCTGAAAAGGCTGCGAAACGTCAATAAATAAATAAAGTTCGTGCCTTAACCCGTTAAAAGTAGCTTTATTTAAGTAAGAAATAAGTAAATAGCATCTAAGTTAGTTGATTTTCTCTCTTTCTAGAGAATCGACAACTTCATGGGAATAGCGCAGTTTAGTTGTATCACACTAATATTATAAAGGCGAAAGTTTGTGAGTATGTGAGTGTGTATGTTTGTTACTTCTTCACGTCTAAACGGCTGAAGCGATTTTAATAAAATTTGATATAGAGTTAGCTGACACCCTGGATTAAGACATAGGCTACGTTTACTGCGGGAAAATATCCCTATTAATACCGGAGAAAAGGACTTCATCATCTGTTAAGATTTAAGAGCTAAAGGACACCAGAGTACCGCACGGTGCCCAACCTAACTTCATCATCAGCCTATTAATGTCCCCACTGCTGGGGCACAGGACTTCGCCTTAGAAAGAAACTCAATTACGTAGATGAAATTAAAATACTGTAGGCAGTTAGCCTTACCGCGTGGATACGCTCCGCTCGGCCGTAGGCAGTTATTTCAAGGTCAGGGCCGAATCACAATACTGTATAGATAATATTACCGTGGTGAAGTAGAGGTTACTTCCTTTTTAACTTAACGGTCCGTCTCTGTGCCATCCATAGGGTAATCCCATGCACTACCGGATTTAAGGGAGGGCAACCGGGACGAAAGCCCCGGGGCCTCCTCAAACGGGGGGCCCCCACAATAGAGATTTCGGAAAAAAAATCTTTCAAATTCCAACCAGTAAACACTAGTAAACATCTTTTCCTTTGATATATTTTTTTTGCTCTTTTACCTTTACCTACAGCCAGGGCCGAATTTAAGGCAGGGCAGGTGGGGCTGTGGCCCAGAGGCCTCCACAACGGCTTAAGAAATAACAACATTTCGATGGGTCAACAAGCATGCAAATCCCAAATGGCCCGGCGCCTCCACAATCCTAAATCCGGCCCTGATCCTCATGCCTCAACAGTAGGGACATTTTAAGACTAATAATGAATGAAAAAAGAATGTTAATTGAGGAGCTGGCTAAAACGATATAATTACATAAAATAAAATTTTAGGAGCTATATAAAACTGAATGACATACCTACATTGAGCTTTTGGCGTGGTTTTGAATTTATAAATGTATTAACTTTAACACTATTGACCTCCGTGGCCGAGTGGTTTGTACGCCGGGTTTCATGGCTGTCGCCGACTCGAGAGGTCCCGGGTTCGAATCCCGGTGGGGGCAGATGTTTGTGTGATGAATACGAGCATTTGTACTCCAGTCATGGATGTTTAATATGTTTTTATATAAATATACTTATATATGTACAGTATATGTATTCTATCCGTTACCCTAGCATCCCATAACACAAGCCTTGTAGTGTTTACTTTGGGGCTAGGCTAATTGGTGTGAGTGTCGGAAATATTTATTTATTATTATTATTTATTTATTTATTATTTTAGGCAGTTTTGGTAGAAAATGCGTACAAATTCAACTTCCGCGTACCCAAAACTTCCGGACTGTAAAAGAAAAGATGGGTTGCACTCCGGGAGTGCCACCCGTGCACCGAGTGCAGAAGTGAAAACTTGAATATTAACGTTGTGCATTTTTGATATTTTAGAATGGTTATGGAATAATTTTGCACGAATTGCTTTAATTATCAGTATAAAAGTACTATCATGTATGTGGTAGAATACAATATTTATTTATTGCGCTATCGTACACAATCATGACAATTTATATTACATTAAAAAAGTTTATCTCTCAGAAAAATCAACTTACATGAATCACGTTTAAGCGCACTTAGCTACATCTATTGTAAAGAAATCAACTTACATAAATCACATTTAAGCGCACCTAGCGACATCTATTGTAAAAAAATGCAGTTTCTTCGCAATAAAGCTGCCACGTGGACATCCTAGATAGAAACTTATTATTATAATACGATAAAATAAAATATTACTATGTTTCGTCCAATATATTATAAGTCAACAACAATTCCAATTTTATTGTGTGTAATGATGCGATCAGCCCCCGTGTTTAACCTGACGCGAGTTTAACATTTATTACCCATACAAAAAAAAGCGTACAACGCCGCTAAAGAAGTTTTCACTTCAAAAAGTATTTTGATCATAATATGCATAATTATGAGGAGCTCGATGGCGCAAGTGGTTAGCGCGTTCCGCAGCGATCGTTGAATTTAAGCAACTTTCGCAGTGGTCGGTCATTGGATGGGTGACCGAAAATTTACTATCTCGAGCTCCTCCGTGCTTCGGAAGGCACGTTAAGCCGTTGGTCCTGGCTGCATCTGCGTCGTTAGCACCCACTAAGCCGCACTGGGCCCGCGTGGTGGGTCATGGCCCAATCTCCCTATTCCATCCATAGGGAAGCCTGTGCCCCAGCAGTGGGGACATTAATAGGCTGATGATGATGATGCATAATTATACCGTTTTGTTCTCCAGCTCCTCAATTATGATCGCTTTAAGTTCTGAACATTTATATCTAACATCACACAGGGCTTCGACAGTGAACTGACCGTGTCCAAGGACATAGATTACAGTTCCCTCGACTCCGACATAAGCCAGATTGAGTCTCGTTTAGTGAACATTCAATCTGGCCCGAAGTCCCCTCTCCGACCACAGTGGATCTCTGAAGAGGGAGTGACGAGAGTCCGGCAGGCAGCACTTGGCCTCCTCAAGGGCGAAGCCCTAACTAAAGCGGCCTTTGGAATCCTAGGGAATATAATTGACGCTAGCACGCTGTTTTTGAATAGCAGGTAAATAAGAAAATTTATTCATTAATAAACAATGCGTTTTTATGAAAAAAATATCGTACTAATTAATCTGTACCTTCTTAAATGGCAAACTTTGGGTACTTTTTGAATAAGGACAAAACCGATTTCATAATTAAAAATATCAAAAATTTAAGAAATAATCTCGTAACTAAGTTAAAATGTTTAAAAATTATTTTGTGTCGTTTTGTAACCACATCAGTGGATAAAGCTAGTATAGATAGGAAATACCATGAGATCATAAAAAGACAGAGTTGTTCCAGGTTGATATATTGCAATTCATATATTATATTATATAGATATATTGCTAAATGGCGGCTGAAGTTAGCACAAGTCGCAACGCCATCAACGACATGTAGGGTGTCGTTACTGACACTTGCACATAGTTGTGACTGCTGATTTCATAGCCGCCATAAAGTTAAAATTGCACTATAGGAAGTTACTGGTGTCGATTCTGGCATGTTTTTCTAAACCTAAAACTAAATTTGACAAAAGTGTATCGTTGTCATTCTCTGTAGAGAATGAAAAGGAGAGACTGATGTTAAATTTACTTTTAAGTTTAGAGAATCACGCCAGAATCGACGCCATTGTCGAGTTTATTAATGATTAAAGAAGCTAAAGAAGTTTTCACTTCAAAAAACACTGAAGTAAAGATCAACACTTAGATGTCATTCTGTAATACGAGCCTTAGAGCGTTATTCTAAATTGTCAAGTGTTTTCCAGCGAGTGCAGTGGATGTTCTCAAGTGACGGCTATCGTGAAACAAGTGACTCTACAGCTCTACAAACGGAACGAATATCGTGCGCTACTTTGCGCCACCACCCGCCCGCTCGCGACTAACCAGCTCGCCCTTCACGCTGCTCTCAATGCCGACTTCCACTGGGACATGGCCCTCACGCAGGTCATTATAAAATAAACTAGCAAACCATTGAACCAAATGTTCACCAAAACCTGATTTAAAAATTTGTATTTAATTAATTGAGAACTTCGGAGATTTTGTGTGGTTTCGTTTGAAATTATTTAGTTAAAAAAAAAATTAACCTTTAAATAGTTAATTAAAATTGTGATAATTACAAAATAGAAATCACGTGATTTCTCGAAAACCGGAAGTGCTACGTTACTCAAATCCGGTTTGTAGTCTTAACAGACTATTCTTAACTTATAACTTAAATATTCTCTTTATCTATCTCTTACGGTTTGGCCGCTGAAACAGCACCACAGACGGACGGACGGACGGACTTGTCTAATAGATAAGAGATATTACCCACACACCTTACATTAAAGCAAAAAGGGAAGATACAGTACGCTCATACTAGCTCATACTCAACTACATAAACAACTATCACACACGCACACTTCTGTTAATAAAATTGAATTGAATTCAATGATATTAAATACCCTAGATACACCAACACGAACAAAATCGTGGCCGAAACCTGTCCAAAAGGTACATTGAACGATCCACGGAGCTCCGTAAGATGATCGCGTAGTCAAAATCAATATACGGCATTATTTAAATATTGAAAGTAACCTTTAATACATACTGTATAAGGTCTTAAATAAAACGCATGCGTCAAGAACTTCTGACAGTTCGAAATGCAAGCTCGTAAAATTCTACGACTTATTGCTATATGCAAAAGAATTTAGACCTTAGTTCTTTGACTCTTGACGCGCAATTCTGAATGCTCTTTTAGCAATATAGCAGACAAGGACCGCGAGGAAAAGATACGGCTATATGGCGACGTATAACCGACCATGCATTTAAACATCACAAATATTTTATATTAAATCAGTTTATAGTAAGTATTAGATCAAAATTTGCTTCAAATCCGTTAAATTAACAAACATTGACTAGATACCTGTCGAAAAAACGACACCTTTCGTACTCTAAGTATTATTTTCGCATTTTTTCGCGGAGCTCTGTGGCATCTTGACTTTGTAACGGTCAGCGCGTAACTGTGAACCAAGAAGTGCTTCAGTGGAGTTCAAGCACTTATTGATTGGGACACATTTCGAGCGCTCCTGGTGTGTCTAGGGTATTCAACATCTTTGATTGAATTGCACAGAATCGCACCGCGAGTCCGCGTCTCTTTGCTGCCGACTGCGTTTTCTTTTGTCTCTCTACAGACGGCTGAATTGTATTGTTGTCCTTTTCTTGATATAGAATGGCGAATAAGTAACTAACATTCAATCAAGAAATCAATACTTTCATGGTAAACCGTGATTTTTGAGAAAAAAAATGTTTTTTTAGTTTAACGAATGAAAAGTGTTGCCGTGGCATTTGATATTTGATCTTGAATTGTTTGTGTTATTTATAAAAGCATTGAAGGCATTGTTTTATCTTTTTAATACAGAATATATCCAAAATTTATATATAGAGTACACATGCATCGTGTTTGAATGTCCAATTGTGACTAAAGCGAATTGTGGTCATGCACCACAATTTACGCGCTAAGCCGCGAGTGCCGTATCTTCTCTTTTTGTTTTAATCTAAGCCACACGCCAGTTAGCCTAGTCCCAAAGTAAGCACTGTAAAGCTTGTGTTATAGAAAGCTAGGGTAACGAATAGAATACATATACTATATACATATTTATGCTATGATGTTTTATAGTTGTAGATACGGCATACACGTTTCTAATTTGGCAATACGAAAGTCAGGTAATTGCCATACTTGCATTCAGTCGGGCACGCGCTCTCGCCGCGGCTACACTTCTCTACAACGTGTAAATATTTTACATTTTTTTAGACAAAAAGTCCTATGTGTTAAATACGTGCTTGTTGATTGCTCTCTCAGTACAATTCACTGTCTAAGTCGACCGATATGGACATCTTCGCGGATACACTGAAGAGAATAAAATATTTATGTTTGGTTGTGCCCACATAGTTTTTACATTAACTTATTTTTTATTAATTTATTTCATAAATTTATTTAATTTTTCTTGTTCATTTATTGACAATTTAAAATTTTATTTTTATTCATAATTGTTTTGTATTAAAATTAAGGTAATCTCTTATCTATTAGACAAGTCCGTCCGTCCGTCCGTCCGTGGTGCTGTTTCAGCGGCCAAACCGTAAGAGATAGATAAAGAGAATGTTTAAGTTATAAGTTAAGAATAGTCTGATAAGACTACAAACCGGATTTGAGTAACGTAGCACTTCCGGTTTTCGAGAAATAACGTGATTTCTATTTCAAACGAAACCACACAAAATCTCCGAAGTTCTCAATTAATTAAATACATTTTTTTTTTGGTGAACATTTGGTTCACTGGTTTGCTAGTTATCAATATAATATAAGATTTAATTGCTAGTTAAGTGTAAATTGCATGTCGTAATCGCCTACAATTAAAGTTCCACTAATAAAGTGTCGTACTATAAATGTGTAAATAAGAAATGTCTAAGTGTATCTTTGTTGGTGATCAAATAAAAAAAAATGGTTGCCTGTAAAGTCGGTTTTACGGGCGAAGATTTTACGTGACAACGTCTTTTTCTCGGTAGAATATTTATTGATATGAATATAATTAAATTGCACAATAGGAACAAGGAATTGAATGAAAATAAGAATTGCACAAATTTTAACTATAGAAATATATTTTGTTTACTAAAACATTGTACATGTAAACTTAAACTTAACACGAGAGACTCATCGTAACGTTACCGAGCGTTACACTTTTTCATAAGTGACTCCCAGCCGCAACCTAATTTAAGACGTTGTCACGTCAAAAAAAATACGTGTCATTTCATTCGTAAGTACAGTTTTTAAAAAAATACTGTAAAGATATTTTCAATCTTCAAAATGGGGCTTCGCCTTTAATAGTAAAGATATTTTCAATTTTCAAAATGGGGCTTTGCCTTAGAACAAATTACATATTTGGACAGTTGTTGACACCGTTGACACGTGAAGGCTAAAGAGTGAGACGTAATCTGCTTTATGCATGAGAGGGAAAGAGACCACTATATTGCGCTCTATTGCCAAGGGAAGTTGGGGCGGGGATTACTTGTGTAAATTAAAAATTTTATTTTAAAATGCAATAATGCTGTCTGTATATTACACGTCATTGAATATATGTATATTTAATCCAAAATTATGTACATACTAGCAAACCGGTGAACCAAATGTTCACCAAAAACTGATTGAAAAAAAAAGTATGTAATTAATTGAGAACTTCGGAGATTTTGTGTGGTTTAGTTTGAAATTCGTGATTTCTCGAAAACCGGAAGTGCTACGTTACTCAAATCCGGTTTGTAGTCTTATCAGACTATTCTTAACTTATAACTTAAATATTCTCTTTATCTATCTCTTTCGGTTTGTCCGCTGAAACAGCACCACAGACAGACGGACGGACGGACTTGTCTAATAGATAAGAGATTTTAAAATGCAATAATGCTGTCTGTATATTAGACGTCATTGAATACATGTATATTTAATCCAAAATTATGTATATATTATATATATATAAACATCCATGACTAAGGTACAAATGCTCGTATTCATCATACTAACTTTGACCCCACCGGCATTCGAACCCGGGACCTCTGAGTGGCGACACCTTGAAATCCGACCTAAACTAGCCACTGGGCCACGTTAGTCTTCCACTACCATTATACTTTCATATTACACCTCACTCGGACAAGCTCGATGGCGCATATGGTTAGCGCGTTCGGCCTGCAATCGTGGAAGTTAAGCGACTTTCGCAGTGGTCGGTCATTGGATGGGTGACCAATTTACACAAAAAAGCTCTCCCTCTCACTCCTCCGTCCCTCGGAAGGCATTTGTCCCGGCTGCAACTGCAGTCGGAAGCTAGCACCCACTTACCGCGTATACAGGTAGGTGACGTCACACGGCTCTCATTTAAACGTCAAACAGTACAAATTAATGTCACTTCAACAGCATATTTACAAGCAGCAGACGTAATTTTAGTCATCGTCAATCCAGGACGTTTTCGGTCTCATGATAATAGAAAAAAAATGGGTGCGTGTACTTATGTAGGCGCGTGAGAAGTTATCCTTCTTTGGCATCGTTTAAAATTAGTTTTTAATTGCATGCAAATAATTAATTACAATAAATTAATAAAAAGTCTGGAAAAGGACACAGTCAATAAAGTTCAGTTTTAATTTGAAAAAATAAATAAATAATCAAAATATTCAATTAAAATCGCTACTGAATATAATTTATTAGTGATACATACATATGTGATTTGCACTTGTATGAAACTCAAACACGTAATCCGAATATACAAACTAGAAACATGTGGATAAATATTATAAATATGAATACCTATAACTGTTACTTTATTACAAAAAATAAAGATGTGGTTTTTGGTTCTACTACACCAATGGTCAAGAGATGGCGCTGTAGTCTCCTGAATCGCGCTTTGGTTCCGTTGTTCCAGATTAATAAATACTTTTGATAGGCCTTCACAATGCAGTCGTTAGCACCCACTAAATAGAGATTCTATTTCTATTTTTTTGGTAGATTTTCTTAATGTGCGGTAAACACAAAAGTAACTTCATGCTGTTAATTTTTTGTGTTACAGTGATGCGCGCGCATCTCAAAATTTCACTCTCATCATTTTTTCATAACGCGCCTAAAGAAGTATAATTTCAACAAATACTTTCTATTTAATGATTTTTAGTAATATTATCAACTACTTTTTTATTTGTTTCTTAGGTTTTCACGTACATCACTCATTAAATAAAACTAGTTTTAACGGGTCAATGCACGAAACTTTATTTATTTATTGACGTTTCGTAGCCTTTACAGGCTACGTCGTCAGAATCAAACTTTTATTTAATTTGTCGAGCTACCTTGGAAGACTTTTATTGAGCGTTCGGTTATTTCATTGTTCGATTTTTAAAGTTTTATTGTCTATGTATGAATTTATTATTTAATTTACTGAATAAAGTATTTTATTTAAAATTCTTTTTTGTAATTTTGAGTTTATTTATTTGACCCTAACTACCGTAAACTACCACCGGTTCCAAAATTGGGAGACCTTCCTGAGAAGAACCGGCGAAACAAACTCAACAGAGGCTTTCTATCTCCTTCTTATGTTAAGTTATGCAAACAAAAAGAACTAATAGTATCTGTTGGTCTTGCTTTTTTGATACTTTTTTGACAGGATAGTTAAATCGCTCCTAATATTCATGTACTTTATTTTTCATGCTGTCAAATGACCTGTTGTCTTGAGTTCCTCCATGCTTGGAATTCCTAATACAACCTCTATTCTTGTTTAAGAATCGCATTTTGAAGTTATACTTCTTTAGGCGCGTTATGAAAAAATTATGAGAGTGAAATTTTTAGATGCGCGCGCATCACTGTAACCCAAAAGTAACAGCAAGAAGTTGGCCGCGGGCGCGTTATGAATGTTAGTGTCTAATAATGGTGGATTATTAACCACTTAGTGGTTAATAATCCACCATTATTAGACATCTGTTCGAAAGGTACTTTGAACGATCCACGGAGCTCCATAAGATGATCGCGTTGTCAAAAACAATGTTGGCACGCTCGTCGCCTCTGATCACTGTTTTCATATTTATAATATTTATCCACATGTTTCTAGTTTCTATATAGACACAACGTGTTTTAGTTACTTACAAGTGCTAATTACATATGGACTAATAACTTAAATTCAGTAGTGATTTTAATTGAATATTTTGAATATTTATTTAATTTTTCAAATTAAAACTGAACTTAATTGACTGTGTTAACTATCCTTTTCCAGTCCTTTTATTATTTTATTGTAATTATTTGCATGCAATTAAAAAATATTTTTAATGATGCTAAAGAAGTATAACTTCTCACGCGCGTACATAAGTTACACGCATCCATTTTTTTATAAACACTTTTCTTCTTCAACGCAGCTTATCTCATCACGGAACTACACCAACTTGGAGCTGAACAAATCCCTGAACGAGCTGCTGGAGCAGGTGGAACTGTACGTGCTGGAAGAAGTGACTGGAACTCACAAGATGGCGGACTGCCTCTCTTCTAATAGTAGCGAACCGATAGCTTATGTTGCCACGTGAGTCGTATATCTATCTATAAATATAAAACTCAAAGGTGACTGACTGACATAGTGATCTATCAACGCACAGCCCAAACCACTGGACGGATCGCGCTGAAATTTCGCATGCAGGTAGATGTTATGACGTAGACATCCGTTAAGAAAGGATTTTGATCAATTCTACCCCCAAGGGGATAAAATAAGGAATGAAAGTTTTGTATGAAACTTTGTCAATTTTTGACCGATCGGGCTGTGACTTTGCATGCAGGTATAAGAAGGATCATAGATTAATGTCATTGTGTATAATACAAGCCTGACAACAAAAACTGTAGTCTACACTTCAGCTCTACACCGAAGCAAAGCGAGGGCGGGCCGCTAGTTTAATATATTTTACTTGGTATACAAAAACGCAGTTTTAACAATATATTGTTTCAAACTTTCATGGTTTTCACTAACATTATAGTCATCATCATGATCAGCCTAATAATGTCCCCACTGCTGCCGCACAGGCCTTCCCTATGGATGGAATAGGGAGATTGGGCCTTGAACCACCACGCGGGCCCAGTGCGGATTGGTGGGTGCTAACAACTGCAGATGCAGCCGGGCTTGGCTTAACGTGCCTTCCGAAGCAAGGAGGAACTCGAGATAGAAATTTTTGGTCACCCATCCAGTGACAGACCACTGCGTAAGTTGCTTAACTTCAACGATCGCAGCCGAACGCGCTAACCACCTTTGCCATCGAGCTCCTCGAACATTTTAGTAATGTATGTTATTTACGTGTAGATACCTGGTTTTTAGCGAGTCGCCGATATTTCGGCACTAATTCAGCAATTTAAGTTTTACCATCTCGGCTTTGATAAAAATCAAAATAGCTACACTGCTACCAAATCAAATCAAAATCAAATCATTTATTATTCGGACAACATAGATCCATGTGTTAGTATACAATCTATATCTATATCTATACTTATAATAAATCTGTAGAGATGTCAATTCTGTACATGAAATATATTTTTAAAATAACTATCAGGGGGTGATTAGTGATCGATACTGATGCCAAAAATGCAATCAATAATTTTTTTGTCTGTCTGTCTGTCTGTCTGTGTGTATGTTCCTTATAGAAACAAAAACTACTCGACAGATTTTAACGAAACTTGGTACAATTATTCTTCATACTCCTGGGCAGGTTATAGTATACTTTTCATCACGCTACAATCAATAGGAGCAGAGTAGTGAAGGGAAATGTTGGGAAAACGGGAGAAGTTACTCCATTTTTTAAGCTTCCGTCGCGTTGCACACGCCTTAATGGTTAAAGTTACATAGAAATCATGTATGACGGAAATATTCTACATAAAATTGTCTAAAAAATATCCCGCAACAGCATATGTTTATCTTTTATGGTTGACTCACAATAACAGCACGTGTAATTATATAAATAAAGTCATTGTTTATAGCACAAGCCTGAGAACAAAAACTATAGTTTACACTACAGCTCTACACTGAAGCGAAGCGAGGGCGGGCCGCTAGTACTTAATACTATGTTAGTAAATTATATTAAAAACAGATAGGTATAACCCTATTTACAAAAATATTTATCAGTGAACAGTCCCCACGAGCCACTAAATCCCTCACAACTCTACTATATTTTTTTCTATACCAATATTACAATAACGAAGGTATCTGTCGATCTATCATGCTTTCACGCCTAAATATCTGAAATTGCATTGATAAATTTTGATAAACATATTATAAATAAACTAGCTGACCCAGCGAACTTCGTACCGCCATAAAAAAAAATTAAAAAAACATTGTCCAGCGGACAAAATAGTGAATCTAAACCATTCTCAGATCCCCTTGAACACACACAAAAAATTTCATCAAAATCGGTCCAGTCGTTTAAGAGAAGTTCAGTGACATACACACTCACAGAAGAATTATATATATAAAGATTTTTTCTATACCAATATTACAATAACGAAGCTATCTGTCGATCTAACATGCTTTCACACCTAAGTATCTAAAATTACTTAGATAAATTTTAATAAACATATCTACTATATAAAAATAAGTCGGGTTTTCCTTCCTGACGCTATAACTCCAGAACGCACGAACCGATTTCCACGGTTTTGCATTCGTTGGAAAGGTCTCGGGCTCCGTGAGGTTTATAGCAAAGAAAATTCAGGAAAATTTTAAAAAAAAATCGTTTTCTTTTAATCACAAAACGAAATGTTACATAAATCTGGTGGCGAAACGGAGTTCGCTGGGTTTGCTAGTTATAAATAAATAAATATTTCCAACACTCACACCAATTAGCTTAGCCCCAAAGTAAGCACTGTAAGGCTTGTGTTATTAGATACTAGGGGTAACGGATAGAATACATTATACTGTACATATATAAGTATATTTATATAGAAATACATATTAAACATTCATGACTGGAGTACAAATACTCGTAATCATCACACAAACATATGCGCCCACCAGGATTCGAACCCGGAACCTCTCGAGTCGGCGACACCATGTAACCCAGCGCCGGCGTACAGACCACTCGGTCATGGAGGTCGTCTTTATATTATACTAGCCGTGCCCCGCGGTTTCACCCGCGTTTTTCTCGTTTCCGTGGAAATACGATACATATTTAACGTAGTTTTTTTTCTTTACACGATTTAATAACTATTTTGAACACAAAATCGGTTATTGTGAATCAACCATGATAGCTAGATATATGTTCTCGCGGACTTTTTTGTAGGTCTTAATGGGATCTACAAACCCGTAGTACATCATTTTGTTCTATTGTCAATAGTTTTTGCAGCGCACGCAAAAATAGGTTTTCGATTTTACACCTTGTGTTACAAAATAGCAATTTTATTACGGATCCCTAATTTTGAAAAGCCTATAGCCTTCCTCGATAAATGGAGTACCCAACACTGAAAGAATCATTCAAATCGGACCAGTAGTTCCAGAGATTAGCGCGTTCAAACAAACAAACAAACAAATTCTGCAGCTTTATAATATTAGTATAGAAAAGGAACTTAAATAAACATAGGCACTTTGTATAGAGCTTCTCCGTGCTTCAGAAGGCAAGTTGAGCCATCCAAAATTACTATCGTGAAACCTTCTAATTTCACAAACACATTATTGCTAATTAGAGACACGATTTACCAAATTATGGTAGGTATTCTAAAATAAAACTAGTTTTTACGGGTTAATGCACGAAAACTTTGTTTACTTATTGACGTTTCGCAGCCTTTTCAGGTCTGCATCGTCAGAATAATGATTTTTTATTTAAAATTGTCGAGCTTGTAGTCTTTCGAAGGTAGCTCGACAATTCACGACAGTTCGTCAATTCTTAAACAAGAATAGAGGTTTATTTAATGAGTGATGTGCGTGAAAACCTAAGAAACAAATAGGTATTCTAAAATTTGAGGCAAAACAGCAACTTATGAGGAACTCGATGGTGCAGGTGAATAGCGCATTGGACCTGCAATCGTGAAAGTTAAGCAACTTTCTCAGTGGTCAGTCATTGGATAGGTCATCCTCCGTACTTCGAAAGTCAGGTTAAGCCGTTGGTCCCGGCTGCATCTTCAGTCGTTAGCACCCACCAATCCGCAATAGATCCGCGTGGTGAGTTACAGCCCAATCTACCTACTTTTTATTACATATTTTTTTATTTGAGGAGCTCGATGCCGCCAGTGGTTAGTGCGTTCGGCTGCGGTCGTTGAAGTTGAGCAACTTTCGCAGTGGTCGGTCATTGGATGGGTGACCAAAAATTTACTATCTCGAGCTCCTCCGTGCTTCGGAAGGCACGTTAAGCCGTTGGTCCCGGCTGCATCTGCAGTCGTTAGCACCCGCCAATCCGCAATAGACCCGCGTGGTGGGTCACGGCCCCATCTATCTACTCCATAGGGAATTCGTGTGCTCCCTAGAGTGAGGACATTAACTGGCTGATGATTATGATGAAGATTTTTCGTGAGATGGTCCCATATTGATTTGATGAGGATCTGATAACTCCTTTCGGAGGCAAACAATGAAATTCTTTGGATTGGAATAGTTTTAAAACCTTAACCTTATTATTTCTATTTTTATTATTTCTATTTTTTGATTAATTTTGACATTTTTCTATTGAATTGGAATAATTTGAATGTTTTATTATTGAATATTAAGATTTTTGACTTAGAATTTAAATAACTTAATGAATTTGTATGCCCATAGCGACACGACATGTTATACACCCATAAAATCATAATATCCTACTTACACATGTTGTTCAAATAAATATTTTCTTTCTTTCTTTCTTTCTTAGATTAAAACAAAAAGGGAAGATACGGCACTCGCGGCTCAAAGGTGATCCGCTTAAATTGTGGTGCATGACCACAATTCGCGTCCCCCTCTCGGGGGTTGATCGCTTCAGATGAAGCTTGTAAGGCCCTTCTGGCCATAAGCATGAATAAAGGGTGTTTATTAGTCAGTAAGAGTCTGACATAACCTTACAGCCGGCTGTAGGGTATCCATGAGGATTTCTCACCCTCTCCCCCGCCTGGGAGGAAACAAACACAATTCGCGTTAATCACATTTGGACATTCAAACACTCAACATGTGCACTCAGTATAACAATATTTCGTATACCCTGTGTTATAAAGATAAAACAATGCCTTCGATGCATTTTATAAAGAACACAAATAGTTCAAGATCAATCTAAAGAAAAGTTTACTAGAAAAAAATCCACGCGGACCAGGCAGCGGACGGGCCTCGAACCCGCATCCTTCGCAATCCGGGCGAATGCACTGACCATTATGCTACCACGGCCCTAATAGCCGCGTCGAAATTTTCCTAGCGTTAAGCTGCAAGGCAGCGCCATCTCTTCGCATTGTAGGTAACCCACAATGTCAAATGAATACTTTTTCAAGTATTAAACATTTGAAAGAAGAAATAGCAATTACAGTTATGATTTTATTTATTTTTAAGCATTTAACTGCTAGATGTTTAATCTAAAGAAAAGTTTACTAGAAAAAAAAATCAAATAAAAAATGCCACGGCAACACTTTTCATTCTTAAAACTATAAAATCATTTTTATTCTCAAATATCACTGTTTTTCGTGAATGTTAATTACGTAATCGCCATTTTGTTATCAAGAAAAGGACAACAATAAAACTCAGCCGAGCAGACTCGCCGTTTCGCTCGCGCTGCGTTGAAGCGTACAGTTCTGTCTCGCTCGCTAGATTGAATGTTTATTTACAGACGTGTGCGTGTGTGGGAGTTGATTATGTAGTTGAGTCGGATCATATTTTATTTGATGCTAGTATGAGCATACCGTATCTTCCCTTTTTGTTTTAATCGAAGGTTTAAACCTTTTATTAACTATTGGTTTCCGTTCGTAGATTCATCAAAGTCTTAGCCGGCACTATTACTCTGTTCCGAGCCGAGTTGCCCTACCTCCACGAAGTTGATGGTATGACAAAAGTGCCATTCATTAAAGAACTCCACGACCAAGTGGCCCCCAATATGGATGCGTTTACACCTCTCAAGAAGTACCTGAAAGATAACGTCGAATTTACGAAGAGACTGTCTTCGGTCATCAGCAACCTAGAGCTGATAAAGGATGTTGAAAATGGCGATGTTAATTTACGTTTGGTAAGCTGTGTTCATGATTATTATTTAATCTTATCAACGATATTAAATACCCTAGATACAAAATCACGAATAAAATCGTGGCCGAAACATGTCCAAAAGGTACACTCGCGGAAAGACCCGCTCTGTCGCCCATAATGCCATAATCGCTTGCGGTAGCGGCGTAGTAAAAATTCATTCATAGACATGTAATTATCGCTGTCTTACTTTTTCGTATAGCGCTGTCGCGATCACGATGCGGATGACAAATTGCAACTAAAACAATTCATTATTACGCGAAGGCGGGGCGTAGTAAAAACTACTGTAGAAAACCGTTCAAAGCATTTTGTTCGCCATGACATAGCGCAAAATTCCGCGATAGTACATTGGACGATACACTGAGCTCCGTAAGATAATCGCGTAGTCAGAAACAATATAAGGTATTATTTAAACATTGAAAGTCACCTTTAATGTGTACTTGATAAGGTCTTTATTAAAACGCATGCGTCAAAGAGTTATGACAGTAAAAAATTCAAGCTCGTATAATTTTACGACTTATTGCTATACGTGTAAGAATATTATATTATACCTTATTTCTTTGACTTTACGCGCAACTCTGAATACGCTGTTAGCAATATAGCAGGTACGGACCGCCACGATAAGAGACAGCTATATTACCGACTATGTATTTGGATATCAAAAATATTTTCTATTAAATCAGTTTTACAACAAATTTTGCTTAAAACGCGTTAATTTAACAAACATTTATTAGATACCTCTCGAAAAAATGACACTTTACGTACTATAAGTATTTATTTTGCATTTTAACACGCAGCTCTGCGGCATCTTGACTTTTCAACGGTCCGCGCGTGACTGTGAACCAAGAAGTGCTTGAGTGGTGTTCAAGCACTTCTTGATTGGGACACATTTTGAGCGCACGTGGTGTATCTAGGGTATTTATTATCGTTGAATCTTATTCAACAAATGAAGAATAAAAGTAAATACAATCGCATTCCAATTAGGCTCGAAGGACCAAAATGTGGGGAGATTCCCCACATTAAATGATACATGATAGAATAAAAATGCTAGAAACAGGTAATTTTTATGATTTTATTTATTTTTAAGCATTTAACTGCTAGATGTTTAAATCTAAAGAAAAGTTTACTAGAAAAATATCCACGCGAACCAGGCAGCGGACGGGACTCGAACCCGCACCCTTCGCAATCCGGGCGAATGCACTGACCATTATGCTACCACGGCCCTATTCGCCGCGTCGAAATTTTCCTAGCCTTAAGCCTAGCTGCAAGGCAGCGCCATCTCTTCGCATTGTAGGTAACCCACAATGTCAAATGAATACTTTTTCAAGTATTAAACATTTGAAAGAAGAAATAGCAATTATAGTTATGATTTTATTTATTTTTAAGCATTTAAGCCTTGCAGCTTAAGGCTAGGAAAATTTCGACGCGGCGAATAGGGCCGTGGTAGCATAATGTTCAGTACATTCGCCCGGATAGCGAAAGGTGCGGGTTCGAGTCCCGTCCGCTGCCTGGTCCGCGTGGATTTTTTTTTCTAGTAAACTTTTCTTTAGATTTAAACAGATAATTGATAATGAATTTACGGAATGATAAAGAAAGTAACCAATTGAGGATCTGGCGAACGAAAAGGTACAATAACGCATTTGGTCAAACTACTTTTTTTACAGTCCGGTCAGGTTTCGGGTCCGTTGTATTAAAATCAGTGTTAAAATTACTAAATTTATAAATTAAAATTCATGCCAAAAGATCACTGGAACTCAATCATTTTTAGACAGCTCTTGTAAAATTTAATTTTATGTAATTACTAGCTGACCCAGCGAACTTCGTACCGCCATAAAAATAGGGGCAGATGCTAGAAGAGAAAATTTAGGGTTGTATATATTTTTTACAACCACATTATAAAAAAAAAAAATGTCCAAAAAAAATTTTAGGGGTGTGTAACGTAGTGTTCTATCAATTTCCTGGGATAACATTCCTCCTAACCCATATGAGAACACTACGTTACAATACCCAATAGTTTGAATTTTGGCGCGAAGGCGCATTGTAGGTTTCAGAGCACTACGTTACAGGTGGACAACCATTATCACTTAAGGATATGAAAAATAGATAGTAGCCGATTCTCAGACCCACGGAATATGCATATAAAATTTCATAAAAATCGGTCAGGCCGTTTCGGAGGAGTATGGTAACTAATATTATGACACGAGAATTTTATATATAAGATATCGTTTTGTTCGCCAGTTCTTCAATGAGGGCTATCGTGTATGAATCCGTCGCTAGAGGCGCTAGTGTAGCGTGAGGTCTCCGAAATGTCAAATGTTATTGCTTGTTGGTTGACTACGCGGGTTTATTTCTAATTAAAATAATGTTGTGAATAATTGCTAACAATTCGGCTTAATTATGGCAAATATGAGTTATGTAGCAATGAATGTCAGTTATTAAAAATCTGAGCAAAGCAAAATGATTATGTTATCATTTTTTCCGAATAAAACGGAACTGCGCGTCACTGTGGCATGGCCTATTATGTTTAGGATCCGGTTCTTTTGTGTTAAAATACGATCTAAATGTAACCTTTGATTTCATGTGCGTATTAATAAACTGTAAAAGTTACAATTTAGGACCTCACTCAACAGTGGCGCCATCTGGTGAGACAGAAAACGGTAGCCCTCATTGATTGTAATGCTTGTAATATGCACTGATCAATACGTGTTGCGCATACGTCGTCATGGAAGTAGAACGCTAAATTAACGAAATATGTACGTTTCACTGTACAGCTGATAATTCGCATGTTCTTTTTGCCAGTCAAATCTTTTAAGTGTGTATGCTGTTGGTCGCAGATGACCTTTACAGCGTCACCGGGTTTGGGGACGGCGAGATCCTAAGGGGACCTCAAGCCGAGAATTGGCGAGTGCCTCTAGAGGTATTCCAGGCGGATGGCGTCTCCCCACGGGGGGAGTCACCTCGTCTGGAGCCTCTAGACTGTAGGAAGGCCAAAGGGGAAGATCTTCCTCCGAGCTGGGTGATGGTAGCTCGGGGGCCGCGGCCCGACTGATGTAGGCTTGTTGAAAATATATCGATGTATCGATATATCGATATTTTTTGTTCGATATATCGATATTTTTTGCCGATATATTTTGATTCGATATATCAATACATCGCTACAAAATAACCAATATCGAAATTTATTTTTTTAATTATTAGCGGCATATCACGATCTAACTAAATCTTCGTATCTGGAAAAATCGTAACTGGATCTCAGATTAATGATATTCAACTTATCTATGATCTGTGCTGTATTTAGTATTGTCTATTATTTGTAAATCTGTTTCGCTGGTGAATTGGTTGTGCTGATTTCCATTATATTCTGTGAAGTGTGTGACTGTCTAGTCTTGTTAACGAAAGAGACCCTGCAATCATTTACCTGAGAGGCCCTGCAATCATTTTCATCATTCGAAAATTGGGTCTATTTTTCCACGTGTCATATTTCGTGAGCTACTGTACGATATTTTTGGGAAAATTGGTCCGATATATCGATGTTTTTTTCGCGATATATCGAAGCCGATACTGATATTTTTAAAAAAATCGATGTATCTATATATATCGATATTTTTTTCAACTTTCGACATCCCTAGACTGATGTTGGTCAGGCATCGTATATATGGAGTGTTAGGCTCCGAATTTCTCTTGCGCGATGTAGGCTTCCATACGTTGTGAACGCAGCGCCGAAAGCGCCATCTCTTAAGTCGTTGTTGTTAAGTAAGTACGTAAGTTGGCGCCGCCACAAAACCACTCGAACCTGAGGGGGTCGGCTCAACTAGAGGGCGTCTCTGAGACTCGGACCTCGGCTCTAGTTAGCCGTTGTCTTGGGGGGGGGGGGGGGGGGGGCGAAGAAAAACGCCTTAAAAAACATGTTTTTTTATGTTTCAGGTCGGCAAATCTAAGCAAATTAAGGATATGAATAAATATATAACATTGAAAGACCACGATTGGACTATGGAATGTAAAAAGTATAATTGCGGAAAAATCGTAGATTATGTCAATAGTAATATCAATAACACATTAGTGGCTAAAGCGGTAAGTGTAAATAAGTGTCGCCGCAGACGGGCCACACGCCACAGCCACAAACGCCGCCACGAGAAGCTAGAAGCGGCTACTAAAGTGGCTGAAGCCGCGACAGCAGCCGACTAAGGTAAGGGAGAGAGGGGTGGGGAATCGCGCGAGTGACGTGTGGCGGCGTTTTGTATCGGCGCATTAAGTGGCCGGTGCGGGCCACAAGAAGCGAGCAACGACGATTTGTAGCGTGTGGCGGCCACCGGCGTACCGTGTGTGGCGAGTCCATATAAAATGTATGAAAACTACAAGAAATGTGCCGGTGGCGGCGTTTTGTGGTTGTGGTCGGTGGTCCGTGTGCGGCGACAGTAAGAGTAAACTGAATATGATAAAAATACATTTTGCTAGTATCTGTGTATAAAATGTTTTTAAGCATTTAACTGCTAGATGCTTTCTTTAGATTTAAAGAAAATTTTAACTAAAATAACTTCGATTCGGTCCAGGCAGCAAAAGAACAAATATATAACTTTAACTAGCGGCCCGCCCTCGCTTCGCTTCGGTGTAGAGCTGAAGTGTAGACTACAGTTTTTGTTCTCAGGCTTGTATTATACACAATGACATTCATCTATGATTCTTCTTATACCTGCATGCAAAGTCTCAGCCCGATCGGTTTAAAGTTGACAAAGTTTCATACAAACTTTCATTCCCTATTTTATCCCCTTGAGGGTAGAATTGATCAAAATCCTTTCTTAGTGGATGATAGCAGTCACCTTTGAGTTTTATATATTATATAGATAAATAATAATTGCTATTCCTTCTATCAAACGTTTTATACTTGTAAAGGTATTCATTTGACATTGTAGGTTGCGAAGCTATACAATGCGAAGAAATGGCGCAGCTTAAAAAAGGCTTGAAAGAATCCGACACGGTCATCAGGGCCGCGGTAGCATAATGGTCAGTGCATTCGCCCGGATAGCGAAGGGTGCGGGTTCGAGTCCCGTCTGCTGCCTATACCTCGCGGATTTTTTTCTCGTTAAAATTTTCTTTACATTTATGTTTTATTTAATTTATGTTAAGTCTGAGGAATTGCTTAAATTAAATAAATTAACGTCATAATTAATAAAATAATAGGGATGATGACTAATTTTTTTTTCTTCGTTTATCAGGTAGATTATCAAAAAGTATTGGACACGTATTTTTTTTTCACATAATATAAACATTGCAGAGATATATTGATTTGAAAAGTCGCATGACGTCACGTTTTGGTACAATTTTCACTCAAAAGTGACGTCACGAGCCCCTACTCCCAAACTTTGACGCGCTATAACTTTGCCATTTTTTGGTTGATTGCCCAAAGAAAAAATACGTGTCCATTATTTTTGGATCATCTAACTGACGGACTAAATAGAATTTCGTTTACTGTACCCCGTCATCACACCTATTATAGATGTAACTAAGGTATCTTAACGAGGCGATAAACACCGCCATTCACTTAATTAACTCTAATCATAATTAAATTAAGTTATGATTTTATTTTTATTTTTTAAGCATTTAACTGCTAGATTTTTAAATCTAAAGAAAGGTTTACTAGAAAAAAATCCACGCGGACCAGGCAGCGGCAGTGCCTTGCAGCTTAAGGCTAGGAAAATTTCGACGCGGCTAATAGGGCCGTAGTAGCATAATAGTCAGTGCATTCGCCCGGATAGCGAAGGATGCGGTTTCGAGTCCCGTCCGCTGCCTGGTCCGCGTGGATTTTTTTCTAGTAAACCTTTCTTTATAATTAAATTTGTCAACATTAATTCCTGATTAATTTCACCAGCTCCCCAATTTACAAACTGCCGAGTTCTGGCGGTTCAAATTCTTAACCAAGATTCTTTACCATGTGGAAAACGTGTTGAAATATGTCGCGACATTGGTCGAGGTCGTCAGCAGACTGGACCTGACGGGGGTGCGGGAGGGGAGAATATCTTCCACTGTTGATATGGTGATGGAAATTATGACCCAGGAGGTGCTCGGTGATGTGGTCAAAAGGTGAGTGGTATCTTTCTCAGAGAACGGCAAAAAACAACTTTATGTTCCTTATTGTATGATATAGGTTCAAAGATAATTTATTTCCCATAAAGACATACAGTCCACTTAAAATGAGAATATAGAGATAACATGCAGTTGTGTATTACTTATTGCTCCTTTTGGAACATTGGATATTACAGTTACAAAATTGATACTAATACTTAAGTTCAACACCCTTAAAAAGTAATCTTTCTTGTTTTATGACTTAATTGTTCAAAGCCCAGTGTTAACAATAGTAAGTTATTTGATCTTATGAGCATTCACAATGTTATTCTTATGTAAATAACAAAACAATAATCTACTATATAAAAATAAGTCGGGTTTTCCTTCCTGACGCTATAACTCCAGAACGCACGAACCGATTTCCACGGGTTTGCATTCGTTGGAAAGGTCTCGGGCTCCGTGAGGTTTATAGCAAAGAAAATTCAGGAAAAATTAAAAAAAAAATCGTTTTCTTTTAATCACAAAACGAAATGTAACATAAAACGAAGCTATCTGGTGGCGAAACGGAGTTCGCTGGGTTTGCTAGTCTACTATATAAAAATAAGTCGGGTTTTCCTTCCTGACGCTATAACTCCAGAACGCACGGACCGATTTCCACGGTTTTGCATTCGTTGGAAAGGTCTCGGGCTCCGTGAGGTTTATAGCAAAGAAAATTCAGGAAAAATAAAAAAAAAAAACTTCTTTTAATCACCAAACGAAATGTTACATAAAACGAAGCCATCTGGTGGTGAAACGGAGTTCGCCGGGTTTGCTAGTCTACTATATAAAAATAAGTCGGGTTTTCCTTCCTGACGCTATAACTCCAGAACGCACGGACCGATTTCCACGGTTTTGCATTCGTTGGAAAGGTCTCGGGCTCCGTGAGGTTTATAGCAAAGAAAATTCAGGAAAAATAAAAAAAAAAAACTTCTTTTAATCACCAAACGAAATGTTACATAAAACGAAGCCATCTGGTGGTGAAACGGAGTTCGCCGGGTTTGCTAGTATATAATATTATTAAAAAATATATATAAAACAAAATCGACGCGATTATTCCTTAGGCGGAAGTGAAATATAAAACTTTCCTTACAGTGACAATACGTATTCTTTTAATTTACTTTTAAACATGTTTCTGCTATCACGTTCCACAATGTCGCTTGGCAACCTATTGTACATCTGTACTCCCTCAAATAATATCGTTTTTTGTCCGTAATTAGTTCGTGCTTTACAAAGTTGAAGTTTATTTTTGTGTTTCTAAGATTATGCTTGTATATAGTATAATCATTAAAATTTTGACGCCTGGTTTTTGATGATATACATGCCTAGATACCTTTGATGAGGAGATCGATGGCGCAACTAGTTAGCGCGTTCGGCTGCGATCGCTGAAGTTAAGCAACTTTCGCAACGGTCGGTCATTGGATGGGTGACCAAAAATACTATCTCTTGCTGCTTCGTGTTTCAGAAGGCACATTAAGCCATTAGTCCCGGCTGCGTCTGCATTCGTTAGCACCCACAAATCCGTACTGAGCCCGCGTGGTGGGTCACCACCCGTTCTCCCTATTCAATCCATAGGGAAGGCCTGTGCCCCAGCAGTGGGGAAATTAATAGGCTGATGATGATGATGACAATAATGTTAGTGACCATGAAAGTTTGAAACAGTATACATATTTATTTGTTTCTTAGGTTTTCACGCACATCACTCATTAAATTAAACTAGTTTTTACGGGTTAATGCACGAAACTTTATTTATTTATTGACGTTTCGCAGCCTTTTCAGGTCTGCATCGTCAGAATAATGATTTTTTATTTAAAATTGTCGAGCTACCTTCTACCATCTACATAGACAATAAAATTTTAAAAATCTTCCAATGAAATAACCGAACGCTCAATATAAGTCTTTCGAAGGTAGCTCGACAATTTTAAATAAAAAATCATTATTCTGACGATGCAGACCTGAAAAGGCTGCGAAACGTCAATAAATAAATAAAGTTTCGTGCATTAACCCGTAAAAACTAGTTTTATTTAGTATACATATTGTTAAAACTGCGTTTTTGTAGACCAAGTTAAATATATAAAATTGATACGGGCTCACGTGGCTACGTAAGCTATCGGTTCGCTACTATTAGAAGAGAGGCAGTCCGCCATCTTGTGAGTTCCAGTCACTTCTTCCAGCACGTACAGTTTCAAACAGCCTCACGCAAACTCGGAGTCCTGAACAAGGTGCGGCGTTTCTTCACGCCCGAGCAACTGTGCTTGTTATATAAGACGCAGGTGCGGTCTTGCGTGGAATATTGCTCGCACCTCTGGGATGGCTCCGCTAAGTACTTGCTCGATGCTTTGGATAGGTTACAGCGGCGCGCAATCCGCATCATAGGCTATGAAGAGGTGACTAAACACCTCGAGCCTCTTCAATTACGCCGTGACGTGGCGTCACTAAGCGCGTTCTATCGTCTGTACCACGGCGTGTGTTCTGAGGAGTTATTCTCTCTTATTCCACCTTCCCCTTTCCTTCAGAGGACCACGCGCGCTGGCTTACGTTGTCACCGTCTAACTGTGGCTACAATTCCAACGCGTACAAAGAAATTTGGTGACTCATTTCTTTGTCGCACTATCCGTAAATGGAATGCTCTGCCCGCTCACGTGTTCCCTCCCTCTTACAACCTGGGATCCTTTAAAAGAGGCGTGAAGAAGCAACATGCAGGCCGGCAGGGTGAGGATGGCTGGTGTGGCAGTTAGAACTGCTGTATCAGCTATCTTCGCGTCTGGACTTCACCTTCACTTACCAACAGGTGGGGTGGAGTCATTTGTCGGATCTATCTATAAAAAAAAAACCTGCTCCAGCAACTCGTTCAGGGAGCAGTGGAGACATTAATAGGTTGATGATGATTATAACTTTTAGCATCCATGGAATCTTGGAGGAGGCAGCACCCTTGCTGAATGACACCTCCATAGCTGAAGACCTGCGAGCCCTCACCAGCGGGTTACTGGTTCTGCAAGACTACAAAAACTACTTGATTAAAGAAGACATCAAAGGTAAGTATCGCGTTCGAAAGGCCATAAACAATCACTACATATCACTACATAGTATAAAACAAAGTCGCTTTCTCTGTCCCTATGTCCCTTTGTATGCTTAAATCTTTGAAACTACGCAACGGATTTTGATGCGGTTTTTTTTAATAGATAGAGTGATTCAAGAGGAAGGTTTATATGTATAATACATGCATAATATAGTAGAGAGACACTGATAATTTTAGAGGTTTTTAATGTAAGGTCGTAAATAAACACATTTTTTGCGCTTACATTGCAAACGCTGGCTGAACTCCACGAGATAGATCAAAATAATGTACTACAGTATTGTACACCTTAAAAAGGTCTACAAAAAAGTCCGGGATTGTATATGTCTATCTCTTAAGGATAACCCACAATAACCAATTTTTATCCTATACTTTTACGAGAAATAATAGATTATTTACGAAGCGATTTTAAGCAATATAACATTCATCCTTATCCAATTAAGTACCTTAAATACATTGTGCATTTAATATAGAACAATTTGGCCCTTTAACGCATATAATTTAAATGTATATTTTCGAAGATATTACAAATTTAAAATTCAGGGACATAGCGGTTCCGACGCTACCGGGCTTGGCGGCGCGTGCCTATTGTAATTGGGTATTAGAAGAATGTTATTGTGTATAATACAAGCCTGAGAACAAAAACTATAGTCTACACTACAGCTTTACACCAAAGCGAAGCGAGGGCGGGCCACTAGTAGAATATAAACAAAAATCTGGTGACGTTCATCTTATGAATATTAATTTTTGCTGACTTTTATCCTATAAGAATTAGGGTTTAAAATTTAAACATACGTATGAATATAAATATTTCCAACACTCACACCAATTAGCCTAGCCCCATATTAAGCACAATAAGGCTTGTGTTATGGGATGCTAAGGTAACGGATAGAATACATATACTGTACACATATAAGTACATTTATACATATTAAACATCCATGACTGGAGTACAAATGCTCGTATTCATCACACAAATATCTGCCCCCACCGGGATTCGAACCTGGGACCTCTCGAGTCGGTGACACCATGAAACCCGGCGTACAAACCACTCGGCCACGGAGGTCGTCAAACCTAGGTATCAACCTAGGTCCTTTGACAAACTACAACAAAAGCAACCACACATTGAACCACTAGGTGCAGCCACTAAACGTGACCACTAGTGGCTCAGTCAAGCCACTAGACGCAGTCACCAATCGCAGCGACTAGTGGCTTAGTGGCTGCCACTAGCTACCGCCATTTTTTGCTGAATTCAGTTCATTTCATTTTGTTATTTCTAGTCGCCTGAGGTTTTCAAATGCCTCGCGCTCTTTTGTTTTTCTTTTGCATTGGTAATAACAATATTGAAAAAAAAATTGATCGTGAGATATTTGAAAAACTTCGGCGGTCAGAAATAACAAAGAAAAATCGAAAGCGTTAGCGTTTTCCAAAGCATTTCCGTTAGGCGAATGGCCCCCTGAGCCTGCAACAGGGGTCGAACGCGTTTGTGCTATAGAAACAGTATTCTCCGTCTTTGTTGAGTCTTAAGCTGAAATTAGACGGTTAATTTTATGCTTTCATTTTCGATGCTTCATCGAATAAAACGGAAAATTAAATGTCTAAATTGACGTTGATCGTAGTGTGCCTGCATTCGTGATGAAAGCTTCCGGTCTCCGATTGTTTTCACTAGCATCGATCATTCATCTTTCATCATCATACATCGGCAATGAACGAAAAGTGAAATGTCTAAATAGCTACAGCTAATTCACAGGTCATTTCTTTCATTGTCTCTGTCTTTATTCGATCGAACAACATCTATTTTTCATCCCCCTAAATGTTAAGGGTAATCCACCCCTTTTTTTTCAATTTTAGATATATACTTTTTTTTTCATTTTTTTATGATACAGCATTAGTAAATACATATAACCCTAAATATTCACCCTTCTACCACCAACCCCTATTTTTTTATGGCGGTACGAAGTTCGCTGGGTCAGCTAGTAACTTATAACTATATAGATGATGTTCATGCGGAAATTCCACAAGGGATGGAATATCAGCTGTCATCAAAAATTATACGTCTATACAAATGCAGGAAGGCTAAAGGGGAAGAACTTCCTCCGAGCTGGGTGATGGTAGCTTGTGGGCCGCGGCCTGACTGATGTCGGTCAGGCATTGTGAATATCGAGTGTTAACCTCCGAATTTTACTTGCGCGATTGAGGCTTCCATACGTTGTTAAGCCGCGCCGGTAACGCCATCTCTTGAGGAGGCGTAAGATTAATTCCTCCTTAGTTATTTATGCGTGGAGCATGTAGATGTCGCCGCCACACAAACAAAGCATTTCACTGTAGATCGTTCACAAATCATTGCGAAAATGAATCACTTTTGATGAACCGTCTAATTTCTTGATTTCTTGAAGAGCTATTACAGGTTCATTATTTTACTTTGTAACATAAAATCTAGATAATATAAGAATATATATATGAAGTTATAGTCATTTACTGCTGTTTCATTACCATTTGTCATTTACAAAATAGGAAGAATTGTGTAGTATATATAAAAAAAAAACTTATTTGCCTTTCGTTACCAAAGTATTACTTGTGCCGATGCCTATCCTGACTAACCACTTACCCGTGGAGCCCTGAAACCTTACTTACCTACAGTAACTCAACACCACCGAAAGTTTAGCATTATTTAATTTTCGTCCCCTGCAAGGTGTAGGTTATTTCCATAGACGGGCGCTCCAATTCCAGCGGAACATCCGCTATGGCTTACTTCACTTTGTTAATACAATTTATATTGAAACTTAGAAAATATCGTCTTATTCAAAACCATCGACATACGATTCATCTTGGTACTGTGGCCGAGTGTGCGCGCGATGTTAGCGACAAAATGCGCATAAACCACAAGTAGCGAGCGTTTGCGCTGATACTGTACAAAATATATGATTTTATACGCTGTCTGCGCGTCGCGTTGCGCTCTTTCATTCAAAAAAAAACTAAATTCAATATCGTTTATTCAGTCTAGGCTGTTACAAGCACTTGTGAATGTCGAAAAGCTACGCCATCGGCTCGCAAATCTACGGCGGGAGACCTTGTACTGAGAAGAACCGGCAAGAAACTCAGCAAGGGCGGTTTTTTTCTCCCTGTATTGTATACAGAATCGTCAAATTGAAAAATGACTTCAATAAGAGATAGCTCATGAAGTCACTTTCCGTTTTGCGCAGTAGAGTAAAAAAGGTCGTCCGCAGGTTCTATTCCCGTTTAGATGCCGATACTAGTGGTTCAATAGTGTCGATGCTGACATTATTCTCTAAACTTAAAACTAAATTTAACATCAGTCATAAATTAAATGGGGACTTTTCATTCTGTACAGAGAATGACAAGGATACACTGTTGTCAAATTTAAATTTAGGTTTAGAGAATCATACCAGATATTGACACCAGTGTTGTATTAAAATTCACATATTGTTTACAGTTGTTTTTGCATGAAAGAGTAATTAACAGCCAAATACCATAGACACTATAATAAATAAATAAATAATAAATATTTCCAACACTCACACCAATTAGCGTAGCCCCAAAGTAAGCACTGTAAGGCTTGTGTTATGGGATGCTAGGGTAACGGATAGAATACATATACTGTACATATATAAGTTTATTTTTTTATAGAAATACATGTTAAACATCCATGACTGGAGTACAAATGCTCGTATTCATCACACAAACATCTGCCCCCACCGGGATTCGAACCTGGGACCTCTCGAGTCGGCGACACCATGAAACTCGGCGTACAAACCACTCGACCACGGAGGTCGTCAGAGATCATATCTATAATATTAATAGGATATGTTTATTGATAAAATTGTGGTGGTATTGTTTCTTGGGCAGTGCCCATAGGCTCAGTGTGGTCTGACGGCGAGTGGATGGAAGCAGAGTTGAGTTCTTTGGGATTCAACAACACCAACCTGTGGGGTGCCGCCGCGCCGGCCCTAAGGGCGGGACACTTCGCACCGGCCCCGGTAACTATTTACTTTTCTACAAAACATTAGCCTACACTACACTCGCCTACAATGTAGTACACGACACAACAGTAACCTTCACTACACTCGCCTACAATATAGTACACGACACAACAGTAACCTACACTACACTTGCCTACAATGTAGTACACGACACAACATTAGCCTACACTACACTCGCCTACAATATAGTACACGACACAACATTAGCCTACACTACACTCGCCTACAATAAAGTATATGACACAACATTAAACTACACTACGCTCCTCTACAATATAGTACATGACACAAAATTGGTCTACACTACACTCCCCTACTATATAGTAGACGACATAAAATTAGCCTAAACTACAATCCCCTACAATATAGTACACGACACAACATTAGCCTACACTACACTCGCCTACAATATAGTACACGACACAACATTAACCTACACTACACTCGCCTACAATATAGTACACGACACAACATTAACCTACACTACAGTTGCCTACAATATAGTACACGACACAACATTAACCTACACTACACTCCCCTACAATAAAGTACACGACACTACATTAAACTACACTACACTCCTCTACAATATAGTACACGACACAAAATTGGTCTACACTACACTCCCCTACAATATAGTAGACGACATAACATTAGCCTAAACTACAATCCCCTACAATATAGTACACGACACAACATTAGCCTACACTACACTCGCCTACAATATAGTACACGACACAACATTAACCTACACTACAGTCGCCTACAATATAGTACACGACACAACATTAACCTACACTACAGTTGCCTACAATATAGTACACGACACAACATTAACCTACACTACACTCCCCTACAATAAAGTACACGACACTACATTAAACTACACTACACTCCTCTACAATATAGTACACGACACAAAATTGGTCTACACTACACTCCCCTACAATATAGTAGACGACATAACATTAGCCTAAACTACAATCCCCTACAATATAGTACACGACACAACATTAACCTACACTACACTCGCCTACAATATAGTACACGACACCACATTAACCTACACTACACTCCTCTACAATAAAGTACACGACACAACATTAAACTACACTACACTCCTCTACAATATAGTACACGACTCAAAATTGGTCTACACTACACTCCCCTACTATATAGTAGACGACATAACATTAGCCTAAACTACAATCCCCTACAATATAGTAAACGACACAACATTAACCTACACTACACTCGCCTACAATATAGTACACGACACAACATTAGCTTACACTACACTCCCGATTATATTCGTTTTATCTCGAAGAAAGTTGTCAAAATAATGCTCAAATTTCCAAGCATGTGTGAGAAAATGTACCTATATTTACATTTCATCTCTTAGCTGTTATCCTGGAAGCCTGGCCAGCACATAGCCGACTTCGTATGCGGCGTGGAAGAGATGTCTTGGGTTGTGTTCCCGGGCAATCTGGGTTCAGTCACTCGAGACGATGTCCTTGGAGGGGTGGTGGAACAGTTCTGCAGCATCAGCGATGCCAGGGTCAAGGAGATGCTGCCAGTCATTATAAGGGGAATGAATTATTCGTATATACTCGATAAGGTGAGTAAGTAACAAGAACTAAAAGGATAGAAAGAGTTTTTAAATTTAGTTCATGAAGTCGATTCATATAGTTTATTTTTACATATAGACCAGTACCCCTAGCACGACCCAAAATATCGAATTCGTATCGTTTGCGAGTCCGTAATGTCATTGTCAAATGTGTACTGATTTTTAGTTCCCGTTGCGTACTTTGTGGCGCTGCTGTTTAAGTTTCCATACAAAATTTGACATTGACATTTCGGTTTCAAACTATTCGAATTCGATAATGGTTCGTGCTAGGGGTACAGAAAAGAGACAAATATATGTTTGATATGATATCTTTTGCCTTTGTAGCCTTGTGGATGGATACCTTGGTACGATTCCGAATCAAAAAGCGATCTAATGTCGATTACAACCTGCCAACACGCCACTATTACTCTTTGGTTGGGTAATACGTATACTCTTTGCTATAGTTCTTGTTCTGAGAGGTTGTGGTAAATACCTTTCCCCTTATTAATTAACGAGGAATAAACTTAGACTCGATGGCGCAAGTGGTTAGCGCGTTCCGCAGCGATCGTTGAATTTAAGCAACTTTCGCAGTGGTCGGTCATTGGATGGGTGACCATAATTTACTATCTCGAGCTCCTCCGTGTTTCGGAAGGCACGTTAAGCCGTTGGTCCCGGCTGCATCTGCAGTCGTTAGCACCCACCAACCCGCACTGGGCCCGCGTGGTGGGTCATGGCCCAATCTCCCTATTCCATCCATAGGGAAGCCTGTGCCCCAGCAGTGGGGACATTAATAGGCTGATGATGATGAAACTTAGACCATAGAAAAATGATTGGTTTCGCTTCACGCGACGCGATGCCAATCATTTATCTATGAATTGTACTAGTTATGACATATTTTTAACCAGATTAAGAAAGGCTAGAAAGAATTCGACTCAGCCATCAGGGCCGCGATAGCATAATGGTCAGTGCATTCGCACAAATGATTAATATTAATGCACAAATGATAAATCCTTGCATTAATTGGACTGATTAATATATTTTTTATAATATTGAATGACTATTTATTTAATAAATTATTATTTTTTGTTTTATTATTGTTATTTGTATTTGATATTTTTTAACTTTATTTAAGTATAAATATTGTATTTTTAAGTGTTTTGACTCGACAATGTATTTTTATATGATTCGAAATCGACATGAGAATAGAATTTTGCCATTTTGAATTAATTGAATGTTTTGTTAGTACTTTATGTATTTCTGTTCTGAAATTTATTATTGACGAGCTTAATATAAGATGGAGGAGCTCGATGGCGCAAGTGGTTAGCGCATTCGGCTGCGATCGTTGAAGTTAAGCAACTTCCGCAGTGGTCGGTCATTGGATGGGTGACCAAAAATTTACTATCGCGAGCCCCTCCGTGCTTCGGAACGCACGTTAAGCCGTTGGTCTGCATCTGCAGTCTTTAGCACCCACCAATCCGCACGGGGCCCGCGTGGTGGGTCATGGCCCAATCTCCCTATTCCATCCATAGGGAAGGCCTGTGCCCCAGCAGTGGGGACATTAATAGGCTGAAATGATGATGATGATGATTATAGGTGACAACAGTTCTCCTCACGCAACTGTACACGGCATCGAACCTGTCGCAGTCCGAGGGCGAGCGAGTGACCTCATCCCTCCCCCTCATGGCGACGGTGCTGCCCTCCATACAGGCGCCGGTGGGGGACACCGCCAAGTCTCTGGCTGAAGAACCCCTGCTGCAGAACCTCAGGAACTTCACTACGATCGGCGATCTGCTGGGATGTGAGTGATTCCATTCCGTCCTGCCTTCCATACAGGCGCCGATGGGGGAAACCACCAAGTCTCTGGCTGACGAACCCCTGCTGCAGAGCCTCAGGAACTTGGCGATCTGCTGGGATGTGAGTGATTCCATTCCGTCCTGCCTTCCATACAGGCGCCGATGGGGGAAACCACCAAGTCTCTGGCTGACGAACCCCTGCTGCAGAACCTCAGGAACTTGGCGATCTGCTGGGATGTGAGTGATTCCATTCCGTCCTGCCTTCCATACAGACGCCGATGGGGAAAACCACCAAGTCTCTGGCTGACGAACCCCTGCTGCAGAGCCTCAGGAACTTGGCGATCTGCTGGGATGTGAGTGATTCCATTCCGTCCTGCCTTCCATACAGACGCCGATGGGGAAAACCACCAAGTCTCTGGCTGACGAACCCCTGCTGCAGAGCCTCAGGAACTTGGCGATCTGCTGAGATGTGAGTGATTCCATTCCGTCCTGCCTTCCATACAGACGCTGATGGGGAAAACCACCAAGTCTTTGGCTGACGAACCCCTGCTGCAGAGCCTCAGGAACTTGGCGATCTGCTGGGATGTGAGTGATTCCATTCCGTCTTTCCTTCCATACAGGCGCCGATGGGGGAAACCACCAAGTCTCTGGCTGACGAACCCCTGCTGCAGAGCCTCAGGAACTTGGCGATCTGCTGGGATGTGAGTGATTCCATTCCGTCCTGCCTTCCATACAGACGCCGATGGGGAAAACCACCAAGTCTCTGGCTGACGAACCCCTGCTGCAGAACCTCAGGAACTTCACTACGATCGGCGATCTGCTGGGATGTGAGTGATTCCAATGCGGCGGTTGTAACTGTCATCTAGAGTAGTTGTTGACGGGAGAGGCTGTCAAGAGTTTAGTGCAAGAACAAGGGACGGATTTGACACAAATTTCGTCAATATTTGAAAAAAAAACAGAGTTATTGGCTTATTTGACGACTTCCGTGGCCGAGTTGTTTGTACGCCGGGTTTCATGGTGTCGCCGACTCGAGAGGTCCCGGTTTTGAATCCCGGTAGTAGGGGCAGATGTTTGTGTGATGAATACATACATTTGTACTCCAGTCATAAATGTTTAATATGTATTTCTATATAAATATATGTATCAGTATGTGTATTCTATCCGTTATCCCTAGTATCCCATGACACAAGCCTTCAGTGCCTACTTTGGGGCTAGGCTAATTGGTGTGAGTGTGGGAATTATTTATTTATTTATTTAAAGGATTAACTACGAGATCTTGGTGCACAATACTAACTTTGAACCCCTTTTTGTCTCTTTGGGAGGTGAGTTTTGAAAATCGTTTCTTTGCGCACGACTACATCATAATAGCTATATTTGTGCTAAATTTCAGCGCAATCCGTTGTGGTTTGAGCTGTGCATAAATTCATCAGCCAATAAGGGTAACTTTTATATATACACTAGCGGCCCGCCCTCGCTTCGCTTCGGTGTAGAGCTGAAGTGTAGACTACAGTTTTTGTTCTCAGGCTTGTATTACACACAATGACATTCATCTATGATTCTTCTTATACCTTCATGCAAAGTCAGCCCGATCGGTTTAAAATAGACAATGTTTCATACAAATTTCCATTCCCTATATTATCCCCTTGGGGGTAGAATTGATCAAAATCCTTTCTTAGCGGATGCCTACGTCATAACATCTACCTGCATGCCACGCGCGCTGGTCTACGTTGTCACCGTCTTACTGTGGCCACAATTCCAACGCGTACAAAGAAATTTGGTGACTCATTTCTTTGTCGCACTATCCGTAAATGGAATGCTCTGCCCGCTCACGTGTTCCTTCCCTCTTACAACCTGGGATCCTTTAAAAGAGGCGTGAAGAAGCAACATGCAGGCCGGCAGGGTGGGGATGGCTGGTGTGGCAGGTAGAACTGCTGTATCAGCTATCTTCGCGTTTGGACTTCACCTTCACTTAACATCAGGTGGGGTGGAGTCATTCGTCGGACCTAACTAGTTCACTATGTCAGTTAGTCACCTTTGAGTTTTATATATATAGATGTGGTAGTAGTTAAAATAAAATGACGGCGTACCGTGTTGTGTTGCAGCGACCGACTTCATGTCTAACGCTGGAAAGATGGTTTGCGGGAAACCGTTCACGGCAGACGTGTCCCGCGTGTACCGCAGCGTGCTGCAGAATGAGGACTTGGCTGGTGCTGATGACCGCGGACAGCTGGACTCCCTGCCCAGTGAGTATAGCCAAACACACACATTAACAATTTGCCATAGCCACACACACATTAACAATTTGCCATAGCCACACACACATTAACAACTTGCCATAGCCACACACACATTAACAACTTGCCATAGCCACACACACATTAACAACTTGCCATAGCCACACACACATTAACAATTTGCCATAGCCACACACACATTAACAACTTGCCATAGCCACACACACATTAACAACTTGCCATAGCCACACACACATTAACAATTTGCCATAGCCACACACACATTAACAACTTGCCATAGCCACACACACATTAACAACTTGCCATAGCCACATACGCATTAGCAACTTGCCAATGTAACGATTTTGACATAATCTTTTTGCGTGCGAGTCTGCAGTTCGTTCGGTCTTAGGTTCGGTTCCTATCTCGTCCCTGTTAATCCGTGTTAATCAAATTTACGAAATTGTATAAATTAATATGCATCGTTTGTTACATATGGAAATTAAAACAGTATGTTCAGTACCCATAGCACGAACCAATATCGAATTCAAATAGTTTGCGAGTACGAAATTTCACTGTCAAATGTGTACTGATTTTTAGTTCTCGTTACGTCCGTTCTGGCGCTGCTGTTCAAGTTTCCATACAAAATTTCACAATGACATTTCGCACTCGCAAACTATTCGAATTCGATGTTGGTTCGTGCTAAGGGAACAGAGTTTCAGTTTGTCATTACCATAATAATTCAACAAAAGTTAGTATCATATCCTGCAATCCAAGAGCGGGCTAAATTGTACTTCTAGGTCCCAAGCGGTGATACTTTACACTAAGTTAGGTTAGTGCTTTGACCATAACGCGCGAGCCGAGCGAGCAAAGCGAGTGTGCCGCGGCAGCGGCCGGAGAAGCGCCAGAAAAAATAAAGCTGTTAAAATTCAAAAATTCAATATCGTTTATTCAGTCTAGGCTGTTACAAGCACTTGTGAATGTCGATAAGCTACGCCATCGGTTCGCAAATCTACGGCGGGAGACCTTGTACTGCGAAGAACCGGCAAGAAACTCAGCAAGGGCTGCTTTTTTCTCCCTGTTTTATTTCATACAGTGTCGTCCAATTGAAAGTTGACATCAAACTTGCAAACATGTGTTGTGGTCAACTTCCATCACATAATGTCAAATATGTAACAATCAATGAATTTACTAACAATAAGTGCAAAAAAGTTAAAAAAGATCTTTTCTAAAATAAATTCAAGTATCATCTCTTGGACCCTGGATATAAAAATGCAGCGAGCAACCAAAGTCCTTAGTTCACTGATTTGAATTTCTTGACTGACTAAAGGACACCCGGCATTTTTTGCCAAAGTTGTATACTTTTTTAATTTTTTTATCTGTGATTCATAATTGGGTGACGTAGTCTGGCAATATTTGTCATCAGCAGCTAGCTGTCAATGTCAAATACGTAGGTTTGTCAATATAACCTCTTTAAGTAGCCGGGTCGTCAAGAGAAATAACAGATAAAAAGGCAATCACAGCAGAGAACATTCACAAACACAGTACGCGGGAGCGGATGCGAAATGCGAATGATTTTTTTGTTTGTATTTTAGGATTGTCAAATTGACATTTGGTTTTTATTTAGAAAAAGCAAAGGAATCATGGTTTTTACAGTCACTTGAGTAATATTTTGAAGTAAAATTCTGTCCCTTGAAGATTTAGGGTTTCCATATCAAAAAATATTAATCATTATATAACGTCTTTCCACGATTCACTAAAAATAAGGCAAAAGTAGTTTTATGTAGCAAATAATTTTGGCTTTATTTTGAGACCAAATTCAACTGTATACAAGTTTAGCATTTTTGAAGTTATACTTCTTTAGGCGCGTTATGAAAAATTGATGAGAGTGAAATTTTAAGATGCGCGCGCATCACTGTAACACAAAATTTTAACAGCATGAAGTTGGTCGCTTTAGCGACCAACTTCATGCGTTACTTTTGTGTTTACCGCACATTAAGAAAATCTACCAACAAAATAGAAATAGAATCTCTATTTAGTGGGTGCTAACGACTGCATTGTGAAGGCCTATCAAAAGTATTTATTAATTTGGAACAACGGAACCAAAGCGCGATTCAGGAGACTACAGCGCCATCTTTTGACCATTGGTGTAGTAGAACCAAAAACCACATCTTTATTTTTTGTAATAAAGTAACAGTTATAGGTATTCATATTTATAATATTTATCCACATGTTTCTAGTTTGTATATTCGGAATACGTGTTTGAGTTTCATACAAGTGCAAATCACATATGTTCTAATAAATTATATTCAGTAGCGATTTTAATTGAATATTTTGATTATTTATTTATTTTTTCAAATTAAAACTGAACTTTATTGACTGTGTCCTTTTTCAGACTTTTTATTAATTTATTGTAATTAATTATTTGCATGCAATTAAAAACTAATTTTAAACGATGCCAAAGAAGGATAACTTCTCACGCGCCTACATAAGTACACGCACCCATTTTTTATATATTTTATAGTCATAATTTTTATATTATTTGCATTTGTAATGGAAAGCGACTTTATGAGTTACCTCATATTGAAATCATTTTTCAATTTGACGACTCTGTATATAAATACAGGGAGAAAACAGCCCTTCTTGCCGGTTCTTCTCAGTACAAGGTCTCCCGCCGTAAATTTGCGAACCGATGGCGTAGCTTTTCGACATTCACAAGTGCTTGTAACAGCCTAGACTGAATAAACGATATTGAATTAGGAATTGATTTTTTTTAAAAGTCCGCTTAAAAAAGTGCTTGTTTACAGCGGATTTCTGCCGATCAGTGTACAAGGGCATCGCGCAAGCGCCGGGCGGCAAGATAGTGTGGAGTTTTGTGAAACCATTGCTTTTGGGCAAACTACTGTATACTCCAACCACGCCGCTTGTAGAAAGGATTATACAGAAGGTACGTATGTACTTTATTCATTGACGACCTCCGTGGCCGAGTGGTTTGTACGCCGGGTTTCATGGTGTCGCCGACTCGAGAGGTCCCGGGTTCGAATCCCGGTGGGGGCAGATGTTTGTGTGATGAATACGAGCATTTGTACTCCAGTCATGGATGTTTAATATCATCATCATCGGCCTATTAATGTCCCCACTGCTGGGGCACAGGCCTTCCCTATGGATGGAATAGGGAGATTGGGCTATGACCCACCACGCGGACCAGGTGCGGATTGGTGGGTGCTAACGACTGCAGATGCAACCGGGACCAACGGCTTAACGTGCCTTCCGAAGCACTGAGGAACGCGAGATAGAAATTTTCGGTCACCCATCCAATGACCGACCACTGCGAAAGTTGCTTGAGTTCAACGATCGCAGCCAAACGCGCTAACCACCTGCGCCATCGAGCTCCTCCTATAAAAATATATTTATACTTATATATGTACTGTATATGTATTGTATCAGTTACCCTAGTATCCCATAACACAAGCCTACAGTGCTTACTTTGGGGCTAAGCTAATTGGTGTGAGTGTTGGAAATATTTATTATTTATTTATTTTTTCATACTATTACTGTTACTGTATGGCGCATTAACATTAGACAGCCTGAAGTTAGCCGCTTGATTGTACACTGAATGATTTTGGAATACTGCGCAACTAACTTCATGCCGGCCAAAATTCGTGAACTGTGTTTTACAAGTCATCTAAATACAATAGTTTTCAGCATTTCAGCCAGTTTTTTCTTCTCTTTTCCATTCAATTTTTTAAGCCTAATTTTATAAATCTATATGTATAAAACTCAAGGGTGACTGACTGACTGACATAGTGATCTATCAACGCACAGCCCAAACCACTGGACGGATCGGGCTGAAATTTGGCATGCAGGTAGATGTTATGACGTAGGCATCCGCTAAGAAAGGATTTTGATCAATTCTACCCCCAAGGGGATAAAATAGGGAATGAAAGTTTGTATGAAACTTTGTCAATTTTAAACCGATCGAGCTGAGACTTTGCATGCAGGTATAAGAAGAATCATAGATGAATGTCATTGTGTAGAATACAAGCCTGAGAACAAAAACTGTAGTCTACACTTCAAGTCTACACCTTAGCGAAGCGAGGGCAGGCCGCTAGTTTTGGTATAAAGATAAACGGGATCTTGGAAAGAACATTTTATCAAGTGAGGATATAGATACGTAGATGACGTATACGTAGTACGTGAGTGTGTATGTCACTGAACTTCTCTTAAACGACTGGACCGATTTTGATGAAATTTTTTGTGTGTGTTCAAGGGGATCTGATGGTTGAATGGTTTAGATTCACAATTTAGTCCGCTGGAAAACCCCTATTTTTTTAGGGCGGTACGAAGTTCGCTGGGTCAGCTAGTTTATTTATATATTTTTTAAAGCATGTATCTGCTTGATGTTTAAATCTAAAGAAAATATAACTAGAAAAAAATCCACGAGGTCCAGGCAGCAGACGGGACTCGAACCCGCAACCTTCGCAATCCGCGCGAATGCTCTGACCAATTATGCTACCGCGGCCCTTACGGACCACGTCGAAATTCCTCTAGCCATTCTTAAGCTGCAAGGCAGCGCCATCTCTTCGCATTATAGGTAACCCACAATGACAAATCGACGCGGTCCGTGAGGGCCGCGGTAGCATAATTGGTCAGTGCATTCGCCCGGATTGCGAAGGTTGCGGGTTCGAGTCCCGTCTGCTGCCTGGACCTCGTGGATTTTTTTCTAGTTATATTTTCTTTAGATTTAAACATCAAGCAGATACATGCTTTAAAAAATATATAAATAAACTAGCTGACCCAGCGAACTTCGTACCGCCCTAAAAAAATAGGGGTTTTCCAGCGGACTAAATTGTGAATCTAAACCATTCAACCATCAGATCCCCTTGAACACACACAAAAAATTTCATCAAAATCGGTCCAGTCGTTTAAGAGAAGTTCAGTGACATACACACTCACAGAAGAATTATATATATAAAGATATTCCTTTTGAGAGCGCCTGTTCCTTGAGCTGCGTTTTCGAAAAAAGTATACGCATAAGATTTTTTTTTTTTTTATGTTATAGGGGGCATACGAGCAGACGGCTCACCTGATGGTAAGTGATCACCGTTGCCCATGGACACTTGCAACACCAGGAGTATCACAAATGCGATGCCGGCCTTTAAGGAAGGAGTACGCTCTTTTTTTGAAGGTTCTTGGGTCGTATTGGTCCGGAAACACTGCTGGCGACAACATATTCCACAGTTTTGTCGTACGTGGTAAAAAAATTCGACAAAAACGCACGGTTGTGTATAAATGTAAAATAAATTCTTCAAATGAATGTGATTGAATCGTGTTACCCGGGCACAGTGATATGTTTAAGCTCTTATAACCCAAGCGGCTACTTTCGAGGTAAAAACCGAGGTATACCATCGAGTATAATTCCTAAATTATCAACATCTTCCACAGGCATATGAGAATTTCATTCTTTCAAAAAATGCAAGAAAGATGAAATCTTTTTTTAAAAATTGGTTTTCGACCTTTTTTAAGATAGGTCTGACAAATGACTCCACCCCACCTGATGTTAAGTGGAGGTGAAGTCCAGACGCGAAGATAGCTGATACAGCAGTTCTACCTGCCACACCAGCCATCCCCACCCTGCCGGCCTGCATGTTGCTTCTTCACGCCTCTTTTAAAGGATCCCAGGTTGTAAGAGGGAGGGAACACGTGAGCGGGCAGAGCATTCCATTTACGGATAGTGCGACAAAGAAATGAGTCGCCAAATTTCTTTGCACGCGTTGTAATAGGCTAGTTGATTCATGTCAAATTGCACTATACAAATGATTATTTCTTATAATTTTTGGTATGAGGAACCTAAATACATCGATTTCACTTCATAAAATTAGAAGATGGCTGTAGTAATTTAATTTGAAAAATAGTTTTTTAGTCTATGCTTTTTAAACACTAAAAACGCTGTCCACCAAGATTGTGACGTCAACATAATAGCAAAACAACTAAACGTCATTGTCGTGTTACTGTGTTTTTTTTTCGTCCGACTAAAATATATCTAAAAACTCTTATATCTTGAAGAAAAATTTCGGTTTATTGGTTTTCTTAACTAAATTAATGCTGGACGCCGGATTTGTGAAAGCAGAAACTACAAAACTCGTTGACTTAGCGGGTACATTCATAACCTTAAAAATTGAAACCACAACATTTCTGGAGTTTTTAACGATGTGTTTCTTTATTCTCGTATAATACAATCATGATAATTACTATATTTATCATGAAATCTATTAGAAATCATGCTTTTGTAATGTAAATTCAGATAGGTTATATCCTACGTGCTTGCGAGTGTTTGTTTACTATTGTTCCCGTCATACCATAGATAATCTATAGACTAAAATGGCCGACAGCGTCTTTGTATGTCCATGAAAAATCTATTTTAAAATTAAAGTTTTGCAGCTTTCTAGGTAAAAAAACATTACAATACATTTTTTTTTCGGTGTATTTGAACAATTATTAACCATTTAAAACATATTTCCAAAAAGTGTCAACTAGCCTATTGTGGCCACAGTTAGACGGTGACAACGTATTTCCAAGATCGTCTTGCTGTTTTTGTGTGTAAATAAATAGAGGTTTTTTAAACAGGCTAACTCAACGTTCGCCCACATGGCTAACCTCACTTCCCTGGTCCATTCGTTCGCCGAAGCTTTTTCCTCCGTGGATCAACTGTCAGCTCATCGGCAAGGGGTAGAAGTTCTGAAGAATCTGCTGTCTTCTCCAGCGTTCAAGGATCTGAGGGCCACGCTGATTGGCGACGGGGAAGTGCCAGAGGTTAATGTCGACGACATGTTAGATGAGATCGGGGATTTGCAGGTGTGTTGGAATACATTTTTTAAGATTTTGCATGTATTACTTTTTGTATATTACCCAAAGATTCTTTTTTCTTTTTCAATTCAAAAACTTCTTTAGCGGCGTTGTACACTTTTTTTGTATGGGTAAAAATTTTTAAACTCGCGTCAGCTTAAACACGTGGGCTGGTCGCATCATGACACACAATAAAATTGGAAAGGTTGTTGACTTTAAATATATTGGACGAAATATAGTAATATTTTATTTTATCGTATTATAAATCGAAATTTCGTAAGACGAAAACAATAAAATTGGAAAGGTTGTTAACTTGCAATATATTGGACGAATCATAGTAATATTTTATTTTAGCGTATTATAATAATAAGTCTGTATCTAGGACGTCCAGGTGGCAGCTTTATTGCGAAGAAAATGCATATTTTTTTACAATAAATGTCGCTAGGTGCGCTTAAATGAGTAATTCTGAGAGATAAACTTTTTAATGTAATATAAATTGTCATGTTTGTGTACGATAGCGCAATAAATAAATATTGTATTCTACCACATACATGATCGTACTTTTGTACTGATAATTAAAGAAATTCGTGCAAAATTATTCCCTAACCTTTCCAAAATATCAAAAATGCACAACGTTAATATTCAAGTTTTCACTTCTGCCGGCACTCCCGGAGTGCAACCCGTCTTTTTTTTCTTTTAAGGGACTTTCGGACCAAATTGTCCATACTAGCCCCATCGTAACCTGACCATACAAATTACATATAATTTTTGCTACTACTTTGCAAAGCACATCAGCCTCCTCCGATAGGGGGTTGGCTAGAATGCTGTGCAATATGCCAGTCACAAACCTATTAATTTTAAGGATGGAGAATGCATATCTCCTTTCCGCTTCTTTTGACGCATTCCATTAAAGATTTTTTGAAGTTATACTTCTTTAGGCGCGTTATGAAAAAATGATGAGAGTGAAATTTTAAGATGCGCGCGCATCACTGTAACACAAAATTTTAACAGCATGAAGTTGGTCGCTTCATGCGTTACTTTTGTGTTTACCGCACATTAAGAAAATCTACCAACAAAATAGAAATAGAATCTCTATTTAGTGGGTGCTAACGACTGCATTGTGAAGGCCTATCAAAAGTATTTATTATTCTGGAACAACGGAACCAAAGCGCGATTCAGGAGACCATCAGCGCCATCTCTCGACCATTGGTGTAGTAGAACCAAAAACCACATCTTTATTTTTTGTAATAAAGTAACAGTTATAGGTATTCATATTTATGATATTTATCCACATGTTTCTAGTTTGTATATTCGGAATACGTGTTTGAGTTTCATACAAGTGCAAATCACATATGTTCTAATAAATTATATTCAGTAGCGATTTTAATTGAATATTTTGATTATTTATTTATATTTTCAAATTAAAACTGAACTTTATTGACTGTGTCCTTTTCCAGACTTTTTATTAATTTATTGTAATTAATTATTTGCATGTAATTAAAAACTAATTTTAAACGATGCCAAAGAAGGATAACTTCTCACGCGCCTACATAAGTACACGCACCCATTTTTTTTTAGCTTGTGCATGTGTTATTTTAGCTATGTTTACTTCTTTGGAGTAGGTACTGATATAGGAGCATCTTTATTGCTTTGTCGTAGCGCGATTAGATACCTAAATTGCTGCATTTTTTTATCTAGTCAGTCACACCAACCTCATACTAAAGTATTTTTACACAAGTACTAATAAAGATTAAAATCGCGTATTCCAATTTTTAAGTAATAATAATTACCTTTCGGACCCCTCAGTTTCTGACCCCCTGTTCATTAATTTTGTTTTTTTTCGCCTTGGTTACTAAGCAGTCGTATGCGGGAGCATTTCATAGCTTAGTATCCTAGCAAATTCCGGCGTAACCCCCCGTTTACACCAAGGTTTAATACATGTATTGAACAAGGTTCATACAACACTCACACTCATATACATGTATAAAACATGTAGTATACAATACTTGTATCAAACTTGTTGTAGAAACAAAATATGTGAAGTATACTAATTGTCTATGCAATGTGAACAAAATACTGTTTTAAACAGCCACAACAAGTATACTACAAGTTTTGTACAAAACTAGTCTAAGACTTGTTTCTTGGTGTAAACGAGGGGCTACATAGTTCATATATGTACATATATTTTCGTACCACTTGCTCAAAAAAGTGACATTCTATGCCACAAAAAGCGAGCATAACAATAGTCATTTTTAATCTGTTAAAAACAGGGAAAGAAAATTGTACTGAATTTCATTCATCCACTAGGGGGAGAATGTGATATAAATTTGGAATACTTACTGAACAGCATCTGTGTTTACACCATTGAGTTTGTATATAAAGCATTATACATCTTTTTGAAAAAGTAATACGCATTTATTGTGCAGTTATGATTATTAAATAAAATTACGAAAACCGACGAGGTCGTATTTAATTGGACCAATGTTTCGAATGTTAACTTTAACTTTTTGTCATTATCTATACTACTTATAATAAATCTGTAGAGAGGTCAATTCTGTACATGAAATATATTATCAAAATAACTATCAGGGTTTGATTAGTGATCGATACTGATGCCAAAAATGCAATCAGTAAAATTTTTGTCTGTCTGTCTGTCTGTCTGTGTGTATGTTCCTTATACAAACAAAAACTACTTGACGGATTTTAACGAAACTAGGTACAATTATTCTTCATACTCCTGGGCAGGTTATAGTATACTTTTCGTAACGCCACAATCAATAAGAGCAGAGTAGTGAAGGGAAATGTTGGGAAAACGGGAGAAGTTACTCCATTTTTTAAGCTTCCGTCGCGTGCGCAGCCTTAATGGTTAAAGTTACATAGAAATCATGTATGACGGAAATATTCTACATAAAATTGTCTAAAAAAAAATCCTGTAACAGCATATGTCTATCTTTTATGGTTTACTCACAATAATACGTGTAACTCCTGATAGCTTAGCAGTTCGGAGCATTCTGATTATATTTGTTTACTCTTACGTTTATAATACTCTCACTCATCCCTAATTTAAAAAAGTTAACATTATTACCTATTCAATAAAAAAAGAATCATAAAAAAAGAATGAAATAAATAAATTCAATGTGTACAATACACGCCTCAGAACAAAATCTATAGTCTACACTACAGCTCTACACCGAAGCGAAGCGAGGGCGGGCCACTAGTTTTTAATAAATGCTTATCTCATATTATTGTTGTGTTAATTTTTTCGCAAATGGTACGAAAAGTAGAGTATTTTTTCCTCGGTGTAAAGCTGTCGTAGTCTTGGGTGAACTTAAATCCCTCGCTACACTCAGGACTCGTCTTAAATCCCTCGCTTCGCTCGTGATTTAAGTTTTCAACACCCTCGCTACGCTCGGGAGTACACCTCGAGTCCTTCGTTACGCTCGCGATTTAAATCGTCACCCGCGACAGAAGACACTGCTTTATCCCCTTGGTTAATAATCTACTATTATGTTGTCACATCTCTTTTATCTTTCTCAGAAAGGAAAAGTGTAGGAGCAAAAGTTAATCAATTAAGTATCTATTGTTTACTCCTTGTATTATTAGCTGTGTGTGTGAATATGAAACAAAAGCTATTGATATATCTAAAAAACGTTTCAACAGAGAAGTCTGTTTTGATTTTTCTTCTACCTTCATTTTACCTGTTAATAGTTTAAGTTACCTAGATAAATATAAATTACCCTCGTGAGTAATATCCAAGTTACCCTAGTGAGTAATATCCCTGTATCTGAACAGGGCGTTGGCAGCATCTTATCTCAGGCATCTTCTCTGCTGCGCTGCATCAGTCTGGATCGGTTCCGAGCGGTTCCAGATGAAGACCAACTCGCCCACGAAGCCGCTAACTTGGCGATACTTAACGAATTCACTGCTGGTAACATTCGTTCTATGCATTTTGCGTAAACTAAGTTTAAACATTCGTAAGTTTTAGGTATTAAAGAACGCTTAAAGCTGTAAGTCTAAGGTTTTAGTTACTTAGCAGTACATTAAATATTACAATAAATATTTACACTAAACTTGAGCAGTTTAATAATTATATTCCTAGTAAGATAGTAATGAATCGCGTTCGTATAACTATGTTATGGTATATAATTATGTTCCTAGGCATATAACTACATATATTATTATTATTGACGATCTCCGTGGCCTTGTGGTTTGTACGCCGGGTTTCATGGCGTCGCCGACTCGAGAGGTCCTGGGTTCGAATCCCGGTGGGGTAGATATTTGTGTGATGAACACGAGCATTTGTACTCCAGTCATGGATGTTTAAATATGTATTTCTATATAAATACTAGCTGACCCAGCGAACTTCGTACCGCCCTAAAAAAATAGGGGCTGTCCAGCGGACAAAATTGTGAATCTAAACCATTCTCAGATCCCCTTGAACACACACAAAAAAGTTCATCAAAATCGGTCCAGTCGTTTAAGAGAAGTTCAGTGACATACACACTCACAGAAGAATTATATATATAAAGATACTTATATATGTAAAGTATGTGTATTCTCTCCGTTACCCTAGCATCCCATAACACAAGCCTTATAGTGCCTTATAAGCCTTTGGGGCTAGGCTAATTGGTGTGAGTGTTGGAAATATTTATTTATTTATTATTAATTATGTCCCTAGGAATATAACTACATATATTACGGATTTATCTACCTTACTTCGACATATACACCACTCGGCCCCGAAGGTCATCAATCTAAAACTTTTTGAAGTTATACTTCTTTAGGCGCGTTATGAAAAAATGATGAGAGTGAAAATTTAAGATGCGCGCGCATCACTGTAACACAAAAATTAACAGCATGAAGTTTTAGCGACCAACTTCATGCTGTTACTTTTGTGTTTATCGCACATTAAGAAAATCTACCAACAAAATAGAAATAGAATCTCTATTTAGTGGGTGCTAACGACTGCATTGTGAAGGCCTATCAAAAGTATTTATTAATCTGGAACAACGGAACCAAAGCGCGATTCAGGAGACTACAGCGCCATCTCTTGACCGTTGGTGTAGTAGAACCAAAAACCACATCTTTATTTTTTGTAATAAAGTAACAGTTATAGGTATTCATATTTATAATATTTATCCACATGTTTCTAGTTTGTATATTCGGAATACGTGTTTGAGTTTCATACAAGTGCAAATCACATATGTTCTAATAAACTATATTCAGTAGCGATTTTAATTGAATATTTTGATTATCTATTTATTTTTTCAAATTAAAACTGAACTTTATTGACTGTGTCCTTTTCCAGACTTTTTATTAATTTATTGAAATTAATTATTTGCATGTAATTAAAAACTAATTTTAAACGATGCCAAAGAAGGATAACTTCTCACGCGCCTACATAAGTACACGCACCCATTTTTTTTATTGTTCAAAGGGCTGGTGTTCTTAAACGACGGCACTTCTGAGGAATCCATCACCAACATCCGATACAAGATCCGAATGGACATCGACAATGCACCTACTACGGCCAGATTGAAGAATTAGTAAGTACTAGCAAACCAGTGAACCAAATGTTCACCAAAACCTGATTTAAAAAAAATGTATTTAATTAATTGAGAACTTCGGAGATTTTCTGTGGTTTCGTTTGAAATTCGTGATTTCTCGAAAACTTCCGGTTTTCTTGAAAACTTTCTTTCCGGTGCTACGTTAAATAAAACTAGTTTTTACGGGTTAATGCACGAAACTTTATTTATTTATTGACGTTTCGCAGCCTTTTCAGGTCTGCATCGTCAGAATAATGATTTTTTATTTAAAATTGTTGAGCTACCTTCGAAAGACTTATATTACAATATAAGTCAAAACAATATTTACATTAACCCGTAAAAACTAGTTTTATTTAATGAGTGATGTGCGTGAAAACCTAAGAAACAAATAGTGCTACGTTACTCAAATCCGGTTTGTAGTCTTATCAGACTATTCTTAACTTATAACTTAAACATTCTCTTTATCTATCTCTTACGGTTTGGCCGCTGAAACAGCACCACAGACGGACGGACGGACGGACTTGTCTAATAGATAAGAGATTATTGTAAACATATTATTAGGAGGAGGAACTCGATGGTGCAAGAGGTTAGCGCGTTCGGCTGCGATCGTTGAATTTAAGTAACTTTCGCAGTGGTCGGTCATTGGATGGGTGACCAAAAATCTTTCCTTTTCGTCCCTCCGTGCTTCGGAAGGCACGTTAAGCCGTTGGTCCCGGCCGCATCTGCAGTCGTTAGCACCAATCCGCACTGGGCCAGCGTGGTGGGTCATAGCCCAATCTCCCTATTCCATCCATAGGGAAGGCCTGTGCCCCAGCAGTGGGGTCATTAATAGGCTGATGATGATTATTAGGAATACAGCTGAATGTGTTCTTTCCTTCTTACCACTGACTTATTACTAATCCCCCATCAGGAGCCCTCATTTTAATCCCGATCCATTTAATATGGCCGATCTCACGTTATTGACTAATGTTTATGGAGTCCGTAAAAAGTGGATATTCATCATTCTGGTGTGTATTACAGTAAAAATAAACAAATCAAAAACTCCATTTTCAAGTTGCCGCGAAAACGTTTCTCTGGACAATATGGCGTCTTACTAGTGTGTGACGTCACACGACTGTTATTAAAACGTCAAACGATACAATGTAATGTCACTTTAACCGGAAGTTTACTTGCGTGTGACGTCATTTTCGGCTCCGCCAATCCCAAGCGTTTTGGGTCACGTGACAATAGATAAGAAAACTATTATCTTTTTCGTGGGTTTTTAGTAAAATTATGCATATTTTTTTTTTGTAAAAATAGTAAAAACCCCTTCCAATATTCATTCTAAACACAGATGCTAACAATTGGCACTTTATTTTTAATACTGTCAAATACCCTTTTGCTTTAATATTTAGTTAAAAGATTTGAGGTACGTTCATCATCATTACTAGCCGTTTATATCCCCACTGCTTGGGACCCACGCCTTCACTATGGGTGGCATAGGGAGTGCCCATTTGTGGGTGATATCGATTGCACGTCAAGCCATCAAGTTAACTTTTTTACTACTCATCTTCAAATTTTAAGGGGATTAGGGTATTTGAGGAGCTCCATGGCGCAGGTGGCTAGCGCGTTCGGCTGCGATCGTTGAAGTTAAGCAACTTTCGCAGTGGTCGGTCATTGGATAGGTGACCAAAAATTTACTATTTCGAGCTCCTCCGTGCTTCGGAAGACACGTTAAGCCGTTGATCCCGGCTGCATCTGCAGTCGTTACCACCCACCAATCCGCACTGGGCCCGCGTGGTGGGTCATGGCCCAATCTCCCTATTCCATCCATAGGGAAGGCCTGTGCCCCAGCAGTGAGGACATTAATAGGCTGATGATGAGGGTATTTGACAGTATTAAAAACAAAGTGCCAATTGTTAGCATCTGTGTTTAGAATGAATATTGGTAGAAGTTTTTAATATTTTTATAGAAAAAATATTCATAATTTTACTAAAAACCCACGATAAAGATACTAGTTTTCTTGTCTATTGTCACGTGACCCAAAACGCTTGGGATTGGCGGAGCCTAAAATGACGTCACACGCAAGTAAACTTCCGGTTAAAGTGACATTCGATTGTATGGTTTGACGTTTTAATGACAGTCGTGTGACGTCACACACCAGTGAGACGCCATACTGTCCAGAGACACGTTTTCGCGGCAACTTGAAAATAGAGTTTCTGATTTGGTTTTTTTACCGAAATACACAACATAATGATGAATATCCATCCTTTTTATGGACTCTATAAACATCAGTAAATAACGTGAGATCGTTTTCTAAAACTTGTCAAATACCCTTTTGTACTCGAGACTTGTAATTAAAAAGTAATTATCGCAATCTTTGCACCGATCGATCGTAAGTAAGATAGTGATTAATTGTCTATTTCCTCTCCTATTTATAGTCTATGGATCCCTGGTCCGGAAGATAGCTTCCTGGAGGACCTGCGCTACTTCCGCGGCTTCGTTCAACTCCAGGACATCGTGAGTCAAGCCATCATACAGGTATTACAGTACAATCTAAATAAAAAAATGGGTGCTTGTACTTATGTAGGCGCGTGAGAAGTTATCCTTCTTTGGCATCGTTTAAAATTAGTTTTTAATTGCATGCAAATAATTAATTACAATAAATTAATAAAAAGTCTGGAAAAGGACACAGTCAATAAAGTTCAGTTTTAATTTGAAAAAATAAATAAATAATCAAAATATTCAATTAAAATCGCTACTGAATATAATTTATTAAAACATATGTGATTTGCACTTGTATGAAACTCAAACTCGTATTCCGAATATACAAACTAGAAACATGTGGATAAATATTATAAATATGAATACCTATAACTGTTACTTTATTACAAAAAATAAAGATGTGGTTTTTGGTTCTACTACACCAATGGTCAAGAGATGGCGCTGTAGTCTCCTGAATCGCGCTTTGGTTCCGTTGTTCCAGATTAATAAATACTTTTGATAGGCCTTCGCAATGCAGTCGTTAGCACCCACTAAATAGAGATTCTATTTCTATTTTGTTGGTAGATTTTCGTAATGTGCGGTAAACACAAAAGTAACGCATGAAGTTGGTCGCTTTAAGCAAGAGTTGGTAACAAGTGCAGATGTCGTTGCACTTTAACCCTTACGTAGCACTGCATAAGGCTCATATTAGAATGAACCACGCCACTCGACCTTTATCGTGATCATTCAAGTCGCGACCCGCGGTGTCTGGTAACATCTGTCTCTAGTATTTTTTTTTATTTTAAGGGATAAAAGACGGTTACAATATGTGTTTTACGACTACGATATGTGATACCAGGGTACCGTAAAATCTAAGGTAAGGTCACAACATTATCCACAAATTATTAATTAATAATACCTAGTGCCTTGCTGATGTTTCATTCAGTGTCAGTAAACTTAACACTATGATCCTTGTGCTCAACTATATTTTAACAAACAAAAAGTAGTTATGATTTTATTTATTTTTTAAGCATTTAACTGCTAGATGTTTAAATCTAAACATAAATTTTAGTTTATAAGTAAAATCATAACTATAATTGCTATTTCTTCTTTCAAATGTTTAATACTTGAAAAAGTATTCATTTGACATTGTGGGTTACCTACAATGCGAAGAGATGGCGCTGCCTTGCAGCTTAAGGCTAGGAAAATTTCATGCATGTGTCTAGCATAATGGTCAGTGCATTCGCCCGGATAGCGAAGGATGCGGGTTCGAGTCCCGTCCGCTGCCTTGTCCGCGTGGATTTTTTTCTAGTAAACTTTTCTTTAGATTTAAACAAAAAGTAATAGAAAAAATATATATACAAATCGGTAATATTTTATATATATTTTATCACTGCATCAAAAATAAAAACAAAAAATAAAAAATAACTACACTAACCAAGTTTAATACACATAAATATAGATGCTATGTGTCCTTTTGCAATATTTTAATAACATCGTACCAAAATTTATATTTTGTTTTTGAAAATATATCCACTTCTGCAAACAAAGTATTGTAAGCTTCAGCCATTCTATGTAGAGGGCAACGTAGCCCTGTATTTGTTCGACAAATCTTAGTGGCAAATAAATTAATGGTTTGCTCAGAGATCGTTTGTGACAATATAGTAAACTAGCAAACCAGTGAACAAAATGTTCACCAAAAAAAAAAAAAAAAAAAGAAAAAAAAATTGAGAATTTCGGAGATTTTGTGTGGTTTCGTTTGAAATAGAAATCACGTGATTTCTCGAAAACCGGAAGTGCTACGTTACTCACATCCGGTTTGTAGTCTTATCAGACTATTCTTAACTTATAACTTAGACATTCTCTATATCTATCTCTTACGGTTTGGCCGCTGAAACAGCACCACGGACGGACGGACGGACGGACGGACTTGTCTAATAGATAAGAGATATCAATGTCCAATCAAGGAGCTCCATGGCGCAAGTGGTTAGCGCGTTCGGCTGCGATCGTTGAAGTTAAGCAACTTTCGCAGTGGTCGGTCATTGGATGGGTGACCAAAAATTTACTATCTCGAGCTCCTCCGTGCTTCGGAAGGCACGTTAAGCCGTTGGTCCCGGCTGCATCTGCAGTCGTTAGCACCCGCCAATCGGCACTGGGCCCGCGTGTTGGGTTATGGCCCAATCTCCCTATTCCATCCATAGGGAAGGCCTGTGCCCCAGCAGTGGGGACATTAATAGGCTGATGATGATGATGATGATGAATGTTCAGGTGGCGAAGGAATCTACGGGGCAAACGAGGTACAAACGAGAGGCTGTAGCCGAAGATAAGTGGGCTGTGTACACACAGCAGATGCCGTATCCGTGCTACAGGAAAGACTAGTGAGTATCTCTTATCTATGGCTATAAAATTGTCTTTGACAGGAAGTATTATTATCATGATCACCCTATTAATGTATATATTACCTATATCTGTATATATGTTAGACCAGTGGTGGGCAAACTTTTTGAATAGCGGGCCATAAAATTTATGAAATTCTTAAGGAAGGCCTTTAGGGTTGAAATTGACATATAACTAACAGTCATAATGTCAATTTCAACTTTTATAGCTACTTTTTAACATCCAATCTTCGAAAGTTTTTTTTTTTCAGACCATATAATATCGTACTTTGCCCACCATTGTGTTAGACTATAAGGTATTTAAGTATGGGATTACGTTGCCTGATTATAAAAAAAATAAATTAATTAATTGATGTCCCCACTGCTGGAGCATGGATGGCATAGGGTGATTGGGCCTTCCATGACCTGCCACGGAGGGTAGTGCGGATTGGGGAGTGATAGCGACTGCAGATGCAGTCAGGACCAACGGCTTAACGTGCCTTCCGAAGCACGGAGGAGCTGGAGATAGAAGATTTTTGGTCACCCATCCAATGACCGACCACTGCGAAAGTTGCTTAAATTCAACGATCGCAGCCGAACGCGCTAACCACTTGCACCATCGAGCTCCTCGATTTTAGAACATGACATTCAAATATATTGTTTTAAACTTTCATGGTCACTAACAACATAGCTATTAAAGGGATTGTTACCATGTACCTTATTTTATATGAGTCTCCGATATTTCGCGATCTGATACTGTGAGTATTGTGTGTCGGGAACAAGTGCGAGTGAATAGTGAGAATGTGACCAGTGGTAGGGGTATCGAGCGCAGTAAAAGACGACGTCAGAGGGTAGACCGATATGTCTGCCAATAACATCTACCCGCAATTACTTCAGTTACTCCGTGATCATGGAGCTTGCGGCGGTGAGAAGATAATTATTTTTTGGTCACCCATGTATTGACCGGCCATTGCGAAAGTTGTTCAACTTGCACGATCGCAGACCGAATGCGCTAATGAGCTGCGCCATCGAACTCATGTCCTCTTTCTTTTGTAATAAAAAGCAATATTCGTCAATAACAAAGAAATTTTCTAAACTTATTTTAATAACTTGTGGGTAAATTACAATGCGAAGAGATGGCGCTGCCTTGCAGCTTAAGGCTAGGAAAATTTCGACGCGGCTAATAGGGCCGTGGTAGCATAATGGTCAGTGCATTCGCCCGGATAGCGAAGGATGCGGGTTCGAGTCCCGTCCGCTGCCTGGTCCGCGTGGATTTTTTTCTAGTAAACTTTTCTTTAGATTAAAACATCTAGCAGTTAAATGCTTAAAAAATAAATAAAATCATAATTATTTTAATAAGTTCGTAATGAACGTTTGATCTTCGCTTTTTCAATATTGATCTTCCATTTCTGTCAAAAATAACTGTTGTCACATGACGTGAATTTCTTATTTTACCATCCACATCTTTTTATCACATTTTTTTTAACAACGCTCCTGATTTTATGTGTGAGTGGAGGCTGGTCACAAAGATAGCTGCTGTAGTACAAATGTGCCGCTTCAGCCATCCTCACCTTCCCGGCCTGAACTCTAACCCATGGAGGCCTGTAATGCAGCCATCGAAAGTAATCAAAACGACACGCCACTAAAATATAGTGTTATTTTTTTTTCTAATGGCCTCGCACGGTTTGTGCATTTAGCCAATGTCAAGTGTTAAAATGTTTACAAATACTACAGCACTCGTGTTCAAAGTAATAAATCAAGTCAAAGTGGCAGTCAAGTCAATCCCCCTTTCCCTATGTTTCAGTAAAAGTGTGGGGATTTACTGGAACCACCCCGTGGACTTCTTGAGGGAAAGTCGAAAGGCACTTTCCGCTATTTTGTTTCACTTGCCAACACTTGTGCATGTTCCCGAACACTTATTGGTTAATAATCCTCCATTATTAGACACTAACATCGGCCACAACACAATTTTTAACCAGAAAAACAAAACTGCTAAAGTGACACTTCCCGATCCCGCCAAAAAGTCCTATAGTGTTATTTCACTGTTGAGGGGCTGGCGAACAGAACCGGATTAGTCCACTAAAGGAAATTTTACACGGTGGCTGTTACGACCAACTTGTATTTTCACCCGTTTTTATTATACCATGTTTTATAGTTTTCTGTTATAAATACTTTGTACAATAATCATAGACATTGCATTGTCATCTGTAAATTTATAAAGCAAAAATCAGTGCTAAACCAACTCCAAGTATTATAGAGGTGACATATCAGACTAGACTGGTTTTGTTTGCAAATGCACTTTTAAAAGCCTTTTTTTTGCCTACTTCAAACCGGTTTTGATTGAAAATATTAACAGGGATCGACGAAACTGGATCGAGACATCGTGACTCGAAAAAAAAACTATTTCTATCCAGTACCCCTAGCACGAACCAATATCGAATTCGTATCGTTTGCGAGTCCGAAATGTCATTGTCAAATGTGTACTGATTTTTATTTCTCGTTACGTACTTTACAATACAAAATTTGACATTGACATTTCGATTTGCAAACTATTTGAATTCGATAGTGGTTCGTGCTAGGGTCTACAGTTCCTCTGTTGTCTTCTGTAAGGCGAAGGTTGCTTTCCCAATATTGATGCTTCATTTCAAGCTCCCCACAAATGTTGTTCTATCCGGTAAGAATCCCGCAGCTCCACCTATCGGGTAGAGATGTAAGTTAGGTTTTAATTTTTAATTTTCTTGCGCATCTATTTATGAAGTGAAAACTTCTTTAGCGGCGTTGTACACTTTTTTTTTGTATGGGTCAAAAATGTTAAACTCGTGTCAGGTTAAACACGTGGGCTGATCGCATCATGACACACAATAAAATTGGAATGGTTGTTGACTTTCAATATATTGGACGAAACATAGTAATATTTTATTTTACCGTATCGTAATAATAAGTCTCTATCTAGGACGTCCACGTGGCAGCTTTATTGCGAAGAAAATGCATTTTTTTTACAATAGATGTCGCTAGGTGCGCTTAAATATGATTCATGTAAGTTGATTTCTTTACAATAGATGTCGCTAAGTGCGTTTAAACGTGATTCATGTAAGTTGATTTTTCTGAGAGAGAAACTTTTTATAATATAATATAAATTGTCATGTTTGTGTACGATAGCGCAATAAATAAATATTGTATTCTACCACATACATGATAGTACTTTTATACTGATAATTAAAGCAATTCGTGCAAAATTATTCCGTAACCATTCCAAAATATCAAAAATGTACAGCGTTAATATTCAAGTTTACACTTCTGCTGGCACTCCCGGAGTGTAACCCGTCGTTTTTTTGTTATATATCCGTCTACAGCATATTTACAATACGTTTTTAAAAAAAAATATGGGTAAAATCGGTAGAGTACGACAACGATCTTACGGTAGAGTACGGCAAAAGTCATTTAAAAGACTATTCGTTTCTGACCTATGTTTTGATTTGATTTACTAATTCTAGGTGGGGGGTGCCAAAGATATTAAATACCCTAGATACACCACGAGCGCTCAAATTGTGTCCCAATCAAGAAGTGCTTGAACTACACTCAAGCACTTCTTGGTTCACAGTCACGCGTGGACCGTTACAAAGTAAAGATGCCATAAAGCTCCGCGAAAAAATGCGAAAACAAATACTTAGAGTACGAAAAGTGTTATTTTTTCGACAGATGCATTCCTTGACGCATGCATTTTATTTAAGACCTTATACAGTATGTATTAAAGGTTACTTTCAATGTTTAAATAATGCCTTATATTGATTTTAACTACGCGATCATCTTACGGAGCTCCGTGGATCGTACAATGTACCTTTTGGACAGGTTTCGGGCACGATTTTGTTCGTGTTGGTGTATCTAGGCTATTTAATATAGTTGGGGGGTGCCAGATTTTAAATATGCCCCTATAAATATCTCTTGTGTTAGCTTCCAGACATCCTTGTACGAGTCTCAGGCGCTGATAGTGGCGTTCTTCTTCTCTATGCTGTTCTCCGTCGCCTCTATAGTACGATTCTTGGTGGCCGACCGAGAGACTGGCAATACTATGGTAAGATATATATCATTCATTATACTGGCAACACCATTAAAGTACGACAATTTTCATCGTTAACGAACATTTATGAAATTATATATTAGAACTAGCTGCCCGCCCTCGCTTCGCTTCGGTGTAGAGCTGTAGTGTAGACTACAGTTTTTTTTCTCAGGCTTGTATTATACACAATGACATTCATCTATGATTCTTCTTATACCTGCATGCAAAGTCTCAGCCCGATCGATCGGTTTAAAATTGACAAAGTTTCATACAAACTTTCATTCCCTATTTTATCCCCTTGGGGGTAGAATTGATCAAAATCCTTTCTTAGCGTACCGTAAATTTTTAGTTACATCAATAATAAAAAATATTTAAATAAAACTAGTTTTAACGGGTTAATGCACGAAGCTTTATTTATTTATTGACGTTTCGCAGCGTTTTCAGGTCTGCTTCGTCAGAATAATGTTTTTTTTTATTTAATTTTGTCGAGCTACCTTCAAAAGACTTTATAAAATTTTTTTGATAGATGACGACTAATTTTTTTTTTCGTTTTTCTGGTAGATTATCAAAAAGTATTGGACACGTATTTTTTCTTTTTTCACATAATATAAACATTTCAGAGATATATTGATTTGTAAAGTCGCATGACGTCACGTTTGAGTACACTTATAAGTGAAAATTCACTCAAAAGTGACGTCACAAGCCCCTACTCCCAAACTTTGACGCGCTATAACTTCGTCATTTTTTGGTTTATTGCCCAAAGAAAAAATACGTGTCCATTATTTTTTGATCATCTAACTGACGGTCTAAATAGAATTTCGTTTACTGTACCCCGTCATCATCCCTATTATTAAAATATACCTACAGGTTTGTACGGAACCTTCGGTGCGCGATTCCGACTCGCTCTTGGCCGGTTTTTTTTTTTCATAGCTTTCTTTATACTGAACCTTTCATCATCATCATCAGCCTATTAATGTCCCCACTGCTGGGGCACAGGCCTTCCCTATGGATGGAATAGGGAGATTGTGCTAACCACTGCAGATGCAGCCGGGACCAACGGCTTAACGTGCCTTCCGAAGCACGGACGAGCTCGAGATAGTAAATTTTTTTTTGGTCACCCATCCAATGACCGACCACTGCGAAAGTTGCTTAACTTCAACGATCGCAGCCGAACGCGCTAACCACTTGCGCCATCGATCCCCTCACTGAACTGAACCTTTGTGTACAGCTAATGGGAGTGATGGGCGTGAAGGTGTCCTACTGCACTATCTCCTGGGTGATATGGAGCAGTATAGAACTAGCTGTGACATACGGCTGCATCTGTGCCGTATTGGAAGGGGGCGGGATATTACCTCGTACTCCGGCTTCTTTACTCCTGACGCTGCTTATATTAGCCCAGATCAGTGGACTCAGCTTCTGGTGAGTTTATTCATACTAATATCACCATATTAACTCGTAACAAAAGAGAAAAAGAAAAAGAGCGTACTCCTTCCTTAAAGGCCGGCATCGCATTTGTGATACTCCTGGTGTTGCAAGTGTCCATGGGCGACGGTGATCACTTACCATCAGGTGAGCCGTCTGCTCGTATGCCCCCTATGACATAAAAAAATAATAATGGGTGCGTGTACTTATGTAGGCGCGTGAGAAGTTATCCTTCTTTGGCATCGTTTAAAATTAGTTTTTAATTGCATGCAAATAATTAATTACAATAAATTAATAAAAAGTCTGGAAAAGGACACAGTCAATAAAGTTCAGTTTTAATTTGAAAAAATTAATAAATAATCATAATATTCAATTAAAATCGCTACTGAATATAATTTATTAGAACATATGTGATTTGCACTTGTATGAAACTCAAACACGTATTCCGAATATACAAACTAGAAACATGTGGATAAATATTATAAATATGAATACCTATAACTGTTACTTTATTACAATAATAACATAAAAGTAACATTGAAAAATAAAGATGTGGTTTTTGGTTCTACTACACCAATGGTCAAGAGATGGCGCTGTAGTCTCCTGAATCGCGCTTTGGTTCCGTTGTTCCAGATTAATAAATACTTTTGATAGGCCTTCACAATGCAGTCGTTAGCACCTACTAAATAGAGATTCTATTTCTATTTTGTTGGTAGATTTTCTTAATGTGCGGTAAACACAAAAGTAACAGCATGAAGTTGGTCGCTTTAGCGACCAACTTCATGCTATTAATTTTTTGTGTTACAGTGATGCGCGCGCATCTTAAAATTTCACTCTCATCATTTTTTCATAACGCGCCTAAAGAAGTATAACTTCAAAAAAAAAACCATTTTTCATAAATATAAAATACTAACTGTAACATCTTTATATATCCTGGAAGCATGTAAACTAGTAAAAAAGAACTACAAACAAAATATTTTTGTAAATAGTAAAGATAATTATATTGGATTTTCCGGTTCAACTAGTATTAGTATAGATATGTATCAAACACCTATGTGTATTGTATCCGTTAAGCCTTTCGGACCAGGCTAATTGGTGTGATCATGGGAAATATAATTATTTTAAATGAAAAGAAAATATAACTAGAAAAACTTCTACGCAGACCAGGCAGCAGACGGGACTCGAACCCGCACCCTTCGCAATCCGGGCGAATGCACTGACCAATTATGCTACCGCGGCCCTCACAGACCGCGTCGAAATTCTTCTAGCCATTCTTAAGCTGCAAGGCAGCGCCATCTCTTCGCATTATAGGTAACGCACAATGTCAAATGAATACTTTTACAAGTATTAAACATTTGAAAGAAAATTTCGACGCTGTCCGTGAGGGCCGCGGTAGCATAATTGGTCAGTGCATTCGCCCGGATTGAGAAGGGTGCGGGTGCGAGTCCCGCCTGCTGCCTGGTCCGCGTCGAATTTTTTCTAGTTATATTTTCTTTAGATTTAAACACCAAGCAGTTACATGCTTTAAAAATAATAAAAATTATAATTATAATTATTTTCTTTTTCTAACAGCTACATGATGTCCAAGCTATTCAATCGCGCCAGCTTTGCAGCTGTTTGCACCGCCATCGCGTACCTGATAACTTTTATGCCCATCGTGCTGATTCTGTCGCTAGAAGCTGTCATTTCTAAGGCGTCCAAGTTACTTATTGTGAGTATTCTGTTATTGAATAAATGCTATTATAGCCTCCTGTCCCTTTTAGTCCAGTCAGTATTGTCGCGAAATCCGTTTTTCCTCAAACAGCTGGAACTATGCTAAAAAGTTTCTTAAGATAGTAAAGAACACTTTACATAGAGAAAAAAATTTTTCCAACCCCGGGCAAGGGTGAAAACCACCCTTAATAATCTATTTTTCCAATTATCTCAAAAAGTATACGAGATACGGAAAAAAACTTCAAATGAAAATTGTAGATCTTTTTGAAATCTACAAAACATTATTCCACCCTCTTGCCCCTATTTTCAATAGGGGAGCCAATAATCGAAGTCAAAGATTCAATACTTAAAAAGTTAAAGTTAGTTAAAAAAGTTATCTTTGACTTCGATTATTGGCTCCCCTATTGAAAATAGGGGCAAGAGGGTGGAATAATGTTTTGTAGATTTCAAAAAGATCTACAATTTTCATTTGAAGTTTTTTTCCGTATCTCGTATACTTTTTGAGATAATTGGAAAAATAGATTATTAAGGGTGGTTTTCACCCTTGCCCGGGGTTGGAAAAATTTTTTTCTCTATGTAAAGTGTTCTTTACTATCTTAAGAAACTTTTTAGCATAGTTCCAGCTGTTTGAGGAAAAACGGATTTCGCGACAATACTGACTGGACTATTTAGCATGACCACCGAAACGGGATATGATAAAGCGATATATCGGCGTTAACTGTCAGACTACTATGGAGTTTGACAGTAGTCTGACAGTTAATGCCGATATATCGCTTTATCATATCCCGTTTCGGTGGTCATGCTTTAGGGGCAGGAATACCTAAATGATAAAACTACTATGCAACAAATATAATAAATACTATATTATTTTTATTATAAAAAGATATAATACAATACTTATATAAATAAATAAAATCGTACATAAATCATAACTCTCATTATACAATATCTTATTGTAGTAGTATGAATAGATAATTTTTATGGGTTTTAATTCATTGGATATAACAAATTATATCACAACTAGCGGCCCACCCTCGCTTCGCTTCGGTTTAGCTAAAGTGTAGACTACAGTTTTTGTTCTCAGGCTTGTATTATACACAATGACATTCATCTATGATTCTTCTTATACCTGCATGCAAAGTCTCAGCCCGATCGGTTTAAAATTGACAAAGTTTCATACAAACTTCCATTCCCTATTTTATCCCCTTGAGGGTAGAATTGATCAAAATCCTTTCTTAGCGGATGCCTACGTCATAACATCTACCTGCATGCCAAATTTCAGCCCGATCCGTCCAGTGGTTTGGGCTGTGCGTTGATAGATCACTATGTCTATTACAGCCCTTCCTTAAATGTAAATTTTTTTCAGTTCTTTTGAACAGCTTTTAGAAAATATAGTCCCTTCTTATGACCATTCCCTGATCATGGGTGACTTCAACACATGTCTCTTGAAAGGTGATTTTCGTGCCACCTCTCTTCAATCCGTTGTCAGTTCATGTAATTTACACATCCTTCCACTTAGCGCTACTCATCATTTCCCAAATACTACTCCTTCACTTCTCGACTTATTAATAGTGTCTTCTCCTCAACGTGCTATGAAACACGGTCAATGTGCGGCAGATGCATTCTCATACCATGACTTGATTTTCTTATCGTACAAGATTCGTCCTCCTAAGCCCAAGCCGAAAGTCATTCTTCAGCGGAATTTTGGTGGTATGGATCAGGAGGCGTTACTGAAAGACCTGCATGATGTCGACTGGTCGTTAGTGACTAGCGCGGCTACATTGGACGAACAAGTGCATACTTTCAACAATATTATAACCAAGCTTTATGATAAACATGCACCGCTTCGTCCTATTAAGCTTAAGCACCATCCAGCACCTTGGCTCACACCAGAGATAAAAGTATTGATGCACAAGAAGAATGTGGCCAAGAGTAAATATAAAATTCGTCCGACAGACTGTAATAAAAACAACTATGCAAAGGCTCGCAATCACTGTAACATGGTGTGTAGGGATGCTTTACGTCGCCATATTCATGCATCTGTCAGCAATAATGATCCTGCTAAAGTGTGGAACTTCCTTAGATCACTTGGAATTGGTAAACCTCGTCAAACGTCTTTTCCTAGTAACATCGATATCAATTCACTTAATGTTCATTTCTCTGTATCTTCTAGTCTCAGTAATTTGCACAAAGCTAGTACTATAAATGTTCTTTCATCTTTACCAGTTCCAGACTACTCTCCTTTTGTCTTTACTCAATTTTCCGAATGTGACGTTAAGAAGAGCATGCTGTCCATTTCTTCCAATGCGGTAGGTAATGATAGTATTAGTCGTAATATGCTGATACCTATCTTAGATATGATCCTTCCTATCCTTACCTTTCTTTTTAATAGCTCTATAACAAATGCTGTTTTTCCATCGGCTTGGAAAGAAGCCCAAATCGTTCCTTTGCCCAAAAAATGTAATCCTCAATTTCTTGCTGATTTTCGGCCTATTTCTATCCTTCCTTTCTTATCTAAAGTCCTTGAACGTCTTGTCCTTAACCAATTCAATACATTCCTGTCTCGTTATAATCTTTTTAATCCTCTTCAATCCGGTTTCCGTCCTGGGCATAGTACTACGACTACCCTCCTGAAAATTACAGACGACATACGCCTTGGGATGGATCAGGGTCATCTCACAGTATTGACATTACTAGATTTCAGCAATGCCTTTAATACGGTCAATTTTGACATTCTTTTGGCTTTGCTGCGCTCTCTTAACGTATCTCCATCGGCAATTGAGTGGTTTCGCAGTTATCTGCAGGGACGCAGGCAGAGGGTTCGCGTCGATGAGATTTTTTCCTCGTGGATCGACACTTCTGCTGGTGTTCCCCAAGGCGGCGTTTAATCTCCTCTTCTCCTCGCTATATTTATTAATTCTATTTCCAATAATATTTCTTCTTCCTACCACCTGTATGCAGATGATCTTCAAATTTATAGACAAGCCTCTCTTGGTCAATTATCCGAAGCAATACTGGCAACAAATAATGATCTGCGACACATTGTAGAGTGGAGCGGATCTTTCGGACTAGAAGTAAATCCCTCCAAAACACAGTGCATTATCATTGGTAGCTCAAGGTTGATTGCCAGAGTAAACTGGCAGTTACTTCCTACCATATCTGTTGCTGGCACCAATATTCCATTCAGTGTTTCTGTAAAAAACTTAGGATTAACTGTCGATAACTGTTTGAGTTGGGGTCCACAGTTACAAACTGTTAGCCAAAAACTGTTCGCTTCGGCAGCCTCGCTGAAGAGACTTCGCAATTTCCTTCCTACTGCCACCAAAATTTCCCTAGCACAGTCTCTGCTGCTTCCTATTCTTGATTACGCTGACGCCTGCTATCTTGATCTCACGGAAGACCAGCTTAATAAGCTTGAGCGACTTCAAAATTTCTGTATTCGTTTCATATTTTGCTTACGCAAATATGATCATGTGTCGCAATTTCGATCACAGCTCAAGTGGCTACCAATTCGACTTCGCCGGAATACTCACATCCTCACACTTCTCTACAATATATTGTTCAATCCTTTGTCCCCGCGCTATCTCAAGGAATGCTTCAATTACCTTCATAGCTCAAACGCGTCATCAGAGAATTTAACCCTAAAAATTCCTACTCATGACACAACCTTCTATGGTCGTTCTTTTGCCGTCCAAGCTGTTCTCCTGTGTAATTCTCTTCCAGTATCCATAAGACGAGCACAATCTATTCATACTTTCAAAAAACTTGTTTTCAACCATTATTTGTCGATGTAACTGCAATTGCTTTTTTTTTCTGACTGGATTAAACTTTTATATGTGTAGTCTATGTATGTATATGTCATATATTTATATTACTTAAATATATATCTTATAGTAATATTATGTGTATATATGGTATGTATATATATTTAATGTATATAGTTATATACATTTTTATATCCTTTGTTTCTTTTATAACACCACCGACTCCAATTTCATTCAATCCTCTCCATCCAAAGGTTGTCTGGAAGAAATCGCTTTTAGCGATAAGACCGCCCATTGAATCACTGTTTAAACATAATGTATTTACCCCATTTATGTACTGTACTGTGGTGTTTCAATAAAGAATTTTGTATTGTATTGTATTGTATGTCAGTCAGTCACCTTTGAGTTTTATATATACCTATAAAGATTGCTCATTGTATTTTTTTCTACATATGTATTTGCGTGTATGGCTAATAAATACTTTTTTCTTTCTTTCTTTCTTTCCATATCTCCCTTAGTGCCTGTCGATGTCGTCAGCGCTGTGTTCAGCTCTGGTAATCATCTGTGGACTAGAAGCACGCGGTTCTGGAGCACACTGGGCAGACGTGTGGACGGCAAACGACCAGGAACTGAGTATTGGAGACGCAGCCATTATGATGCTGTTTGATGCTGTTTTATACGCGGCTATAGGATGGACTATTGATCGGTTCTTCGGTAAGTCATTAAGCTATGTAGACGGCTATATAGTTATACACAGCTATAGTCTATTCACATTGGTGTGAGACAAAATGTAAACAAACTAGCGGTGGGTCGTTCTCAAATTTTCTGACGACGAAACGCAACCGTTTTCTCTTAAACGAAAACTAGTCATCGAAACGGTTCTCGTTCGCAACTGGTTTTGGTTGCGGCTGGGTGACGACGCGACGCGAGACGGTCGAACGAATGTAACGCAACGAAACTGAACTAAATGAAATCTTGTTCACGTTCGTTTCGTTGCTGCGAACGAGACGAAATAAATGTAGTGTTATACGATAATCGACTTTATATGTTCACCAATAAAGATTATATTATTGTAAAATCAAAGCTTAATTGTCATAGAACGAAACGGCCTCATATCATTGCGTTCTATTATAGACTGTATTTACTTCACCATAAAGTACATATTGGCGTGCAGACAATTCGAGGACTAGTTGTTCGACGAAGACTGTTTTGATCCGAAACGTAAAACGGTTCTATCGTCGCGGAACACAAAACGGTCCTTGAAACCGGTTCGTCTTTAGAACGCTCACACCTAAAACAAACGATAAAAAGAATACTTTTTAAGTAAGGATTTAATACCATTTACATAAAAAATGCAGGGAAACATTAAGTTAATTAATTATTTTAAAAGCTAGTACCTACATACATATGAATAAGAAAATAATAGTAAATTTTACACATATTTAACGTACATACTCATCAAAAATCCGAATATTTTTGAAGTTATACTTCTTTAGGCGCGTTATGAAAAAATGATGAGAGTGAAATTTTAAGATGCGCGCGCATCACTGTAACACTGTTTTGTGTTTACCGCACATTAAGAAAATCTACCAACAAAATAGAATCCCTATTTTGTGGGTGCTAACGACTGCATTGTGAAGGCCTATCAAAAGTATTTATTAATCTGGAACAACGGAACCAAAGCGCGATTCAGGAGACTACAGCGCCATCTCTTGACCATTGATATAGTAGAACCAAAAACCACATCTTTATTTTTTGTAATAAAGTAACAGTTATAGGTATTCATATTTATAATATTTATCCACATGTTTCTAGTTTGTATATTCGGAATACGTGTTTGAGTTTTATACAAGTGCAAATCACATATGTTCTAATAAATTATATTCAGTAGCGATTTTAATTGAATATTTTGATTATTTATTTATTTTTTCAAATTAAAACTGAACTTTATTGACTGTGTCCTTTTCCAGACTTTTTATTAATTTATTGTAATTAATTATTTGCATGCAATTAAAAACTAATTTTAAACGATGCCAAAGAAGGATAACTTCTCACGCGCCTACATAAGTACACGCACCCATTTTTTATTTTGATTATAAAAGTAAATTAACTACTAAATTTGATATGGAAAAAGGCCTAAAAACGCAATCATTCCCAAACTTAAGCTGTATTATAATACGACAAAGTTTAAGAGTAGACATGATATAAGTATTTTACGTTAAAGTGTTGTGTTTTGTAATCTTTGGGGTACGTCAGCCATCTTTACACTCCCGATCAACCTGTTGACGCGAGCGTGTATATTCTATCATATTTGTTAAATTCTTGTTATTTCCTTGTTTTATTTGATGAGTTTGTTATTATTTTTTTTCTGTTAAGTTTTAATTGTTAATAAAATATAGGTATAATAAATTATATATATCTTTTCTGTAAAAATAGTAATATATAATATTTTTTCTGTAAAAATAGTAAAAACTCCTGGCAATATTCATTCTAAATACAGATGCTAACAATGCTAACAATTGCCACTTTTGTTTTTAATACTGTCAAATGCTCTATTGTAATAAAATTCCTATATTTTTTATGACATATGTCAGTGACATATCTCGACTTGGTGAAATAGGGCCCTGATCTGAAGACACTTCAGATATGCATCATTTCGAATTTAGTACCCCTAGTACAAACCATTATCGAATTCGAATAGTTTGCAAACCGAAATGTCAATGTCAAATTTTGTATGGAAACTTGAACAGCAGCGGCACAAAGTACGTAACGAGAACTAAAAATCAGTACACATTTGACAATGACATTTCGGGCTCGCAAACGATACGAATTCGATATTGGTTCGTGCTAGGGGTACTGAGGCAAGTTGAAACATTTATCAAAAAACATGAACTTTATCCAGGTCTAAAGACACTTCAGAGCTGCATCGTCCGATCCGACTCTAGCGAGGAAAAGGCCGGCGTCAGCATCATCAACGTGTCCAAAGTATACGGTGCTGGAACCAAGCACTCTAAGGTTGCCCTGGACAATGTCTCCATCGAGCTGCATCGAGGACAGATCACTACACTACTAGGACACAATGGGGCGGGGAAAACTACCCTCATGTAAGTACTTTGGCCGCTATTCCAACGCTAACAAAGAAACTGGTCACTTCTGTATGTGTTCAAATTATACGGTGCTGGAACCAAGCACTCCAAGGTGACCATATACAATTTCTCCATGGCACTGCATCAAGGACTATAATAATAATAATAATATTTATTTGTTCTCTTCTCACACACTGAATTTTACAAAAAAAATATAGGTAATTTAAACAAATACAATTGGTTAAGCATCAGCCGTCATTAAATATTTCAAAAGCTACGTATTTGAATTGTGAGAAGCTGCTATGATCTACTACTAGGAAAATGATCTCACGTTATTGACTAATGTTTATGGAGTCCGTAAATAGTGGATATTCATCATTCTGTTGTGTATTTCAGTAAAAATAACCAAATCAAAAACTCCATTTTCAAGTTGCCGCGAAATCGTTTCTCTGGACAATATGGCGTTTTACTAGTATGTGACGTCACACGACTGTTATTAAAAGGTCAAACGGTACAATGCAATGTCACTTTAACCGGAAGTTAACTTGCGTGTGTCATCATTTTAGGCTCCGCCAGTCAGCGTTTTGGGTCACGTGACAATAGATAAGAAAACTATTATCTTTTTTGTTAGTTTTTAGAAAAAAATATTATTTATTTTTAACACTGTCAAATTCCTTATTACTATAGACCACAGACACTTTGTTATAAGTTATTAGTATTCGTACCGCCATAAAAAAATAGGGTTTGGTGGTAGAAGGGCGAAAATTTAGGGTTATATTTATTTTTGTATGATGTATCATAAAAAAATTGAAAAACAAATTATCTAAAATTGAAAAAAAAAATTTAGGGGTGGATTACCCTTAACATTTAGGGGGATGAAAAATAGATGTTGTCCGATTCTCAGACCTACCCAATATGTACACAAAATTTCATGAGAATCGGTCGAGCCGTTTCGGAGGAGTTTAACCACAAACACCGCGACACGAGAATTTTATATATAAGATATTGTATACTAACATATGGTTCCTTGTTGTCTGCCAATAATAGTTATTTATTATACAAGAGTGGAAAGTTCCTTTTTAACCGCGTGCTCGATTTGGATGACCGAGCAAGCGAAGGATTCTAAAGTTGAATCACGAGCGCAGCGAGTGATTCTAAATTAGAATCCTGAGCGTCAGCGAGGGAAACAAACGAGCACAAGGTGAAAAATCTTTCCACTCGAGTGCAATACGTAACTTTTCATCCCACCTCAGCGAGGAAATGACAAAATGAAAAAGAAAACAATTTATAATGACAAAATATTTAAGCAATAAAACGTGAAAAACTAGAATGGCGCGAAGCACGCAAATAAAACAAAGAAACCAAGAAGGTTCCAAATTTAAATTTTTTCACAATTTAAAAAGTTCTAATCATAAATTTGGCACCATAGAGGTTACATTAAATAGGTTTAATGACGTTTTGAATTTACAATTATATTGAGTACTCATTATATGTGATCTTCTAAATTCAAATCTACTTTGCCGCTCAAGCGAATAAAATAGAATTTTCCAGCCAGATTTCGAAGCGCAAAATTACACTTTCCGAGGTGGTGGGATGAAAATTATATTATTATTAAGTAACAAATATCGTTCTTCCGTCCAGTAACATCATAACTGGCACGCTGCGTCCTACACGCGGGCAAGTAGTAGTGAGATCGGGCGGCAGTACTAGCGGGAGCGGAAGCGGAAGCGGATGGCGTGAGGTCGGGGCGTGTGCACAGCGGGACGTTTTATACGCGGCGTTAACGGCGCGGGAACATATCACGCTGTACGCTAACCTTAAGGCTGCCACGCCGGGACCGCATGTCGATGAGGAGATTGAGAAGTTAGTATAAATGTAATAAATACAGTGCTTACTTTGGGGCTAGGCTAATGAGGGCTACCGTTTTCTGCCTCACCAGATGGCGCCACTGTTGAGTGAGGTCCTAAATTGTAACTTTTAAAGTTTATTAATACGCACATGAAATCAAAGGTTACATTTAGATCGTATTTTAACACAAAAGAACCATATCCTAAACATAATAGGCCATGCCACAGTGACGCGCAGTTCCGTTTTATTCGGAAAAAATGGGAACATAATCATTTTTCTAAGCTCAAATTTTTAATAACTGACATTCATTGCCACATAACTCATATTTGCCATAATTAAGCCGAATTGTTACCAATTATTCACAACATTATTTTAATTAGAAATAAACCCGCGTAGTCAACCAACAAGCAATAACATTTGACATTTCGGAGACCTCACGCTACACTAGCGCCTCTAGCGGCGGATTCATACACGATAGCCCTCATTGGTGTGAGAAATCAAAAAAAAGAGAAAAAACAAAGGACAATGGGCAAAACGCACCTGGCTCCTTGCACCATATGAAGTACTCCCATAATTCCTGAGCACCCTATGTAGGGTAGAACTAACTAACTAAATTAATTCCCTTGTTGCATTAATGTTCTAGTACTTGTACATATTTAACTTAAAATAACTAAAGACCCCCGGGATGGAATTTGATGCGCTTTGGCACAGATGATCTTGACTATAATAACTTTCAAACAAATGTAGTTTAAGCCGTGGCGGACGTGGGTGCAGCGTCCATACATTTTTGCCCAATGTCCTTTGTATAAATATTTCCAACACTCACACCAATTAGCCTAGCCCCAAAGTAAGCACTGTAAAGCTTATGTTATGGGATACTAGGGTAACGGATAGAATACATAATTATACTATTCATATATAAGTATATTTATATAGAAAATATATATTAAACATCTGTGGCGGCGACATCTATATGCCCCACATATATACAACGGATGGAGGAAATCATTACTCACCATCCTCAAGAGATGGCGTTACCTGCACTGCGATCTTAATAGTATGGAAGCCTACATCGCGCAAATGAAATTCGGACGCTAACTCGTCATATATACGATGCCCGACCAACATCAGTCCGAGCTAACATCACCCAGCTCGGAGGAAGATCTTCCCCTTTGACCTTCCTACACATCCATGACTGGAGTACTAATGCTCGTATTCATCACACAAACATGAGCCCCCACCGGGATTCGAACCCGGGACCTCTCGAGTCGGCGACACCATGAAACCCAGCGTTCAAACCACTCGGCCATAGAGGTCGTCAAGTATATTCATATTTCTTATATTTTTACGCATCTTCATCGTCAGCTAATGACCCCACTGCTGGGGCACAGGCCTACCCTATGCATTGAATAGGTAGATGGGGCCCAAGCCCAGTGCGGATTGGTGGGTGCTAACGACTGCAAACGCAGCCGGGACCAACGGCTTAACGTACCTTCTGAAGCACGGAGGAACTCGAGATAGAAGATTTTTGGTCACCCATCCAATGACCGACCACTGCGAAAGTTGCTTAACTTCAAAGATCGCAGCTGAACGCACTAACCACTAGCGCCATCGAGCTCCTCATATTAGAAATTAAATGGAAAAAAAACTACGCTAAAAAGTGGGCGGGGTTAAAAACAATGCGATCAACACGGCGATCATGGGATTGGTTGGTATTACCGTTTAACATTATCTTGTCCAATGAATGGATAGCCGAATGCATTCGCAGCTATTCGATTTGTCAAATTATTTTCTTTTGTCTGAGTGCGTATCGTACTTCGAAGTTTAGCTTTATGAGTTTGGAACCTAATTTTAACGGCTTTTGTTAGATAGCAATGATTCCATCTCTTATCTATTAGACAAGTCCGTCCGTCCGTCCGTCCGTCTGTCTGTGGTGCTGTTTCAGCAGCCAAACCATAAGAGATAGATAAAGAGAATGTTTAAGTTATAAGTTAAGAATAGTCTGATAAGACTAAAAACCGGATTTGAGTAACGTAGCACTTCCGGTTTTCGAGAAATCACGAATTTCAAACGAAACCACACAAAATCTCCGAAGTTATCATTTTTTTTTTTTTTTTTTTTTTTTGTGAATACTTGGTTCACTGGTTTGCTAGTATCTTTCTAATTCGTTGTTTTAACGTTGATTCATGTATTGCCCGTTACTCAGCATGCTGCAAGTAATGAACCTGGGTGAAGTGAGCGACGTGCCAGTGTCGAGGCTATCTGGAGGCACCAGGCGTCGTCTCTGCGTAGCGCTGGCCTTCCTGGGACAGCCCGCCCTCGTGACCCTAGACGAGCCCACTGCTGGAGTAGACCCGGCAGCTAGAAGGTAACAATTGTGGGTTTACCTATAATGCGAAGAGATGGCGCTGCCTTGCAGCTTAAGAATAGCTAGAAAGAATTTCGACGCGGTCCGTGAGGGCCGCGGTAGCATAATTGGTCAGTGCATTCGGCCGGATTGCGAAGGGTGCGGGTTCGAGTCCCGTCTGCTGCCTGGTCCGCGTGGAATTTTTTCTAGTTATATTTTCTTTAGATTTAAACATCAAGCAGTTACATGCTTTAAAAATAATAAAAATTATAACTATAATTGCTATTTCTTCTTTCAAATATTTAATACTTGTAAAAGTATTCATTTGACATTGTGGGTTTACCTATAATGCGAAGAGATGGCGCTGCCTTGCAGCTTAAGAATAGCTAGAAAGAATTTCGACGCGGTCCGTGAGGGCCGCGGTAGCATAATTGGTCAGTGCATTCGCCCGGATTGCGAAGGGTGCGGGTTCGAGTCCCGTCTGCTGCCTGGTCCGCGTGGAATTTTTTCTAGTTATATTTTCTTTAGATTTAAGTCATTTGTAGTTCAGGCTGCTCGTTTGTGGAATGCCTTGCCAGAAGCAATCAGAGGTGCTAAAACATTAGCTTGTTTTAAAAGAATGTTAAAAGAACATTACTTGACATTTTAGCAGGTCGTCACATCATCCAAAGTATGATTGAAGTGTTAGTGTCTTTATAAATAGATGTATTATGTTTATGTATTTGTATTTTATTCTATTTTTTGTTGTACATAATTATTTATAAGTGTTATTAATGGTAGTTGCACTTTGAATGACACCATCTACTTCCCACTCTTTATGTAACAGTCCAGTTAACATACGGTTGCCTGGAAGAAATTGCTTCTAAGCGATAAGGCCGCCGTTTGTACTATTATATAATAGTTTTAATTAATTGTAATTTAAAATATCATGGTGTACAATAAAGTGATCATTCATTCATTCATTCATTCACAACATAGAATAGAAATGAGAGAAATTACAATCAAATAAAACTAGTTTTTAACGGGTTAATGCACGAAACTTTATTTATTTATTGACATTTCGCAGCCTTTTCAGGTCTGCATGGTCAGAATACTGATTTTTTATTTAATTTTGTCGAGCTACCTTCGAAAGACTTTTATTAAGCGTTCGGTTATTTCATTGGAAAATTATTAAAACGCCAAATAAAAGTCTTTCAATATACCTGCATGCAAAGTCTCAACCCGATCGGTTTAAAATTGACAAAGTTTCATACAAACTTTCATTCCCTATTTTATCCCCTTGGGGGTAGAATTGATCAAAATCCTTTCTTAGCGGATGCCTACGTCATAACATGTACCTGCATGCCAAATTTCAGCCCGATCCGTCCCGACACACAATACTCACAGCATCAGATCGCGGAACGAAACTTTTTTGGATTTTGCGGTTTTTGCACATACGAACTTGTTATTAATATTTTGTCCATGTCTAGGGCCATCTGGTCATTGATCGTGAAGCTGCGTAAGGACCGCACTGTACTGCTGACCACCCATCATCTGGATGAAGCGGAACTGCTCAGTGATAACCTGGTCATCATGCACAGGGTAACTTGGACAATACTTTGATGATGACTAATTTTTTTTTCTTCGTTTATCAGGTAGATTATCAAAAAGTATTGGACACGTATTTTTTCTTTTTTCACATAATATAAACATTGCAGAGATATATTGATTTGAAAAGTGGCATGACGTCACGCTTTGATACAATTTTCACTTAAAAGTGACGTCACGACACACCCCTACTCCCAAACTTTGACGCGCTATAACTTTGTCATTTTTTGGTTGATTGCCCAAAGAAAAAATACGTGTCCATTATTTTTTGATAATCTAACTGACGGACTAAATAGAATTTCGTTTACTGTACCCCGTCATCACCCCTATTGCGGTGCTGTCATAATTCATGCTTGGGCCTCTGATAGTTTTACTGTCATTTTTACCCGACTGACCAAGAAGAAGTGAGAAGCTGGGGAATAAAACGATATAATTACATAAAATTAAATTTAACAGGAGCTGTATAAAACTGAATGACACACCTACAGTGAGCTTTTGGCGTGGTGTTAATTTATAAATTTAATAATTTCAACACTGTTTTAGGCGGTTTTGATTAAAAATTATTTGTGATTGAAATAGGGTATTTGACAATATTAAAAATAAAGTTCTAATTGTTAGCATCTATGTTAAGAATGAATATTGGCAGGGGTTTTTACTATTTTTATAAAAAAACTATTCATAATATTAATAAAAACCCACGAAAAAGATAATAGTTTTCTTATCTATTGTCACGTGACCCAAAACGCTTGGGATTGGCGGAGCCTAAAATGACGTCACACGCAAGTAAACTTCCGTTTAAAGCGACATTACATTGTATCGTTTGACGTTTTAATAACAGTCGTGTGACGTCACACACTAACTAGTAACACGCCATATTGTCCAGAGAAACGATTTCGCGGCAACTTGAAATTGGAGTTTTAGATTTGTGTGTTTTTTTTTACTGAAATACACAACAGAATGATGAATATCCACTTTTTACGGACTCCATAAACATGAGTCAATAACGTGAGATCGTTTTCTAAAACTTGTCAAATACCCTATTCAACGAGTCCGAAAGCTCCGGCCTTTATTAATAAAAAGTAGTTTGTCCAAATGCGTCATTATACCGTTTCGTTCGCCAGCTCCACAAGTATTATGGTTTTTTAACCTTCATCTTTCCCTATATCATAGGGTCAAGTGCATTCCACCGGGTCACCAGTAGAGATAAAACGCACCCTAGGATCGGGATACAACCTCTCAGTCACTTACCCCTCGACGTGGACTGCTGACGAGGAAGACGAGGAACGTGCCAAGCTCCTGCTGGCCACCGCCAGGCAGGCGGTGCCAAACGCCAGTCTCACCAACTCCACTGGCCTCGAGACTGAATTGTTGCTGCCATTTTATGATAACAATGGGGTTAATAATGAGTGAGTTGAATTTGTTATTAAATAAAAACAAAAATGGGTGCGTGTACTTATGTAGGCGCGTGAGAAGTTATCCTTCTTTGGCATCGTTTAAAATTAGTTTTTAATTGCATGCAAATAATTAATTACAATAAATTAATAAAAAGTCTGGAAAAGGACACAGTCAATAAAGTTCAGTTTTAATTTGAAAAAATAAATATATAATCAAAATATTCAATTAAAATCGCTACTGAATATAATTTATTAGAACATATGTGATTTGCACTTGTATGAAACTCAAACACGTATTCCGAATATACAAACTAGAAACATGTGGATAAATATTATAAATATGAATACCTATAACTGTTACTTTATTACAAAAAATAAAGATGTGGTTTTTGGTTCTACTACACCAATGGTCAAGAGATGGCGCTGTAGTCTCCTGAATCGCGCTTTGGTGCCGTTGTTCCAGATTAATAAATACTTTTGATAGGCCTTCACAATGCAGTCGTTAGCACCCACTAAATAGAGATTCTATTTCTATTTTGTTGGTAGATTTTCTTAATGTGCGGTAAACACAAAAAGCGACCAACTTCATGCTGTTAAAATTTTGTGTTACGGTGATGCGCGCGCATCTTAAAATTTCACTCTCATCATTTTTTCATAATGCGCCTAAAGAAGTATAACTTCAAAAAAGTGAGTGTGCTTATGACCACACGACTGAAGTGAAACTGTGTATGTATATATATATATACATATATATATAGTATATGTACAATATATACATGTATGTGCATATACATATTTCTTTGACTAGCTATAAGAGAAAGAGAGAAAGAAAATGTGCGCGCGTACTACTTCCTCTTGCTTATATCCCCCACTAAACTCCCGTTCGCCTCGCCCGAACACACTTTTCGTAACGCGTAACGAATTCGCCAGCTTACCCCCCAAGTCAAGCGTGCTTAATCGAATTGAATTTTATTTAATCACCAAAAATAGAGTACAATAAGTTCTTAAATATAATATAACATAGTTCATCTATTTTGCCTCAATCTGGCATCCATTTCTTTTCCTATTTCTATTTTATTCTATATTCCTATTTTATTTTCCTAACATGCAATATAATTAAATGGTAATTAATACAATATTTGGATCGAGTTTTAAAATTAGATAGGTACCATTTTTAATTTATTAATTTACGTCTATGAATTAAAACCGGTCAGATGAAAAGATCAATAAACAAACATTAATACGAAAAAGAAAGGAATTATTAAAGAATTTTCACTTCAAAAAGTACTTTTGAGAATAGCAAATGTCGGATATTCGGATTAAGACTATTTACGTATTAATACACCGCGATTCTTGATAAAGCATAGAATTGTATTTATACATGCTGTAAAATAATATCTGTCTGAGAATATAGTTAAAAGTAATGTATAACACTAATGAACAATCCAAATATTTGAATAGGTGAAAATAAATAAATAAATATTTCCAACACTCACACCAATTAGCCTAGCCCCAAAGTAAGCACTGTAAGGCTTGTGTTATGGGATGCTAGGGTAACGGATACAATACATATACTGTACATATATAAGTATATTTATACAGAAATACATATTAAACATCCATGACTGAAGTACAAATGCTCGTATTCATCACGCAAACATCTGCCCCCACCGGGATTCGAACCCGGGACCTCTCGAGTTGGCGACACCATGAAACCCGGCGTACAAACCACTCGGTCACGGAGGTCGTCAAATTTGTTATTAAATAAAGAAAAACGAGTGCTTATGACCACACGACTGAAGTGAAACTGTCTATGTATACACAATATATATATATGTCTGTGTACAATATATACATGTATGTACTATCGCGGAATTTTGCGCTCTGTCACTTGGCGAACAAAATGCTTCGAACGGTTTTCTGCAGTAGTTTTTACTACGCCCCGCCTTCGCATCGGATGCGCCAATCCGAGCCGCCGCACAAAAGTAAGACAGAGAGCATTTCATTGATGAATAATGAATTGAATGAGGGCTATCGCGTATGAATCCGCCGCTAGAGGCGCTAGTGTAGCGTGAGGTCTCCGAAATGTCAAATGTTATTGCTTGTTGGTTGACTACGCGGGTTTATTTCTAATTAAAATAATGTTGTGAATAATTGGTAACAATTCGGCTTAATTATGGCAAATATGAGTTATGTGGCAATGAATGTCAGTTATTAAAAATTTGAGCTTAGAAAAATGATTATGTTCCCATTTTTTCCGAATAAAACGGAACTGCGCGTCACTGTGGCATGGCCTATTATGTTTAGGATATGGTTCTTTTGTGTTAAAATACGATCTAAATGTAAACCTAACCTTTGATTTCATGTGCGTATTAATAAACTTTAAAAGTTACAATTTAGGACCTCACTCAACAGTGGCGCCGTCTGGTGAGGCAGAAAACGGTAGCCCTCATTGCATTTGTTTTAGTTGCAATTTGTCATCCGCATCGTGGTCGCGACAGCGCTATACGAAAAAGTAAGACAGCGATAATTACATGTCTATGAATGAATTTTTACTACGCCACTACCGCAAGCGATTATGGCATTATGGGTGACAGAGCGGGTCTTTCCGCGAGTGTACATATATATATTTCTTTGACTAGCTATAAGAGTAAGAGAGAAAGAAAATGTGCGCGCGTACTGCTTCCTCTTGCTTATATCCCCCACTCAACTTCCGTTCGCCTCGCCCGAACACACTTTTCGTAACGCGTAACGAATTCGCCAGCTTACCCCCCAAGTTAAGCGTGCTTAATTGAATTGAATTTTATTTAATCACCAAAAATAGAGTACAATAAGTTCTTAAATATAATATAACATAGTTCATCTATTTTGCCTCAATCTGGCATCCATTTCTTTTATTTTATTTTCATAACATGCAATATAATTAAATGGTAATTAATACAATATTTGAATCGAGTTTTAAAATTAGATAGGTACCATTTTTACTTTATTAATTTACGTCTATGAATTAAAACCGGTCAGATGAAAAGATCAATAAACAAACATTAATACGAAAAAGAAAGGAATTATTAAAGAATTTTCACTTCAAAAAGTACTTTTGAGAATAGCAAATGTGGGATATTCGGATTAAGACTATCTACGTATTAATACACCGCGAATCTTGATAAAGCATAGAATTGTATTTATACATGCTGTAAAATAATATCTGCCTGAGAATATAGTAACAAGTAATGTATAAAATAAATGAACAATCCAAATATTTGAATAGGTGACAATGCGGTTCCTCTGAGGGTTTAAATGATGACTTTTGAATCATTCATCAACATCAGCCTATTAATGTCCCCACTGCTGGGGCACAGGCCTTCCCTATGGATGGAATAGGGAGATTGGGCCATGACCCACCACGCGGGCCCAGTGCGGATTGGTGGGTGCTAACGACTGCAAAATGCAGCCGGGACCAACGGCTTAACGTGCCTTCCGAAGCACGGAGGAGCTCGAGATAGTAAATTTTTGGTCACTCATCCAATGACCGACCACTGCGAAAGTTGCTTAACTTCAACGATCGCAGCCGAACGCGCTAGCCACCTGCGCCATCGAGCTCCTCTACTCTATCTCGACTTTTGAATGATACATCTAAAATAAGTTTTAAAACTGACTAATTACATGATTCAGGAAATTCATATTTGTTCACTCGCGGAACATCCAGGTACACATTTATTTTAAGATTGCAAAATTAAACTTATTATGACGTTTAGATTGAGACCCCTAATTTTTCTCCAGACTTTACTAATTCGCATAAAATTGACACTTACCACTCTAAAATTAATTACAAGCTAAGCTGTTCAAAATTATACGGAGTTTCAAAATTTTACGCGTTTCCCTAACAGCTACCTGCAACTATGCTTATTGCTGGAATCGCAGCAACAGGCGCTGGGCTTCAGCAGCTTCACGCTGGAGTGCAGCAGCTTAGAACAGATCCTGGCCGACATCTGCCAGCAGACGGACCGATACGGTGAGCCTAATACAATCTAAATAGAGTATTTGACAAGTTTTAGAAAACGATCTCACGTTATTTACAAATGTTTATGAAGTCCGTAAAAAGTGGATATTCATTATTCTGTTGTGTATTTCAGTAATAATAACCAAATCAAAAACTCAATTTTCAAGTTGCCGCGAAAACGTTTCTCTGGACAATATGGCGTCTTACTAGCGTGTGACGTCACAGGACTGTTATTAAAACGTCAAATGATACAATGTAATGTCACTTTAACCGGAAGTTTACTTGCGTGTGACGTCATTTTAGGCTCCGCCAATCCCAAGCGTTTTGGGTCACGTGACAATAGATAAGAAAACTATTATCTTTTTCGTGGGTTTTTAGTAAAATTATGAATATTTTTTTGTGAAAATAGTAAAATCCCCTGCCAATATTCATTCTAAACACAGATGCTAACAATTGACACTTTATTTTTAATACTGTCAAATGCCCTATTGTTAACTCAAGGATTCAATTTCATCATAACTTTTCTTTAAATGAAAAGATGTATTTTAGACGAGTCCAGCGTAACCGCTTCTAATAGATTTCTACATTAACGCTCATGGTGGCACATTAACGCTTGTAACACATTTCCGTTTCACCTTGTCCGTAGCATTTTTCAAATTGACACCCCGTTCAAAAAGAAGTTTTAGTTCAAAACAATTTAAATATATATACTAGTGATGTAACGAATATTCGCATTCGCATTCGCGAATATTCGCATATTTTTGAATATTCGCATTCACAATGTTTTGCGAATATGAATATTGGAAAAAAAACAATTTGAAGAAGTTGTAGTTCTGCCTTTCCTTGAATATTCATTGTTACACAGTTTGCATTTAGCTCGTTCAGCATCGCAAAGTGTGAAATAAGTCCATGTTTCACTAGAATTCGATTTACTCATGTTAATAAATCACTATTACCACTCACAATCACTAACCTCAAAATTCACTTGTTTTGTTTACGGAAAGACCGGTGCGAGCGGAATGACACTTCAGTCGAATGAGTTTAATCAACTCGGCAATTCGAACGATACTGCCACCATGCCATAGACAATTGGCGCCAATTTAAAGACAAACTAAATATTCGCATGTCGGTACCAGACATTCGCATCCGCATCCGCATTCGCGAATGTTCAAAAAATGACATTCGTTACATCACTCATATACACACATAATGTCATAATGTATTCTGTTGTACTCCAGAACCGGTGGATTCCAGCGAGTTAGCATGTAAGAGTAACTCCAGTTGCAGCGTCCGTACAGAGTCCGCACCGCTTGTGACGGGCGATGGACCCCTCAAGGGTTCCGTGCGGCAGCAGTTCATCGCTCTAATGAGGGCCAGGGCCTTGCACTACATGAGGAATACGTGAGGATCTTACAGATTTCATTATAACTATCAGCATTCTCTAATGTCAGACTGGAGGGATTCCCACCACTGCTAGACCTCATAAGGAGGTCCAGCGGTGCACTGAGAAAAGGATTTAAAAAAACTTTTTTTTTTATCTGAAGTTTCCTAAACTATCACCTAAATGGGGATTGGGATGGTGTCCAAATTAAACATGGTTTATTTTAAACGCGCATTTTGATTAACTCGAAACTTGGCATTTTTACTAAATATCATAAAGAAGAATACATATACAGTACATATATTATAAGTATATTTATATAGAAATACATATTAAACATCCATGATTGGAGTACAAATGCTCGTATTCATCACACAAACACCTGCTCCCACCGGGATTCGAACCCGGGACCTCGCGAGTCGGCGACACCATGAAACCCGGCGTACAAACCACTGCGTTTGCGAGTCTGAAATGTCATTGTCAAATTTTATATAGAAACTTGAACAGCAGCGTCATAACGGACGTAACGAGAACTAAAAATCAGTACATATTTGACATTGACACGTACTCGCAAACGTTACGAATTCGATATTGGTCTCTGCTAATAGTGCTGCTCACGTTTAGACGATTTTTTGCGGGGATTTTGTCTTGAAACCCTCAGTTTTGTCGGGATTTAGGAAAAGATTTAGGGGGGAAACCAACGATACTAAATACCCTAAGTACACCAACACGAACAAAATCATGCCCGAAACCTGTCCAAAAGGTACATTGGACGATCCAAGGAGCTCCGTAAGATGATCGCGCAGTCTAAACAATAAAAGGCATTATTCAAACATTGAAAATCGCCTTTAAAGCACACTACATAAGGTCTTCATTAAAACGCATGCGTCAAAGAGTTATGACAGTCCAACATGTAAGCTCGTAAAATTTTACGACTCATTGCTATATGCGGAAGAATATAGACCTTATTTCTTTGACTCTACGCGCAATTCTGAATGCGCTGTTAGCAATATAGCAGATACGGACCGCGAAGAAAAGAGACAGCTATATTACCGACCATGCATTTGAATACCACAAATATTTTCTATTAAATCAGTTTACAGTAAGTATTAAAACAAAATTTGCTTCAAATGCATTAAATTAACAAAAATTGATTAGATACCTGATGAAAAAACGATATTTTACATATTATAAGTATTTATTTCGCATTTTTTCACAGAGCTCAGCGGCATGTTGACTTTTTAACGATCCGCGCGTGACTGTGAACCGAGAAGTGCTTGAATGGTGTTCAAGCACTTCTTGATTGGGACACATTTTGAGCGCACGTGGTGTTTCTTGGGTATTTAATATCGTTGGGGGAAATGCGTAATATCTATCTGACAACACTGCCAACATTATATTTCTTGTTGTTATCAAACAGATGGCTGTTATTCGTACTGCTGGTAGTTCCAGCTGCGTTCGTTTGTATAGCGATGGGATTCTCCAAGATCCGCCCGCCTGCTGACAACGAGAGGCCATTACTTCTAACCCCCGCCTTATACAACGCTACAGATTTTCTCACGTGAGTAAAACTAGGTGCATATTTACCCTAGATCCAGTGTTACCAACCCTTACCAAAATTTTCCACTAAGTATTTTTTAAATTCCCCTAAATATAGATTTTTATATGTATCTACTTATTACCTAAATTCTTTCGTTGCTCCTTAAATTAAAACGTTACTTATTTAGTTACAGAAAATTATTTTATTGAATAAATACAGTTTCCCAAAGGACAATCAAACGAAAATGAGCTGACAGGCTGTTAAATCTTATTTAGCTGTTTTTTAACTTTAGTCCATACAGCCTTACTAAACGACCCGCCACACAGTTAGTTCAGTCATTTTATATCGTGGTGCGTTCCATTCTACGCACAAAACCGAAAGAAAACACGTGCTTTCTTTTTCGATTTAATTGAAAGTTTTGATAAAAGGCCTCTAAAAGATCCCCCAAAAAATTCAAGCCCCTAAAAAAGTCTGTTTTAACACTTCTAGCCCCTAAATCTGGGGGCAAAACCCCTAAGTTGGGAACCGTGCCTAGATCCATGTCATATAAAGACATTTGTTTACTACAACCTATGATTTGATTTACCAAAACTTAGGGCGGAAAGGGGGGGGGGGGGGCGAGCATCACGGTTCCCAATTTAGAGGTTTTGCTCACAGATTTAGGGGCTGGAAGTGTTAAAATGGACTTTTTTAGGGGCTGGAATTTTTTGGGGATTCTTTTAGGGGGCTTTTAACAAACTTGCAATTAAATCGAAAAACATAGTCTTTTCTTTTAGTTTTGTGCGTAGAACGCAACGATATGAACTGACTGTGTGGCGGGTTGTTTCCTAAGACTGAATAGGCTAAAGTTCTTTGCCTATCACCAATGGATAAAATAATAAATCAAGAACATTTCGGTCTTTCATTCGTTCACGCCATACGTCTCACCATTCATTTTTGTCATTCATTCAATAAAATAATTTACTGTAACTAGGAATTCAGATAATAAGTAGGTACATATAAAATTCTAAATTTAGAGGATTTTAGGGGAATTTACAAAATACTTAGCGGAAAATTTTGGGCAGGGTTGGTAACACAGGGGAGCATGTCAGTGCAGCGGAATTCTGGTCCAAAAATTGTTCAAATCCCAGTAGCAGTGTGATCAGCTATGATTGTTCTATGATTTATTTGTTCACGTTTGTTTATATTACTTCAATCAAGATGTTTGAAACCTTAGTTCCATATTTTATACTTTCATCATCATTAGCGTATTAATGGCACAGGCCTTCCCTATGGATGGAATAGGGAGATTGGGCCGCCACCCACCATGCGGGCCCAGTGCGGATTGGCGGGTGCTATAACGATGCAGATGCAGCCGGGACCAACAGCTTAACCTGCCTTCCGAAGCACGGAGGAGCTCGAGATAGAAAATTTTTGGTCACCCATCCAAGTACCGACCACTGCGAACGTTGCTTAACTTCAAGGATCGCAACGGATGGCGCTGCCTTGCAGCTTAAGAAAGGCTAGAAAGAATTGAACACGGCCGTCAGAGCCGCGGTAGCACAATGGTCAGTGCATTCGCCCGGATAGCGAACGGTGCGGGTTCAAGACCCGTCTTCTGACTGGACCACGTGGAATTTTTTCACATGCTAAAAAAATAAAAAAACGACGGGAGTGCCGGCAGAAGTGAAAACTTGAATATTAACGTTGTGCATTTTTGATATTTTGGAATGGTTAGGGAATAATTTTGCACGAATTGCTTTGAATATCAGTATAAAAGTACTATCATTTATGTGGTAGAATACAATATTTATTTATTGTGCTACCGTACACAAACATGACAATTTATATTACATTAAAAAAGTTTATCTCTCAGAAAAATCAACTTACATGAATCACGTTTAAGCGCACTTAGCGACATCTATTGTAAAGAAATCAACTTACATGAATCACATTTAAGCGCACCTAGCGACATCTTTTGTAAAAAAAATGCATTTTCTTCGGAATAAAGCTGCCACGTGGACGTCCTAGATAGAGACTTATTATTATAATACGGTAAAATAAAATATTACTATGTTTCATCCAATATATTGAAAGTCAACAACCTTTCCAATTTTATTGTGTGTCATGATGCGGTCAGCCCACATGTTTAACCTGACGCGAGTTTAACATTTTTTACCCATACAAAAAAAAGTGTACAACGCCGCTAAAGAAGTTTTCACTTCAATAATTTAAAAACGAAATTCTATTTAGTCCGTCAGTTATATGATCAAAAAATAATGAACACGGATTTTTTCTTTGGGCAATCAACCAAAAAATGACAAAGTTATAGCGCGTCAAAGTTTGGGAGTAGCGGCTCGTGACGTCACTTTTGAGTGAATTTTCACTTATAAGTGTACTCAAACGTGACGTCATGCGACTTTTCAAATCAATATATCTCTGCAATGTTTATATTATGTGAAAAAAGAAAAAATACGTGTCCAATACTTTTTGATAATCTACCTGATAAACGAAGAAAAAAAATTAGTCATCATCCCTATTATGACTAAGTTGCATTTAGTTATGTATATAGGTCTGTTTCAGGTCGCAACCATCAATATACTCGGAAAACGTAGATCCGTGGCTCGCGAAAGGAGTCATGCGCATGTTGTTGCAAGAAAAGGACGCAAGAAATTGGACAGAGAATGTAAGTTATCCAAACATAATGCGATGCAAATAAGAATAGGAAAGCCAATGACCTCCAACTGTCAAATGTCGCTTGAAAAGTACGGTTTGCAAAAAAATCTTGGAACTCTTTTTTTTTAGCACTCCGCTAATTCTAGAAAAAAAACCAAACATTTGTAAACAAACAATTACAAATATTTATAATTAATATTGGTTGATATTTTATTTTTTCATTTATTGAGCTTTGGCTATGAATGTTTGTCAACCTAAATCGTCAACCAAATGTCACTTTAAGTTGCGTTCAGAAACTGGATTTAAAACTTTCGTTTACATAAAGGATGCATGTTCATATGTGACCTAGTAATAGTACTACATGATTATTCATAACTACTCCGGCGGTAATGCAAAGATGAGCGGAATTGAAGAGCTAGATTCTACTTAATGTTTTTTTTCTCACAGTCTTAATGAATAAATATTATTAAAAATCGGTTATTTTTTTCAGTAAATAAATTTTATTATTCATGTTTTATCTCACTTAATCTTAGTAAATAAGTTTTATTAAAAAATAAACTTTTTTACTCACTCTACCTATTTGGTTTGCATTGACATCTATGACGTCACAATATGGCGCGCAGTCGGTCCTGTTCTTAGTTGAATCGCATTATACAACGAATTGATCAATTATGTGAATTTGCTTTTATATAGTTAGTTTTCAGAACTCTAAATAAAACATATTTCAACGGGTTAGATGCACCGAATTTATTTACGAGTATTTATTGACGTTTCGCATTCTTTGTAGGATGCATCGTCAGAATAATGAATAATGGAAAGCCTAAAAAACAAATATCTATAACTCGTGTCATTACAGAATCTAACCGCAAATAACGAAGTAAGACAATCTGTCCCTCTCGCACATGCTATCCTAGGAAACGTACGAGAGAGACAGAATGTCTTGCGTCAGCGTTTTCGATTCCTCTTTTTAATGCCTCAAGTTATACTTGGTAGCCGGTTCATCTCCGATCGCGTGGCTTTTAGCCTTTCATAATATGCTTGAAAATGTCTTTGATGGACAGACTGGCGACATAATTTTGTCACCACTGTTCTTTGTAATATAACTATTAGAGATCTCAAAAAGAGAGCGAGGAAATTTATTATAAACAAGTAAACTGAATAAATTTATTTTGATTTGAAGATGTGATCCAAAATCTGCCCTATGTTTGTAAGGAAAATAATAGATATAATAGGGTATTTGACAGTATTAAAAATAAAGTGCCAATTGTTAGCATCTGTGTTTAGAATGAATATTGGCACTTTGGGATTTTACTATTTTTACAAAAAAAAAATTACTTAAAAATCCACGAAAAAGATAATAGTTTTCTTATCTATTGTCACGTCACCCAAAACGCTTGGGATTGGCGGCGCCTAAAATGACGTCACACGCAAGTAAACTTCCGGTTAAAGTGACATTACATTGTATCGTTTGACGTTTTAATAACAGTCGTGTGACGTCACACATTAATAAGACGCTATATTGTCCAGAGAAACGTTTTTGCGGCAACTTGAAAATGGTATTTTTGATTTGGTTATTTTTACTGAAATACACAACAGAATGATGAATATCTTTTTACTTACTCCATAAACATTAGTCAATAACGTGAGATCGTTTTCTAAAACTTGTCAAATACCCTATTATATGAAAATTATGATTTATTTAACTGTAGAATTTGTCTTTTCAATTTTGTATGTAGGCAAGTAAGTGCGAATTAAGTCGTGTCTATCTATCTGTAATATTAGTAGGATTTTGATCCTTGTCATCACGGGCGTAGCCAGGTTTTAGTAACCGGAGGGGTTCAAAAAAAATAAAATTATTGAAAGTGCAGGCACTAACATGCAATAAAATGAAAAATATGAAATATGTAAAAAAAAGAAACAGAAGGTTCATTACATAGGCACTACAGAATTAATCTTCTGGTTTTCTTTTTAAATATATGCACTACTTCAGTCGCATCAATTTCTATCCTATAGTGAATATTCATGAGAGCCAAGAGTATAGGGCGAATCCAAAATACATTATTAGTGTAACAATTACTAATAAAATAATTTATGCCGCTCGCCTCTCCTTATTTTGATATTATTGGGGGGGGGGGGGGGGGGGGGATTTGAACCCCCAAAACCCTCCCCCTGGCTACGCCCGTGCTTGTCATGTTTATATCTTAATAGGGATGATGACTAATTTTTTTTTCTTCGTTTATCAGGTAGATTATCAAAAAGTATTGGACACGTATTTTTTCTTTTTTCACATAATATAAACATTGCAGAGATATATTGATTTGAAAAGTAGCATGACGTCACGTTTGAGTACACTTGTAAGTGAAAATACACTCAAAAGTGACGTCACGAGCCCCTACTCCCAAACTTTGACGCGCTATAACTTTGCCTTTTTTTTAGTTAATTGCCCAAAGAAAAAATACGTGTCCATTATTTTTTGATCATCTAACTGACGGACTAAAAAGAATTTCGTTTACTGTACCCCGTCATCACCCCTATTTGGTCTAAGTACTTGTTTAACCAAAGGATAATCCCGTGTGTGAATGCGGTGAGACGCGCCAAGTTTGCCACTCCAGCGACGCGTCGACGCCGCAAACGATGGTGTTGCCAGACGTGGACACTCTCAACCGATGGTTGCTCAACACGCAGGAGATGTACAGAGAGAAGAGGTCAGTGTTACCATAACATGCTACCTATATATATTTATTTATTACACTAACAGAACACAGTCAATACATGTTTCAAATTATAGTTGAAGTAAACTAGACAGTACTTTTTTTACGTGTACCCAACATGATTAAAATTGAACAGTACATAAGTAATTTATATAACTGAAGGCATAGCTCAATCTTAACTTAAAAAATATAGTTTTACTTAATAATGTAGTTTTAATTGCTATCTGAGGAGCATTTGGCTTTAATAATATTGGTGGTAACAATGTATTCTATTTTACTCATAGTTTTTTTCTAATACAGATATTTTGATATGTATTATTATAAGTATTAGTACCTATGTATATATTTTATTTGTGTATGTCCCCTATTCATAGGTGTTTAACGTGTATATATTTAATCATAATAAGGTGTACACACTGCATTTTCAATGCGCTTTCCTACAAAGGACCTGCTGGAAGAAATTTCAGATTGAAATAAGCTGTACTCTTGTATTACTGTCTTATTTTGTAATCACCGTCTATGTGCAAAATGTATAAATTTTGTATATAAAATTCTCGTGTCACAATGTTAGTTACCGTACTCCTCCGAAACAACCTGACCGATTTTTATGAAATTTTAAATGCATATTCCGTGGGTCTGACAATCGGCTACTACCTATGTACGAGTCACGTACAGTAATCTTGTATATCTGCGGAGCAAGCATAACCTACTTTAATCATGTAGCTGTATCTAAGAAATGCATCATAATACGTCATTGTATTAACTATATAAAAACACATATTTTACATAATCAATCAAAGCTCCTCATGCATTCAACAATAACAGTTGTCTTCCTTCCTTCATCCTAAGGTCCTTCGAGCCGAATCCGGCTCGAAGGACCAAACTGTAGGGGTGACCCCCTACCTAATGATATTAGGATGAAGGAAGGAAGACAACTGTTATTGTTGAATGCATGACGAGCATTGATTTATTATGTAAAATATGTGTTTTTATATAGTTAATAAAATGACGTATTATGATGCATTTCTTTAGATACAGCTACGTGATTAAAGTAGGTTATGCTTGCTCCGCAGATATATAAGATTACTGTACGTGATTCGTACAACCTATTTTTCATATCCTTAAGTGATAATGTTTGTTCACCTGTAATGTAGTGTTCTGAAACCTACAATGCGCCTTCGCGCCAAAATTCAAACTATTGGGTATTGTAACGTAGTGTTCTCATATGGGTTAGGAGGAATGTTATCCCAGGAAATTGACAGAACACACACACTCCTAAAATTTTTTTGGACAATTTTTCTTAATGTGGTATTAAAAAATACATAAAACCCTAAATTTTCGCTTCTACCACCTGCGCCTATTTTTATGCCGATACGAAGTTCGCTGGGTCAGCTAGTTTATAAATAAAAATAATAAATTGTGAATGTAAGTGTAGCATGAATGTTGCCATCGATAAAAAAAAAAAAATTTAAACATAGATAAATAACACTCATACTTCTTGTAATTACTTTGTTTAGTGTAAAGGTGTAAATAAAAAACTTTACTGGTACCATAACAATGAATGATTTGCTTCGAGAACGAAAGGCTCTGCTACGAATAGGGTATTTGACAAGTTTTAGAAAACGATCTCACGTTATTGACTAATGTTTATGGAGTCCGTAAAAAGTGGATATTCATCATTCTGTTGTGTATTTCAGTAAAAATAACCAAATCAAAAACTCCATTTTCAAGTTGCCGCGAAAACGTTTCTCTGGACAATATGGCGTCTTACTAGTGTGTGACGTCACACGACTGTTATTAAAACGTCAAACGATACAGTTAATGTCACTTTAACCGGAAGTTTACTTGCGTGTGACGTCAATATAGGCTCCGCCAATCCCAAGCGTTTTGGGTCACGTGACAATAAATAAGAAAACTATTATATTTTTCGTTAGTTTTTAGTAAGATTATGAATATTTTTTTTGTAAAAATAGTAAAAACTCCTGCCAATATTCATTCTAAACACAGATGCTAACAATTGGCACTTTATTTTTAATACTGTCAAATACCCTATTGTTAACTCAAGGATTCAATTTCATCATCAGCCTTTTAATGTCCTCACTGTTGGGAAACAGGCCTTCCCTATGGATGGAATAGGGATATTGGGTTATGACCCACTACGCGGTCCCAGTGGTGGGTGATAACGAATGCAGATGCAGCCGCGACCAACAGCTCAACGTAGCTTTCGAAGCACGGAGAAGCGAATGGCAATATTCATTCTAAACACAGATGCTAACAATTGGCACTTTATTTTTAACCCTGTCAAATACCCTATTTGCCCTAACGTCATTCCCAAGTGATTTTTGCAAATGGGAAAGCTCTGGTACGTAACCAGCCGAAGGCTGCATGTCCGCCGGAGCAGAGCGAGTCTGCGGAGCGGAGAATCAGAGAAATGTTTACCAAAAGGATTACACAAAATCTCCACTCCTCTTCAGTAGAACAGATATTTGCTCCGCTCGGGACAGGCAGCCTGAATGAATACAATTACTCCATAGGCGTATGCTCATGCCATTATTTAGTTTGACTTTTTTTGTAAGTTTTGTTATGTAATACATTTGTTTGTGCACTCAGTGCGGCCTTTTATATTTAATCATGCAAACATGCGGCATGCTCACTTATAAAAATTCTCGTGTCGCGGTGTTTGTGGTTAAACTCCTCCGAAACGGCTCGACCGATTTTCGTGAAATTTTATATGCATATTCAGTAGGTCTGAGAATCGGATGTAATCTATTTTTCATCCCCCTAAATGTTAAGGGTAATCTACCCCTGTTTTCGCGCTGGGGTTTTTTGTATTAGAAAATGAGCAAATGACCGGAGGACAGTGGAATAAGGGAAGGACTTACCCTTGTCGCGCACGTGCTCCGGGCAAACTTTCTTCGATAAATGTTTAAGTTCATGTTTTCTTGTCCTGGAGGCCTCCTTGATTGGACACACTAGCACTATGCAACTTTAATATATAATAACACTGATAACTTAAGGGACCCGAAAAGACGGACACGTTGATTTTTCACCGGCGCATTGACAAGTGAAGCCATTAAGGATCGGGGCAAGAGAAAGGTATAGACACGCAACGAGTGCGAGGGAGAAAGGATTCATCTGCCCATTTGCGTTTCGATCATAACATCAACTCGTATTAATTATAGCTTAATCATGCCCCTCGGGTTGACAGGATATAGTCCTTTCAACGATAATCAACATCACACCGGTGCTGTCAGTGAAAGCAAACACATTAGAAATACAACACCTAGAAGAGTACGCATCAATGACAACCCGCATTAATTTTGCTAATATTAAATTAGCACATAACTCCATCCTGGCAAGTGAAATCACCGTTTTGGAAGGCGACACTCGAGATTTTGCACATATTAAATTGAAAAAAGTATGGTCAGACCCTGGCAAATAAACGTGTAAATATACAACACCTCCATAAGCATTTTCAGAAGCGTCGGCGAAACCCAATAATGAAATGACACATTCGTCATTAATACCAAGATGACGTTGCAGTTTAATATTTTTCAATAAGGGTAATTCAGCTTCAAACTTTTGCCAAAGTTTTACGATATTAGAAGGTGGACACTCGTCCCAACCTATGTTATTTTTCCATAAGGATTTAATAATCAATTTTGCTAAAAGCGTCACTGGTGCCACAAAACCCATTAGGTCCCACAATCGAGCAACGGTAGACAAAATGTTACGCTTAGTACATATGCGTGGCTGAGGATTAACGCAAAACGTAAAAGCGTCCTCCGCTGGCATCCAATACATGCCTAATATTTTTAAATGGTTTTCGGGACTGAATTCGATTGCCTCAGTGACACGATTAGACGGCGGAATTTTTGCCATAACCTCAGGTATGTTACTCGAGAATTTTACAAGTTCAAAACCTCCAGCGGCAAATAAATTAATAAGCTGATTGGCAAGAACAGGAACAGTCCTCCACAGAACGGCATGACGCCGTAAGGTCATCCATATACATATCACGTTCGGCAACAGCAGCCGCTTCAGGAAAACGGCTTCGTTCGTCCTCGGCCAGCTGGCGAACTGTGCGTATGGCTAGATACGGACTGCAGCATAAGCCAAAGGGGACCCGCGTCATTTCAAATACTGTAATAGGTTCCGTGGGACCAAACCGATATAACAGCCGCTGGAACTTAATATCATTTTCATCTGTCAATATACGCATGTACATTTGTCGGATATCCGCACTTATAGCCACGCGAAACAGACGAAATCTTAACAAGATATGAAATAAATCATTTTGAATGTTTGGACCAGTATACAATAAATCATTTAAAGATTTACCGGTAGATGTCGCATTACTCGCATTTAGTACTACGCGCAGTTTGCTAGTACTCTTATCAGTGCGAATCACCGCATGATGTGGGATCACGTATTGATTCTCAATATTTTTAAAATCAGAAATAATACCTACAGGTCTCAAATAATTCTTTTGTAAATATTCTTTGAAAACATTGTCATAATCTCTTTTAATATCAGGATTAGAAAGTAATTTATACTCCAAAGATAAATACCTACGCTCTGCGGATATAATTGAATTACCTAACTTGGAAGTATCCTCTCTGAATGGAAGAGAAACGATATAACGACCACTACAATCTCGACGCACTGTATCGCAATAATATTTCTCACATTTGCTTTCCTCCAATGTCAACATTTTGGAAACGTCAGGGACCTCCTCCAACTCAAAAAATCGATTTATGCGATTTTCGAGTTGTTCATCGGTTGTACAAAAAGTACGCGCGATATTACGAACAGGATAAACCACGGGAGCTTTCCCTACTATAACGTAACCTAATAAAGTTTCTATTGCCACGGGTTCGCCAGCCGCACGCGCAATAGTATTACTACCTAAAATTCGCGCGAATAAATCAGAACCCAATATGAGGTCGACCTTAGCAGGTATATAATATTTATTATCCGCTAAAGGAATATCACTCAAGTAATCTAAGCGACTAGTATCAATGTGAGCCGTCGGTAGTTCGTTTGTTATACGATTCACCACCATTGGTTGAATAGTAAATTGAATCGACTTATCAAACCGAGATGAAATCGTTAAACAAGTTACGCCTTCTACGGGGTTACTAATATCACCCACACCCGACACAAACCTATTTTGTGGTAATAGCAACTTTAGCTTAAGTTTCTTACAACATTCCATTGTAATTAAATCCTTTTGAGATGCGCCGTCAACAATAGCGCGCAAAACAACAACGTTCCCGTCCGCGTCTCTCGCATGACATTGGGCAGTGCCTAACAAAACGGACGAGGAAGACACAGGCGCTTGCGACTAGAGATGGAAAAAACGGCTTATTTCTTAAAAGCGTTTAAACGTTGTACTTTTTAAAATAAGCGCGCTTGAAAAAAAGCTTTTTCGTTTAAACGCTTATTGGCTTAAACGTTTAAAAGCATGCGTAAAAAGCGCGACGTTGTGTTGTGTTTTCGTTTAGGTATATCGTTTAAAAAAGCGTGAAAGTTTATTGTCGTTTCGTTTAAACGCTTATTGGCTTAAACGTTTAAAAGCATGCGTAAAAAGCGCGACGTTGTGATGTGTTTTCGTTTAGGTATATCGTTTAAAAAAGCGTGAAAAGTTTATTGTCGTTTTTAATGTGTTTAAGTGTTTTATTGCGTTTTTTCTTCTTATTAATGAAATTTTTATTAAAATTTTTTTTTAAACCTAATGAATTGATTGGCATTAAAAACGAAAGATTTTCAATTGAATTTAGATTTTATAATAAACATTTTTATAATAGTCAATGAACTTTCCTTCATACTTTACAAGCTTAGGACTGTCTGGAGTTAATATACTCGTGATCCAGGCGTACTTAAAAGTTCATTGATTTTATATACATACTTTTAACTATTTTATATGCACATTAAATCAATACACGAAACGCATTAACACGTCAAGCAAGCATGCAAACACACCGTACAACACCCACGCGCTCTTACCCCGTCACAGTGACAAGCGTACTGCTTTTCGACTTCGTTTAATTAAACGCTTTTAACGAAAAAAGCGTTGGTTATCCGACCAAATTTTAAAAAAGTGCATTTTTTTACGTCGCATTATAATAATTCGCATTCTGTATTAACCGGCTCACGAAAGATGGCACGCCGACGCGGCGCTGTAGTCGCGCGTTCTATGTCTGTGATATTGTGAAATATTTAGTACCAAGGAATTCCGCGTACCCATTTTACGATACTGTAGTGGACTAGAAGGATCGAAGTATGTAGTTTCCTGGCAAAGACATAGATGGCGGGATTTGCACTTTTTAAGTAAAAAATATACTTGCACTTTTTTAAGTGAAAAGCTTACTCACACTTTTTAAGTGATAAGCTTATAAAGCTTATACTTAAAAGCGTGCTTACAAGCTTAATATTTTAAGCGCGCTTATTTAAGCGCTTTTCGTTTAAATGCCCACCGCTACTTGCGACAGGCGCGCTTGCCCCAGTGTACAAGCGTCTGCGTCTGCCGCGGCCGCGCACTCTCCGACGGCGCATAACGAGACAGCGTTCTCGGGCCGTTCGGCCGCCACACTTGGGATGGTTTCGGTAAATATTGCGGTAGTAACGGACTGACCTTTATACCTACTAGTATGAGACACGGAATTATTATTTGTTGGAAAATGTAACAAACTATGATGTCATTTTTGACATTCGGTACAACGCGTTGATTCCGTACAATTTAAAATATTATGTAAGTTACTTAAGCAATTAACACATAATTTACGATTTTTAACAAATTTAAATCGTTCACTAGGGGTCCATGATAGAAATTTAGGACACTCAAATAATTGAGTATGGTCAGTTTTGTCACAAGACAAACATTTCATATTCTGTTGAACATTAATAAATGTTTTGACGTTATTATTGTTTACTTTAGAAAAAGACGAACTAGAACTGGCTGAGTGCGAGTAATTATTTTTACGCGCCTGATTGCTTATCATCTTCGCACTTACAGTCGAAGAAAAAGACATTTTTTGAGCACGCTGCAATACGTGAGCATGCCCCCGCACGAATGTAATGAATTCCGTACACGTAGGGAACCTCTCACTACTATTAAATTTTAACTCGAACTCCTTAATTATATTCAAATTCAATTTTTTAGATATAATATAAATGAATATAAAATCTTGCAAGTTATCAATTTTCAATTGGTGTAATGCTGAATGTATTGAAGAAAATTTGTCAATGAATTCTTCTAAATCGGTACACGAATTTTCGTTGACGTTTGGTAAATTAAATAATTTATCGAGATAAGACGCAGCTAGTACTCGTTTGTCATTATATTTTGATACTAACGCATTCCATATAATTAAATAATTGTCTGCTGAAGGTAATATACCTTGGCACAAGTTTAGAGCTTTTCCTTTCAGTTTACCAATTAAATACTGAATTTTCTCCCCATTAGTGAGGTCAGTATTTTCATGAATCACCGATTTAAAGGTCTCGTAAAAAATTGGCCATACTTCGCTATTACCATCGAACGAACAGAGCTCCAATGTTGGCAACTTAAGTGAAGGTCTTTTCTCACGTTTAACCAAAGAACCCTGATTATCGCGACCCGAATTAAAAGCCGATGTCAATTGATGCACTTTGTATTTGATTCTAGTGAAAAGTTCGTCTATTATTGAACTGTAACTAGGGGGCGTCTCCTTCAATGTAAGTTGGTACTGATTTCTTTCTTCCAATGTGACGAGAAATTCATTACGAAGTGTATCAATTGTAAACGTATCCGCCAGAAAATTATCGATTATTATCGGTTCACTGTCAGGCCCTAAAGAAGACATAGAATCGTATATTTTTTGCATTCGTCCGTACAAGGCACTTAATTTATTTTGTAACAACATAACTTTCAATTCATTAGTATTGTTAGTTTGCGATTGCGCCGATGCCGCCGGCGCCGAATCATCCGACTGTTTGTCGCCCGGCATTGTGCCAATATGGCGGCTACTTACGCGTGCAAAACTGAACTAAAATTTGAAATAAAGTTAATTAATCGCGGCCGAAGTGACCAAATGTTTTCGCGCTGGGGTTTTTTGTATTAGAAAATGAGCAAATGACCGGAGGACAGTGGAATAAGGGAAGGACTTACCCTTGTCGCGCACGTGCTCCGGGCAAACTTTCTTCGATAAAGGTTTAAGTTCCTGTTTTCTTGTCCTGGAGGCCTCCTTGATTGGACACACTAGCACTATGCAACTTTAATATATAATAACACTGATAACTTAAGGGACCCGAAAAGACGGACACGTTGATTTTTCACCGGCGCATTGACAAGTGAAGCCATTAAGGATCGGGGCAAGAGAAAGGTATAGACACGCAACGAGTGCGAGGGAGAAAGGATTCATCTGCCCATTTGCGTTTCGATCATAACATCAACTCGTATTAATTATAGCTTAATCAACCCCTAAATTTTCTTTTTCAATTTTAGATATATTTTTTTTTTATTTTTTTATGATACATCATACACAAATACATACAACCCTAAATATTCACCCTTCTACCACCAACCCCTATTTTTTATGGCGGTACGAAGTTCGCTGGGACAGCTAGTAACTAATATAAATTTGGACATATTGTCCATCCCCTTTTTAATGAATATTCTATTAAATGTATACGCTTTTTTTTCACTTATTATCTATTGTACATGCTTTGTGGAACAAAAGGATTTTCAGTTTATTCTATTTGTGTACCTTGTGTTATGTTTTTGCGGTCTCGAGTTCCTGCGTGAATAAAATTGTTTGGTTTCTGTGTAGTTTACATTTGTTACAGTAAAATTCTTACTAGACAGGACTTTGTCGCATTTTTTCAAAAGTATAATTTTAGTTATGATTTTATTTATTTTTTAAGCATTTAACTGCTAGATGTTTAAATCTAAAGAAAAGTTTACTAGAAAAAAAAATCCACGCGGGCCAGGCAGCGGACGGGACTCGAACCCGCATCCTTCGCTATCCGGGCGAATGCACTGACCATTATGCTACCACGGCCCTATTAGCCGCGTCGAATTTTTCCTAGCCTTAAGCTGCAAGGGCCGTGGTAGCATAATGGTCAGTGCATTCGCCCGGATAGCGAAGGATGCGGGTTCGAGTCCCGTCCGCTGCCTGGTCCGCGTGGATTTTTTTCTAGTAAACTTTTCTTTAGTACTTATAATTTTATTTAGACCTACATATCCCCATTTGATCCCCAGATACGTCGGTTTCACATCGTCAATAACACGCAACACCACCCACCTGACATCGTGGTACAACAACAAGGGTCACCACGCCCTACCTGCCTCCCTTGCCGCCCTCCACACCGCCCTACTGCGGGCCATCACCGCCCAGACGCGCGCCGATATCGCCGTCTACTCGCATCCTCTGAAGATATCCACCGAGCAGATCAGCAAGAATACTGTGTAAGTGGAATCTTTACATCATCATCTGATCACTTACCATCAGGTGAGCCGTCTGCTCGTATGCCACCTATAACATAAAAAAAAATGGGTGCGTGTACTTATGTAGGCGCGTGAGAAGTTATCCTTCTTTGGCATCGTTTAAAATTAGTTTTTAATTGCATGCAAATAATTAATTACAATAAATTAATAAAAAGTCTGGAAAAGGACACAGTCAATAAAGTTCAGTTTTAATTTGAAAAAATAAATAAATAATCAAAATATTCAATTAAAATCGCTACTGAATATAATTTATTAGAACATATGTGATTTGCACTTGTATGAAACTCAAACACGTATTCCGAATATACAAACTAGAAACATGTGGATAAATATTATAAATATGAATACCTATAACTGTTACTTTATTACCAAAAATAAAGATGTGGTTTTTGGTTCTACTACACCAATGGTCAAGAGATGGCGCTGTAGTCTCCTGAATCGCGCTTTGGTTCCGTTGTTCCAGATTAATAAATACTTTTGATAGGCCTTCACAATGCAGTCGTTAGCACCCACTAAATAGAGATTCTATTTCTATTTTGTTGGTAGATTTTCTTAATGTGCGGAAAACACAAAAGTAACAGCATGAAGTTGGTCGCTGTTAATTTTTTTGTGTTACAGTGATGCGCGCGCATCTTAAAATTTCACTCTCATCATTTTGTCATAACGCGCCTAAAGAAGTATAACTTCAAAAAAAATCAGCGTATTCATTAGCAGTTGCGGGCCATTACCGCCCCGAAGCGCGCATATATCTTATTACCGTCTACTAGCACCCCCTCTAGCAAATAAGCGTGCTAGAACACCGTGTATAATGCGATTCAACTAAGAATAGGACCGACTGGGCGCCATATTGTGACGTCATAGCTGTCAATTCAAACCAAAGAGGTAGAGTGAGCAAAAAAAAGTTTTTAGGTACTAAAACTTACTAACTAAGATTAAGTGAGAAAAAACATCAGAGTTTTTTAATTAAATTAATTTACTAAGATTTTTAATAATATTTCTTTGAAAAGATTGTGAGAGAAAAAACAATAATCAGAATCTAGCTCTTCTATTCCGCTCATCTCTGCATCACCGCCGGAGTAGTTATGAATAATCATGCACTATTACTAGGTCACATACGAACATGCATCCTTTATGTAAACGAAAGTTTTAAATAGAGTTTCTGAACGCAACATAAAGTGACATTTGGTTGACGATTTAGGTTATCAACCATTCACAGCCAAAGCACAATAAAAGAAAAAAAAATATCAACTAATATTAATTATCAATATTTGTTATTGTTTGTTTAAAACATACACTGTCCTATAAATCAAATTATAATAATTTTATGGACCGGTTTAAGTAAACCTTTGAGTTTTCATGATTAAATACCAACTTTAAAAAACAATATATTTAGAATACTGAGAAAGTAGATACTTACAGGTTAATATTATCTATACTTATAATAAATCTGTAAAGATGTCAATTCTGTACATGAAATATATTATTAAAATAACTATCAGGGGGTGATTAGTGATCGATACTGATGCCAAAAATGCAATCAGTAAAATTTTTGTCTGTCTGTCTGTCTGTGTGTATGTTCCTTATAGAAACAAAAACTACTCGATGGATTTTAACGAAACTTGGTACAATTATTTTTCATACTCCTGGGCAGGTTATAGTATACTTTTCATCACGCTACAATCAATAGCAGCAGAGAAGTGAAGGGAAATGTTGGGAAAACGGGAGAAGTTACTCCATTTTTTAAGCTTCCGTTGCGGGTGCAGCCTTAATGGTTAAAGTTACATAGAAATCATGTATGACGGAAATATTCTACATAAAATTGTCTAAAAAATATCCCGCAACAGCATATGTCTATCTTTTATGGTTGACTCACAATAACACGTATAATTATATAAATAAAGTCATTCTTTATAGCACAAGCCTGAGAACAAAAACTATAGTTTTCACTACTGCTCTACACCGAAGCGAAGCGAGGGCTGGCCACTAGTTGTTAATAAAATTAGTTTGCCAATAATGGGTCTGGTACGTAAGTGGTTCACTGAACTTACGACCATATTTGACAGTGTTCTCCCCTTTTAAATAATTATAGAGCATGATAGACTGTTGTGGTTATTCTGCGATTGGGCAAATATTTGTGTTGTGTAGTAAATTCCGTATGTAGAAAATGTAAAAAAAAATGGATGCGTGTAACTTATGTACGCGCGTGAGAAGTTATACTTCTTTAGCATCATTAAAAATATTTTTTAATTGCATGCAAATAATTAATAATTGCAATAAAATAATAAAAGGACTGGAAAAGGATAATTAACACAGTCAATTAAGTTCAGTTTTAATTTGAAAAATTAAATAAATATTCAAAATATTCAATTAAAATCACTACTGAATTTAAGTTATTAGTCCCTATGTAATTAGCACTTGTAAGTAACTAAAACACGTTGTGTCTATATAGAAACTAGAAACATGTGGATAAATATTATAAATATGAAAACAGTGATCAGAGGCGACGAGCGTGCCAACATTGTTTTTGACAACGCGATCATCTTATGGAGCTCCGTGGATCGTTCAAAGTACCTTTCGAACAGATGTCTAATAATGGTGGATTATTAACCACTAAGTGGTTAATAATCCACCATTATTAGACACTAACATTCATAACGCGCCCGCTTCCAACTTCATGGTGTTACTATTGTGTTACAGTGATGCGCGCGCATCTCGAAATTTCACTCACATGATTTTTTCATAACGCGCCCGCGGCCAACTTCATGCTGTTACTTTTGGGTTACAGTGATGCCCGCGCATCTAAAAATTTCACTCTCATCATTTTTTCATAACGCGCCTAAAGAAGTATAACTTCAAAAATAACTGTTTAGCGCATCATGAGGCCATCTTTAAATACAGTTATATTATATCCTAATACTTAAGCATATGTGTAAGTTTGTTTGTGTGTTGATGGTCCATAAATAAATAAAATCTGCGTGAAATATAGAGAACGGAATGAGTGACTGACGACCTCCGTGGCCGAGTGGTTTGTACGCCGGGTTTCATGGTGTCGCCGACTCGAGAGGTCCCGGGTTCGAGTCCCGGTGGGTGCAGATGTTTGTGTGATGAATACGAGCATTTGTACTCCAGTCATGGATGTTTAATATGTTTTTCTATATAAATATACTTATATATGTACAGTTTAAGTATTCTATCCGTTACCCTAGCATCCCATAACACAAGCCTTACAGTGCTTACTTTGGGGCTAGGTTAATGAGGGCTACCGTTTTCTGCCTCACCAGATGGCTCCACTGTTGAGTGAGGTCCTAAATTGTAACTTTTAAAGTTTATTAATACGCACATGAAATCAAAGGTTACATTGTGATTTTAGTATTTTAACACAAAAGAACCATATCCTAAACATAATAGGCCATGCCACAGTGACGCGCAGTTCCGTTTTATTCGGAAAAAATGGGAACATAATAATTTTTCTAAGCTCAAATTTTTAATAACTGACATTCCTTGCCACATAACTCATATTTTGCCATAATTAAGCCGAATTGTTACCAATTATTCACAACATTATTTTAATAAGAAATAAACCCGCGTAGTCAACCAACAAGCAATAACATTTGACATTTCGGAGACCTCACGCTACACTAGCGCCTCTAGCGGCGGATTCATACGCGATAGCCCTCATTGGTATGAGTGTTGGAAATATTTATTTATTATTATTATAGTGTTCGCTATATGCACTCATGTAACGTGGATTCCTTCACCTGAAATGCGAAGAGACGGCGCTGTATTGCATAAATATTGTTACGTGTCGGGATGGAGTTCGAAATTATATGCCAGTTCACGCTTGACAGTTCTTTATTCACCACATAGTTCACACAATTAACACACAATGTTAATTACAAAACACTCACTAAACACTGTATTTCACTATACAAGTCTCTAAACTATCGCACTTGAACACTTTTGTTGCACTTTGATCGCCTTTGGATTCGCTCCGAAATCGCTGTTGAAACTCAACTGTCTCTGCGCGGCGCCAATCGCGCTTATATACGCTGATCGACGCATTCTAGAAAGTACCTGTTAAATTGAGAATTACCTAGCACCCGCGAGTACAATGTACCTACTTATACCTACGCAGGTAACGCGCATAACTTGTAAACAAGTGCAGATGTCGTTGCACTTTCTCCCTTACGCCGCACTGCATAAGGCTCATTTTAGAATGAGCCGCATTACTCGACCTCTATCGCGACCCGCGGTGATCTGGCAAATTCGATCTCTAGCACTTTCGAGGTTACGTTTCGAGAGCGTTTGTGACAATATAATAATAAAAGAAATTAATATTTTAACACTGGCATCGCAATACATTTATGAAAATATAGTTTATGTAAGAAAAAACTATGACGCATTCGCAAAAAAAAAGTCAAACCCATAACTTTAACACGAGATTTAAGAACAAGCTTGCCGTTCCATGTTTCAGACTCCAAAAATCAAGAGGTTCATTTCTGGGATGTAGTATTGCATTGTTTAACAAAGTTCCCCAAGATCTGATTGAGCTTCCACTAACCAAATTTAAATCTCAGATCAAAAATACTCTTATGAATAAGGGCTATTATAAAGTTAATGATTATCTAAATGATCGAAATGCATGGACATAGTGTTTCTTGTAATTTGTTATTTGATGGGTATGAGTCAGTTTTTGTAACAGTAATATGGTACCTATCTAATGCCGCTTCTTATATACTAAATATAAAATTTATTGTAACTATATATCTATATCCTAAATAATGTAATGGAAGGTGACTTCAGAGGTATCTCTGAAGTTATTTTTCAACTTGACGACTCTGTATATATCTGTTCGGGTTGGAACTATTAAATGATAAACTGATACTGGTGCCAATTCTGGGTGATTCTCTAAACTTATGACTAAATTTAAGGTCAGCCTCACCTTTTCATTCTGTATGGAGAAAGACAAGGATGCACTGTTGTCAAATTTAAGTTTAGCTTTAGAGAATCATGCCAGAATCGACATCACTGTAGTATAAAACTGTATATTTGGAGAAAGGACTAAAAATAAATATAAAATAATAATTGCTATGAGTACGCGTGACTTGATGAGTTGATGATTGCGAACTGATTTTGTGCAATAAAATTAATTGTGAATAGGTAATTTAGGTCACCGAAATGTGTTGATGTGACGATTGCGTGCTTGCTCGTACAATATCAATACAGGGACAGAAAAGCAGCCCTTGCTGGGTTTCTTGCCGGTTCTTCTCAGTACAAGGTCTCCCGCCGTAGTTTTGCGAACCGATGGCGTAGCTTCTTGACCTTCACAAGTGCTTGTAACAGCCTAGACTGAATGACTTTTCATTTCATTTCATTTCAAAAAATATACCGGTTTTTGGCGGGATTTCATCGAGAGCGGTTGGCGTCTTATTTTAATTATTCTTAAATTCGTTCATAGTGGATATTGTGAAATAAAATTGGTGTGGTTTTGTGTAACAACCGTCTACGTAACTGAAGAATTAGTGGAATCGTTAAAATATACGCTATTCCGGTCAAGTGGACGTGAGAATTTTATTGTAGTGTTGACTACCTCACAGAAGCTTATCGAAAAATCCAACTCGATACATTTCGTACCAAACACTCCAAGAAACATTAGAATGCGTCACACCGACATTCTAATGTAAAAACAAAAAAGATTAATTTAATTTAAGACCAGGCTGTATGGGCATTGTTCGCTTTGCCTTCCCTAAAACGGGAGAACTTCAACAAAAAAAATATACCCAGGTACCAGCACGTGGCGGACGCGGGTATATCCGGGCTGGTAGTGCTGGCTTATTGCCTGGTATCGGGCGGGGCGGGCGTATATCTGGTGACGTCACGCCGGCTGCAGTTAAATCGTCTGACCGCTCTCGCTGCGGCCCCACCCGCTTTGACTAGAGCCGCGGCTTTACTCACCGATATGACGGTAAGAAAACATTTTACAGATTATTTCTTTTATGTTTCTCGTTTAACTAGATTTAAATATTATAGTAATACTAGCTGACCCAGCGAACTTCGTACCGCCATAAAAAAATAGGGGTTGGTGGTAGAAAGTTGAAAATTTAGGGATGTATGTATTTTTGTATGATGTATCATAAAAAAATTTAAAAAAATATATCTAATTTAAACTAAAAAAATTTAGGCGTGGATTACCCTTAACATTTAGGGGGATGAAAAATAGATGTTGTCCGATTCTCAGACCTACCCAATATGCACACAAAATTTCATGAGAATCGGGAAAGCCGTTTCGGAGGAGTTTAACCACAAACACCGCGACACGAGAATTTTATATATTAGATAAGTTATTTACGGGATTGTTACCATGTACCTTGTTTTTAGCGAGTTTCCGATATTTGGGTACTGTTGCAAGCGCCATGATCACGGAGTAACTGAAGTAATTGCGGGTAGATATCGGTCTACCCTCCGACGAAGTCTTTTATTGCGTTCGATACCCGTACCACTGTTCACACTCTCACTATTCACTCGAAACTGTTCTCGACACACAACACTTACAGTATCGGATCGCGACACGACACTTTCGGTTATTTCCAGTTTTACACATACGAACCACAGGATTCCAGACACTCGACAATTTAAACCCGTTTCTTTTAGTTTCCGATAACTTATCTCTTATCTATTAGACAAGTCCGTCCGTCCGTCTGTCTGTAGTGCTGTTTCAGCGGCCAAACCGTAAGAGATAGATAAAGAGAATATTTAAGTTATAAGTTAAGAATAGTCTGATAAGACTACAAACCGGATTTGAGTAACGTACCACTTCCGGTTTTCGAGAAATCACGAATTTCAAACGAAACCACACAAAATCTCCGAAGTTCTCAATTAATTAAATACACTTTTTTTTTTAAATCAGGTTTTGGTGAACATTTGGTTCACTGGTTTGCTAGTATTACTATAATGTTAGTAACCATGAATTTTTAAATAATATAGATTTAAATAGTCCACGTCTAAAAGATTTAACTTATTGTTTTAAACTTACATGGTCAGTAAAATTTCAATAATTACCAAAACTGCTACCATGGACCATTTTTTGCGAATCTCCGGTATTCAACTAGATGCTTACTTATCAATTCCGGGACATCTACACCCCCCCCCCCTTGAAAAAATAAAGCATCGAATGAACCCTCCATCACCCCCCAGAATTAAAACACCAAGCACGCCAGCGGTGTTATTCGTTATTAATTTATTTGATTATGAAACTTTGTAAAAAGTAATATTAAAATATTTAAGGCCAGAACTCGTGAACGTCATATATTGGAAAACTTTGTGTAGTCGTCTGTAATACAGCACTATTTAGGAAAAGTGTGATTTGCAATGCTCCTATTATTTATAGTAAATTACCTGAAAGTGTGCGAGAAATTACCGTGACCAATATATTTAAAAACAAATTACAACATTTTTTAATAGAAAAATGTTACTATACGATCCGTGAATTTTTGGAAGACAAAAGTTTTTAGACTAATATAGAAAATGACATGCATGAAATAATTCCAATCATATATTTATCGCTTATTGACATTTTGAATTAACTATGTAAAATTTATTAATGTGACATTGAAATAATTAATGTTTTATAGAAATATTATATTGCATGCCGATAAGGCAGAATATGGCTGTACTGTATTAAAATGTATCTATGTAACAACTTTGCAACCTGTATTCACAATAAAGATGATTTGATTTGATTTGCATTTTTGAAATTTTGGAATGGTTAGGGAATAATTTTGCACGAATTGCTTTAATTATCAGTATTAAAGTACTATCATGTATGTGGTAGAATACAATATTTATTTATTGCGCTATCGTACACAAACATGACAATTTATATTACATTAAAAAAGTTTATCTCTCAGAAAAATCGACTTACATGAATCACGTTTAAGCGCACTTAACGACATCTATTGTAAAGAAATCAACTTACATGAATCACATTTAAGCGCACCTAGCGACATCTATTGTAAAAAAATGCATTTTCTTCGCAATAAAGCTGCCACGTGGACGTCCTAGATAGAAACTCATTATTATAATACGATAAAATAAAATATTACTATGTTTCGTCCAATATATTGAAAGTCAACAACCTTTCCAATTTTATTGTGAATTTTATTTAATAATTTCATTAATTTTTTTATAAAAATAATATTCGCAGCACTTTCTAAATCTATCTCAGACAATATCTTACTCCATTCAATACTGATAATTTCATTTTTAATATCACTATACCTAGCCTCAGTATATATATAGTTCGGTATTAAGCAACGTGGTAGCAGTTTGTGATCTATATCAAGTGATATGTATCCTATCAAGGGAGGGTGTAGGTTATCCGAAGGCACTAAACTATTTGGCGGACAAATAAATAAAAATAAAAAATAAAATAAAAATAGTACGGTAAAATAAAATATTACTATGTTTCGTCCAATATATTGAAAGTCAACAACCTTTCCAATTTTATTGTGTGTCATGATGCGATCAGCCCACGTGTTTAACCTGAGGCGAGTTTAACATTTTTTACCCATACAAAAAAAAAGTGTACAACGCCGCTAAAGAAGTTTTCACTTCAAAAAAGCTGTTATTCATTTCTATACCTATTTGTGACAAACTACTTTGAGGGTGTGCTTTATTTGTGTGACACGTTGTATATTATGCTGTTATGTCAGGTAATCATCATCAACATGGTGATCACGGCGGTGCTGATGGCGGCGTTCCACTTCCCTGTGTTCGTGTGGGGCAACAATCTGCCCGCCATATGTCTGCTGATATTACTCTATGGGTGAGTCGTTGTATCCAGGGCCGGATTTAGGATTGTGGAGGCCCCGGGCCACAGCCCCACCTGCCCTGCCTTAAATTCGACCCTGCGGGCAAGTACCACCCCACTCAGCCATTAAGCGATTGGGGTACTCCCTCAAGATGGGTAGTGAACTGGAAGTGCTTATCAGGGCCATTTGAGATTTTGATATTTCACTGATTGACTGATTGGAATGAACAAATATAGATCAATGATTTCTGTTATTTAAGATTAATATAATCAAATAATCATGTATGTTAGATGTACAAAGTACTGTAGGCTGTAGGTAAAGGTAAAACAGCAAAAAAAAAATCAAAGGAAAAGATGTTTACTAGTTGGAATTTGAATGATTTTTTTCCGAAGTCTCCATTGTGGAGTGGAGGCCCCAGGGCTTTCGCCCCGGTTGCCCTCCCCTAAATCCGGCAGTGGTTGTATCTACAGTGCGACCAAGATTTGTATTTATTTATAGAGCAAGGTGTTCAACTGTACATATGCCTATTATAGGTTTTGTTAATTTTATAGTCATATTTTTAATTTTTAAGTTTAACTGCTAGATGTTTAAATCTAAAGAAAATTGCAGGGCTTGTAACCGGTTTCGAAAATACCGGTAAATAAAGGTTAATACCGGTTTTTAGTAAAGGTTAATAAACTGGTTTAATGTAGAGCGACACGTGGACGGGTCGGCATCGCTTGAAGTTTGTTTTATTTGAACTAATCAAGTCACAACTTGTTCATGCTCAGAGATTGATGCATTTATTGACACGTTTGCTAGCGTCTAGTAAGTCAAGTTATTCATTTTGTAGTTGTGTACTGACACACTTCTTCACTCACTTGCTCTGTAGTTGGAAAGAAACTGACGTAAAATCATTATAAATTTGAATTGAAACGACGAAGGAGATGCCGTCAGTAAGAGCGAAATGAAAAAACTGCTAAATTGAATCAAAACCTATTTGATTTCGCTTTTTAGGAAAACCGGTTTTTTTAAGGTTAAGGTAGAGGCAAACCTAAATACAGCGCTCCTAATGTACCTGATACTGATTTAGGTTTGAAAATTAACCGGTAAACAAGCCCTGGAAAATTGTAGTAGAAAAGAATTCTTCGTAAATGCATTTTTTGAGCAAGTGTATCGAAAAAGTTTTAAAATCGCTAATTCAACCTCTAGGATTACACCTACTTCTGCTCCCCACTTTAATTTTGATATTAAATTTTTGCTACGTTTAAGTTTTGGCATTAGTATTTGAATAATATATATCATACCGTTAGTTTGTCTGTTAAACTGCCTATTATTATAGGCAGTTTAACAGACAAACTAACGGTATAGACAATAGTCATCATTCCTATTGGAAAGATGACTATTTTTTTTCTTCGTTTATCAGGTAGATTATCAAAAAGTATTGGACACGTATTTTTTCTTTTTTCACATAATATAAACATTGCAGAGATATATTGATTTGAAAAGTCGCATGACGTCACGGTTTGGTACAATTTTCACTTAAAAGTGACGTCACGAGCCGCTACTCCCAAACTTTGGTGCGCTATAACTTTGTCATTTTTTGGTTGATTGCCCAAAGAAAAAATACGTATCCATTATTTTTTTATCATCTAACTGACGGACTAAATAGAATCTCGTTTACTGTACCCCGTCATCACCCCTATTTAACATAATATTATATTAAGAAGAGAGGCGGGCAATGCTGTTTCCAATTTTTATACGCGGTTTTCAGCGTTAACTACTGTTGTCCCTGTCGCACGGTATTTACCAATGCGTGACAGCAATAGTTTTTTTCTAATACCTATTTCTCAAATGTCTCTCAGCTCGCGACCGCTGTTAATTAGTTTTCTATTCCATTAAGTAGGTATAGAATTTGCTTGACAACTTTGTAGTATACTTAAGTAAGAGGCCTTGTCAGAACATAAACGCAGATGCCACTATATTCGCACTGCATCAGCTTATTCTAAGACAGGGTCGGTACTCCTGACTAACCCTCATTGTTACCTTTATCTCTCTCTCTCTCTCTCTCTGTCTGTCTGTCTGTCTGTCTCTCTGTCTCTCTCTCTCTCTCTCTGTCTGTCTGTCTCTCTCTCTGTCTGTCTGTCTGTCTCTCTGTCTCTCTCTCTCTGTCTGTCTGTCTCTGTCTGTATGTCTGTCTGTCCGTCTGTCTGTCTTCCTGTCTGTGTCTCTCTCTCTCTCTCTCTCTCTGTCTCTCTGTCTGTCTGTATATCTGTATGTCTGTCTGTCCGTCTGTCTGTCTGTCCGTCTGTCTGTCTGTCTGTCTCTCTCTGTCTCTCTCTCTCTGTCTCTTAAATTTTGTTTTTGTTTCTTTAATTCGGTTTAATGAAGAGCTTTTTATTTTGTTCCTTACTAATGGATGACAGTGGTGAAGATATTTCTTCCAAAAGATTTGATACCTATACCTATATATACAGGTTGTTACAAAAATACAAATAAAGCTTGAAGGGCGTTGAAGTACATCATACCTATAAGGAGTCTTCTCTAATTTTATTAAAAAAATTGCATGAAGTTTTAACTTTTTATAAAAACAGTTATTTTTAATTATTAATAAAAATATCGATCATTTTAAGACACGGCACTAGTTCGAGGATCATTAAAAATAACTGTTTTTATAAAAAGATAAAACTTCATGCAAATATTTTAATAAAATTAGGGAAGGCTCCATATATGATGTTCTTCAACTCCCTTCAAGCTTTATTTGTATTTTTGTAACACCCTGTATGTCTCTCAGCTCGCGTCCGCTCCTAATCAGCATTATTGTATCCAGGTTCGCATGCAGCGGTCTGATGCAGGTGGCAGAGCGAAGGTTCTCCGATGCCGGAGTGGCCAGCATGGTGCTGTTCTGTATGAACGCTATGTTGGGACTCGGGGGAATCACCGTGTTACTGATCCTCGACCTCATCTCGCAGTCTGATGTACGTACTGATGTAATGACGCCACGTACTGATGAATTAGCCCCACGTTTCTGACGCCACGTGTAAATGAACTGAGGACTGGTGATTTTATGTGGGAACACCATAAAAAAATTGTGTATGTGCATTCGCCCGGATTGCAATGGGTGCTGGTTCGAGTCCCGTCTGCTGCCTGGTCCGCGTGGAATTTTTTTCTAGTTATAAGTATTTTCTTTAGATTTAAACATCAAGCAGTTACATGCTTTAAAAATAATAAAAATTATAACTATAAAAAAAAATGTTAAATAATGAGATGAATCGGGTCATCATCATCAGCCTATTAATGTCCCCACTGCTGGGGCACAGGCTTTCCCTTTGGATGGAATAGGGAGATTGGGCCATGACCCACCACGCGGGCCCAGTGCGGATTGGTGGGTGCTAACGACTGCAGATGCAGCCGGGACCAACGGCTTAACGTGCCTTCCGAAGCACGGAGGAGCTCGAGATCGTAAATTTTTGGTCACCCATCCAATGACCGACCACTGCGAAAGTTGCTTAACTTCAACGATCGCAGCCGAATGCACTAACCACTATGCTTAGCTTATAGCGTCAGTATATCAGTAAGTGGGTTCAGAGGCTTAAGCGCAAATTTTGAAAGCCCCGTAATCGTATCGTCGTCCTCGAATTTTATTTGAAAGGAGTTTGTTCTTACGTCCGGTAGAGGCGCTGCTTAGTTTTCATAGAAACATTTAACGATGCGATACGATTACAGTAACCTTAGCACGAACCCATATCGAATTCGAATCGTTTGCGAGACCGAAATGTCATTGTCAACTGTGTACTGATTTTTAGTTCTCGTTACGTCCGTTGTTGCGCTGCTGTTCAAGTTTTCATACGAAATATGACATTGATATTTCGCACTCGCAAACTATTCGAATTCGATATTGGTTCGTGCTCAGAGAACTGAGCTGTCAAAGGAGACCCGGCACTTTTCATAGAAAAAATGCTAAACTTGTATACAATTGAATTTGGTCTCAAAATAAAGCCAAAATTATTTGCTACATAAAACTACTTTTGCCTTATTTTTAGTGAATCGTGGATAGAAGTTATTTAATGATTAATATTTCTTGATATAGAAACCCTTTTGATGACAAACCTACGTATTTGACATTGACAGCTAGCTGCTGATGACAAATATTGCCAGACTACGTTACCCAATTATGAAACACAGATAAAAAAAAATAGGTGCGTGTACTTATGTAGGCGCGTGAGAAGTTATCCTTCTTTGGCATCGTTTAAAATTAGTTTTTAATTGCATGCAAATAATTAATTACAATAAATTAATAAAAAGTCTGGAAAAGGACACAGTCAATAAAGTTCAGTTTTAATTTGAAAAAATAAATAAATAATCAAATTATTCAATTAAAATCGCTACTGAATATAATTTATTAGAACATATGTGATTTGCACTTGTATGAAACTCAAACACGTATTCCGAATATACAAACTAGAAACATGTGGATAAATATTATAAATATGAATACCTATAACTGTTACATTATTTACCTATTTAACTGTTACTTAATAACTGTTACTTTAAAATTTTGGGTTACAGTGATGCGCGCGCATCTTAAAATTTCACTCTCATCATTTTTTCATAACGCGCCTAAAGAAGTATAACTTCAAAAATTAAAAAAGTATACAACTTTGGCACAAAATGCCGGGTGTCCTTTGAGGTTAAGCCTCTGATCTCACTTACTGATATACTGTCGCCACGTACTGCTGTACTGACGCTACAATATAAGCATAGCGGTTAGGGACTAGAGCCGAGGTCCGAGTCTCAGAGACGCCCTCTAGTTGAGCCGACCCCCTCAGGTTCGAGTGGTTTTGTGGCGGCGACAACTTACGTACTTACTTAACAACAACGACTTAAGAGCAAGGGGGGGGGGGGGGGTCATGGGGTTCTCCACGCCCCCCTGGGCTAAGTACAGATGGACCAAACCCAGGGGGATTTTATTTAAGTACTTTCAATATTTACACTTCTTTACTCCGTACTTTTCTTACCCACTTCTCCTCATTACTTAAAAGAATGCTTCTCGTTTCTCACTTCTACTTCACAGCGCACATTGCGATCTTCTTCTAACCTATCTCTTGATATTCCAATTCATTCTACTGATTTCTTTTCCTATTCTTTCTCTGTACATTCAGTACGATTATGGAACTCATTGCCAGAAACCATTCGAAGGGCTCGCACTCTGAATTCGTTTAGGGATCAAGTTCGGAGTTATTTCCTATCCCAACAATTATGTTAAATTTTTACTTCATCCTCTCTTTCCTTCCTTAGATATATCTGTTTTTCCTGTCATTGATATCATTATGTTTTTTCTATAACATCCCTCCTTATCTCCTTCATATTTATTTATCTTTCTTTTATGGGTTGCCTGGAAGAGATTGCTGCCTAGCAATAAGGCCGCCTATATTGTGTACGTTCTATTTATCATGTTTTAATTTACTTGTGTGTTTTTCTATGGTGTATAACAATAAAGAATATTATTATTATTATTATTTAATATACCACGACTATATGACCCCCCCCCCCCTGGCGCCAAAACTGGCTATATGACCCCCCCCTGACGCCAAAGCTGGATCCGCACTTGCTTAAGAGATGGCTCTACCGGCGCTACGTTCACAACGTATGAAAGCCTACATCGCGCAAGAGAAATTCGGAGCCAAACACTCCATATATACGATGCTCGACCAACATCAGTCGGGCCGCGGCCCCCGAGCTGCCATCACCCAGCTCGGGGGAAGATCTTCCCCTTTGGCCTTCCTACAGTCTAGAGGCTCCAGCAGAGAGGAGACTCCCCCCGTGGGGAGATGCCATCTGCCTGGAATACCTCTAGAGGCACTCGCCAATTCTCGGCTTGAAGTCCCCTTAGGATCTCGCCGTCCCCAAACCCGATGACGCTGTAAAGGTCATCTGCGACCAACAGCATACAATATAGTTATATTTTTTTATTATGTTAAAGCATGTAACTGCTTGATGTTTAAATCTAAAGAAAATATAACTAGAAAAAATTCCACGCGGACCAGGCAGCAGACGGGACTCGAACCCGCACCCTTCGCAATCCGGGCGAATGCACTGACCAATTATGCTACCACGGCCCTCACGGACCGTGTCATGACCTCATTATAGGTAATAACGCTGCCTTGCAGCTTAAGAATGGCTAGAAGAATTTCGACACGGTCCGTGAGGGCCGCGGTAGCATAATTGGTCAGTGCATTCGCCCGGATTGCGAAGGGTGCGGGTTCGAGTCCCGTCTGCTGCCTGTTTCGCGTGGAATTTTTTCTAGTTATCATACAATATCAAAAAAAAAGATTCCAGCCCGATACCCGAGTCATCACATTGTTTTATCACAATTTTTGTTTATGGTACTCCCACTCTACCACATTACTTAGTTATTAAAATTACTAACATTTTTTTTTTTGTAAAAAGCAAATCAATAAGTAATTACATATCTCTTCTCTATTAGACAAGTCCGTCCGTCCGTCCGTCTGTGGTGCTGTTTCAGCGGCCAAACCGTAAGAGATAGATAAAGAGAATATTTAAGTTATAAGTTAAGAATAGTCTGATAAGACTACAAACCGGATTTGAGTAACGTAGCACTTCCGGTTTTCGAGAAATCACGAATTTCAAACGAAACCACACAAAATCTCCGAAGTTCTCAATTAATTAGATACATTTTTTTTTAAATCAGGTTTTAGTGAACATTTGGTTCACTGGTTTGCTAGTGTTCTTATAACTAGATTTTTATCGATAGTATACAATGTACTAGTACCACAACTAGGCCGAGCCTGTAATATGGGCACTAGTTCCATCCTAATGACTTAAGTTAGAATACATACATTACTTAAAGAAAGCATGAGTAGCTTTGGTTTATATAGAATTAACTTCTTTTTTTTTTAATTTTTATTTATTGAATTCTGTGTGACGACCTCCGTGGCCTTGTGGTTTGTACGCCGGGTTTCATGGCGTCGCCGACTCGAGAGGTCCCGGGTTCGAATCCCGGTGGGGGCAGATGTTTGTGCGATGAACACGAACATTTGTACTCCAGTCATGGATGTTTAAATATGTATTTCTATATAAATATACTTATATATGTAAAGTATGTGTATTCTATCCGTTACCCTAGTATCCCATAACACAAGCCTTATAGTGCTTACTTTGGTGCTAGGCTAATTGGTGTGAGTGTTGAAAATATTTATTTATATATTTTATTTATTTATCAGGAAATACTGTATTTACTTGTATAAATATAGGTAGTAATTAATGATGATAAAAATTACGAACAAATGTTATGTATTCTTATATTCTCTTAGGAATTGTTAGATGATTTGAGTGCTCTTAAACTGACTGAAAATGTTTACAAACATTTGTACTATTTTAAACATGACATCGGATCTCAGTTTTAAATTGCGTCCCGAAGCATTTAGGTACACGAAAATGGTAGAAGATTTGCTCAACGGATAAGATTTTATTTTATATTTAAAAAAATTAGCTTCAACGTTAAGAGCTAGGGAAACCATTTATTTTGTTACAATTTGTTAATTAACAATTTTGTTTACAAATGTTTACTAACATAACCTAACATGAAAACATTTTCTAACTTAGTGTGATTTAGTCTAGCTATTCAAAGGGGGAACGCTGCCAGTATCTTTGGAACTCCTTTGGGGCTCCTTTTAATAATGTATTTTAGTTATAATATATAAAGTGTTTAGTTATAAATATCTTACTATTTGTTCTTTAGTTAAATGTACATACATGTATACTGAGTAGCTTGATGGCGCCAGTGGTAAGCGCGTTCGGCTGCGGTCGTTGAAGTTGAGCAACTTTCGCAGTGGTCGGTCATTGGATGGGTGTCCAAAAATTTACTATCTCGAGCTCCTCCGTGCTTCGGAAGGCACGATCAGCCGTTGGTCCCGGCTGCATCTGCAGTCGTTAGCACCCGCCAATCCGCACTGGGTCCGCGTGGTGGGTCATGGCCCAATCTCCCTAACCCATCCATAGGGAAGGCCTGTGCCCCAGCAGTGGGGACATTAATAGGCTGATGATGATGATGATGTATACTTAGTGATCACTTAGGATCATATGTTTATTGAAAAAACGTGTTTACCGGTGTTTAACAACATTTGTAAACAGCAGTGAGGAGCTCGGTGGCGCAAGTGGTTAGCGCGTTCGGCTGTGATCGTTGAAGTTAAGCCACTTTCGCAGTGGTTGTTCATTGGATGGGTGACCAAAAAAAATTTACTATCTCCAGCTCCTCCCGGCTGCATCTGCAGTCGTTAGTACCCACCAACCCGCACTGGGCCTGTGTGGTGGATCATAGCCCAATCTCCCTATTCCATCCATAGGAAAGGCCTGTGCCCCAGCAGTGGGGACATTAGTAGGTTGATAATGATGATGATGAAACAGCAGTGTGGGAGCACCATAAGATAAATAAAGAAGTAATTTATCAAAAAAATTGATTGAATGACAAGTTGTTTCCGGTTATAGGCCACAGACGACGCGCGATGGGTTTTGCACAAGATCTTCCTAGTGGCGCCGCCGTTTGCGCTCGGCGATGGATTATTGGAAATCGCTAAAAACACCATACAAGCCCAGGTACGATAAAAGTTTTGCCAGGTACGATAAAAGTTTTGCCAGGTACGATAAAAGTTTTGCCAGGTACGATAAAAGTTTTGCCAGGCACGATAAAAGTTTTGCCAGGTACGATAAAAGTTTTGCCGGATACGATAAAAGTTTTGAGGAGCTCGATGGCGTGGGTAGTTGGCGCGGTTGTCTGCGATCGTTGAAGCTAAGCAACTTTCACAGTGGTCGGTCATTCGATGGGTGACCAAAAATCTTCTATCTCGAGTTCCTCCATTATTTAGAAGGCACGTTAAGCCGTTGGTCCCGGCTGCATCTGCAGTCGTTAGCACCTGCAAATCCGCACTGGGCCCGCGTGGTGGGTCATGGCCCAATCTCCCTATTCCATCCATAGGGAAGGCCTGTGCCCCAGCAGTGGGGACATTAATAGGCTGATGATGATGATGATGATGCTTTAAGAAGCAGTGGCAACCAATTATTATTGTTACTTTTCGATGTATTTATTTCGATTTCATTTTTCTCTCTTGATAATAAATTGAGAAAATATATTGACGACCTCCATAGCTCAGTGGTGGTATATACATACGCCAGTTTTCAAGGTGTCGCCCACTCGTGAGGACCAAGGTTCGAATCCCGGTGGGGTTAGTATGATGAATACGAATGTAGGAAGGCCAAAGGGGAAGATCTTCCTCCGAGCTGGGTGATGGTAGCTCGGGGGCCGCGGCCCGACTGATGTTGGTCGGGCATCGCATATATGAAGAGTTAGTTTCCGAATTTCATTTGCGCGATGTAGGCTTCCATTGACCGCAGTGCAGGTAACGCCATCTCTTGAGGATGGTGAGTAATGACTTCCTCCATCCGTTGTCTATATGTGGGGCATATAGATGTCGCCGCCACACGAACATTTGTACCTTAGTCATGGATGTATGTACAGGGCTTCTCACGGAGTGAAATTATATTAAATATTGAAAATTGGATATTTTACTAAAAGAAGACATCATTTTATTTTTAATAATAAGTAAGTAGAACTGCATACATTGTTTGAAATAAAAATGCCTGCTTCATCGGGAATCAAACTCGTAAATTAAAACAAAAAAGCACATGTATTTTATTATAACCGTCGAAAATGTTAATCATGACGATTATTTTTTCCTTAATAACAAAGCGTTAAACATAAATTACTGATAGGCTATTTGACAAGTTTTAGAAAACGATCTCACGTTATTGAATGTTTATGGAGTCCGTAAAAAGTGGATATTCATCATTCTGTTGTGTATTTCAGTAAAAATAACCAAATCAAAAACTCCATTTTCAAGTTGCCGCGAAAAAGTTTTTCTGGATAAAATGGCGTCTTACTAGTTTGTGACGTCACACGAATCTTATTAAAACGTCAAACGATACAATGTAATGTCACTTTAACCGGAAGTTTACTTGCGTGTGACGTCATTTTAGGCTCGGCCAATCCCAAGCGTTTTGGGTCACGTGACAATAGATAAATAAAATAAATAAATAAATTTTTCCGACACTCACACCAATTAGCCTAGCCCCAAAGTAAGCACTATAAGGCTTGTGTTATGGGATGCTAGGGTAACGGATAGAATACAATCATATACTGTACATATATAAGTATATTTATATAAATACATTTTAAACATCCATGACTGGAGTACAAATGCTCGTATTCATCACACAAACATCTGCCCCCACCGGGATTCGAACCCGGGACCTCTCGAGTCGGCGACAGCCATGAAACCCGGCGTACAAACCGCTCGGCCACGGCGGTCGTCAAACTATTATCTTTTTCGTAGGTTTTTAGTAAAATTATGAATATATTTTTTTTGTAAAAATAAAAAAAACCCCTGCCAATATTCATTCTAAATACAGATGCTAACAATTGGCACTTTATTTTTAATACTGTCAAATACCCTATTATAATTTATATTTATAGGTCCTCTCCCGGTTCGGTATGGACACGTACAAGGACCCCTTGTCCTCGAGCCTGGTGGGACTCCACTACCTGTACCTGGTGCTGGTCGGAACTGCCCTGTTTCTGCTCAACCTGGCCTTGGACTACCAGTGCTTCGACTTCTTATTGAACAAGTGAGTTGGGTTTTAAAAGGCGGGCCAAAAAAATCTGGTTTAGAACCTGCGTAATTCATACTACAGACTAAAAATACTAAGTAAGTCATTCGAAAACACCGAGCACATTGCTGGATAGTGCTGAACTGATGATGATATTGATGTCAATTCTGGGATCATTCTCTAAACTTAAAACTAAATTTAATATCAGTCTGTCCTTTTATTTTATATAGAGAATGACAAGGATACACTGTTGTCAAATTTAAGTTTAGCTTTAGAGAATCATGCCAGAATCGACAACATTGACATAATTATTTACGATTATACTAGAAATAGTAGAAATCCTTAGTTTAGGGAAATGGTCTCAAGATAGGTTGATGGCAGAACATAGAACATAGAAAGAGAAGCATACATTTTCCTGACATAGATGTTCAATACTAAATTATATTTAATTTATTTTGAAATGCCTCTCACACTAAATATAAGACGTAACTGGATCATCTAGTTTCTTAAATTTTTATTTTTAAGCGTTCAACTGCTGGATGTGTAAATCCATATAAATAAACATCTTTTTCTAATTTTGTTTATTTGTCTATTGAATTGATTTTATTTGTTGACAATTATTTTATAGTAAAGTAAAACAATAATAGTAACAACAAAGTTATAATTATATCAGACTGTATCCAACCCCGATGCCTGACCCCTGCGATGGAGAGCTGGAAGATCTGGACGTAGCTGCGGAAAGGAGGAGAGTTCTGGAGGCAGTGTCTCGGACGAGGGACACTCCACTGAGGCTGCACACTATAGGCAACATTAACGCAGGTACTATATCATAACAAATACTTTAATATAAGAGCTGGAAGACCTGGAGAGTTCTGGAGGCAGTGTCTCGGACGAGGGACACTCCACTGAGGCTGCACACTATGGGGAACATTAACGCAGGTACTATATCATAATTAATACATTAATATAAGAGCTGGAAGACCTGCAGAGTTCTGGAGGCAGTGTCTCGGACGAGGGACACTCCACTGAGGCTGCACACTATAGGCAACATTAACGCAGGTACTATATCATAACAAATACTTTAATATAAGAGCTGGAAGACCTGGAGAGTTCTGGAGGCAGTGTCTCGGACGAGGGACACTCCACTGAGGCTTCACACTTTGGGAACATAAACGCAGGTACCTACTATATAATAATACTAGCTGACCCAGCGAACTTCGTACCGCCCTAAAAAAATAGGGGTTGTCCAGCGGACAAAATTGTGAATCTAAACCATTCTCAGATCCCCTTGAACACACACAAAAAATTTCATCAAAATCGGTCCAGTCGTTTAAGAGAAGTTCAGTGACATACACACTCACAGAAGAATTATATATATAAAGATATACATTTATATAGAAGTTGGAATATTCATAATTAATATATTAATATAAATGCTGGAAGACCTGGATGAAGTTGCGGAAAGCAGGAGAGTTCTGGAAGCAATATATCAGGTAAGACAGACGCCATTGAGGCTGCACACTGTACGGAATATTATCGCAGGTCTGATGTCACAATAATAATAATAATAACTTTATTGCTTAAAAAACTGTGTACAATTATGCAGTTGGAATTGTAATTGTAAATAATAATAATTTACTCATAAAATCCTATTAACCAGCCTATTAATGTCCCAACTGCTGGGTCACAGGCCTTCCTTGTGAATGGAATAGGGAGATTGGGCCATGACCCACCAAGCGGGCCCAGTGCGGATTGGTGGGTGCTAACGACTGCAGATGCAGCCGGGACCAACGACTTAAAGTGCCTTCCGAAGCATGTAGGAACTCGGGATAGTAAATTTTTGGTCACCCATCCAATGACCGACCACTGCGAAAGTTGCTTAACTTGAACGGTCGCAGCCGAACGTGCTAACCATTTGCGCCATCGAGCTCCTTACTTTTAAGTGGTTTTATCGTTAAGAAATTCATCGTCGTCTATTCAAATTAGTCTTTATTTAAACAATTAATGTTAAATTAAAATAATACCTGTTGCTAAAAAAATCAAACAGAATAAAATTAACTTTTGCTGGAGATCAATAGAGTATTTGACAGTATTAAAAATAAAGCACCAATTGTTAGCATCTGTTATCAGAATGAATATTGGCAGGGGTTTTTACTACTTTTACAAAAAAAACATAATTTTATTAAAAGCCCACGAAAAAGATAATAGTTTTCTTATCCATTGTCACGTGACCAAAAACGCTTGGGATTGGCGGAGCCTAAAATGACGTCACACGCAAGTAAACTTCCGGTTAAAGTGACATTACCTTGTATCGTTCGACGTTTTAATGACAGTCGTGTGACGTCACACACTAGTAAGACGCCATATTGTCCAGAGAAACGTTTTCGCGGCAACTTGAAAATGGAGGTTTTGATTTGGGTTATTTTTACTGAAATACACAACATAATGATGAATATCGACTTTTTGCGGACTCCATAAACATTAGTCAATAACGTGAGATCGTTTCCTAAAACTTGTCAAATACCCTATTATGATCATCGAAAGTTTTTTGTTTATAATAATGTTGCTATATATGTTGACCGGCCCAGGGTTCGTCGACACTGAGGGCAAGAAGACCGAGTCTTTATCCCGGGCCCATAAGGACCCAGCGATGGGCCCCGACGTAGCTTGGTGCGTGGGGCTCGGCAAACGGTACCGAGGCCGGAAACTGCCTGCTTTGAACGACCTAACGCTAGCCCTGCCTGCTGGACAGGTAATATTTATTTACTACAAAATAATTTGGACTTAATTATTTAAAGCAAAATCTTAAGTTTTATATTTTAACCGGAACAGTGCCGAAATATCGGAGTCGCAAAAAAAACCAAGGTGCATGGTAGCAATCCTACTTATAACTATAACTAGCGGCCCGCCCTCGCTTCGCTTCGGTGTAGAGCTGAAGTGTAGACTACAGTTTTTGTTCTCAGGCTTGTATTAAACAATATGTCATTCATCTATGATTCTTCTTATACCTGCATGCAAAGTCTCAGCCCGATCGGTTTAAAATTGACATGGTTTTATACAAACTTTCATTCCCTATTTTATACCCTTGGGGGTAGAATTGATCAAAGTCCTTTCTTAGCGGATGCCTACGTCATAACATCTACCTGCATGCCAAATTTCAGCCCGATCCGTCCAGTGGTTTGGGCTGTGCGTTGATAGATCACTATGTCAGTCAGTCAGTCACCTTTGAGTTTTATATATATAGATATATATAGATTTATAATTTGAATTACTATTTCTTCTTTCAAATTTTTAATACTTGTAAAAGTATTTATTTGACATTGTGGGTTACATTCAATGCGAAGAGATGGCGCTGCCTTGCAGCTTAGGAAAAGCTGGAAAGCATTCGACAAGGCCATCAGACAAGGGTCGCGATAGCATATGGTCTGTGTATTCGCCCGGATAGCGAAGGGTGCAGGTTCGAGTCCTGTCTGCTGCCTGGCCCGCGTGGAATTTTTTCTAGTAATATTTTCTTTAGATTTATTTGTTTGTTTAATAACATCAAAACACAAAAATTAGCATCACTTTACTATGATCTTCTATAAGAGATTATATCTCTAGGGTTGTCTTCGGGAAATCCGTTATGCCCTACCTTTATTACTTCATCATCATCATCAGCCTATTAATGTCCCCACTGCTGGGGCACACGCCTTCCCTATGAATGGAATAGGGAGATTGGGCCACGACCCACCAGGCGGGCCCAGTGCGGATTGGCGGGTGCTAACGACTGCAGATGCAACCGCACCAACGCCTTAACAAGCCTTCCGAAGCACGGAAGAACTCGAGATAAAAGATTTTTGCTCACCCATCCAATGACCGACCACTGCGAAAGTTGCTTAACATCAACGATCGCAGCCGAACGCGCTAACCACCCGCTCCATCGACCTCCTGTATTACTTATCAGAAAACAATCCAAAAAAACTAAACAAATGAATATCCCAGTGCACGGCGCTCCTGGGAGTAAACGGTGCCGGCAAGTCGACAACATTCTCATTACTGACCGGCCAACTGCGGCCAACCACTGGCTACATATACGTGCAGGGCAAGCCGGCCAACCGGAGACAACTCTGCCAAGGATATATCAGTGAGTATTGCCAAGGATATATCAGTGAGTATTGCCAAGGATATATCAGTGAGTATTACCACGGATATATCAGTGAGTATTGCCAAGGATAAATCAGTGAGTATTGCCAAGGATATATCAGTGAGTATTGCCAAGGATAAATCAGAGAGTATTGCCAAGGATATATCAGTGAGTATTCGTGACTTAGGCTTAGATTAAAACAAAAAGGGTAGATACGGTACGCTCATACTTGCATCAAACAAAATCTGATCCCACGCCAGCGCGAACGGGACGGCGAGATCCGCGTCACTGCATTACCGACCCGAACGAAACAGCACGTTAAGTTTCAACGGCAGCGCGAATGAGACGGCGAGATCCGCGGCACTGCACTACCGACCAATCACGCGACCAGTACTCGACGTCACTACCGAATAAGAGTCAAAACAAACAGCATTTTTTATGAAAAAATATATTTTATAGTACTTACGAATGAAAAGTGATGCCGTGGGTTTAAAACACACTTAGGCATTGTTTTATCATATACACACAAAATATTAGCAATATTTCTTTTTGGCCTTCACATGTACGTCGTTTGCATGTCAAGTTGTGACTAAAGCGATTAGGGTCGTGGACCACAATTTGTGCGGATCACTTTTGTGAGGCTAGTGCCGTGTCTACCCTTTTTGTTTTAATCTAAGGATTTAGGCGTGTTTTTGAAGGTACGTTTTGCTGGCAATCAAGGTTATACCGACGGATAACCTGTCATCTAGTATGACATCTGATATGACACTGACGGATTTTCAGTCGCCACCAGTTTCTTATTATTCGTACATAACCGATGGAATTGATTGATTGCTGTATGTGCATCCATTGAACGCCTTATAGTGGTGAAAACTATACGGTATTTTACAAGTTATAGAAAACGATCTCACATTATTGGAATAATGTTTATGAAGTCCGTAAAAAGTCGATATTGATCATTATGTTGTGTATTTCAGTAAAAATAAATAAATCAAAAATTCCATTTGCAAGTTGCCGCGAAAACATTTCGCACATGGCGCGTCGCCACACTGTACACACTACTACATATAGATTGTATATATATATACCATCACATAGCGCAGCGACGTGTCGCCATGGCATGATTTTGTTCAAGTTCATATAGCTCTTTTATGAAAAGCAAGATGGCGCTGTAGCAATTGTTACTCGCACTATGGTTTGAGTTCCTTAGTTTCATATAATAACAACTTTAGTTCTTTATTTAGTTAATAGATGTCACGTTAAGTCCTTGTAATCGCGGTATAGATTGCTGCAGTGCGTTTCTATAAGTAGTTTCCTATATGAATAGATGAAAGTCAAGGATTCAGTTCCAGTTCAAGATTCTGTTTGATTTGGTATGTTTTTTTTAAGAATACATTAGTCCAAGTACTAAGTTCTATAATTCCAACGAATCCCAATTCGCCAAGTACTTTTGCTGACCCTTGGTCCCAAACAGATTTAACGTGCGCCTATAGATCTTTCTAGCGGTGGGTCGTTCTCAAATTTTCTGACGACGAAACGCAACCGTTTTTTCTTAAACTAAAACTAGTCCTCGAAACGGTTCTCGTTCGCAACTGGTTTTGGTTGCGGCCGGGTGACGCAACGAAACGACACGCGACGGTCGAACGAATGTAACGCAACTAAACTGAACTAAATGAAATCTTGTTAACGTTCGTTTCGTTGCTGCGAACGAGACGACGAAACATCGAAATAAATGTAGTGTTATACGATAATCGACTTTAAGTGTTCAATAATAAAGATTATATTATTGTAAAATCAAAGCTTAATTATCATAGAACGAAACGGCCTCTTAACATTGCGTTCTATTATAGACTGTATTTACTTAATCATAAAGAACATATTGGCGTGCAGACAATCCGAGGACTAGTTTTTCGACGAAGACTGTTTTGATCCGAAACGTAAAACGGTTCTATCGTCGCGGAACACAAAACGGTCCTTGAAACCGGTTCGTCTTTAGAACGCTCACACCTAGATCTTTCACATCGAAACTTTAAAATATTAGTGAGATGTTAATTAAATTATTTTTAATAATTTTGCGTAGGCTACTGTCCCCAGAGTGACGCCATAGATCCGCTGCTCACTGTGCGGGAGACATTGTCCATATTCTGCCAACTTCGCGGCATTGATCACCAACACGAGGTAACACACTTATTATCGCTGTCTAAATTAGTTTTTAGTGAATTTTAAAACAAATATTTAAATTAGAATTTATTGGTTTTTTTTCACTGTTTCTATTTGCTTGTACTAGGAGGATGTTGCCTCTACTCATGGGTGCTAAATAGGGTATTTGACAAGTTTTAGAAAACGATCTCACGTTATTGATTAATGTTTATGGAGTCCGTAAAAAGTGTATATTCAGCATTCTGTTGTGTATTTCAGTAAAAATAACCAAATAAAAAACTCCATTTTCAAGTTGCCGCGAAAACGTTTCTCTGGGCAATATGGCGTCTTACTGACGTCACACGACTGTTATTAAAACGTCAAACGATACATGTAATGTCACCTTAACCGGAAGTTTACTTGCTTGTGACGTCATTTTAGGCTCCGCCAATCCCAAGCGTTTTGAGTCACGTGACAATAGAAAGGAAAACTATTATCTTTTTCGTTAGTCTTTAGTAAAATTAAGTATATTTTTTTGTAAAAATAGTAAAAACCCCTGCCAATATTCATTCTAAACACAGATGCCAACAATTGGCTCTTTATTTTTAACACTGTCAAATACCCTATTTGGTGTTAAATTTCTGCTATTCTGTAATTTATATCAACGAATTAGAAATAATATGGCATAGAAATTGCGCTGAAAAGTGGTTCCAATCAAACTGCGATCAAGTGGGCGGAGCGGAAGAAATGCGATCAATGCGTTTCGCATTATCTTCTATATGAATGAATATTTGGTTTATCAAAGTATTTTGTTTTAAATCAACGTTTTTATATGGGGGGTAAAGTAAGTTTACTATTTATAACTGTTCGCGCTGTATTTATTGACACAATTTTTAAGCTTCCCTCGTTACTTGTTCATTTTGTTTTGAAAATTGCTTCTTGCTATTTGGAGACGTTTCTTTGCACTTATTGTTAGTAAATTCGTTGATTGTCTATTGTTACATAGTTGACATTATGTGATGGAAGTTGACCTCAACACAATATGTTTGCAAGTTTGATGTCAAATTTTAATTGTACGACACTGTATGAAATAAAACAGGGAGAAAAAATCAGCCCTTGCTGAGTTTCTTGCCGGTTCTTCTCAGTACAAGGTCTCCCGCCGTAGATTTGCGAACCGATGACGTAGCTTTTCGACATTCACAAGTGCTTGTAACAGCCTAGACTGAATAAACGATATTGAATTTTGAATTTTTTTTACTCAAAATACTAGGTGTATGACATAAACAAAAGTTTTGTCACAAAATAAATAGTGGTTGTGTCTCACAGGTGATAAGTCGCACGGTTGAGACGTTCGAACTGGGCCGCTACATAGACACTCGAGCGGGTAATCTAAGCGGTGGGAACAAGCGGAAGCTGTGCGCCGCTATAGCGCTTATGAGCCGCGCGCCGCTCGTGCTGCTCGACGAGCCTACCAGGTGACACACACACACACACACACACACACACACACACATACTCACACCTACACACATACACACACACACATCCTCACACCTACACACACACATATACACACACACACATACTCACACCTACACACACACGTACACACACATACACACACACACACACACATACTCACACCTACACACACACACGTACACACACATACACACACACACACACATACTCACACCTACACATACCCACGTACACACACATACTCATACATACACACACACACATACTCACACCTACACATACACACGTACACACACATACACACACACACACATACTCACATCTACACACACACATACATACACAACAACACATACATACACAACAACACATACTCACACACATACACGCCGCTATAGCGCTTATGAGCCGATGAACGATTTCTTATTTAGTTTGGAAATCATAGTTGAATCGATACTATTAACGTTTATGTCGTATCGTTGTATGCTCAGTGGTATGGACCCCGTCTCCCGCGCGTGCGTGTGGCGTGCGGTCCGCGCGGCATGCGGTGTGCGGCGCGGCGTGTTGCTGGCCACGCACGTGCCGCAGGACGCGCGGCGCTCGTGCCGCAGTGCCGCGGTGCTGCACGCCGCGCGCCTGCGTCGACTGCGGCCGCTGCACGCGCTCAATGGGTAAGTGCCGCACGCGCGGCATGCGGTGTGCGGCGCGGCGTGTTGCTGGCCACGCACGTGCCGCAGGACGCGCGGCGCTCGTGCCGCAGTGCCGCGGTGCTGCACGCCGCGCGCCTGCGTCGACTGCGGCCGCTGCACGCGCTCAATGGGTAAGTGCCGCACGCGCGGCATGCGGTGTGCGGCGCGGCGTGTTGCTGGCCACGCACGTGCCGCAGGACGCGCGGCGCTCGTGCCGCAGTGCCGCGGTGCTGCACGCCGCGCGCCTGCGTCGACTGCGGCCGCTGCACGCGCTCAATGGGTAAGTGCCGCACGCGCGGCATGCGGTGTGCGGCGCGGCGTGTTGCTGGCCACGCACGTGCCGCAGGACGCGCGGCGCTCGTGCCGCAGTGCCGCGGTGCTGCACGCCGCGCGCCTGCGTCGACTGCGGCCGCTGCACGCGCTCAATGGGTAAGTGCCGCACGCGCGGCATGCGGTGTGCGGCGCGGCGTGTTGCTGGCCACGCACGTGCCGCAGGACGCGCGGCGCTCGTGCCGCAGTGCCGCGGTGCTGCACGCCGCGCGCCTGCGTCGACTGCGGCCGCTGCACGCGCTCAATGGGTAAGTGCCGCACGCGCGGCATGCGGTGTGCGGCGCGGCGTGTTGCTGGCCACGCACGTGCCGCAGGACGCGCGGCGCTCGTGCCGCAGTGCCGCGGTGCTGCACGCCGCGCGCCTGCGTCGACTGCGGCCGCTGCACGCGCTCAATGGGTAAGTGCCGCACGCGCGGCAAGCGGTGTGCGGCGCGGCGTGTTGCTTTCCCTTTTGATGTGTGCTTCGTGTACATTATATTAAGTTTTAGGTAATGTTTACGTAGATTTAGGTGTCGATTCTGGCATGATTCTCTAAACTTAAAACTAAATTTAATATCAGTCTCTCCTTTTCATTCTGTATAGATAATGACAAGGATGCACTATTGTCAAATTTAAGTTTAGGTTTAGAGAATCATGCCAGAATCGACACCTTAGTGAAACTAAACTGATGTTTTGTCCTCAGTTTGTGCGGGGGCTACGTGGTGGAGTGCGTGGTGGGTCAGGGCGCGGTGGGTCGCGTGTGGGACGCGGTCAGGGCCCTCCAGCCCCCCGCGCGCCTTCTGCTCACGCATGCCCGCGCGCTGAGGGTCATGCTGCCCGCTACATATACAGGTAACGCACATACACACAGGGAAATGGACAGAGACACACACACACGGAGATATACACACGCATACAAAGAGAGACATGCACACATACAGAGAGAGAATCACACTAATATTATAAAGGCGAAAGTTTGTGAGTATGCGAGTGTGTATGTTTGTTACTTCTTCACGTCTGAACGGCTGGAGCGATTTTTATAAAAAAAATTATGGAGTTAGCTGACACCCTAGATTAACACATAGGCTACTTTTATCCCGAAAAAATGTTAGGTTCCAGAGGGATTTTCAAGAAACTAAGTTAACGCAGACGAAGTCGCGGGCGACCTCTAGTAAATAATAAATAAAATAATTATTTCTAACACTCACACCAATTAGCCTAGCCCCAAAGTAAGCACTGTAAGGCTTGTGTTATGGGATGCTAGGGTAACGGATAGAATACATATACTGTACATATATAAGTATATTTATATAGAAATACATATTAAACATCCATGACTAGAGTACAAATGCTCGTATTCATCACACAAACATCTGCCCCCATCGGGATTCGAACCCGGGACCTCTCGAGTCGGTGACACCATGAGACCCGACGTACAAACCACTCGGCCACGGAGGTCGCCAAAGAAACATAGAAAGATACGGGGAGAAAGACAAACACAGAGAAAGGGGGGGAGCACAGACAGAGAGAGAGTTATTCATACAGAAAGAGCTAACCCAGACAGACAAAATTCCAACTAAAATTAAGTCGCACGAATCGACTGCAGAAAACCCGTCGCCTGCCCACTGGCGCGAAGCGAAGGCTGAGGAACGGAGAAACGGAAAAATATCTCTTATCTAATAGACAAGTCCGTCCGTCCGTCCGTGGTGCTGTTTCAGCGGCCAAACCGTAAGAGATAGATAAAGAGAATATTTAAGTTATAAGTTAAGAATAGTCTGATAAGACTACAAACCGGATGTGAGTAACGTAGCACTTCCGGTTTTCGGGAAATCACGTGATTTCTATTTCAAACGAAACCACACAAAATCTCCGAAGTTCTCAATTAATTAAATACATTTTTTTTTTGGTGAACATTTGGTTCACTGGTTTGCTAGTTCATCAATATTTGCACTAAAGGACATTGTTCATTCCCCATACATTGAATGCCCTTGAACGTACAGCAATGAGAAAATTCTAGTTGTGTTCGGAATCATTCATAAAATCTACTGTACCGTACTGTAATTACCTGTAGGTAATAATAGATTTCTTTTCAAATGAAATGTTCAAAGTATTTCCATTTACCTGTTTCTATATTTTACTATCGGTAATTGGGTATGTACCTGGTTATCATTATGATTTTCATAAAAAAAACAGATGTTGCATGGGATGGGAGTATAAACTATCTTTACATAATTTCAGAAATAATCTTTTTATAAATATATAAGTCTTAATTTTTAGTTTTTTTAAACAGATTGTCCGTTTTCTATGATTAATTGCTAATAAGTTAAAAAAATAATAGAAATATAATAGTGAAGGACATTCTTTTGGGTATGCTAGGGCCGATTTCGTCGATGTCCTTTGTCCATTGAAGAATGGGAGATCGGAGATTTTGTGCACCAATTTACCTAATATAGGTTAACATATAACCGCTCCGCAGCCTCGCTCATTAAATTTTTATCCACGATAAAGCTGTTCGATACCGCCGACACGCTGCGTCTGACCATAATTCAATATCAATCTAGGCTGTGACTTAATACAGACATCCTTTATTCAATCTAGGCTGTGACTTAATACAGCATAACCACAATTTACAATTTTGGTGCGCGATATCGTGCTGTGAGCTCTTATAATAAAGCCTCGCCCAGAGAGAGACACACGCAGCCACGTTTCTTTATAAGCACTTCTAATTAACCGTCTGCATTCTTGTTTCATATTTATTATATCTATAAAAAAAACTTATGTTTTTTACACACAACAATAATTTAATAAACACTATTTTAACGGCGCGTTTTTCCGTGTCTCTGTAGTTGAAATATTCTGAGTGGTCAATTGAATGTAAAAATTAATACAAAAGCTCTACAAAACCCGTTTAAAAATATGTTTTATAATTTAATAGTGGATGGCAAAGAGACGGTGATGCGTCTAAGCGACGTATTCCGATTGATGGCACGCCTGCAGGGCGCCTGCGACATTGAGGACTACGCCGTCACGCAGCCCGAGCTCGACCAGGTACGTAATGACTCATTGAGAGCTACCGTTTTTGGCTCAACAGATGGCGCCACTGTTAAGTGATAAATAGATAGATAGATAGATAAATCATTTATTCCCATCAGTACAGCACACAAATTCAAATAAAAAAATAGAACAATTAATTACTAGGTATGTAACTGTGTGCCGCAACGACAGAAAATGGCAAAAACTCAGCGATACCTTTGCTCTAAGAGCAAAGCACTGGTTTTCAGTTCTGCCTAGAAAGCGCGTAACGTGAAACGACATCGACGTGACGTGATTAATTTATTATTAAGAGAATTAAATTAGATTATATTTTTATTAAATTAAAAAGATTATTAAATTATTATTGATAAATTATTATAATATAACTATATATAATATTATCATTCACCAAAAATTATTAATTATTACTGTTGTTATTACTTTTTAGTATTTAGATTAATATTGAATTTCTGAATTAATATTCACCCATCAGAATTTAACACACACAAATTGTGACATACCTATTAAGTGAGTTCCTAAAGTGTAGATGAATCTATATATATATATATATATATAAAATTCAAAGGTCACTGACTGACATAGTGATCTATCAACGCACAGCCCAAACCACTGGACGGATCGGGCTGAAATTTGGCATGCAGGTAGATGTTATAACGTAGGCATCCGCTAAGAAAGGATTTTGATCAATTCTACCCCCAAGGGGATAAAATAGGGAGTGAAAGTTTGTATGGAATTTTGTCAATTTTAAAGCGATCGGGCTGTGACTTTGCATGCAGGTATAAAAAGAATCATAGATGAATGTCATTGTGTATAATACAAGCCCGAGAACAGAAACTGTAGTCTACACTTCAGCTCTACACCGAAGCGAAGCGAGGGCGGGCCGCTAGTAAATAAATATTTCCAACACTCACACTAATTAGCATAGCCCAAAGTAAACACTGTAAGGCTTGTGTTATGGGATGCTAGGGTAACGGATAGAATACATATACTGATACATGTATGGTAAGTATATTTATATAGAGATACGTATTAAACATCCATGACTGGAGTAAAATGCTCGTATTCATCACACAAACATCTGCCCCCACCGGGATCTGAACCTGGGACCTGTGTCGAGACACCATGAAACCCGGCGTAAAAACTACTCGGTCACGGAGGTCGTAAGCTACATACCCGTTAAAGTTTGTTAAAACGCGCGTGAAATCATACATTTAAATCATATCGATATGATTATTAAACTACGTTCCGTTTTGTTGGGAGGTCATTATAATTTCTCTAAGCTCCGCTTTCAAATCACTGACATAAGCTACCCGAATAGAGTCTGTGCGGAAAGAGAATGGGATTTAGATTGGAGGGCGCTGTAGTGCATTTCCACCGTATTTGTAAGATTTTACCCCTTTTAGACATGAACTTTACTTTTCAGGTTGCGTCGTTAGAAATGATGATTATCTATATACTTATAATAAATCTGTAGAGATGTCAATTCTGTACATGAAATATATTTTTTAAAATAACTATCAGGGGGTGATTAGTGATCGATACTGATGCCCAAAATGCAATCAGTAAAATTTTTGTCTGTCTGTCTGTCTGTGTGTATGTTCCTTATAGAAACAAAAACTACTCAACGGATTTTAACAAAACTTGGTGCAATTATTCTTCATACTCCTGGACAGGTTATAGTATACTTTTCATCACGCTACAATCAATAGCAGCAGAGTAGTGAAGGGAAATGTTGGGAAAACGGGAGAAGTTACTTCATTTTTTAAGCTTCCGTCGCGTGTGCAGCCTTAATGGTTAAAGTTACATAGAAATCACGTATGACGGAAATATTCTACATCAAATTGTCTAAAAAATATCCAGCAAAAGCATATGTCTATCTTTTATGGTTGACTCACAATAACACGTGTAATTATATAAATAAAGTCATTGTTTATAGCACAAGCCTGAGAACAAAAACTATAGTTTACACTACAGCTCTACACCGAAGAAAAGCGAGGGCGGGTCACTAGTTGTTAATAATAATTTGATTTGATTGCAGATGTTCCTAAACCTGGACGATAAAGTGAGAATAGAGGATGAGTACGTAGATCTGGAGCCTCTACCCTCCCCCACTGCACTGAGGCCTGACAGAGATCAACTCGACAGTGTCACCGCACTTTAAAAGTCAGCTACCTTATCCCAGACTTTAGCACATACCTATGACTTTTCAGTTTACCATTTTGTCAATTATAAATAATAAGGCATTTTCCAAATTTTTGAAAACTGCTTACATTTAAAGATTGGGATCAACGATTTAACAGAAATATAAAAAAAATGGGTGCGTGTACTTATGTAGGCGCGTGAGAAGTTATCCTTCTTTGGCATCGTTTAAAATTAGTTTTTATTTGCATGCAAATAATTAATTACAGTAAATTAATAAAAAGTCTGGAAAAGGACACAGTCAAGAAAGTTCGGTTTTAATTTGAAAAAATAAATAAATAATCAAAATATTCAATTAAAATCGCTACTGAATATAATTTATTAGAACATATGTGATTTGCACTTGTATGAAACTCAAACACGCATTCCGAATATACAAACTAGAAACATGTGGATAAATATTATAAATATGAATACCTATAACTGTTACTTAATTACAAAAAATAAAGATGTGGTTTTTGGTTCTACTACTTTCGCGCTTTGGTTCCGTTGTTCCAGATTAATAAATACTTTTGATAGGCCTTCACAATGCAGTCGTTAGCACCCAATAAATAGAGATTCTATTTCTATTTTGTTGGTAGATTTTCTTAATGTGCGGTAAACACAAAAGTAACGCATGAATTTTGTGTTACAGTGATGCGCGCGCATCTTAAAATTTCACTCTCATCATTTTTTCATAACGCGCCTAAAGAAGTATAACTTCAAAAAAAAATCTTTTTTTCTCCATTAAACCAATTAAAGTTGAATTTATTTTTATGGTTTTGAATTTACCGCTCAAACGCTCGGTTGGATGCCGTCTACTGTGTGACGTCAACTTTGTCTATGCTATATGTGATCATCTGCAGGTCAAATTATTAACTTTTTTACGTTTTGGATAAATTTATCTCTTATCTATTAGACAAGTCCGTCCGTCTGTCTGTGGTGCTGTTTCAGCGGCCAAACCGTAAGAGATAGATAACGAGAATATTTAAGTTAAAAGTTAAGAATAGTCTGATAAGACTACAAACCGGATTTGAGTAACGTAGCACTTCCGGTTTTCGAGAAATCACGAATTTCAAACGAAACCACACAAAATCTCCGAAGTTCTCAATTAATTAAATACATTTTTTTTTTTAAATCAGGTTTTGGTGAACATTTGGTTCACTGGTTTGCTAGTATATATATATATTTAAAGATAACTATACTATAAATTCATCACAAACGTATAATAATAAATTCAACTTTAATTGGTTTAATGGAGAAAAAAAGACTTTTTTTTTTATATATCTGTTAAATCGTTTGTCCCAATCTTTAAATATGAGCAGTTTTCAAAAATTTGGACACTACCATTACCATAATGCTGCAATTAAATTTGATCGTTAGTCCATATTCGGGCGCATGAAAGACGGTACTCGAATTCTGGCACCCGAAGCAATATGAGCGGTCATACTGGATTTTCATACAACTTTTTTCCGGCCGCAGTTCGCATAGGAAACGTAAAACAAATTTAATGTCATTTAAAGTTTTTTTTTTAAACAAATTTAATCATTTACTGGCCTGAGTATGGTGATTAGGTTGAAAAGACCTACACGACCCGCCTGCTGATATAACTATGTGCTGGCAAACTTCTTAAGCAACGACCTGACAAGCCTGCGCAGGAGCAATTTTACATACAAAAATGTCTACTGCGCAGTTTGTTTGTCTGTGATTTTGCTGTACCCGTAGTACGAGTTTCAGCTCACGAAAACTATCATAGTTTTCGTAACTGTAAATTATGTTTCTATGTCCATTTTGGTGAAAAGTAATAAAATATACCTACTTAAAATATAAGAAGACGAAAATGATTTAATGATAGAATTTAAACACTGTTTAATTGTATTGAAACGAAAACATTAAAAACAGGACTCTTAGTATGAGTGCGAGCTCACGAAAACTATCATAGTTTTCGTGATTGTAAAACTCTTACTAAGGGTACTGGAGGTCTGTGAACTCACATAAAAACTATATTTTGCTGTTATTGTAGTACAAATATAAAATATTGCTCAATTAAAAACTAATTTTAATATCTTTGACGATATTAATAAGGTATAAATTATAATATTTTTAATTAATACGGTTATATAGAATATTTGACATTTCAAAAATGTATTTCTGTTACTATTCTCAAACCTAAAGTTGTCAAGAAAATATGCGGTAGATTAACTTAAGGGTCTGCGCTGCGTTAAGCAGGAAAGGACGTCTGCTCCGCGTTCTCCGTTGCTTTACTTCAATGAACGCAGCGGCCGACCATCGAGCTCCTCAGTATAAAATAATTAAATATTTTTTGAAGTTATACTTCTTTAGCCGCGTTATGAAAAAAATATGAGAGTGAAATTTTAAGATGCGCGCGCATCACTGTAACACAATAGTAACACCATGAAGTTGGCCGCGGGCGCGTTATGAATGTTAGTGTCTAATAATGGTGGATTATTAACCACTTAGTGGTTAATAATCCACCATTATTAGACATCTGTTCGAAAGGTACTTTGAACGATCCACGGAGCTCCATAAGATGATCGCGTTGTCAAAAACAATGTTGGCACGCTCGTCGCCTCTGATCACTGTTTTCATATTTATAATATTTATCCACATGTTTCTAGTTTCTATATAGACACAACGTGTTTTAGTTACTTACAAGTGCTAATTACATATGGACTAATAACTTAAATTCAGTAGTGATTTTAATTGAATATTTTGAATATTTATTTAATTTTTCAAATTAAAACTGAACTTAATTGACTGTGTTAACTATCCTTTTCCAGCCCTTTTATTATTTTATTGTAATTATTTGCATGCAATTAAAAAATATTTTTAATGATGCTAAAGAAGTATAACTTCTCACGCGCGTACATAAGTTACACGCATCCATTTTTTTATTAGTTTAGCAAGCGTTAATGGTGCTAAAACACCGTTGTTTGCAGACGATTTTTACTGTCATTAGTTTTTTTTATAAAAAGCAGCGGCTTTGGATAGTTTTAACTAGTTGGATCATGATAACTAACTCATACAGAGGAAATGATATTAGGAGTGGCCGGTAAGATTTTTATTCATCGAAATAGTGGTTAGTTTTACAAATATAGTTCTTATGACTATGCAATAAGAGTGATGCGGTGTGAACCCTTAATAAGTACTTAACTAAAGCGTACGTGACACTACGAATGTATGAAAATTCAAATTGGAAATTCATCAAATTGGCGTGGATTTTTTTCTAGTAAACTTTTCTTTAGATTTAAACATCTAGCAGTTATATGCTTAAAAATAAATAAAATCATAAATTCAAATTGATTAACCTGGCCCAACGATTCATAATCAATTCACAGTTGATTTTGAATGATTAAGATTTAATTGAAATGTGGTCATGCCTTCCATTCTTTTGTAAATATATAAAAAATAAGATACCTTATAGGTAACCCACAATGCGAAGAGATGGCGCTGCCTTGCAGCTTAAGAATGGCTAGAGGAATTTCGACGCGGTCAGTGAGGGCCGCGGTAGCATAATTGGTCAGTGCATTCGCCCGGATTGCGAAGGGTGCGGTTCGAGTCCCGTCTGCTGCCTGGTCCGCGTGGAATTTTTTCTAGTTATATTTTCTTAAGATACTTATGTTTAGTTACTTATGTGTAACCGCTTAATGCAATCAACAAAGAAATGTGTGATCCTTTTATTACTACGAATTATAATTTTAATGCATTTTCTCTTTAAACAATACACCTAGTTTATTTGTGCAATGAATATGGATGCTGTTCGAGCAGAGAATTGCGTGTTAGCAGTGCTACCAAAATTGTGACACTTGGATGACATTGACAGGAGGGCTGAGTGAAAAAGTGGTAAATTGAGTGAAATGTCTTTACTGAAGAGAACGTTATAACTTACAATAACTTGAAAAGAGTAAACGGCAATATAAAAGGCTTATTTACGGGTCAGGCCGTAAATTTTGCCACATTAGTAATAACATAACTCTCCGCCACATTTTAAAAAAAAGTTTGTCATACTTACCTATTAAAAGTGTGTTTTATTTTGTAGCACTGTCCTTACGTTACATATCTTGTATGCCACTCCTTAACAATTTTGCGTTACCATTTTGCGTCACTCTGCGCTATGGACTCGTAGAAAGGACATTGCTCGTTCCCCATACATTGAATGCCCTATAACGCCCAGCAATGAGAAAATGCTAGTTGTGTTCGGAATCATTCATAAACTCTAATTAAGCATTTGTTGAGATACGGACAACTTGAGGAACCGTGGCCTACTACAGAATGTATTAGATTTTGAGGTTATAATTATTATACTTAATCGTAAAAGATGTACACTTTATATATTCTGAATAGATTTAGTTTTTACCTCTATGTAAGCACTGAAATAATATGCATTAAATGAACATAAAATGCAATTAATAATAAAAATAATAAATGCTTTTATTCATATTGATTTATGAGTGTTGTCAGTTGGCACCTATGATACCTATACCTACCTGTAGTAGGTAATAATAGATTTCTTTTCAAATGAAATGTTCAGTCTTTCCATTTACCTGTTTCTATATTTTACTATCGGTAATTAGGTATATACCTGGTTATCAATATGATTTTCATAAAAATAAACAGATATTACATGGGATGGGAGTATGAACTATATTTACATAATTTCAGAAATAATCTTTTTATAAATATAATATAAATACTAGTAATAACTATTATTGACTAAGGTACCTAGTTCTATTTTTATGTTGATAAATACCTATGGTCGCCTATATTGCATTCATTAAGGTAAACAATCTTGACACAACTTTTTAACAGAATCACCCGTTTAATAATAAAATATTAACGAAGCCAATAAACTATTAAAATAAATCGTTATTATAGACTGAAACCTATTGAATCTAGTTATCAGTTGATTTTTAATGCTGTATTTTCAATAAAAAGGAGTGCCAAGTTGGATGAACAGACTGTAGTATCTAGTAACAGAACTTTTATTTTTTATTTTCTTAAACAGATTGTCCGTTTACAATAATTAATTGCTAATAAGTTAAAAAAATAAAATAAAAATAATAGTGAAGGACATTCTTTTGGGCATGCTAGGGCCGATTTCGTCGATGTCCTTTTGCGACACCATTGCGCTATTTGTGG